TGTCCCATGGCAACCAGAAGTGCGTATGCAACATCACGGGTCTTCTCGTTCACCTCCTTCGTAGCAACAACAACCTCGGACAAAATGGAGGGCACAAAGTACAGGTCTGTAGGTTCCAGGAGCGTGATCACCTGGCCAATCAACGACAGACGAGCGCGCTTGGCAGTCGCGGTGGCAGCGGCAGTAGTGTCGAGAATGTTGCGCATCAGCTCCTCCAAATTCGCCTTCAAGACGATGCGGCCAGTCTCCGTTTCGGCCATCGAATTGACAATCTTGTATGCCTTCTTCTGCAATGCAGCGTCGGCATCATTGGCAAACAGGGAGGCGACAGTCTGGTATAGGCCGACCATGCTTGGTCCATCGACATATGGCACCATGATATCGGCTAGATCCATGAGGTTATGCGACGCTGGAGGGGCCCCTCCTTGTTGAATAGGAGTCTGAACCGTCGTCAAGGCAGTGTTAAGCTGAGCCAAGACTGCCGAGAATGTCTGCTGCAGATCCTGAGGGGTCGAAATACTCAGGTACATCCTCATAACTTCCAGAAGATATCCACGGAACTGAGGCAGGGTCGCTTGGAAGATGTTGAAAAAGACCATGAGATAGGGTCGGGCGTACTGCTGTAAGAGTGCGATGTTGTTGGCAGCCTCGTCCTTGCTCATCAGGTATTTACGCTCCAAAACTACATCGCTTTCAGTACTGGCGATAATGGCCTGGTTGCGGACGACCAAGCTGGTCAAGGCTTGGCAAAGAACAGGTCGAAGATCAGGCACAGAGTAAAGGACATTGCTGAATCGCTCAGCGAGCTCCTTGTTGAAGGCGAGCTCCATATCGACGGGGAGGTCGCAAAATCCGCTGACAAGGCTCCAGACCTGACCAATCAGGGTCTCGTAGACCTTCTTCATCATCCCGTTCTCAGTGCACTCCTGCGCTTTCTGGTTGAGGCGGTCAGCCAGTGGGATCAGAGTTGAGGCGAAGTATTCGAGTTCGGTGTTGGTAACAGAGCTCTTGAGCAAAGGCAAGAGCCAGGCACGACCACGCTTGCGCTCCTCGGGGTTGTCAATATTCAGAGGCAGAGTATCCAGGAAGATGCGAGGCCCGACTGTGCCGATAGCGGTCGACAATACAATGTCCAGATGCGCCTTTTGTGTGAATGCGGGAGTGAACCGGAGTTCGTCGATGATGGGGAGGAACGAAACCAGCAAGGGGTTGGCAGCATGATTGAGACGCTCGAACAGGGTCTTAAGAATGTCCAGAATGCCCAACCATGAGCTCTGGAAGCGAATATCGAATCCTCCCTTGATAATCGTAGAGATGGTGTCAATCACGCTGCGCTTCTTCTTGCTTTCAGGCTGCTGTCCGCGATTCTTCTTCATATCCTGGACGGCAATGTCGATCATTTCATCCGTAATACAGTGGGTGATTAGCTGCTTGAGGCAGTCAACGGTCGAGTTGTGAACAGAAACAGGGTTGGACGACTCGAGATTAGGGAAAATGACCTTGAAGAGCTGGACAATTGGCACGGCGGCCTCCTGAGGGATCTGGGCACCATGACCTGCAGCCTTCATCTTCCCCTGTAGTCTAGCTGACTCGACGAATCCTGCGCGGACAACATCCAGCCACAAAGGCATCAATGTGGCATCATTGGCGCTGGGCTTCAGTTCCAACACTGCACTCATGACTTGAGTAATCTTCTCTAGCCTAGAGACAATTTGATCCATGGTCTCTACTGGAGTTTGGTTGGTTACATCTTCCTGATGAACGACTGCGGGGACATCGGGGGATTCTTTTGTCGAAAGCAGGGATTCAAAGACTTGGAAGGCAGATGATGTAAGGTATGGGTTATTGAGTTTTGGGAGATGGAGAAGGATATCACAGAGAGGAAGGAATTGCTATAGACCCATAGAGATAAAGTCAATATCACCATTAGAAATCCAAGAGATAAAAAATGAGAAGCAAAAGAATAAAAAAAAAACAGAAACGAGCGTGTTATTACCTCGACAGGCCAGGCCTTTCCGACCATGCGGACGAGTTGAAGCGTGTGCAAAATCATCTGAGTAGCGCTGTCCTTATCCTTAGATCCCGCCGCTCCAACGACGCCGTTACCCGACTCCTTGAGAAACTGCAGTGTGGTTTGGACAACGACCTTCATTCCAGGGTGGACAAGCATCATAAGCGGTGGGCGTGTGACGATGTTTCTGACAGCCTCTTGTGCACGCTTCCTTGGCTTAGGCCGCGAGTCGAGCGAGAGAACGAGCAGTGTCTGAAGGGCTTTCAAGGTTGTGGTTTGGTTCCATGTAGCAGTGTCCTGAGCAATCAAGAGGTGTTCCAAGCAGGTAATCAGTGAGCGCAGAGAAGGTGCGGTGGGTGGTGGTTGGAGCGCCATAATTGTCGTGAATACGCTCAAAGTTGCTGTGTATTGAGATCGGAGGACGCTGACCGGGACACTGCAAAAGTTCAAGGCGAGCCGCAGAAAAAAGAATACCACGATCAGTATCTAACACGCTCAGAGTACAACGACCGTAAGAGAGGCATGTCTGGTAGGCGCCCACAACACTTACTTTGGGAAAATAACAGCGAGGAGGTTGAGAATCGCTGCTCTCATTTCTTCAACTTCAGGGTCATCCTTTTGCTGGTCTAGAAGGGACATCTATCCCATTCGGCGAGTTACGTGATAAGATGAGTATTAGTAGCTTGCCCTGGAGCGGATAATGTAATATTCATGAAACATTTTTTTCGGGGTCCTTACCAATGTGGCAAAGTATGCAGTTGGTGTAATCTCTGCGCCTTGTTCCCTGAGCGTCTATTATGGTTGATTCATATAAGTCGTAGAGTATCAATATGACCTGTTCTTGGTGCATCGGATTCCGAATGATAGCCTGGTGTACCTCGCTCGTACCTCTTCAACAGCCAGTAGCGTAGTTGCATGCATCTGTTGGTTTGGCAGCTTAGACGATAGCTGCGTCCTGTAAAAGTGATAGAAGGAACGAAGAGTCAATGATTGTTGTCAGAACCAACACAGAGCGCGAAAGTGAGTGTGATAATCAAGGTAAACTTGCCTAATCTTTGCAAAGTGCTCATCCATCGTGCCGTCGCTGTGTATGTGAAGGGGGCACAGTAAAGAGAGGATGGGCGAGTTAGGGGTGAATGCGAGGGTGTAGAGGAATGAACCCAGCTGCAGTCAGAAGGAGCCTTTTTTTTTTTTTTTTTTTTTTTTTTTGTCATACCAGTTCATTGTTGTTTACAAAAAATAAAAACGCAGATAGCAGTCATCTACAGTCACACCATCCAATGAAACATCGCGAAATGCGTTCAAAACTGAGGGCGTGACCGGCCACAGCATGCCAAACGGCTCAACATGTGGTCGCAGAACTTTGAACGCATTTTTTGGACTCAATAACGTCCTACGCTAAGAACTCCAACTCCTTCCAAGACACGCACATGATAATTTTTCAAGGCATGAGTATGAGACTTTTGAGCAGCAGTGCTCGTTTGTCATGAAGCAAAAATGCGCTCAAAGCTCAATGGCTGAGTCCACGCAAACAACGGTGATAGATGTTGCACGTGAGAAAAAAGGAGTTTAGTCCACATTTGGATTAGACCAGGGGAGAAGGGAGAGAGACGAGATGAAAAACCATTCGACGTCGCGTCAAGGAAGGATCGATACTTTCACTGAAACGAAGATAAATAGTTGACACTAAAGAGTGGGCCTGAAAACTGGCCTGCTCACATCAACATCCGCCCTGTTTAGTAGTTCATTTCAGATTTGGTGAAGCACACTGCAGGTTCAAAACGTTTCAAATATTTCAGGTCTATACTTGATTAGAGGTTTTATCGCGTTGTGTTCTAAGATTGGACATAAAGCATTTCACTGTTTTTCGCGTCAAAGCACTTTTGCTGATCTATCCTTATATTCTGCACCTGTCTAGTCAACCGCTGTCTAGTCAACCGCTCTCGGACGTCTCATTGTGTCTTGTGTTGGCGGATGATTACCTCATGTCTAGCACCTGCCCAAGCTGTATCGCGAACGCACCAAACGCGCAGGCTCGGCGGTTGGCCAGCCCTTCTTTAGAACGTACGTATGCTTAGCAAGGGTACGAGCGGCGGATGGATAGAGGCAGCGTTGGCGCGCACAACTTCCCTCTGACCGAAAAACACTGAAGGGCCATCGCTAATTTAGAGTCACAAAAGTAATCGCGTACACATGGACCTTGCCTCAATTAAAATGGGAGAAATTGTATGGCGGCTAAAATTATACTTTACATGCTACATGTATGATAGACAACTCGGTTGACAATTGGACAGTGAAAAAGAAAAAGGAAAGAGAAGAGCTGAACAATATGAGGCGACTGAAAGTATATCCTCAAAGTACACGTCTGAAGAAATAAAAAATAACGAAAAATGTAATAGTAATATTCTTTTGTGATAGCAGCAGTACAACAGCCGACTACCAAAAGGCACAATATCCGACCCAGCACTGGCACAAGTTCTCGGTCGAGGTCGCCTGTCGTATCAATTTTTCGACTTGCGAAGGGACATCGAGCGTCTCTTCCGGATTAAAGTCTCGTCCTGTCAACTTGTTGGTCACTCTGTTCAGAATGGTCACCGCGCGCTCGTTCAACTGTTCCGGCTGCGCCTCCACTAGTTTTACGAACACAATGAACAAGAAGGTGTGTTAGTAAGAAGCTCTGTGGCAAATAACCTTACATTCAGTGGACGACTTACATTCGGAACTATCGCTGACAAGTTCTTGCTCACTTGGAAGCGGTCGCCTCAAGCTTCGAGCTTGATCTTTAGGGTACGATTCTTGAACCATGCTATTACGTCCTTGCGCCGTGGACGCCTCTGTAAGAAGAAGAAAAAAAGAAAAGAAAATGACACCGTTAGAGAAGGAGCATGTTGGTACGAATAGCAAAAATCGTTCAAAAAACACTTGCTACAAACGAATCAGTTGAGTTTACGTTGACGAGGACTGGGCTGCAAGATCCTCCAGTTGATAAGGGGGTCATGGACAAAGGCCTCCAGAACTGCCATAACGCTCTCCTTGTTCTCCCGCAGCACTCTCATTACATTCTCGCTGGTATTCCTGAAGCTACCCTCGATCCCGCTCACCTCCATCGCCTTGACCAACATCCTTGTCAGACGGAAGGGAATTCTCTCCGGGAACTGGGGCCGATGCATCGCGACTTCGAAGCAGTCTCCAAAGTCGATATGAACAATGTCTCCCGTGTTTCTGTCCATCATCATGTTGGATGGATGTCGATCTCCAAGACCCAAGATGTGTCCTACCATCGACATCACCGCCAAACTACGAGTGAAGTTCGTCCGTCTCTCGAACCAGACCTCAGAGTTCCGACTTTTGAGCCACAGAATCTTGTACAGATCATCTCCAGCGGTCTTGTCCAGCATATTCTCAAACACCTCCACCTTCTGCATAACCGTCAACGAGTCATAGCCCTTCTCAGGGGCCATCTGGGTCAAAAGCTGATGCTCGATGTAAAACGACAGCTTTCGGCTTTCGCGGTAATCCCTGATCAGATTGTGCAGTGTATCCGTTTCTGGGGCCCACCCAATAAGACCAGAATTAGGCGATAGTGGGATTACAGAGAACCGGATGATGCCGAGATGCCGCTTAAATGTTTCCGGATCTGCAGTCAACAACGTGTTGACTAGGCCGAACAACTGCATCACGCGCTCGTCCTGCCTTAGATCCTCATGTCCCTTCAGCAAAAAGGCGTATTCGCGGCCATCGCTACCACGCATCGCCAAACGTCGCGGCTTCTGCTTCGTGCTCATAACATCCAGGACTTGTACGAACGAAGAGATCTTGATGACGGGTTCGCCACTCTTGTACGTTCCTGGGATAGCAAGTTCCAGGTCCCTTGCATTTTGAAGCTGAGGGGACACATAGGGCATATCTAGCGTGCTCAATTTCGGCAGCTTCCTGATACGGCTCAAGACTCGAAGATAAATATCCCAGGCGTCGTTCAACTCGTTGACATCTCGCTTCTGACGGAATCGCGTGCAGCAATTATAAGCCTCTTTCAAGTCATCTCCAAATGCTTTCGCGAATGAAGCTTCATGTAATGTCTCTGGCCGCTATTGCAAAAAAAAAAAAAAAAGAAAAAAAAAGAAAAGAGAGAAGAGAAGAGAGAAAAAAAAAAAAGCGGAGTGCTGATTAGTTATTCACTTAGCATATGTGCGATCCATAGTTTACGATAACGACCGAAATATTCGAACACGCAAAGCGATACCTTCATAATCATCTTGTGAAGTGGATCCAAGACTGCAAGAATGGTGTCGATATTATTCTTGCCGCCCTGGTAATTCAAGGTCAAGGCCTCATCAAGCCCATCCTCCCACATCTCGTGCCACAAGATCGCGACACGAAGCAGCTCCTGACTGACCATCGAAGCCTGGTCGACCAAGACAGGGCTGTGCAACCGCATCTTCTCCATGATGGCTAGAGCCGCATTCTTTCTGAACACACTCGGTGATTTTGAGGCGACATTGAGAGAATAGACTAGCGCCTGCGGATGGGCTTTTCCGACGTCCGCCAATAGCTGATGGATCAACCGATGTACGTTCTGGCTCGGGGCATGGATGCGAGCGATCAGTTGTGGGATGACCTGCAGCCAGGTATCAATATTCACGGTGGGGAATCCTTTGGCGAGTGCTGCGCTGACATCTGGTCGATGGCCGTACTTGAACCAAAGCGTCAAGAGTCTGAGCGTATCTTGCAAAGAGTTTCCAGCAGACAGTGCGATGGATTTGAAGAAGCCAGTAACCGAGGGGATCACGTAGGATAGGGCTTGGTTGGCATTAGCGGGGCCGTTTCGCTCGTAGAATGAAATGACGTCAAAATTGGCCAGAGCCCAGGTGTGCCACGCCTTGTACCAGGTCTTGTCAAGGTTCTTTGCATGCGAATATGGCAGTAAGATGTAGTCGATCGATTCCTAAGAAAGACGCCAGGGAAAAAATGAGACGAATTAGTACAAGGTTTACACGGTGCTAATGGCCCGCTATCCTTATTAAACGAGATATGCTTACAGGAGTCCAGCCATATTGCAGTGCAAACTGCCACTCTCCTTGTTTCAGATAGCAACGCGCTAGCAAACGCGAATAGTCCTCATCCGACCCATGGGCTTGGTTGACACCGGTGAGTGCTGAGCCATTCGTCTCCGCCAGTCCCAAACCCAGGTCAGATGCCAGTCGGTCCGTGAACAGTCGAAGGCACTCCAGCGTTTGTTCCCGCACACCAGTCGCCCACATGTACTTCAGTTTCGCGTAAACAACTTGCGGCGGAGTAACCTGTATCATCTCTGTGAAACCCATATCTGCAGTCTTGCGCCCCACCAACGACACCATGGCCTGCTCTGCCAGTCGCAGACGACCTGACTTGCGGCACAAATTCATAAACTTAATCCTCAGCTCCATGTCCTCAGCAGGTGTCAAAGCCATTGCATGGACCTTGATCACTCTCTGCCAGATCTCGATATTTCGTTCACATCCAAGAATGCGCTTCATCCAAGTCTTGCGAATGGTTGCCTGACGATCGGGTTGGTGTTCATACCGCTTGTATGATATAATCTCCTCCAGCTCGGCCATCATCTGTACCCGGACGACAATGTTATATGCGCGGCTGTAACTCTCACTCACGAGGGCCGTCAATTCGGTATCCAACAGCGTGCGTGTGTTTTCGATCTGCTCCTCTGCCTTGTTAAACTGACCCCGGTGGAGTGCGAGGATGGCTTTGAAGAAGGCGCGATCCGCCGACTCGTCCTGGATGAACGATATGTATTCGTCCAACAGCTCCCATTGTCCCAAGCCCCAGGCAGCCGCCGCAACAAAGGGTGCCATACTACGTCTTAATTCGGATGGAGCACGGCCCCACGATTCCTGCGCCAGCAACGAGAGTGAGTCCCACTCCCCAAGGGCATGTAGACAGCGCATGCGCTTGAGTGTCAGTAGCAGATCATCTGGACTCTCCACCTGTTTCTTGTTATATGCCGCCAGCGCATCCTCCCACCTGTGAAGACGCTCATACCACGACTCCTTCAACTCGATGTCATGATGCCGTTGGGCATAGGTGAGGATCCCCGCTGCGGCGTCGGGTTGCTGAAGGCAGTTGTTGATGCTGATAAGGCTCTCAATACTGGCTGTTGAGTGATTTGTCATAAACTCTAGCTCATTGTAATGCAATGCCTTCGCGAAGGCGTGACAGCTGAAGGCATACTTCCCGAGAGTGCTGATTTCGATTGGAAGGGGTTTGTCGTCATGCTCCATGTACTCGGCCATGTTCAGCAGCGTCTGTCTGATCTCGGGTGAAATATTCTTGGCAACTAGAGCTGTCCTGATCGCTGCAGCGAATTCAGTCTATGTGTTTTAAAGTTGCTTGAAGGGTTAATGCAACGCAATCGGCATCTCGAGTAATGGATACAGATATCAGAGATATGCGAGGCTGCTTTACATACCTGAAACTGCTCGGTTAGCGAAGTCCAACATGACATGAAGGCTGAGTTGAAAAGTTCTCTGGCGAGAGGTTGGAACGAGTTGGCCATGTCTGCACAGGCTCGAAGAGAATGCGATGGCGTCTCCTTCAACATTTCCAAGGTCAGGCGACGAATCCAGTCGGCCCAATCCTCCTTAGTCGAACGAGATGTGGTGTCCCAGGCTCGTCGTAAAGCAACCGGGTTGACTGGCAGTGCCCTATTATCGGATAAAGCCTGCGGTACATCTGTGGCGACAACGTAGCGATCGTCTCCCATACCAGTTAGTTCTGATGGCGATGGAAGGGGCTCCCGGCTCATCAGTTTTGACACTACGAGGTTATAATTGTCGTGGTTGATACGTTCTCGAACCAGCACCTAGGGTTGACATAAACGTGGATGTGAGAAACGAGTATGTATTCGGAAATACTTCTTGTAACAGGTATTACAAATGGGAAACAAGGACTGACCTTGTTCACAAGCGGTACAAATCCAACATAGTCCTCCTTGAGCTGAACGACAAGCAAACACAGCACATCCATGGTAACAGTACGTAGCTCCTGTCCAGGCAGTGCCAAAATCCTTGCCAGCGGATGAATGATCCTGGATGCGTAGTCTGAAAAGTCGATCCTCCTTGAAAGGGCTCCGATCGTGCTGATGGCTGCTCTTCGGAGGTTTATAGGGGCATCGGTTCTCTCAAACGTCTTGACGAGAGCTGGAATGATCAAGTGCATATATTCCTCCACATTTGAGCCCAAACGGACAAATGCCTGCAGGACACGGAGTGAAGCACCATGTCTCTCTGACATGTCCGAATCCAGCACTGCCAGCATAGAGCGAAGGAGTTTGGGCATGTTCGCCTTAAATTCTCCATCGAGTGAAATGGCGACACTCTCTATTAGTCCGATGATCCGCTCTTGCAGGCGAGTATGGCTCCAGTTATCCTCAATAAGCTCGAAGAGGTCGGGTATATATGGCCGGATATGTAGTGTTACAATCTGAACGAGTACTCCCATCTTCTCAAAATAAAAGTCTAGGTTCTGCACATTCCCTGACTGCATGATGGAAAGATACACCGGCATGACCTATAGCATTAATTCAAGTATATAAATATTAGCCATTGGTTCCTATGCTGCATCTTGATTTGCGATCTTACAAAAATACATGCCGTTAACTCACCTGTGGCAGGAAAGGAACCATTTTGAGTTGAAGCGAGCTAAAGATGTTGAGGATCGCCTGTGTAGCAGGTTGATACTGCTGGCTCAAAGATGGGTCCTTCAAAATTTTAAGCAGCGCGTTGATTACAACCGTGGGGTAGTACTCATCTGAGGAGGGGTCTACGCCCGACATTAGAAGAGTGACGTCCGCGTTTTCCGATTTATCTGTCTGGTTTAAGTCGCCAGATTTTATGACCAATTGCTAGTGAACGCAAAAGCGATGTCAATTATTTGCTCTTCATCCATACATGGCCACACTTATCAGCTACACGATTAGTTGCATACCTTGTGTCGATATGGATCAAGAGCGCCGAGCACACCAATAAGCTTTACGGTCTCCTGGCGAATCCTAACAGATTGCTCGGTCTTGATGATGGACATTAAGATGTCCAAAAGAATGGGATAGTTCAAGTATGGATCAATCACATAGCCGGTGTTACTGGCTAGACGACCGAGGGCAGTCAGGGCGGCACTGCGTTTGATGGGGGAGCTTTGGTCCTGAAGAACTTCGATAAACATCGGCATGAGTCGATCCATGTATGGTAAGAGAGCCTCGCCGCCGACACGAGCAATTTCTCCTAGTGCCTGAAGGACGCTGGAGACAACGCCAGGACTACTGTCTTTGATGTTAGGCAGAAGCACCATTAAAATCGTGTCGATGTATGGCCTGACAAGATCTTCAGATGCCATCACCAGCAAAGTTAGGAGGCGTGCACTCTCCTCCTTGTTCCGCACTATTCCAGAGTACTCGATCTCAGTCAAAAGCTGGATGAGAATCTTCCTGAGAGGCGGTATGACATAGGCAGGATTGAAAGCAGTAATGCGTCCCAGGATGGTGATAGCGAGCTCTCGAATAACAAAGGTCTCGTCGTTCAGGGCAATGAAAAGCGAGCGCACATTTTCTGCCTTGGCGAGGTGGCGATCGAAGCGTTCGTCCAGTGAGGTTAAGATGGCTTGACGTATCGTCGCATCTGGGTCTGCTATTCCAACCAGCAGTAGTTTCTCGAGGACCTCGTTCACCACCTGAACGGCATGAGCACTTATCTGGAAGATGATGGGATCACGGGCGAACAAATGGCAACAGGTCTGAGCAGCGGCGCGACGGATTCCTGCGTTCTCGTCGTCTAGGTATATGATACAGGAATCCCGTACAAACTCGTTCAGCATGTGTCCTGAAAAGTTGAACGAATCCAATGTCTTGAGTGCGAGAATGACGGTTTCCACATTTGGTAGATCTTGAAAGTAGGAGCTGATGCGATTGTGAATATTCTTCTTGGGTTGAGGTGCCCCTGGCGCCCTGTATAGTTTTCCGCTGAGGATCAAGGAAATCATGTTGAGAAGGCGCTCTATAAGATAAGCAGTTATGATTTAGCAATGTTATCATTTCCTCGTATTCGCTCAGTCGCAACCGTCATGTGTAATGCAGCATACCTTGTATCCCCGGTAACGAATGGGGGATATAGGTCGACAGATCCGTCAGAGATTGGCACATAGGTTCGCTGAGCCCTGTAGCTAGCATTAAATCCAATAGCTCCCCAAGATGATACTGCAATGCCTGGCCAACAGATCGAGCTAACATGCTGATGCAGCTGAAAATCGGTGCATCTGTTGTTGCTCGAGTTTTACTACCGTATTTTAGTTAAGGTTTTTGTGTTAAAGTTCGTCAGCATATCAAACAGCAAGGTCAAAGTATACTTCATGGGTATTGGCAGTCGATACCTTTTTATCCGCAGCCCGTCTTTGATGCATTGCATGATGCCAATAAGGTAGTCCTCCATGTCCTGCTTTGCAATGAGCGCCAGCTTTCCAATGGCCACAAACGCCATAGATCTCTCCATATCGTTAGCGGTCTTTCGGTCCTTTTCGAACTGGAGCTGGGCAAGAAGATGATGCATAGCCCTATATAGATAGTGCTTAATGAAGTCTACTGGATCATACGCCGCTAGCACAGACAAGAGCTCCATGACCGTCCTCCTGATAAGGCTGTCCTTGTATTCTTTAAGCCCCATAACTGTTTCGCATGTAGCAGTAAATCGCTCGTAGATGAACTAGAGTCGCCAGTGGTAAAAAAAAAAAAGGTATGTGGGTCAGCGAACTGGATTCAGCCGTTCATTGCTCATCGTCAGATAGCCATGAAAGCAGAAGCAAAGCTCGCACCATGTTCGCGTGAAGAGTCAACTCCCTGAATATCAGCAACGATCCGTGAATGCTTTCCGGGGACGCTATCCGCAATCCTCTCGTCGCTTCTTGATGGATCCTGCTGTACCAACTAGTGTTTTGTTGGTTTTGTGAGCTGGCACGATCTGAAATGAGCACCAAAACAGCGCTCAGGGTATCTGCTGCCGCCTCTCGAATGGCTTGCTGCACATAATGGCGAGAAAGAGGAAATAACACAGTCAGATCAGACATTCACTCAAAACGTACCGCTGTAAATCAACATGTGTCCCCTTACCTTGTGCTCGCGCATTGCTCCCCAAAGGTTGTTCAGGATGGTCTCGACATATGGATAGACAATGACATTGGCATGTCGCGCCAGTTCTGCAAGCACTAGCACACTTGCATGGCGACGTGCCTCTTGCCTATCTCCTAGTTTCATGATACATATGGGTGTAGAGTGACCATATGTTAGCTACGAGATCTGAGTCCTTTGCCCTGCTGTGAAATACGGCGAATGATTGATCCGCACCTGCTAGCCATTCGATTGCCCTTGTCAGCTCGAATTCGACGAAATCAGCGGTGAACGGTCCTCCTTGCTGCGCCAGCTTTCCTGTAGCGTTTTTACAAAGGCGGATAAATACATCAGTCATAGGACATTGCCGCTTCTGACACCAACAAAGAACAGGGACGAGCATCAAGCCTTTCTTTTCCTATTCGTACCCAATGCCCTAGCTGCCACAGTCATTGTTGGAACATCCGATGGAAACAGTTGCCGTAGATAGTTGGCGAAGCGGGTCTCTTGAGCCGTGTTGTCCTCATCCTCGATTCCAATCAAATTGTCTATCGATAGGGTGCAACCAATTTTCATGCGCGTGAGATGAAGCAGTCTGTTTAGCATCGACTGAACACGAGGTCGACGATATGTCGCGTTCGCTTACCGATAATAAGGGCTCCACATAGCTTGTCATCGTTGTCAATGCTCCCCACTAGCGTCCTGATGATTCCATTGATCTCCTGATAGAACTTGGTCAAGTCTTCTCCTGAAAGTTCTCTGGAAGTGAGTGTGACCTACGGGGTCATACGAAATAACAAGGCAAATTGTCTTTAGCAACCAGCAAAGAAACAGTGCCATCTTTCCATATAATAAATAAAGGCTGAAGAAAGCGCCAGACAGCATGCCAGGATATTCCTGAGTCCAACATACGTAGTTCCTCAAGTTCTGGGTGCTTAGGTTCCTAGCTTTTTCCCTGTGAAGACTAAGTTTGAGAAAGAGTAGTTGGGTCTAACGAGTTAGGACTGTCTACAGATGGCCAAGAAACTTGATAAAAAAACCAAGTTGTTCCCACCTTGCTTTGAGATCACTGGTCAAGCGGGAGAGGGTTATGGGCGATGCAGAGGCCATGGTCTTTTTACATAGGGCTGCACAGAATCAGCCCTTTTCTTAAAAGACGCCTCGGAGTGTGAATAAGTGAATGGTAGTGTGATAGCGACTGTTCCTGACTGCAGGGGTTGCGTCAACGGTCGAACGGTCTGTTGACGAAGGGAGGGAAGATGCAGGTGGTGCAGCGTTTGAATGTGGTCGTGGTCGTGTTTTCGATGCTGCTGGTTCCTGAGAAGGGAATTGAGAGGAAGAGGGGGAAAGAGAGTTGGATTCTTCAGAATGCCGGGTCCAGTGCGAGATCAAATAGTGACTAACGAAAGCAAGATTGGGGACAAGTAAGCGACCCCCATCCGGCCAAAGTTCCTGGGGTCTCCTCTGACTCTTTTTGCAGCTCTCTTCATACTTGGCCATGGTCCTTACAGCAGACGTCTTTGCCATTTGATTGGATATGAGTCACGTGTGCACGGGACTGCATTTTTTTTCGCGTTGCCCCAATCAACCCACTCGTTTCCAACCAGACCTTTCAAAACTAGGCAGCCCAGCTACAAGTGTTCCTAGGTTGAGTAGGATTTATACGATGGATGAAAGCGATATATACGGCATCGTTTTTGAAGAAACCACTGTCCCCTCAAGACACTTGGGTATGGTTGCTATATACAGCGCGCGTGAGAGACGCTTACGGAGTCGCTCTTTGACGCGTCAGTTTATGGCAAACCTGCTTATTTTGTCAGCATGGTGTTCTCATGAGGAATGACAGCGCGTGAGGATGCATCACAGATCATTAAAGCTACAGGTCCCGGCTGATCGTGTAGACTATACCTCGGATCTTCAGCCAGCAAGCTGGCCCTTTCTGCTACGCGCGCTTGCTCTAGGATTTTTTGTCCCCGACGGATATTTCAAAAACCTAAAATTATATCTGTTGCACGAGTTAAAAGTTGCTTAGTCCTTCAGGTTGCCCGTTCCGCCCGTGCCGTGCCGTGCCAATAAAATAAAATTGTCGACAGAGGAACTCAGTCAGGCAGCGGATGTACTGGCCCCACTGCATCCATCACATGAAAGGAATAGGAAACAAGAGAAAATCCGCTGGGGAGGGGCAATGTCCGCCATGCAGGGAAGATGTATATAACGAAGACCCTTTCCGCCTCCACGTCCACCTTCTTCCTTTTTCACCCACATTCCGCCTCTGTCGTTGATAACTGCAGCCATATACCCTTTCATCATCCCCTGCTACTTTTCTTCAACTCTTCACAGCTGAATTTTGCTTGCGTGCTTTTTTTTTTTTTTTTTTTTGCGGGCAAGAAAATAATTCTCTTTCTCCACACTCCTTCATACGCCGTCAAAGCACTATACGCATGTCTACGCCGAAAGATATCTTTGATCTCGAGAAACAATCGCACCAGCTTGTCGATCACCCCATCCACTGTCTATCCCAACAACAGCAGCAACAACAACAGTTACAGCAACAACAACTACAACAGCAACAGCAGCAGCAGCAACAGCAGCAGCAGCAACTGTCGCCACAGCAGCAGCATCAGCTCCCGCTCCATGCACACCTCGAACCAGAGGACGTCAGGGTCTCACCGTTCCAGATGAACCTCAACATGGCCCCACCCCTGCACGCGGTCCTTCAGCCGACCAATCCACCCCCAAACCCCGGTCCTTTTGGTCTTTGTGCCTTTGCATTGACAGCCTTCTGTATGGGTCTCTACAACATGCATACGGGCGTCGATCCCCATGCTCCTGGCAATTTTATCACTGGAACTGCCATGTTCTATGGTGGATTTGGGCAGGTAATAACTACACGCTGCGGAATAGAAACATGATAAGGGAAAAGATTACCCTTATACCCACCACTCGCACTCCTCTTGTTCTAAATGCCTTCATCATTGCACACACAAACGCCCTATCGCTGTAAACTCATTGGTGGTCTTGGTCTTTAACAACAAAGTAAGACTTGCAGTCCCGCCTGGACCCAACCACGACAATACACACATGCAGCCCATTTGTTGTGCAGGCCATCGACTGATTGGTTCCCCTTCGTTTCGCAAAACAACCCTTTCCAAAAATTATTTACGATGTCCGCCACTGCATCCTCCTCGCGTTCTCCGAACATTCCAATGCTCATAGTTCCCCGCATTTATTTGCATGGGTGCAAAAACCAACCGTTATGGCACTCATACGCACACAGGCAATAGCCTATTGCTTCCGGCGCCCCGTCTTACGCAAATCAGCCATCCCCTCTCCCCGCACCCTGGCGTTTTTCAACCTTGCCCTTCATTTTTATTCCATCGTGCATTTGTTTGGGCTGCACAGCAGGAAGCGCACTCGTAGACAGGTTGCGACAATTTCCCTAGTATCTCTACGCGTCTTTCAATCAACACTATTTCCTGACACTTCTTTATCTCCATTTACTTTCCAAAGGTCATTGCGGGCTTGCTCGAATTCCGCAACGGCAATACGTTCAGCGGAACAACCTTCTGTTCTTATGGTACCGTATATCCTTCAACGCGTCTTCTTCAAACCAGCCATAGGTTCTTATTCTTCTTCATCCGCACTAACAGACCAATCTCACAAATGGGGGGCTTCCCTTAAACATCTCTCCTTCATTTGCAGGTCTGTACTGGGTCTCGTACGCAACGCTGCTCATCCCTTCATTTGGCGTTGCGGCCGCATATGAAGACTATCCAGAGGACTACATGACCGCCGTTGGGATCTACTTGCTCGGCTGGACCATTTTCACATTCTTGATGTGGACCCTCACCTGGCGCTCGAATCTGGCCTCGACTGCCTTGTTCTTCTGCTTGGGCATGACCTATCTCTTCAGCGCCATCTCGAGTCTTGCACATCTCCAACCTGGCAATGTGGTCCAGAAAGTAGGAGGTGGCATGGGCTTGATTACCTCCGGCATCGCCTGGTACAGCGCTATGGCTGATCTGAGTAATTCGCAGAACTCGTATTATACCCTACCCCTGGGACAATTGGGTCGTCGTTGAAAAGAATACCTCAGCATAGATATCTTTCCTTATAATTACATACCATCCAGCTTTTTTCACCATCTCATTTGCTTATACATTCTGCTTGCATCAACCGACCTGGAAAATAAATTGTTGATCTTGCAAATACTCTAAAAAAATCTATGTGGCTATGCTTTACTTTAGTCTATATTTGCTGAAATGGGGATTCCACTAGTTATATTTATAAAAGTATGTTTTCAAGCTGGCGAGCTGACCCTTCTCCTGCTCTGACTACCCACCTTTCTCCGACGCTTTCCTTCGAGATACAGCATCGATTCCGCATACGTCCTGGGCATGATCCTAGGCGTGCCCTTGGCCGGGTCCCTGAACGTGAACCAGAACGTGTTCGTGGTTTCTCGGCTCTTCTTGTTGACGTCCAACACGTCGGCCTTGACCATCACCTGGAATGAGTGGCGATCTCCTCCCTCCGCATACACAATTTGCGAATCCAGCGCCAGGAATGTTCCAATAGGCACCGGCTTGCGGAACGAGATCTCGTCCAATGCGAGGAACGTTGGGCGGGATGAGATAAACGACGACGCATTGCAGAACGCCAGCTCGTATGCCAAACGCATCAAGTAACCACCAAAAATCTAACATGCGATGAGTGGATGAAAAAAAAGGTATAGGTCAGTAAGATCGCTTTGAGGTGCAAACGCGCCTTATTGTTGTCCATATTACCTTGTCGTGGATGTTGCGATCCTGGGGCTGCATGATATGGATGGCACTCATTTTCGTATCAGACATCCACTCGACATCATCAGGCTTCTTGGTCTTGGACTGTGGGTCGTCGTACTGCGAGTACTCCAGATACAGGTCATGGATCAAGAAGCGCTCCTCCTGTGTCGGAGGTCGCTTGGTCAAGGCAGAGTCGGTCGCGACGCGTTTCTTGGCCTTGTGGTCTGTTAAAACATGTCAAGCATACACTGTTAATCAAGGGGTGCTACTCATGGACTTCAAAGGCTCATTTATAAAATGACAAGATGGATGTTGCTGCTGCTGATGCGTACCATCTCCCATCTGGAACAGTTTCTTTTCGGTGTCGTTTTTAAGGAACATGGGATTGACTTGGGCAGCCTTGCCGGTGAGAGCATCTCTGGCAACCATGGTGAATCTTGCGACCAAGATGGTATCGCCATGTTGTCCTGGCTGATCTGGCGACATCTCCTCCACTTTCATGAAAACTATAGCGTAATTCAAATAAAAGACAGCGTCAATAACTCAATCGGAAACAAAGATGTTTTCAAAAGCATTGTAATTCGCTGTTGACTTTCTTATCGACGTACTCTCCATGGAGCTGTATCCAACGTAGGTGACATGTCCAGAGAGACGCAGATCGCAGATACCCAAAGGCTTCAGCAGATCAATTCTATCCACTGAGGCCGTGACGATAGTCAGGGGCGTGCTATCGGGCTTGCCATCATCCGCGTGCTTGTAACCAATGGCGCCCGCCAGGGCATCCAAGTCCTCCATAATCTTTCCATGTCTATCGAGATACGAATGAAAATCAACTTAGTCTAATAAGATGCAATGATAACAATAATTTTTTGAAGGGCGATCCTCTTCTGTCGCTCAAAAAAAAAATAATATTATGACTCCGATGCAGTTCGTGGGCGTGAACCGATTCATTTTCTGTCACCTCTTCAACAATGTTCTGTTCTTCTTCACACGGTACCTCAATGTTCCGCCGACGTTGATGTACTCCTCCAGAAGAGCCTTATCGGTTCGGAAGGGGAGAATAATTTCTGTGTAAGAATCCTGCATGGTCTTCAGGAGCAGATCGCGTTTCTGGTACTTCTTCTCTGGCTCAGGAAACGCGGCATTATTGACCACATGTCCGCCAGGCGATCCGTGTTCGCTGGCCAGCTTGTCGATCCATGACGTGACCGGGCGCACAGTAAAGACTTTGCCATGAGGCAGAGCCGGGTTCGTTGAGGCTGCAAACGATGTAGGACATATTACACAAAAATAGGCATGGGGCGGGATTGATTAAACAAAAAGAAACGCATAGCACTTCATTTTACAACATTATCGATAGCCTGTCTGTTCCCTTCAGTCCCATGTTATTTGTCCAGTAGCAATCAAGAACGAAAACGATGCGAGGACTCCATTTTTGGAATCCGCGGTGAGGTTAAAGTGAATGAATGGTCAAAAGTGCTGTTTGTTTATAGGACATGGGGACCAGCTGGATGGTTACAGAAGCGCCTCCCGCGTGCAAATGCATAAAGAGATCCATCATCAAACAGGAAATATAGGAGGTACATAAAGATCAACGACGACCGTTGGCACCGGAAGGCTTAAATTCGCAATTGATGTGCAAGGCATGTTCTTTACCTGAGGTGGCGATGACCCTGCCAGAAGAGTTGCTACCAAGTTTGTCGAGGAGCTCGCTCCTGTTCTTTTCAATTGCCTCCTTTGGGTAGGCCGAAGATTTTGAACTGGGTGCATGTGTAACAGGCCCGATCTCTGGGGTGATCGGAGACTGACCGGTACGGCTGGAGCCCGAAAAGAAGTTCCACTTCTTTGTGTTAAAGGCACGCTGCACCATCATAGGGCTTGCCAAGCGTCCAATGGATCGCTGTGAGCGAGAAGCATACATTCGAAAGGTAGGTACGTGGTGCAAGGCGCGTGGGAGGAGGATATACAGAAATTGACACTGAGGGAACAAATCAGTTCTGTCAAGCAGTGCGGGAATGAGAACGAGAGAATGAGAATGAGGAGTGGAGTGAGAGGAGAGAGGTGAATGGGAATGAATGAATGAATGAATGAATGAAAAGAAGAGAGAGAGATCTTTGACTGGACAGCTAGAAAAGCGCTTAGGGAGGCCGATCCTCTTCGCGCCATCTATATACAGATATCCCTTGGATGTAACACGCCCACAAGTACGCCGATCCAACCACGCAGCTCGCCCGCGCTCATTTTTCGGGCGACAACTATTGCTGCACAGAGCATTTCCGTTTCCGTTGACCTATCCGTCGTGTCTCATCCGCCACTGTCCGCCTGAGGATGCTGCTCGGGGACTTTGTCCTTTGGATCGGGATAGTGTCGGAAAGCAAGCGTAGTTCGCTGCAGAAAACAGTTATACCTTATCGAGCACGTGTACTTCTATTAATCGAGGATGCAATCTAATTGAAAGTGGTGTTCTTTATCTCCTTTCGAGCTGTAGGCCATGCTCTCAAACGAGCTTCTACTGCTAACCAAGTAAGTTTTGCACGAAGAAAGAGAAATGGCAGCCTGGGCGGGTGTCATTATTGGTATTATTATTGGTATTAATATTAATACGGACACGAAGCTTACATTACACGTTTTTTATGGGCCGGGATCAAGGAACATCAACTTTCTTCGTGAACAAGGACTACCTGGTACCAAAAACGACAACAGCACTTCTGTTGGATTGTCTCCCAAGTGCTGCTATTGCCCTTACTGATCGAGGATCCAATGTAGCGTGTATTCTCCTTCTCCAAATGATAGCGGCGATCGCGATAATGCTATACTAATCACCGCTGCATGAAAGAGCCCGAGGATCGCTCTATGGCCACACGTCACACAGTTAATGTACAAATGTACATTGCTTTGCAAACTCATCATCATCTTACACATCTTCTCCGCAACGACTCTCTTCAACCACATCTTTGTGAACGAATCCCCCTTCGCGATACAAATAACTACCAAAGAATAAAACAAAGCACCATGACGCGCGGTATCCAACTTGGCTTGGCTGCGTTCATCGCCTTGTCCTCGGCAGTGGCCATGGTCGACGCCCACGATCACGGACACGAACACCCAATACCGACCAACCTCGCGCGCCATAAGCACAAGACTGTTCAAGGCACGGAGCCCCCTGTTTTCAAGGTATTGTTTCTTCATCTTGCTACTACTGCGTTACACGACTTTAATGATATTGCTATGTTGGATCCCATGCTAGCTATTATGCGACTGCCGATCTGTGTTAATAGCAAACATCCTTTTTCATTGTTCCCCAATTGGATAGGCAACAAGCATCAAAGGTCCATTTCTCGAGCAGTTTGTGCATGAAGGAGGCTCCTACCAATGGTTGCCAAGCAATGCGACAAGGGAGCCTGCCGGCGAAGGAGAGATCTTTAGCTACGTAGGCCAGTGGGCTTTTGAAGAGCCACATGTGTATGCGGGGACGAAGAATGACCTCGGTCTTATCGCCAAGACCCCCGCTGCCCATCACGCTATCTCTGCATCCATCCCTGAGGCAATTGACAACAAGGATAACACGCTCGTGGTGCAGTAAGTCGATCGATACATGTTGTATGCCCCAACTTCCTCCCACGGGACAATGTAGAGATCAGTGGACAATCTCCAAGCTGGCGATCTTATCCTCATACTTTATCAACTCGTGCTGTCTAGGTACGAGGTCAAGGCGCAGAATGGAATGGTCTGCGGCGGTGCATACATGAAGCTCCTGACCGAGTCGCCTGAGGGTATTAAGTTCAAGGAATTCTCAAATGAAACGCCCTACACAATCATGTTTGGACCCGACAAGTGCGGCACCACGGACAAGATCCATTTTATCTTCCGCCATAAGAACCCCATTACTGGAAAGTATGAGGAGAAGCACCTTCGTTCAGCACCCTCTTCGGGACTGAACGAACTCACCACATTGTACACGCTGATTGTCAAGTAAGTGAAGTTTGTTCATACGCATGAAGAATGTCGTAAGGGTACAGGAAATTATCCTTATGCTGACTCGAATCGCCTGGCTCTGCTCTCGTGGTTTACGCTAATCAATAGACCAGATCAGACGTTTGAGATCAAGGTCAATGGCGATTCGGTGACCACCGGATCTCTTCTCAACAGCTTCCAGCCTGAGGTCAACCCACCCAAGGAGATTGATGATCCCACGGATAGCAAGCCAGCTGACTGGGTCGAAGAGGCCAAGGTCCCGGATCCTACCGCAACAAAACCCGAGGACTGGGACGAAAATGCTCCCCCTACGATTCCCGATGAGAACGCTACCAAACCGGATGACTGGCTTGAGGACGAAGAGGCCGAGATCCCGGACCCTGAAGCAGTCAAGCCCGAGGATTGGGATGATGAGGAAGATGGTGACTGGATTCCAACGACTGTACCCAACCCCAAATGTCAGGACCACGGATGCGGCAAGTGGACTCGCCCCAATATTCCCAACCCAGCTTATAAAGGCAAGTGGTCAACCCCATTGATCGACAACCCAGCATACAAGGGTGTCTGGGCTCCACGCAAGATCCCCAACCCAGAGTTCTTTGAGGATCTGCATCCATCGAACTTTGAAAAAATTGGTGCTGTGGGCTTTGAGATCTGGACGATGCAGGACGATGTCCTGTTCGACAACATCTATATCGGTCACTCTGTGGAGGATGCGGCGGCCCTGGCGGCCGAGACATTCGAGATCAAGTACCCCTGGGAGAAAAAACTGTATGAGCTTGCCAACCCCAAGCCGGACCCACTTTCTGAGGATGGTGCCTTGAACTTTAAGGAAGACCCTGTGGGGTTCGTGCTTCAGCATTTGCGAGAGTTCATTGTTCTGGCGCGTGAGGACCCTATGGGCGCGATCAATGCTCGTCCCTTGGTAGTCTCAGCATTGGCGGCTGTTGTGGGTGTTTCATTCGGACTGATGTTGATCATCATAGGTCTCTTGAGCCCCTCGATCCCTGCTGTTACCAAAGAAACAGCATTCGCGAAGAAGACTGACAAGGAGGGAGAGAGCTCTACGGCTGCCACTGAAGAGCCGGAGGGATCTGCCCTCCGAAAAAGAACCGTCGTTCCCAGCGATGAGAACTAGATCGCTTTGCTACAGCTTGCCATTCTCTGCTTCTTTGCTTATTGCTGCAATTGCTTCACAATAAAAAAAAAAAAAAAAAAAAAAAAAAAAGAGGGCACGAAAACGATCTGAACCCTTATCTCATGTCCACATCCTCTGTCTCTTTTCGGCGAATTTCTGACCGAACGACACACACTCCAGAGGCATTAGATGCAGGTAGAAAGACGAAAGTGCTGTGCGCAATTGTTTTAGCCACAGGCAAACGACAGCCCTCCATCGTATCATTTTTTTAACGTTGACAATCGAGCGAGCGGGCAGGGCCCTGAAAGTTTACTCCATGTGGTTTTCGCCACGTTCTTATGATCCACACTGTCATAAATATCCTTTTGAGAAGGCTGAAGTCTAGTCCTATGTACATGTCAGGCTTATTGGGCCTTTTGTTCTTCTTTACGTTCGAAGCATCTGTGGGGCTGCTTCCATGGGATCAAAAGGGAAATCGTCCAATTGGAACGAAAAGGCAGCGACAGGATGGTACTCTGTAGCGATAGCATGGTACTCTAGGGACACGCCCGGATCATCAGACATCGGATGCGCCATATTAAAATCAACTGCATCAACGACAACAAGGCGATAGAAACAGAGAGCAAGAGAGAAAGAGCAGGTTAGCACTCCATCTCAAACAAACAACTGCATACATCGTTCCAACAAAAAAAAAAGCAAAAAACAAACAATGTACTTACGCCGAATCTCGACCTCCTCTGCCTGTTTATCCTTCTCGCCACTCGTCCTGAGCTTCAGCATAATGACCAACTGGTGTGTAATATCATAATACTTTGACCTCAGGCTCGGCGTCAACATCGCTCGCGTCGACAACGGCACTGTCGCCGCCGCGGCTGCCGTGACTGGGTCCACAAGGTTCGATGCCGGCATAGTCAAATGCACAGTCCGTTTCCAGCCATTTCTGCTCTGCGGCCAACTACCCATCGATGTTCCCGGCACCAGAATTTCGACAAACGTCTTGACCTGCTTAGTGCCAATCATATGATTGACCGACCGCGCGAACCTCGTCTCCTGGATCCCAAACCGTGCATCCATGATCACGACCTCCTGTCCTGCAAAACCGGACCTCGGCCTAAATGGCTGGACCTCGATCGTCACGGGCACTCTCTTCCCAAGAATCACGGTCTCGGATGGGATGGCGACCTGAATTGGCACGTTCTTCTTGGGACTGATCACGACTGTCGAATGTGTAATCGGGGAAGGTAGGAGACCTGCAGGTGGGAGACTATAATTCATGACCAAAAACTCTTGGGAGGCGCTAAAGAGTGGGGTCTTCAATTTGGTGGCAGTTGTTCGGGTGATGTTCGCCTGAAATGTGTATTGTACAAAGCCCTCGGGGTGTCGATAGCAGGAGGATGGCCAAGAGGGCTCAAGGACTGTGAAGACCTGCCGCGTGTATCTCCCGGCGGCAATCATCTGTGGTCCAGACTTGGTCACCGGTAGGAGCCACCGCTTCTTTTGGAGGATTTGTTCTGAATACGATGTACCTATTTCTGCTCCCCGGACTGGATAAGATGAGAGAAGGGCGTTGTTAGGAGAATTATTAATTTCTTCCATAACGGACGAGCATTAACTTTTGGGATGTAGAAATTCAAAAACGACAGATTGATATTGACCTGACATCTCCAAACCTTGGATTCGGGACCCAACGACAGCCTTGAAGATGATCTCGACTTCCTCGCCCTCGCACATCTGGTCCAGTTCAAGCGTAACTGTGGCCTGCACGAACCCTGGTCGCTCTCGAGTTCCTTTGACAAGGACCATTGGCTGCTGCTGCTTTTGCTTCTTATAGGATGAGGTGTGGGCCGTATGGTTTGTGGTCTGGTGCTGTGCTGGTGAAGATGTTGATTCAGGGGTTTCGATATGGATAGTGAACCTCTTGGTCTTTTTGGCATCCATCTTGAGGAGCCTTCTGAAGATAGACATGCTATTGGGTTATTATTAAGGATTAGATGAATAGGGTAGTAGTAGTAGTAGTAGTAGTAGTAGTAGTAGTAGTAATAAAGTAGGTAAGGAGTGAGAGTGAGAGTGTGTGTGTGCGAGTGAGAGAGAGGTTAGGGTAAAGACAAACAAAGGGGAGGGAGAGGAGTGATAGGCGCCAGCGAATTAAACGGTCGAAGAGAGGCTTTGGTCGCCTTTTATGATTGTCCAGGAACAGATTATGAAGGTGCTGTGTTGTTGACGAATATAAAATAAAAAATACCGAAAAACAAGAGTAGCGCTGTGCGCTCAGCATTGAGACGAGAGATGGGCCTTGTAAAGGATGGATACAGGTGGCAGGCGGTATTGGGTTCAGAATGCTTGTCGTACGGGGTGCCGTGTACAGGTGTATTTCCCCAGGCGAGCAGTACAGCAGCAGCAAGCATGCAGGCGTATGGTAGCACTCGTGGATTTAAAGAGGGGTATAAGACGGCCAAACGTGTTTAAAAAGAGCGAGGCAGGGTGCCGATTGGACGACACGTGCGCATTGGGCCAGACAGGGAGATGCCCTGTGCGCTAAGACCTGATGTTCCTGTTCCTGTTCCTGTTCCTGTTCCGCACGGGTTCTTCGTGCCTTGGATGGTTTTGATTTAATCAGGAAGCGTAACACTGGTCGTCCGTGCGGAGAAAACTAAAACAGACTGTGCTATGCTGGCCACAACTGCGCTCAGGCCTCTGGTGCAAAAAACCTCTTCTCTCCCTGGAGCAAACCTCCACTCCTTTCCTCATTACTCCTCATTCTTTCCCTGACTAGAACTCAAAAGGATCTCTATCTGACAGCGACTGCAATAACTGCTGGGGGAAAATGACGAAAAGTAAGTGGCGGGTGCGCGCATGTGCTGGTCCACTGAACGATTGGCCTCAATCGCAAAGCAATAATTCGCCGAAAGGTACGCACACACACATTGCCTGTTTTAGATTTAGTCCTGTCTTTTGGCCGCGCCGCCATGTGTATCTACCGTGACCATTCCTCCCTCCAGGAACCTTAGACTGGCTCTTCCCGAGGCTCATGTATCTTATTATTGGCATGTTTGCTCCTTCCCATGTCATGAACTGTTCAAGTATTTTTTGATAGCAAGGAGGGAATTGTGTGATTTCATTAGCTGGTCAAATAAAATGCAAGTGTTCGTTATTAACAGACACGCCACCAACTCTACTCGAATCAACTCTACCCGGTTTCCATGGCCCTCTTCGGCAATGCGCACTCAGCCGCGTGCCCCAAATGCGAAGCGAGAGGGTCAATTGGCACATGTGCTGGAGGTAATCCGGGTCTCAAATCAATGGAAATTGTGAGCTGATAGGATAGGATCGCTGAAATAGGAAAGTCTCCAAGGCGAACGAACCAGGAGATCTTCGGAAAGCGACATCCAATGGCAGCGTAGTCGTATCTACGCAATGCAATGCTCGGATTAGGATAAAGGAGGAATAAACGCCACCAACAAGTACAATTCTCCTTTTGAGGAGATGCTAATGTCGCGGAGGATGATGCCATTACAACATAAAGGAAGTTGCGCAGGGCAGACTTTTGGGGGAGTAAACAGCTACCACTGATGTCGCAGGGATAGCAAGACCAGAGAAGTGCGCTGATGACGACGGCGGTATGGTAGGGTAGGGCAGCATAGCATGTGTGTTTATGGCATGTGGCAGCCAGTCTTCCCACGGATATGGATGCTTTCCGCGCGGGGTCTTAAGAAGCAAGGGCAGCAGTAGTCGCTGTTCAAAAAGGGAAATTCCTGCATCCGCCAATTGGAATCTTTATCTCGGTCGGATCATCTCGTAGGGGTGCCACTTTTTTCTCCTCCACGCAGCCCCGAACGGGGGAAGGGGAAAGGACGACATAAAAGATGGAGCAGTGGGACTAGCTCCTTCGTGCAGAGACCTTCTCTCTTTCTTTCTCTTTCCTTCCTCCTTTCTCTCTTCTTTCTCTCTTTTGCCACCGACCCCACAAATCTATGCGGTCAAGTCCTCTCTTACGCACCGACATCGACACTCGACTCGACACTGTAGACATGCAAGTTCAGGCTGCTGCACCTTCCTCGCCGGCGCAGACCAACACCGCTCCACAACCATCAGACCTTCAGGACAAATCCTGGATTGCCTCTACTTCTGCAATCGCTCCTGAGCACGACCCCAATCCCTCCTGGATTTTTTATCCTCCTTCAGCGACCTATATCCCCCCAAGCTTAGCCTGCACATCCACCACAGGTGCCAGCTCCCCTCCGCCGACCTTACCATCGTCGCCCTCAAGGTCCCCACGGTCCTCCCCTCCTCCTGGTAACGACGCTACAATCGGCATCGGCAGCAGCAGTAGTGCCGGTTCGGCATCTGCTTCAGTTCCATCAACACACCACCGAATCCTGGACCATTGCTTTCATTTGTCAATCGAGACCCGTCTGAAACAAGCAGAGGCACAGTATCTGGCTTCGACGCAGGAACAGGCCTTAGAGCAGGAGATCGAGAAACAGGATCAGAATCAGGATCAGGACAAAGCTACTGCATCTGCGCTGAAGCAGGATGACTGGCGAAAACGTCAGCGTTCGCTGGTGGATGAGGCTGTGGTTCTAGGACGCAAGGGTTCGAATGTCGAGGCGATTGTCGATGGTAGGCTATCCCAACTACATCACATCTGATTGCATGACACCCTGTAGACAATCGACGTTCCCGCGTCCTCTTTAAGTGTGTCTCCGTATAGGCAGCACATGCTTTTCCCTCTTGTTCCTATCAGCATTTTTTTTTTTTTTTTTGTTCGGGTACGACCTAAAAAAGATTTTCTCGCAGGGTTGTGCACCTTCTTTTTTTCATCTTCGGAATGGGCCCACCTGCCATCTGTATCACGAAAATTAATCATACCTGTCCGGTCTACTTTCATAAACAGGCATCCTCAAGTCGCATCGGTCCAATGGTCCGTTGCAAACATTACCTCGCTCCCTCAAGCATCGTCTCCATCTCTGTCAATTGACTTCCATGGTCTTTGGCCGTTTCGATGTCGCCTCCTCGACTAATAACTCTGCGGGACTCAACGTTTACTCCGCCTTCCATTCTCGGCGCCATGGAGCATCTCGCGCTGCGTACAAACATAGGTTTTCACACAGTGAGCAGGGCAAGTTGTTGCAGCCCCTCTTCGCGCACACTATTCCCGCATCCTCATACTGTCGTCGCCACCATCACAAGGAATGCAAGCGCACATGTTGCACACTCGCCAAATTGCAGCAGGAACAGCAACAGGCATTGGAGCTGAAGAAGAAGATGGCGAATAACTACTATATGAACAATGTTCGCAAGCAGGAGCACCAGCGAGTCACAGGACTGGTCGACGCCATCCCGGCATTTCTCAAGTGCTCTGCCATGAGCTATCGGGATATCGCCAAGGCTATGGTGGACAAGGGCGAACTGGAGGATATGAAGGGCACGAGGGTGCTGGAGGGCTGGTATCGGCTGTTGCTTGAGATGATGACTCAGGCAGCAATCGAGTCGTACCTGTGCGATGAGGATTCTGGGTGCGACACCATCCTGGACGTGTTCTCGTATGGCGATGACCCAGACAATGAAACGGTATTAAAGGATTTTAAGCTGGAGAAGAGTGCAGAGTCTTCTGAAGAGACGTCTTCGTCATCGTCGACTATGACGGGGGTCGAAGGACTGCAGTTCCAGAGTCTGAATAGCCTTGGATCGACATCAATGTCATCGCTCAAGGGCCAGTATCCACACCAACAGCCGTCCAATTCTTCAGCAATGCTACATGATGTCACCACACAGGATCGTCAGGATGATATTCTGTTCGCCAAGACACCCGCATACGAGTCGTTTAAAAAAGCCAAGGATGAGCGCATGCAAGAGGTAAATATCTGCAGCGTTGAACTTCGACTACTTTGAGTAGGAAACATGGACTAACGAATTGTATTTTTGTATTTGCTATAGTTTTTGACACTGAACGGCGCGACAATGGAGCAGCACTTTGCAGATCTGGCAGCCAAGTATCCTCTGATCATCTTTGAACGTCAAATGACGCATTTCATTGCCCGCTCACAGCAGCTGCTTGTAGATCCCAAGCTGTCTCAAACTGTAGCGCCGATGGGATTGCTAATTCCACCCACAACATCTGCATATGCTGATGGCTCATTGTCAATGCCTGTTAGCGAGGATGAGGATGAGGACGAGGATATGGAGGAACCACGTACGAAGCTGGAAGAGATCAAAGAAGAGGACGAGAACGATACCGTTGGCGAACAAAATAGCCGACAGCAGCACTTTCCTTCGCCACCAGCCTCGGTAGTTGTAATCAAGGAGGAGAAACTGAATGGTTCGCAAACACACGACGACGATGATAACTCAACGGCGGCCAGAGTTGTGCAGGTCTCGAAGAAACATAAACATCATGCTGAGTCGAGCGCACATACTGTAGACCTGAACGAGACACAGGATGATGAGCACGCTTCCAAGAAGGCCAGGGTCTAGTTCATCTCCCCTTTGTTTCTTTTCGTTACATGTATCAACACCATATCCGCTGTAACTCCATTTCCGATGGCCCTTTCTGTACTTTATGCCCTGTAGATAAAATAGTAATAAACTTTTTTTTTAGACAATGTCGACGCGTAACTAGAGTAGACTACTGCAGGTAGAGTGCCAGGAACCGGTATATATGCCACAAAAACTATATCCCTATGCTTATCATATCCACATACACCATATTATCTTTGCAAGAACAGTTCGAGAGGAACAGGATACACGCATCCAAAATTTTGTGCTCAGCATATTGGATGTAGACAAATGAGATATTGCAAGCAATTGTTAAGATACCAAACGGGTTTTTTCATTGCGAACAAGAAAAGGTGCGCAGATTGATGTTGAACTGGATGAAGGTGTAGTTAGATTCCCATGCTCCTGATTGGGGATGTATGGTTCCCTTGCCATATTCTTCAAAAACTGCTTGTTGATGCTCGATGGATATTTGTACACCCAGGATGAATATGTCAGCATGAATGGATAGTACTGAATGAAGCGCAGTTGACCTGCGGATCGGTTTTTGTCAAAGCTGGAGAGGTGTCCGTTTCGGTTCAGTTGCTCGTGTTTGAAGTTTGCGACCTTTTCACCCCTTCCAGTCCCAACTCGGCTAATCCCGCAGATAACTCTAACCGCCGTCGTCAGCACGTTTGTCACTCAAAAGAAAACCATCCTACACGGGCTAAAGCATCCATCATCTGTCACCTCCTTCATCTCTTTCATTCTCTCTTTCCCCCTCTCCGCCTCATTCCCCCTACCTCATCCTTAGAGCACTCTCATCTTACCATCCTCTTCGCATAGATCCCTCTTTTCATCTCTTTCTTCAGCCAGTCCTGCTCGTCCTGAAGCACATATTTATTTATTTCTCAGCACCGTGGACGTACCCAACTGCCAATACCTCCCCCTTCGAGTTCCCGCTCGATATTAATATACCCCTGAAAAGAGACATCACACGCCCACCTTCAGTAATACGCTCTTTATAAAAAGAACATTTCGCCTATATTACGACCACATACCCCCGAGGGACCCTGTACAGAACACAAAAACCGCCATAAAACAGAGAAAACGATAACACATCATCCCAAAGAACTACCCAACCTCCCCTGAAGACATGTCCACAGGTCTGACCCTCTCAACGTCCATCATGATTTCGCCACAATCCTCAGGTCTCCAATCCTCTTCAGCAGCAGCAGCGGCCGCAGCCGCAGCCGCAGCAGGCTCCTCAGGAAATGTCAACTACTCTATACCGAATTATCAAGTCCAGCAGGATCAGGTCCCGATCCTGGTCTCAAAACGAAGCGCAACGTGGCGGTATCTCCAGCGGGTGCATCAAGGAGGTATGGTCCTGTATAATACCGCAATGTTGTCAGAGATGGATCTGAGGCGCGGTTATGCGGACGATAAGATTCAACGGAGGTAAGCTAAATAAAATATAATTTCGTTGCCAGGTGGGGCGGTGAGAGTCGTTTCATGTGTGCGTTAATTGGAGAGATAGACCGTTAGTGGCGGGTTGAGATGAACACTCTCTAACATGAATCTTTTTTTTTTTTTTTTTTTTTTCCATGAAAAAAATATATGCGTTCCTCCTAGGGCATTACAATACTTCTTACTGGGAACATCGCTGGCGACAGTTCTCGAAATCCCGAACGTATCGGATTGTCTGAGGGCAATTTACGTCGTTGTTCAGGAATATGAGTATTTCACCGCAGAGTCCCGGTCGAAAATGGTAAATGAAGACAGCCAAAGAGAGAGAGAGAGAAAAAAAAAATTGGTGGCGTCTTTTTTCTATTTCTGCCCATGCATGCTCAGTTTGACACACGTGTATTGTGTATTGTAAAGTCTCATCAGTCTGTCCTACTCTTACTTTTTGGTTTTTCAACAGATGTTCTTCAAATCCACGGGTCGGAAGGCGTTGTTGGACACAAAATCGTCCGAGGAGACGGGCGAATACACTTTACTGGAAGTCCGGCAACTGGTATGGAGCATGCCATGTCGACGACTTGTTTTTGTTCTTTTTTTTTATGTATATTTTCGAAAATGATATGGAACATTCGATTTCGAAACTTTCTGATGCGACAATGATAGCCCTTCAGTCTGGACTATGTCATCACGTTCGCATCCCTCTGCGATGTGATCGCACAGGTGTACGAGAAACTCGGCTCAGAGGAACGGATGTGGACATTGACCAATACGGAGATGTTCCAAAAGATCGATAATCGCTTCAAGGTATAATGACATCCTTTTTTTTTTTTTTTTTTTTGGCAAGATCTAACAGAGTTGCGGAGAAAATTCTAAAACGAACATTCGATATCTTTCTTTATTTCTGAACTGTATTTGGGTTTCCCAGAAAATATTGATGGTAGTATCCAAGGAACTAGAGACGATGGCGAGGGATGTCCTGGTCGACGAATTGAACGCCATGGATCCATTAGGCACAGCGAACGATCATGATTGGGACCTCTGAAACATTGTTCATTAATGTACGACCAAATAAAATGTTGCCGGTATAACGGATAAATATCATTACGGACCAAATCCTAGAATGGACTGGAGGGGAATAAGCATGGGTGCAAAGATAATTGCATCGTGCTCTCAGGACGAGACATTCATTATGGATAGTTTTTTTTTTTAATCCCCACACAGGTCAATAAAAAAAAGTCTATGGTAGTCGAAAAATGGTATATTTTTGTATGCTAGCTTGTATGATGGCGGAGAGCCGCAGCTGTCCGCCTCCTCTATCTCTGTGGAACCTCAGCGACGCGTCTGAATAGGTAACGGTGCTGTGACTTTGGCAACGAGGGGCAGATGTCGATCACTGATTAGGGTTCTGCTGAGGGACGGGTTACGCGAAGGGATCATGTGTCGGCGGGGGAATCGCGATGTTCCCCATATTAGAAGTGTTATCTTTCGTGCTGGGTGGGAGTGTAAATGATGATGAAGTAGCACGGTTGTGGGCGTGAATAGGTGATAGAGGCGGTGGGAGGTATCCTGTACCAGCGTTCGGACTTGACTGACCGCCCATCCCTGCTGCTACTCCAGCACCTGAAATCGGTACAGTGGAAGAGAACTTGGGTGTGCCCAGAAAACCGCCTAAACTACTCGTCTCAGAATACACCATGTTCGGTGAATGTTGAAGCGGCACTGGCTGATGGTCGAGATAGACGGGTTGGACAGCAATAGTACCATCGGGGAGCTGCTGCATCAGGTACTGTACGCCTCCGGATGACTCTGGTGGGCTTGTGTATTTCAGGCCCTGGCTTGTTGGGGTCAATGTCTCAACACCTGCTTGATCGTATTGTCTCATCCCAGGAGTGTTGGCCACAGTACTGTCGGCCCCGTTCAGTGGTCTCGTGGATCCCGAACGCGGAGATGCGGACGAAGCCGCATATGGATTGTTGCGATAGCTCCGATGGCCATCCCGCAGACGACCACGGCTGCTATCACGGTGCAGTTCATCATCGGCTTCGCCATCAGACCCCAAGGATGTCACATAGGCCGTCTTCTCCATCTCTGCCTCCCGGATCTCTATTCGTCTCTGTCGTTTCCTATAGACGACCACAGCAATGATCGATCCCACCACGGCAATGGCTCCAACAATGATACCAACCAATGCGCCCGTTGACAACCCTGAGGAACTATCCGTACCTCCGAACCCAACGCCTCCGGGAAGAGGTTTCGAGATTGGGGTTAAATCCTCCTTTGGGGTATAAGTCGTCATCCAGGCGGTCTTAATTACATCATAGACTTGAATATCCTTGAGGTATCCGATTTCAGTTGTGCTCCCTGACGCGCTGGCACGACCGCCGTACACGATCATGTTGGCTCCGACAAGGTTGCAGTTATGTCCGTACCGTGGCCGGGTGGGGTTTATGGTGATAATCTGCTGCCACGTCGCAGTGACGAGGTCCAGGGACCAGATGTCATCGAATGTAGATTTTGTATTGGCGTCATAGCCCCCAAAGATAATGATTTTCTGGCTAGAGGCTAAGAAGAAGGTGATGGCAATAGAAATAGACAGGGAGTTGCATTTTTGTCAGTCTTTTGTGGTAATTCTTCAAACGTGTGGACAGGTAGCTTTATGGTTATTCGGGTCTTACTGAGAACACTGCAGTGCTCTTGCCGGGGCGCAGGAACCGGCCCTAATGTCAGCTTTAATATAATAAAATAAGAAGTAGAGTCAGGATTCACGTAGGCATCCTCTCACCCAACATTGCCGTCCCATCACTCAGCTGTTATTTACCATTGTTCCGATGGTGGGTGTTGCGGTTGAGATATCGATCCACGGCACAGCCTGGAAGGACTGATAACTCCTTGATCCACTTCCGGACGTGAACCCTCCAAAGAGATAGATCCGACTGCCGTAAATATGGGATGTTCCTGAACTGAATTTGTTCATCACCGCCACAGATCCCGTGGCTCCTTCGTTCACACTCGTCGCTGCAATGTTGGCATTCCACGATCCGTTCTGGTACCTGTCAATCTCATTGATATCGATTCCACCGGGTAGAGCCCCGCCCAGGTACCAGATGGCACCTGTGGCGGGATCGGTCAACAGCTGGGCCTCTTTGCGGCTGGTCCATATTGCTGCCTGGCTATTTTGGTGCAGAAATAACCCCGGTGGGAAGGTGAGTGAGCAAGTGATACGCCTGGGGCGATGGTGACATGGTCGAGGGATCGAGAGGTCGAGGGAGAGGAATATTGAAAGCTTAAGAGAGACTATAAAAAAAATAGTATCCAGGTAGTCTTTGCCATCCTGGTTACTTTGAGCTGGTTTATTCTTAGGAAAATGAGTCCCCTATCGCCTGCAACCCACTCGTCCTATCCGTCTCTCTTTTTTTAAAACCCTTAGCGTGTGTGTCTGTTGCGAGGTTTTGTCATGGATGGAACTTGAGAGCAAATGGTCTCTCTCCACAGTGGACTGTATAGCGACGTGAAAGCAGGTGAGGAACGATGATATTGGATGCCAGATGCTGTTGTATTGCACCTAAAGTCACCCACCGCGTCTCAGATCGCCATCTTTTAACCTTAAAATAGCGTTGAGCCAAACACCGCGCTGTCACCCACGCTTTTCGTCATTAGCATGGTTGAACAAAGCTGCGAATCTTGCAAGTCTCCGCAAAATTCGACTAGCGTGAAAGGGGTGTGCAAATAGAAACGGAAAAAAGGCCCAGACATGTTGAAAAAAATAAAAAATAAAATCGAGCGACTAAGTTACATCGACTCGCAATTGCTTTGTCACTCCCCAGGGACGAAAGATCTGCGAACATCAGGAATTAACTGGCTCCGAGGGCTCCGGGCTCTCAGCACAACATTAGAAAATGAGGAAGGAGGATCTGAATAGGGGTGGAGTGGGGTGGGGTGGGATGTAGGAGTAACCTTAATCATTCAACAACAACAGTAAACGCAAACAACAACAAAAAAATGCCGCGAGCTCACTTACGCTGACGGTGCATTCTCCGTGGACCATGTCGCCGTCTTGACGTTGTACTCGTACAAGAACGGATTCTCCAACTCCCCCGTAGGTGCTGTCAAATACAGGGTATTCAGATCCTTGGACATCGTGGCCGAATGGCTGGAAACCTTTGGTCCCCCTGCGCCCGAGGTTGGGGTTGTCAGATTGCTCCAAGCAGGATTCGAAATAGGCCACGATACTGTGACATCGAGCGAGAGCAGTTCGTTTGAGTACTGCACCGTCGCGGTGTTGAGCTGTCCACCCTGGTAAAAGATGCGTCCGTTGCCTGTTGCGGAGGCAACGCCAATAAAGGCATTCGGTGCACCGTTGGTATACTGTGCTGGTGGCGCTGAAGTCGATGTGGGTGTTGTGGTCGAGGTCGTTGTTGTAGCATTGGGTTGTTGTTGTGCGTGTGTGGGGGTTGAGAGCGCAAGTGACAGAACAAATGCTGCCGCAACATGCTCTGTCGTGCGAGGCCTCTTTGTCATCTGTGTTTATTGTTTATTAATGTTACGTTGCTTTGTTGAAAAAATAGAGGTGAAAGAGGAGATGAACAGAGGGATGAAAAACTCTGGCTTCCAGTGTGCAACTAAGGGAATAACGATCTTAGGAAGAACTAATGTCGGGATGTATGATGTCAACAACTGAGGGCACGGTTAGAGGGGGGGATGTACAGCAGGAGTAGTGGGGAAGTCAGGGGAAAGGAAGGGGAAGAGGAGGTGGAAGTGGAGAGGGGTAAAGGTATGCGAGTATTGTTTTGGCTAAGAGATTATCAGGTTGTATTGTTAGAGGGCGAAAGTGTCAAATGTGAAGACCGGAAGTATTATTCAGAGACATCAATAGGGAGGGAGGCAAAATTAGTTTCGTTCCTGAATCAGAAGGAGGAGACCAGCACGACCAGCGTGTAGAATAAGAGGGAAATGAGAGTGAGAACAAGAATGAGAATGAGAATGAGAATGAGAATGAGAATGAGAATGAGAATGAGAATGAGAATGAGAGAATGAAGAGACAATGGGCGTCTGAACGGCTATCGTTCTCGGGTTTGTGTTCCCACTTTTTCGTTTCGGCTTGCTGCAGCCTCTGCTCTCATATCGTGGCTACTGGCTCCTCTTTTCTGGATGTCTAAGTAGGACTATGATGTATTTCGCAGCGACAATCATAGTCTAGGGAGGGTGGAGGGGACTGAATCTTCTGTTGCTTTTTTCCACGGAAATCACGCTAGGGGGACGAAGGTTTGGTTGTTCCTGTGAAGGTTTTGTCAATCGTAGAACATTCAGGTACAACCCTCAATTATTAAGGAGGATGAGCAAAACGGGCAATTGGCAATCGGATTCAAGGCGTACATTCGTAGCCCAAAAACATAGACATGACAAGCTGAGTGCTAATGATGTTCATATATTGTTAGTTCAGGGGCAATTGCTATCAATCTATCTATCCTTCTGCCTATGAATCACCCATGCCAAAACGGATCGTAAACTACGACGCAACGGCTAAAGGAACCAGGAAGTGAGAAAGAGTATTTTTTTTTTTTTTTCCTGCAACGCCAGCTAGTCTATCATAAATAATCATTCTCCATTCCTTGGGCAAAAGAACCTCAAGTTTACCGAGCTACATGTATCATACGATGTTGAGATTGTCGCATTTTTTTTACAAGACTAGTAAGCGATTTTGTGCCTGTGGTTTGCCTTCGACCATTGATCGCTCCTTGGATGTAGGCAGATTATTTGATTATAGCAAATACACTAGCTACATGCACAACAGTTGCTTGACCGGGATTTTTTTCGGCAGTACAAAAAGAACAAAAAAACACTGTTTGAGTGGGTTGTGCGTATAGACTATTGTGGATGCCCGATTGACATCATGAGCAATTGTGCTGCAGGTGTAATCTACCGTTGCTGAACCTGCATGCAACGCTGCATGAAGTCATTACTGGAGATGACATGTATACAGATGCGCCTGGTTTTCTCGCCAATTTGTCCGCAAGTATCTGGCGCAACAATAGCCAACAACAACGTGGAAGTGGATGCAGATGGAATGCATGCATACACGCATCTCTCTTCAGTCCAGACAGCCAGCCTAACGTAGTCTAATTTATGTTTTTTGTTGTCCTGTTCCGGACAAGACTAGCGGATCTTTGTGCAACCATAACTCAACGTGCAATTGATATTACCCACATGTCGACAAGTCAATAAGTGTGCGCTATACAACCAAGTAGCCCTTTCAACTGATAGCTCTTACGGTGTATTGTCCACAGCTCTCATCGCCAGTTCGTCTCCTCACCAGAACATATATTGCAATTATAGCTCAAGAGCTATCTCAGCGCTCATAAAGAGTTACCACGAAAACAGAGCTGGAGCGGTAAGTATCCTAAAGGTCGCGCAGATCATATCGACAAATTATTTATGGCTACTAGGGATTCTTCTCCAGGATTCCCATGCGGAGCAGTCGGACGTAAGACCAGCGCGCCTCTTATCCTCAACTTGGGAATAGATATCATGTCGTAACAATGAAATCGGCTTTAATTGCGGCGTTTGACTGTGAGCGAATTTTTTATTTGGGACAACAGCCGTTGTAAGTAGTGGTGGGTATGCTCTGCGACGCGACCTTGTCAGTTGCTGCCGTCTGCTCAGCCTACTGGAGGATGCATTATGTTTTTTTACATGCATCGAATGGGTCACTCTATCCAACATGTGTTCCACAGTATCCAGGGGCGATAAGGGTAACATGCATCCGACAAAGTCGATCGCACTTGGATATGGACGGAGAAGTTTGCGAGCGGAGTCCAACCGGAGTGACGGAATCGATCAAGTATTGGTATATATTGGTATAAAAATAAAATGAACACATCTGGCGTGTGCGCGCTGGCTGGCTAGGCTTGGCACAGGATGCGCACATGCCTCCGTCCTTGCAGTGTCCTTCTCTCGGTAGTATTTCAGCCGACCTTTATGCATTCCCCCTTTCTTCATTCTCATTCTCATCCTCATCTTCATTCCCATTTGTATTCTCATCTTCTCTTTGCATCTTCATACTACCGCGATACCTCTTACTCGACTCTCGTATATCCATCGATCTATCAGCCAGTCCTTATCATAGTCATTAGATATCATGGGTATCGTGTCTTTGGTACGATCCACATGGGCAATTGCCTATGCTGCATCTACCGTGTCAGTTCTAATTTTGACAGGGGTCGCCATCACCGGGCTACCCACGAAGAACCGCACCGCCAATGTGGTTCTCTCCTTGCTCAACAATCATATGTCTGAATTGCCATTAACGGTTGTGTTGATGGATGCGTTCTTCTATTTCTGGCTGGGCATTACTGGTACAACTCGTACGTTTTATTTCTCGGTTGTTGCATCGTGGATATCATGGAATTGAGTGAATGGACCCTGCTCTAACCTTGATTGCAAATGTAGGTCAATCGGCGATGGTGCGATTTTTCAATTATGTCAACCTGATCTCGGCGGTTGGGCTCCTGTACCTGTTCAAGCGTTCGTTCGACGCCAAAGGCGCCGTAGAAAAATTCTTGGATCAGCATTCAAAAGAGAGCAAGAGTCGTATTGATCTCCCAGGACCTAGCTCGTAAGAATACGCCAATGGATAACTGAATTTCCCATTGGTTGGATGTTATATCGAGTACTGATCCCCTGAGCCCAAATCCACTTTGCGTAATAGGCCAAGGTTCTGGAAGCAGCTCCTGAACCCGCTTCATTCACCTCAGAACTGCACCGTCTATGAAAACAGTAAGCTGAAACTGAAGACTTGACACTATTGGCGAATCGACAGGGATGTGCTTATATTTCTGACCGGTTTTGATTTGTGAATTTTTAGTTCCTTACTGGGTGCCCAATGAGCAAGTCGCTATTTTGCGATCGGATGGTTGGAAGGCTGTACTGGAGATGGCATTGGATGTCTATAAACCGAACAAAGTACAAGGAGGCGACGATAGACCCGTTTTTGTAAGACCTTCTCATTTATGTGCTGGCAATTCGGATAGCTGACTAGAAGCGACTCGCGTGCCTAACGCTCGTATTTCTGTAACTCTGTCATAGATATATATTCACGGCGGCGGATGGACAAGCGGTAGCAAGTCGCTTACGGGACCCCTTCTTACAGAACTGATTGCACGCGAGTGGATTGTAGTTGCGATCGATTATCGTCTCACTGCGAAAGCTGGATACCCAACGCAGTTGATTGACTGTAAGCGTGCGCTTCGCTGGGTCAAAGATGAGATCCGAATCTTTGGTGGCGACCCGAAAAATATTATTCTGGGCGGAGATTCCTCGGGCGGACATTTGGCGGCGCTCATGGCATTGACACCCAATCTGCCTGAATTTCAGCCTGGATTTGAGAATGTGGATACGACTGTCCAGGGATGTGTTCCTCAAAGTGCGGCTTTGGATTTGACGGATTTGAAGAACCAGAACTATTCTGGTTCTAGAGGACGATTCATCAAACAGGTTGCGCATCGTGAAGGATCTGCAGAGTCACCAGAAAGTAAGTGTGAAATCCTTGAGTCTGTTGCCACTTATCTTGAAGTAGATCACCATACAACGTATGTTTTCTAACTACTCCTTCTTTCCGTGCATTGCTCGGACAATAGACATGAAGTTCTTGACAGAGCACTCGCCTATTTTCAGAGTGCAAGATTCAAAGGTTCCATTCCTGGTTGTGCAGTAAGTACTTGATTGCACGACTCGGCTCGTTCTGGATCTGATAATGACTAGAACGCGCTACTTTACTTTTAACGATCATACTAATCATCAATGACTATCTCTAGTGGGGATCTTGATAATATGTCGCCAGTACAATCTGCACGCGACTTTGTCCACGAGTTTCAAAAAAGTAAGGCTCCCGCGATTCACATTACTGAATGCGCAGTCTAAATGAAATATAGTCTTGTATATTGACCAGTCTCGATATTCGGTGTATAGAATCGGACGTGTCGCTCAACTACCTCGAGGTACCGGGCGGTCATCACTGCTTCCAAGTGTTCTCCTCGCCTAGGAGCTGGTACACTGTCATTGCCAGTGCAGAGTGGTTGACGTTCAACTTCGATCGAAAGACCAAGGAATCGTCCGCCAGGAAGAAGGTTCAAATTCATGAACTTGTGGAATGGGATTGGTCTCTTTAGTAAGCACATTTCCGTTACACAGCAACAAACACTTGAGATAAAATATGTCTGTTGCCGCGAGCGCCTGTCTCACGGTCTGTCGACTTTATAATCGAACGCACATGCAGATTTATGTGTAACTCGAGTTGACAATCTGAATCAGCATCACCTGCTCCTGTCAGGACCCGGATGTGTATTCATGTGGGTTGCGTATCACACGGTCGGGATAGTCTGAGGAAAACGAGCCCGAAGTCGACTGTAATTATTATATAAAGACCCGCGATAATCCCTTGGAGTAACTTATTTACTCAACAGCAACTGCCCACAATAACAACGATAGCAATAACAAAGGATCGACCAATATGCCAAAGATGCCAACTCTCGACTCAATTATGGGGGCACCGTCGTCAAAAGAGAATATGCGCCTCTCGATTCAAGTCCATGCTGACTCGTTTATCAATATCGGCTTCAAACCAATGCCAGTCTTTTACGGTACTCTCGAGCGCCCTATTGTCATCCGCGCGACAGTGACGCTGGAGACAGATGTAGAATGTATCGGAAACATTGTCGAGATCAACTACAAGGCACAAGCATCTTACCGGGCACCTAGTACGAGTCTTTTAGTTCCGATTGCAGTTGTGTTATGAAGCAAGAGCCTAAAGGCTAATGTCTGCAGCAAATCTTTATAACTAGTCCGAACTTGCTACACCGTCTATGTCGACAGTGATCAATTTATGGAAAGGAGGCGCTGGAATACCGACTTGAAGCACCCAAAAGAAGGAAGAGTGGCTGCAGGAAAGTACAGCAGGCTCGTCGGGTCCACGATCGATCCGCTCTGGCCATCCTCAGCAAGGACAACACAACACAATGAGGGCTACGGCTGGGTCAAGTACAGCTTTGAGGCGACATTCAGCAAATACACCATGGGCGCTCTTGCACCAATTTTGACGGATACTCAGGAGGTCTGGGTCCTCAACTCAGCGCTCCTTCCTGATACACAATTGAGAATCGAGCGACCATTCGTCAATCAGAATACCTGGGATGGAATGAAAAGCAAGTCTTCACCTCTTAAGCTGACATTGCCTTCGTCGACCTTGATGATGGGCCAAGTCGTGCCTGTGACCGTTCGCATGAGCGAATTGAAGTTTAAGAGCAAGTACGTAGGGCAACTGCCTGTCGTGCTGGCAGCATATTTTGCATTGAAGCAGAACGTTGTGGGACGAGCGACCGCGCACTCCATTATCTGGAAGTACTCAGAGGATGTAATGACGCTACCGATGAAGGATGGATGGCCCCGCTCTACAGATGGCTGGGAAAGAACGGTGCATTTGACTATGCCGACCAGCCCAGATGTGGCAGCGGACACCAAGTCAAAGTTCATGGATATCTCGCACTCGTTGAAGTTAGTGATGAAGATAAAGGCTGAGAGGCAGAACGACCTCCAGGCAAAGGAATATTTAACCAAAGGTACTAGTGATCCTGAAATTTCTTTGGGTCTGAAGTATGAAGAACGTAATATCGACACCTTGTATTTGTTGCTTTTTCAAAATAGTGGACGTCCAGATTTTAGTACCACGATATACTCCCGGAGGAAGCGAGGATGTCCTACCAGTCTATTCATTGTCCAGCGAAGGCATATCTGGCTCCCCAGCGTGTGAAAGAGTTTAAGCTAACGAGATCAAGACCTAGTTTCCTCTCTATTCGTTTATTAAACCTACAGTTGTGTGCTGTTTTGAAATGCACACTCTTTGTACCTATTTCACTATAAAATTTCGAAATGACAGTTCGACTCCAATGTTATCATCCTAATAAACAGGCCTTGGATGCGCCGTTGCTTTTGTCTTCTTGTCGGCTCATTTTCCTTATTCCGCTTTTACCTCGCCGTGGGGTAACGGCACAGTTTCCACTTTATAGGCTCACCGCTCGACTCTGAGACTAATGGTCTAAAAAATCGAGATGAAATGCAACAACAACAAAGATAACCCCCACTCTTTAGTTGCAGAACTCCCAATATAGGAAGGATATTTCATTGGATAAGATGGTTAGGGACATCTCACCATTTACGATCCAAGTGCGCGAGATAAATCCATCGAGGTGGCCGGCTGGCGTCTATCTTGTTTTACAAAACACCACCGACCCCCATCAGCATCCAGAAAACTATCACCTCTGATGCAGAAAGACATTACAAGACTGATAATGCAGAGATCTCTTTCAAGTCTCCGGCGCTCACTGCCATCGAGCCTATGCGTAAACAAGAGGGGAATCTACATTTACAATTTTCTAGAGACCACATACGGTGTCAACGTGAGCAACATAGATAAAGTAGTTCTTTTTCCTCTTCTACCGGCCACATCTTACAGTAGAGGATACCTCATCCGTATGCATCATTCTAATCGTTGGACTAAAATCGGAACAGGTCTACGCCAAAAGCTACCAGCAATTCCCGGTCCTCCATCCTGAACCTGGCGTCATTGTCGAAAGTCACTACGCAACTACGTTCACAGCGACGATCGATCCGTCCCTCCTTTCTTCGACTATTCACAGGCGCTCTTGGGTCAAACACGGCTTTGGAGTTTCAACGTCCAGTGAGCACACAACCGGGCAGCCGCTCAGGGTGGAAGGCCATGGGAGAAATAATTTTCCCCCAGTATCCGTCTCTATGGTCTTCGATACTGTTACGCTTGGACAGGTTATACCATTGATCATTCGGCTAGGTCCCTATGTAAAGGGTAGCAAGTATGAGGACCAGGAAGTCATGATTTTGGGAGCGCAGTTTACGTTAATGGAGATTCGACGGATTTGGGGTAAGGAGAGTCATAGCAAGACGCCAGTTAGGTCAAAGAGGTCTTGAGTGTTTTCCTGAGGAGCGGATGACCGGTCTCGAAAGATGGATGGGAGAGAGCGATCAGTTTGATGATGTCGACGTCGCCAGGGTTGTCACCAAGCATGAAATCAGGATACTTTGATTCGAACACTGGATAGTGGTCATGGTGAAGACCAAGGCCAGCGGTGGGTGGTTCTTCAGAGAGGCTGATGAATACATGCTACAGGATAGGATTATGGAATGCAGGAAAAAAAGAAAATACATTGTATTTTAAAGAGGTAATTGATCCTTGATTCTTTGTTGTTTACTGCATGTAGCGAACGTCAAGGTGGTTGCTCCAAGAGTAGAATTGCCGGACGTAACAGCGGCCCGCCCTTGCACAATGGAGACGAAGGACAGTCTAGTCGTGAAAATGCAGCTGCCAAACTATACCCCGCACCCAGAATGAGTCGAGAACCTGCTAGTCGGTAAAGCGTAGTACACTTCAGTCCTGTCCACTTTAGGTAGTGAAGCACATCATTGACGGGAGTGAGCCAAATTATAATAAATGCATAGTCGCACAAAAGAAATAAGGAATGTTCGCTTGCGGAAGTCGCTATCATCACGAGCGATGAGGATTTTTTTTTTCTTTTTTTTTTTGGACCGCTTGCATCCTACGTAGGAGGGCTCATACGTGGGGATGAGCACCGCAGCAGAGTAAAGGTGAATATTTACCAGCAACAACAACATCAGCCATCCCATCCGTGGGGCAACCTCCACTCCTTTCCCTTCGCATCGCTTCTTTCTTCTATTCCGATCATTAAAAGGGTTGGCATCGTTCTTTAAATAGTGTGACACAAATTGAGTTTGTTCGTTTAAAGACCGGGAAAGACTGCAGTTTGAGCAACTTGTAAATTTTTCGCGCTGATGACCACGACCTTATTTTTTTGAGCAAAGCAGCAGCGGTGTAGTACCCAAGGTTCCCTTCAATACGCCTACTGCATTGAACTCCATCACCATTATCTATATCCACAAGTACCTGAACGAATAATCGAAGTTTCATTCCCAGGGCTGATTCTGCGTTCAAGGTCTCCCTAGGATTTCGGGGGTTCAGCTGCCTCCTTCCTCCTCCTCCTCCTCCTCCTCCTCCTCTTTCCTTCATTGCCAAACGTCATTTCTGCGTGACAAAAAACGGGAAGCTCATGCAGCATGATGGTACTTTTTTTTAATCCGCGTTTTGCGCTTCCATCGATTATACTGATCATACTGATCATACTGATCATACTGGGCACAAACTATCGCTCTACATCGCGACGTTCACAAATCCCAAGTTTTTCTTTTTAGCTGTAGTGCCAGCATCAAGGGCTACGAAGCTTTGTGAGGGTTGATTTCGAGAAGAACTAACCATGATATGAGCCGAAAAGTCTGAGAACTCTGTCCATTGTACATTAGATAGATAGAGTCTCAAACAACATAGGTATAAACCAGTAATATAATGAAAAGCTGTCCCAGCGACTCCAAGTTGCGACAGAAGGCTCTGAAACGGAATCTGATCTGGCAAACGCTACAATAAATTTAACGTATCATAAAACGATAATTCGTTTGCAGAACCCCAGACATAAGACACTACCGCTTCAAGTGCGATACTTGTAAATGCGTCTCAAGCGAATAGAATGCTACACATATCGTTTACGATCCCAAGAGAGCATGTAAGTAATTGCTCCTGTTATCAAGTCGACAGTTATTGCCCCACAAAACAGTAAACAGAGGAAAGGACAACGCGAGGGGCGTTTTCATTTAACCGCAAGATGTTCGTCATATTCGTTTACAACCTGATGAGTTTAACGAAAAACAAAAAAGAAAAAAATCATCAACAGATCCTTTCAAAATCAACAAAGATACCTATCGATCCTCAAGAAGCAGAAAGACGGACAGTAAGGCGTCCTCAAATGCTGTCTTAATCATGAATGTGTGCATGCGTCCTAAGCAAAGCGAAAGGCCCGCTATCTAGGCATCAATGGGAAATCGGCCATTTTCGCGTGGAAGGGTAAACTTACGCGGGCTCTTGTACCTGCGGAGTACATTCATGGTTCCACCACAAAACAAACATGTCAATGAACGATGTTGCAACAAACAGAAACATAAAGAGTGATGGCTGAATCGGATGGCGAACTTGCAGCGTTAGCGGGAAGAGTTGACACTTCCTTACCTGTCTTTCTTTTTTCTTTTTTCTTTTTTCTTTCGAAAGCTGTGCTGAAGATACATGGAGCGCCGTACGTTTGTGCTGGCAACCGTCTTTATTGCGATTACAGCTGCTGTACGATATATGTCTCAGGGACGGATGGACGCTGTTGTTAAACGACCAGCAATAGTGTTGTTGTTAAACGACCAGCAATGGCGTTGTTGTTAAGTGACCAGCAATGGCATTGCTGTCGCTACGCGAATCTACCTGTCTAGAACGTGCAGGATTGAGTTCCACAAAATGTAATACGACCAACTTTGCGAGATGATCTTCGCACTGCGGTCAACGTTGCGACTTGACAAAGTATGATAAATGAGGGTAATAAATGGACTGGAGGTTCACGTCACTACGTCGGTAGGCCATGCTGAAGTTTTGCTTTGCGCACACACACACCCCCTTGATGATCGTCCTTGCGCTTCACCGCTCACACCGGTAACATCTGCTTTTACTTGAGAGGAGCTGTCCTGGCAATATAGCGGCGTCATGGATAGTAATGGGGACGTTTGATACGCTTGACGATTTCGTCCGTTGTTCTAATCAATTCGTATATTAGGACGAAAGACAACAATCTCTGCAGACCTGTAGAGTTGAAAGTTGTTGCTTTCCGTGATTGGAAAGCCTTTACAGCAATGAACCTTATGAAGAGAATTACAAAGCGAAACGCTCCTTGTCAGCGATACGTGTAACTTATTTTCTTCAAGCCCAGAAAAAGGGCATGGACCACAAAGACTGTAGCATGAGCAAGGTATGTTTTTGGGATGTTTTACTTATCGACAACAGGGGTAAATGATGCAGAGTCCCTAAAACTTCGTCAGATCTGTTTGAAGTTACAAAAAACGAAGGCAATGCTGGCTGAGGCAAAGAGCATTGGCATATAAAAATAAACAGCTATCCTCTAATGGGGTTTGGTGCCTTTTTCCGCAACCTTGCCATCATCAAAGTCGCATAGAGTGAGGGTTTCACGTCTGCCGTATTATACTCGGAAAACTTGTGCTTCAATAAAGGGCAATAGGAAACGATAAAGCACAGAAAACCTAGGAGTAGGCCGAAACGGGCACACCTATTCGATACTACAGAAAAATGAAAAAATAGCCTGGCTAAAGTCAGAATCAGCAATGAAGGTTATGTTCTACGTTTGGATCATGGTATGGTCAGCCGAAGGATGGATGGTGACTCTGCAAGGCGTATACTCAAGACATAAGGCAATACTCTCAGCGCGGAGCGGCATCCACTGTTTTTTTCCTGTAGCAGTGTATTTTGGTGTCGAAGAGGCCATTACGAACTTTGCGGAACAATACAAAGCACAAGAGTCCTTTTTTTTTTTTTTTTTTTTTTTTTTTTTTGGCAGGGATGGTATAAAAAACTCACGGGTATTTGCTGTGGACTACAGGGCCGGATGGGATTGTGGAAATACGATAATAGGCATATTGGCAGTTGCGAGTTGACCAAGCAACGGAGAGCGGTGCAGCTTACTGACCGACCCTTGCTTTGTTTTCAATGGCTGAACTACAGCAGATCTCTCTAATGTCTGCTTTGTAGAGAGATATCGGACACCTTCGCTTTCTATTGTCCGGAGCAACATAATACCCCATAATTGTAAGTCTATGGAACCTGGCGAGGAGGAAGAACAAGGCAATACCACCCTGACGACGAGGATAAGGATGAAGTGAGTAACAGATGGAACTGAACGAAAGCGAAGAATGATTTACGCTCAAAAACACTTTGAGGAGGAGCAATTGCACGCGTTCTTGACCCATCAATATTGACAGAAAGAGAGGGAGAAAGAGTCGAGGAAGGCAATGGTGTGAGTGGCGTAGTGGGACGGGGTGAGAGGATTGGTATAAAATGAACTTTGGCTGCGAAAATATTTTTTCTTTCCTCTCTCGTCTTCCTTATTCTTCACTCTATCCCTCGTATCGCACCTCCGTATGTATTAAATTTCACCCTTTTTTTTGTTGGTGCTCTCGACTGACTGGACTCAACATTGAGCGACACTCTGTCCCTCTGCGCGCATGGTAATGAATGAGTGATACTAATGAATACCTAAACTATATACTCTTTACTCATTGCTTATTATATTTAGACGTGTTTGGCCATCGTAACAGCTATCCCCCTCACATACGTACAGTTCATAAAACGGCGCACAGGGTAAGAAAGACAAAGCAGCATTGTTTATTATCTATCTGAACCATTGTTGATTACAGAAAATAAAGCCTTGCTAAGCAAAAGAAAATAATCATCCGCGGTCGCATATGTTCCTGACCGACCCTATTACTTCGTAACTTCTAGTGTCGGTTAGAGTAAGGATCCAACAGCCAAATCTCCGGGGGAATCAGCTGTATAGGGTTGTCTTGAGCTATGCATGCGTACATATGAAGTCGGGGGATTTCGACAGCTGAAGCAAGTAGTAGTGCTGGTCAAGCCTAGTGTCTCGACATACAGCGACCGCTCATTTTTTTATAATGATTATGGGACTGAGGAAGCAGCTGTCAGAAACGGAGATGGTGGCGTTGTTAGTTTGAGGTGATGTACGGTCTTTTTGAGTTCTGGAAGCAGTTTGTAAATGGCAAGATGGCCGAAATGGTCAGCTGGCCAAACCAATTCATACTAGATTGAAGGGCTTGTTCGTTTAAAGGGACAAGCTGACTGCGGGCTACCATCCTATTTCTAGGTGCAGCAAGTCGGATAACTCTTTCGGACCGAGTTATCTCGACTGTGTAGCAAGAGATAAAGCTTGAATTCAAGCAACTCTTTCGAAGGATTATTGGACGCAATTTATCTTTCTGGTGGGGCTGGGACATGCCTGAAGGGCGGTGATCAATTTAGGTCTGCTTTGTGGTTTGTGCCCTACGTGCTTAACAAAAGACGAGAGTAGCAGCGGCAGCGAGCTAAGTCAGGAATGAAAAAGAAGGCTCTTGTATAGGACATGTGCGCAGGACATTCCTCTCCCTTGTAATGAAAACAAAATGAGAGGTTGCGAACACCCTTTTTTTTTTGGGTGTCTCTGGGGTCACGGCAGCGATTTTATCAACGATATCGGCTCATACGATTTCATTCAATTCTCGCGCATGTTATTTACTTACAAGACAGAAACAAAAGCGTCGTGTGGGTGGAAATACTGTAATATTGCTGAAGCTCTTCTCCCTCTGGTATATGAAAATAAGACAGAGCAGCTGACGATATAATTTGAAAAGGGTACGTGGGTCGAGCAACTTGTCTTTTTTTTTTCCATACTCCGAAAGACGTACGCGTCTGAAAACAGAAACCTGCCATAGCATACCTTGAGGTTGTTCTTAGTCCTCTAGGGCCATCATTCACCTCAACTACCGAGCATTATCTCCCATCATTCTGTCGCGGAACAGACGGAGGATTGGGCGGGAGCGAGCTTAAGCAATTCTTAACCAGGAGGAGGGCAACAGCGGGCTCTCTCCTTGCTGCAGCGTGGGGTGCAAACGAACCCTCGTAATCTTTTGTGCCCAAAGAGTGAATCAGCTCGTTTAATTTTGGTTTATCGGCGGTTATGGGTTGCCTGGCCGTTCCATCATTTTCATTTACAGCATTAAAAACGACGATGGAATTGAATGACAGGGAGCTGAACGCTAGTCCAACGCGGGTTGGGTTAGGTGAACCGTCGTAGATATTATCGTCATTGGCGACATTCGATCGCCCAGTCAGTTAGCAACGATATCATCATCGGCTTCAGCATCATCATGCCGCGCTCAGCCAGGGCGCGTCCTGTTTTGTTCTTTTTTGCATCGTTCCAATATATTGCAGTCAGTCGAGGGTACACAGCAGAAGGAAGGCTGCGGGAGTGGGATGACTACTCGCTTTCTGAATTTGGTACTTTCTTATATGCCCTCTTTCTAACGCATGTTGATATCCTAATTTCATTAGCACTTTCATACATACATTGCCGAACAGTAATAACACACAGCCCATGCAGTCAGATCATGCCTATCAGCTGCCGGTCAGCAATATCACGTATCACGTCTATAGCCCCGAGGATGAGCGAGCCAAGACCATCTCTCGCCAGGCCTTCCAGCGGACCATGGACACCTATCATGAAAACGAGCACTTGGCTGATCTTTTCCAAGTGGAGCTCGATAAGCGCGAGAGACTAGCCCAGGAACGCAAGGACCGCGAGAAATCACTAAAGGTTCAGAACAAAAAGTCCTCGAAACGTTCCCAGCAGGGTCGCAGTCAAGATCGATCGCAACCTCAGCTGCCAGAGCGCCACTCTCTACGTCGACATCTGCGGAATTCGAGTGCCAATACTAGCAGTAATGGTACTGGTGAAAGGGGCAGAGATACAGCATCAGCCGACGCTTCCTTGGGGGACAGGTCTTTTGGCAGCATGAAGCGCTCAAGGCGGATTTCAGACATAAGCAACAGCGATATTAGCGGCTACGGCGACGACGATATGCGGTTACCAGGACCAGAACCAACGTCGACTCATCTCCAGTCGAGCTCATCATCTCGCCATGGCGGTCTCGCTATTCACCTCGCGCAATCGAACGAGCGTTCCTTGTCCAGCTCTCCAGCCCTTCCTTTCACGCCATCCCCACGGCTTACTCCATCGGATCCACGGAATCAGAACCAGACAGGTGGTGAATCAGGAACAGATCTTTCTAAGCAATCACCGAATGAGCCGGGGCTCAACTCTTCCGCTTCCAGTCTGGCATCGTCTTTTGTTACCGCTTCGGCAATATCTCTGCCAGGACAGATGATTGCTGGACGAAGGAAGCGGAAGCAAGCGATACCCGTTCACCCTTCGGTAGTGGAACGCATTCCCGGCATAACGCTCAGGATCCAACGAGAGAAGCATGGGGACCAACTGCAGGTGGAGATTCTTAAGAACCTGGATGATTACAAGACGCAGCCGGATGGCGACAGCGGCGCGAATTTGGAACTTCAGCAGACGCAGGATATTCGTAAGGTCCAGGAGTCCATTGAGTCAGGTCGTCCAGGATACGCCTTTTTTCCAGTACCTTCATCTGGTTCAGACCTGCAACGGCTGGGCTCTCCGGACATTCCAGAATCTTCAGCGAATCACGGATATGGTAGCCCAGTTATATTGCCCTGGAACCAGTCCCTTTCATCCTCGCTGGCGTCGCTGACATGGGCGAGTTCGAATGCCGTTTCGGTAGAGTCCTTGGTTACGATGAATGATTTGATTGATGCCAGGTCCTTGCCGTTGTCGTGGGAGAACTTTTCGACAAGAGAATGCGTCGTGAACAAGGTGGTCGGTAAGCATGATAAGGACTTAAATATCCTCGAGGGGGTCGTACATGAGGCGATTGCAAGGCAGCAACATACCCTTCAACAGCAACAGCAGCTGCATCAATTAAATCAGGAACGCGACCGTGAGTACAGCCCAGCGTCATCGCATACACAAAGAAGGATTTCGGGGGTATCGAATGGCTTCAGCAATGCAGCCGCAATTTCAGCCGGAACGGCGAGTCATCGAACATCCAAACCTATGGACGCGTCTTCATCAGCCACGAATCGCTCATTGCCAACACGTGCGACCCGAAGCAGGGCGCATGGATCGGAAAGGACTAGTCATGGAGGAGGCAGTAATCTGGTGGCACATGAGGACATCGAGCTCGTGTTAAAGCAAAGGCGCAAGAGAAAGATGGAGGAGAGGAGACGGCTAGGCAGCAAGGCGAGCTCGAGGGAAGACGAGGATGAGGACGACGAGAGGCGTACACCACTGGAGGACGAAGATGATGAAGAGGACGAGGGAAAGAGGCAGATCTTCGGAAGAGATCGAAAGAGGGAGGCTGGGCGCAAGATCCATAGAGACAAGACACAGAAGCCTCGTCCAACAGCGGCGTCGACAAAAGCATTAGCGAGAGCAAAAGTCGCCCCTGCTCGCTATCGCCATGAGCCTGCAGGATCCTGGGATGAGGATTCGTCGAGCGGGGAGGAGAGGGAGGACCATCGCGACACTACTTACGGGAAATCGATCCGCAGGAAACAAACCATGTCTGAGCCCAAGGTTGCAGAACAGATACATATTTCAGCACAGACGACCGCCACGACAACACCAAGCATGGTTTCGAAGACAAAGAAGTCTGTGGAGGAAAAGTCCGTCCCAGTAAACCATATGCGGACGAACCCCAACACGCCTGTTTCGGTAGCTGTATTATCGTCTGATGGTATTCGACGTAACAAGAAGGTCTGGTCGCGAGGCAAGAACACGAGGAAGGAGGACGAGGTTATTGATACAACCAGTGACGACAGCGGTTCTGGAGATGAGGGCATGGATGGGGACAGCAAGATGACGCTTGACAAGTTTGAGTCTCGTTCGACATCGCTTGAGGCACTGAATACGAACAGAAGGATATCTGTGGCTGCTACAATTCCGGTCACCAAGGCCTCACATCACACTACCAAGGCAGGGGTGACAAACCCATCCGCATCCAGCACTAATGCCTCGACCTCCTCGTCATTGCCGAGCGCTAGAGCTGGCCCCCAAGGGAGCACGAGCGACATGAATGAAGACGGCAAGTTCAGCAGCGGCAACAATGCCCCTCATCAGGAGTCTGGCGGTCGAACTCGTGCACGGGCCAGGTCGTTTTCGAGCACGATTGTGACCACTGACAAAACCAACTTTTTCGAATCTGCGCTGGACTATATCAGTCAGAAGAGACGTGAGACGCTAGCGAAAAAAAGGGCAGCACGTGCAGACGCCGAGGAGAAAGAGCGACTGGAACAGGAGCAGCTCGAGCAGCGTGAAAAGGAGGAAGAGGGGCGTCAGGAGGCCATAGCCCGACTCGAGCAGCAAGGCAAGGCACAAAAGATTGAAGCTAGCAATCTTCCCAAATCATCAAAGTCGTTGCCTGGGCGTGTCTTACGGAGAAGCAAGGTGGATGGGTCTGCGGTGGAGGACTCTGTTGATCCTGATTGCACCTCTTGTCGATTGGAGCTCTCTGCGGAAGACAAGGCCATGTGGAAGGCTGCACAGGAGACGGGCGAGATCCGGTTGCCGAGGACGTGGGGTACACATGCGATCCTTTGCGCGACATGCAAGCAGCAGTACTTGGATCACCATTCGCGATGCACAGCTTGCTTCTACGTGCCGGTGAGGGAAGAGATGGCCGCGTCAGGCGCCTCCTGCAGTCGATGCAAAGCTGGTACATGGTTAATGGAGGCTGTGCGTGATCCTCCTATTGCTGCTGTCGTGGCCGAGAGGAAGAATAATCGTCATAAGAACATATCCGATGTATCGATGTAGATCTTCTTTCGATTAATTTGCGAAAAAAACGCGTGAACCTTGAACCTTGATAAAGTTTTTGGCGTGTAACCTTCCAACCCCCCTTTTTTCCCCTTCTCTTCGGGGCGCGAACTTGGGAACTGTGCAGTGCACAACAGCATTTGCGACCATAGTCATCTACCACCCGTCAGCACAACCCGACTGAGTTCGGAGATCTCTCGCCGTAGTGCCGAATGGGTCAGAGGTCGAACGCATGCACTTGCCATCAACCCATTCTTCCCCAAACATATACTCCACACCATGCTCCGCCAGATTACTGTCAGGGCAACAACTACTCTTCCCCGAGGTACCGCAACCCTCCCTCCTACCGACTGCAACTCCCCGCACTCCTTCCGATTTCAACATAAATGACCTCGGAATTTATTTCCCCGATCCTGAATCACGGACTCTTTGCACCAGCGCTTGCTGGACCCAATGGAACACTATCACATCAAGATTGACTCGCCCTTTCCTTTCTATCTGGATACCTCCTATCTCTTATTAGTCTCGTCTCGAGTCCTTGCCCCCTCTATGCTCACAATTCCAATGCGTTCGCTCCACGTCTCGTCCGTTACGCCGGCACAGAACACGAACGATTACCGAGCGAATCGGGAAATGTTCCCAGAGGATGATCATTCGACCCGATTCGCGCCCGGTCAGGCACCTAGCACGTTAGACAAGGCGTCCCAGTCTTTGCTGTTGACGGAGCTCGTGCGCGGCATGTGGGTTGTTCTCGAGTCGTTCTTCCGACCCCCTTATACGCTGATGTATCCTTTTGAGAAGGGTGCGCTCAGCCCACGGTTCAGGGGCGAGCATGCATTGAGACGCTATCCTTCAGGTAATTGAACTGTCAGTATTGTTTTGTCTTTGATGTTGAAGTACGGAGATTAGGGCCACGAGGTCATTCTGGTCTAGAACTCCACCATGATATCCTTCATTATACGTGCATTAACAAACTAACCGAACATTGTATGATCTGCAACACATAGGCGAAGAGCGTTGTATTGCATGCAAGCTGTGCGAAGCTATCTGCCCTGCACAGGCGATCACGATCGAGGCAGAGCCCCGCGAGGACGGATCGCGTCGCACGACCCGTTACGATATTGATATGACTAAATGTATCTACTGTGGTTTCTGTCAGGAGGCCTGCCCTGTGGATGCGATTGTCGAGGGTCCGAACTATGAGTACGCGACCGAGACGCACGAGGAGCTGTTATATAATAAGGAGAAGCTATTGGCGAACGGTGATAAGTGGGAGGTCGAGCTGGCACGAAACCTCGAGGCTGATCATCTATACCGTTAACACGATGAAATTGCACGGGACAGAAAATGGGACGTGGCGGATATGAACAACAAAGCTGTTGGATTGTTTTGGGCTGGAAGATGGAAGTTAGTTTGCAGTTTTCCTTTTTCTCCTAACCTAATAATACATTACTAGTGAACACAAATGAGAAGATTGAAATGAATAGCAAAACATATGAATGTGTAGATGCGATTCGAAGATACGCGCGGAGTAAATTATATCGAGCAAATTGTGCGAATACTTGAACGGTACGTTCAGGCGCGCTTATGGTGTTGTTGGAAAACGCGCGCCAAGAGCCGTGCTATTAGCTATCGTATACAGGGTGCTGAGATGAAGTAGATGGGGATGGATATCCAAGTTGCCCTCTAAATTGTTGGCGTATCATATTTTACGAAAGCGCATTGAGTGTGTAAAGGAGGCCCCCTTTTGCTTTGCCTTATGAATGATACAATGCCCCTCTGGATCGTACATCACACGAGAGTTCGACATGGAAGGCATAATGAAATATATGAAATAATTTTTTGGTCCGCAGCCTTTTCTTGACGAAGATCACGTTGATATGATTCGATTCAGTGGTATAGTAACGCCTTGCAGCGTAAATATACCCCTTATATTTCTCTTGACCAGGCATGCCATTCTACTACCATTAGTATCTAGCACTGATCTAGCCACCAATGAACATTAAGACAAGAATGGAGCTGCAGGTTTACTGGTGCAAGGTTCCAAGCTTTTTATTACAAACTAACTATGGTGGACATTCATTTTAAAACTCTACGTTGAACAACAAAAATTAAACAGGATAAAGAAAAAGAGAATGAAAGACATGGCGGTAGCGTGCCGGGTAGGAGAAGAGAGAAGCTCAGAGCGAAATAATTGGTCTGATAAAAATGATAATTAATACCTCTTAGCAACTCAGTCCTTCCATCTTTCCTTCTCTCCTTCTCCTTTTTCATTGTTCTTTTTCTTTTTTTGACGTCCTCTTCTTGGAGCTATTCTTGCTTGCTTATGCACGTGGCGTTCTCGTTTAGAGAGCGGCGGCCAAGGCAAATCCGAGACCAGCAACGACGGCGACAGAGTTAACCACAACATTATTTCCAGCCGAAGGCTTCGTGGTCGTGGGCGCGGGGGTTACCGGAGTCGTGGTAACGGGGACTACCGGAGTCGTGGTAGCGCTGGTCTTGGGAGGAAGCGGGGACGAGGCCGAGCTAATGGCCGAGGTGGTGGTCTTGGCTGCCGTAGTGGTGGTGGTGGTGGTGGTAGTCGTAGGATCCGCGGCCATGGCACCGGCGGCCAAGGCAAGAGCGGCAACGACAATGGTGGAAAACTTCATGGTTGAGAATAAGATAAAAGGAGATTGAGTGTAGAGGTTTGAGGGCTTCTTGGGGCTTGGAATGGAGTTATATTGGCTGATGATGACGATGGTGAGAAGGAAGAAAAAGAGGAGGATGAGTGCTTGGTCTTTATAGCTGCGAGATAATCTTTCTTCCCCAAGTCGCGCTGCTGTTCTGGAAAAAAAGAATCCAGGATGATTGGTCACTGTAAGACAGTAGAAGAGCAACGCGGGCCAAGTAAAATCTATGTAGAACAGCATCTCATTGTTGGGTTGGCGTTCATTGGTTTAATGGCTCCTTTCTGACGCGAAACTATATTGCGCCCTTCCCTTTGCATCCTTTACTTTTACTTTACGTGCAAGCCTTCACTTCGCAGGTACTTTTTTTCTCGTGAAGATATGAGTCAATGAATCCATAAAATCGTAGGAAATTGTTGCATCGTATGGACATGTTTTTTTCGCTCTACGCCGAGTCCCGAGCCATGAGGAATATGTATGGATTGTCCAGGCTGTTAAACTTTTGACATCTCCCCTCGCCCTAGGATTCTATTCCACAAATATCCGCTACTACAGACACGTATAGAAATTATTGTACAAAGGCCTGTACACGTTACACCATGTTTATAACCCTTATTTCCTTCAAAGGCGTAATGAAGAATTGGGCTGTCGCGGTATTTTTACTATAAAGAACCAAAGAATCAGGGGGGCGTGAATCGAACCTCTGGCGCTCCAAAAGAACGGTATTCGCCCTCGCGTCCCTTCCATCTGTCTGTCCCTTGCCCGAGAATATCCCTCAAGCTCATAAGAGATATCCATAATGGCATGGCATTGGTCCAACTGAAGCCATTCAATCGTGCCTTTATGGGAATCCCTAGTAAAACTCAATTAACTTGGGCTGTTGTATCCTGGACTTATGCAGGTCTATTAGAACTTTCTGTTCGTTCAATTTCAGGTAAACGCCCTCATTTGTGTCCACTTTCCTTTTCTTCCTTTACGCCCTCTCTTCTGTCCACCAGGGTATCCACGGTTACGGAGAGGCATCTGCCCCTGTCCCTATCCCTGAGATGTGAGCATTCCGTCCCCAAAAACATACCAAGCTCCAAGGTTCAGAGGGCGAAACGAATTAGCACAGCACAGCACATTCGCATAACCAATTAAAATTGTCCTACAACCTAAAATTAGGGACCTTGAAAATCATCAAACTAAATAACATATGCTCGTCGCCTTATATTTCTCTATTTTTCTTCATTGGACCGATTAGCAATTGAAAGAGGATGATTAGCCTGAAACCGTCCGATACCCTTATGATTCCCTTCGTTAGCCTCTATCAGCTTAGAAGACAATATGACAGAGACAGAGGATGTGTCAAGCTTATGGTTCAATAAGCAGGGTCTATTTCATGCGTACAAACAAAAGATTCGATTTCTAATATCATAAAGCCATAGTGAAATTTAGTCATCTCACAGAACGGCAGAAACGCAAAACACGACAGTCCAGAGCTGAAGGACGGTGCGAGAAAGCAAATACATCCAGAGACAGATCAAAATATCAATCATGCCCAGAAGAATGTCGCTCTGCACCGATGCTCGTAACAGCCAAGACTGACAGCGATACGTCTGATGGAGGGAAAGAGTGCCCACAAAGTACTCTACAGTGCAAATCCTTTATAGTGGAAAATTTTTCCCTTGTAGAGGAGGAAATGGTTTTTAGTATTTGAGCTTGGCGTCGTGACACTTGAGGATGAAGTAACATGCCTTCAACAGGAGCTCGAACAAAAATACGCGAACAACAAGGACGCCATTTCTTAGCAAAAGGACATTTCCGTCCTCAACTACCTCAGTATGTGCGACGGCGATGGACTTTCAGAGTCGATTCATGAAGCTGCGATGAGCGTCATAAACAGCGAAGAATTCAGGCACGTTTTCAATCAGCACCAGGAGAGCGACTTTATTGAGGAGGATGAAATCGATGATGATGATGATGATTTGGATGACGATTATGTGATTCCACCGAAGCGGAAGGTGAACAGAATCCTTTTTACTCTTCGTTCTCGCGACGTTACAAGAATTGAAGAATGCTCATCGTCTGATGCAAGCCCACAGAAAAAGAGGCCGTCTGACATGTCGGCTATCTGGCGGACTATCAATGAAGCAACGTCCATGTTCCGTGGACGCCATGACCCCGTATCTATCGAATCTATGCGCGTGCTTTCTCACCTAGCTTCCGACGCGGAAACCGCTCTGGACCGAATCCAATTGCTGGCGTATAAGGCACATAAGGCAGACGATGAGGAGGTTTATGAGCAGGAGGAGGAGGAGGAGGAGGAGAATGGCAATTTATAAATTTTGTAAACAGATATATTCATATCAGAATATATGTTGGCATATATTTTTGAATCAAACTGAATACTAAAAACCATTTCCTCCTCTACAAGGGAAAAAATTTCCACTATAAAGGATTTGCACTGTACATGCTTACGCAATTTGGCCTGGTCATCGAAGTGTCTCCAATTATCGACTATTCAATAGCAAAATACACTGCGCCCTCGCTCCTCAGTTACACTATGAAGAGCAATATACCATGCCCACACACCTTCGACTTTACCTTCGACTTTACCTTCAACAACTCTTCTTTTGGACCCATCCACATTCCCGCGTAGTGCTCTTCATCTTCTCAATCTCTTGAACCTTAGCATTTATCTATTTTCCAACAATGTCAAATCTGTCAGCTCAGTACCCTCAACGCCGCCTGCGCCACTGCTTTACCAAGTAATGACTCATAACTCGTGCCTATGAAGCAGTCTTCCCGTCCATGGCCTCCAGCAGCGAACGTCAACGACGAACGCTTATGATGGAGTCCCATTACGTTCACTACGGAGCTGGAGCTAACCTGGTGTCCTGTGCCATTGTAAAAATCGCTGCGGTATTATCACCCAGTGTCGTCGGCATCAGCACCCTCTACCGTGCAAGCACCCACATCGGTGCCCGGATCTATATTTTCTTTGGTGCACACGCTGCAACTGCAGCTATATTTTATACATATCGAATTCGAAAGATGTCCGGCACGTTGACTGCTGTCTGAAGACGGTGCCTGAGTGCAGCCTATCAAATAAATAGGTGAAGTTGGCATCGGTATGGGTTCGCGCTTGGGAGATCACTCGAAGAGGGGCGGTGAGAAGATGTGAGGGGGGCATAGGCGCTACTGATGACCGATGAATATCGTTCGTCCAAAACATGCATCTTTTGCTTTCGCTAGGTCCATCATGCGAAATCAAGGTTGCAAACGTTCACTGGACAGTCGAATGCATCAATTCAGACTGTCTGTCATCCCAATGCGAATATGTCATCAAAGCCCGCGACTCGCACGCCACTGTCACAATCGCTATCATAGGGGCCTCGGCTCCTACGGAGTCCAACCGCACCTATCTCGCGCCTTTTCCTCGAAAAAACTCCCCGTTCTAGTGCTGTCAGCTTCACCATTACTGCCAGTCAGCAAGCACTGGAGGCATCTTCAAGGCAAAAAACGATGCCATGGAGGCTCCCAGAGTGAAGTGGGGATTATGATACGATAAAAACGAATATGGAAAGGATGTTTCAGCGCTCTGATAGTTTATATTACATTTTGACACATATAGCGCTCTAACATGCTCGCATGTAAGACTACCTTATCATATTATTAAGTACTGATAATAATATTAAACAAAAATAAACGCAGGTTCTATCTTGTTATCTTGTAGTAGTTGTAGTTAGTTATTGGGCCATCCTATGCCTTAGCCCGTTTGCGATACGCGTCCTCGTCCTCATCCTGATCTGCATCCTCGTGTCCGTACGAGCCACTATATCCCACCCCTTGGTCATCCGCATATCCTCCACTGACACCACTGCTGACACCACTGCTGACACCCTCGCTGCCATAGCTGCCCTCCTCAGACCTCGGTGTTGACACCTTGCGCTTGCCGTTGCTCGACGTCGACAGCTTCATTCCAGTCACGTTCCTGGCTACCACCGACATTGGCGATGCCGAAGCCGATGGTGCACCGTAATGTGCTTCCATCGATCCATCATAACGGTGGTTGTGGTAGCGCGGTTTCGAAGACGAAGATGACGATGGCCGATCACCAAGGTACTTGTCCCTATCCATGTCGTAGCCGCGATCTCGATCACGATGGTCCGGGGAATGTGCACGCTTCTTCATGCGGTCTCTAGAAGAAGAACGATTCCTGAATTTTCGCTCGCGCTGGTGGCGATGACGGCGAGCATGGGCATCAGTGTTTGAGCCCGAATCTGATCCTGAGCTAGATCCTGAGGTTGAGGAGCCAGAGCTGAACGATCCGGAACCGGACGATGAACTGGATCCGGAGCGAGACGAGGAGGACGAGGACCCAGAGCCCGAAGATGACGAAACGGACCGTTCACGACGACGGCGCTTCGCAGACGAAGACGACGATTTGCGATGGTGCTTGGGTGAGGAGTGATGGCGCGGTGATGCCATTGCGCTGCTGTCGCGACTATCTTGCCCAAAATTAGAGGACGTGCCCTTGGATTTTTTCTTCTCCATGATCTTGCGCTGCAAATATTCCACTTGCTTGCTGGCTAGCGCCATCATCTCGTCTGTATCGCTACCGCTAGAGCTTTCGGCTCCATGTCGACTTGGGCTATGCTTTTCCTCCACAGCCGGCCTCCGCTCTTTCTTCTGTTTGCCCTCTTTCTTGCCTGGCATCTTACCTAGCTTGATCGTCAGCTTGAGCCCCGATTTCTTCACAGAGGCCGAGGACCGGTCATCTTCATCATCGATCGTTACCATCGGTTTACTCTCCTTGGCTGATGTCCGACTGCGCTTCTTGCTGGCTGGGCTGGCAGGTATCGATGGGCTTGCCGCAGAGCTATCATGCCGCTCATCGTAATGCTCATGATCACTTCGGTCCGACTCGCTATCATCCTCATCCTCACCGCCCTTCTTCTTGTTCTTGCTCGCCATCAACGAATTGTTTAGGGCCAACTGGGCTGCGTGGTTGCGGCGCTTTTTCTTGGAGACAGGCTTGGGGTGAATGACAATGTCCATCAGATGGTCCATACGGCGCAAGACCACAGCCTCCTTGAGCCATACAAAATCTTCAGATTCGGCTGGAGCCGCTGGAGTAGAAGCCTTGGGCGCAACCGCAGGCGTGACAGCTCTTTCATCCATTTTGCCCTCTTGAGCTTCCACCGGCATGCTATCGCTAGTGCTCTCGATTAGATTCTCAGACTTGACCTCAGATTCGGTTTTGACCTCTGACTCGGCCTCGATTTTGGTATCCTGGAGCTCATCCTCTGGCTTGGGCTCTTCCTTAACAGCCTCTGGAACGATATCCATCTCAGTGCTATTGGTACGACTAAAGCTGTCGTCCTGCATAACGTTGTCGTCAGCCACGGCTTCTGTACCAGCTAGAGGACCGACCACGCTCGACGACCAAGTTTTTGCTGGTTCACCGTTCACAAATGGTACTGGGGAGCCTTCGGCTTTTGTTTCTGCGGCGAATGGTTCGATGGCGGCGCCATCAGCGACAACATCCTCCATGGCCCTAGTTTCCTCAGAAACGGGATCCTGCTGCTTCGACTCAGTCATTTCGGCCTGTCCAAGCTTGGCCGGCTCCTCCTGCTTGATGACGCCGTGGTCGACATCCATATCGCCACATTCTGCTGCTGCGGCAGTTTCGGCTGCCTGTCTTTCCATGCGCTCCTGCTGAAGAGCTGCATAGTGCTTACAGATCTCAGCAAAGGGCAAATCTTCGTCCTCCACAATCAAATCCTGTCGATGGATACCATGCTTAGCTAGACCCTCTAGGAACGGTCGATCATGGATTCCAACCTTCCACCAACTGGGCAAACCAGGCGATCGACGAGAGGCTGCCAGCAGCTCATCAAGCTATCAACGAAGTTGGCATAAGCGAGGCATGGCTTTGTTAGAAGATATAACTCAATATGGAGAATAAAGCATGCGAACCAAGATGAGAAATCTTACCATTGGATTGGCCAAAACCTCATCGCGGAGAATGTTCATGACTTCGACCCTCTTCAAGACACGCCTAGCTCTGTCCAGGGGTGGAACATCTCCTCCAGCGTCGTCTCTGTCTTCCTCTTCCTTCTCTTCGTCCTTCATGATCTCTTCGCCCTCGTGCTTGTGGTTCGACGCCAGGCTTGACTCACGCGAGTGGCGACTTGGCAGGGCATTGTTCTTGTCGATTACTTGTTGGCAGACTTTCATGACATGGTGATAATACTCCTCCATCACTTCGTCTGGCTTCTTTGTCAGTCCCGATAGTTCCTTGAAGCGGGTCCAGTCATGTTCCATAACAACGGCTGCATGTCCGGGGTTATGGCGCGAGTGACGTCTGCTGTGAGAGCCAGAAGAATGACCTGGGTGATAGCCCATTGAAGAAGAGGAGCGCGATCGGCTTTGGCTCGCTCCATTCCTCAGTCGCACAACACCGAAAGAGGTGATTGTTTTGTAAAAATCACTCTTGTCCTTCTTGGTCCATCGCGAAGCAAGCTCAATCTCCTTCTGCAGCTTCTTTTCCTGTGCAGCCTCCTCGCGCTGACGCTGTCGATCAAGGCGCATCCGCTCCTTAGTCTTGTCCTTTTCCGCCAAAGTGTTTTTGCGAAGTTCGATCTGGTTCTGGCGTTGCAAAGCTGAAATGATGCGGCGCAAACGGAGACCAATGTCCGACTTTGAGGGCCATGGAAGGGCCTCATCATCACCCTGTTCGAGTCCATAGCTTGCTTGGCGAGATCGACGACTACTAGATCCCTCACCGTCATCGTCATCGTTACCATCAGCGCTCGCACGGAAATCATACTTGCGACCATAGAAGCAAAACTCGGGGTCATTGCGCACAGCTTCATACTGAGGTTCCGTCACGAGATACCCATACTTGATGATCGCTAACATCAGATCGCGGTCCTCATCCTCACCCCACCAAGAGGCAGGTGGCACACCAGACACGTGCGGGATGATCATCTGCTTGGCCACGTCCCAGTCCTTGGGAATCAGGTTTCGGATCGTGTGAATCAGCTGCACTCTGAGAACCAAATTGCGGCCCTTCTTGCGGATATGGTCCACATAATCTTGGGTGGCATTCAAAAGGAATGACCTGAACTCGATGGTCGACTTCTTGCTTGCCTTCTCGAACGGGATATCGCCCGCAGCAGGCGCTTCATATCCGCTTGCCGTATCACACTCTGCCAGGACTGTTTCAAGGTCGTTGATCAGCTTTTGGTCATCGTCTGAGCCCGTGCTCATGTCCTTCATGACCCGACGGACCATACAGTGAGCAACAGCATTGAGGTCCTTCTCGGTTCGTCTTGGGAAGAAGACGCGCATCTGATCCCAGCGGCCATACCCGTAAATCATTAGCTTGCGCTCAAACATCAGCTTCTCGGCCATGCTCCAAGGGCGGGGCGCCTCGCGTTTCTTGGGCCCGGACTCCTTCGCATCCTTGTCTGCGTGTGAGTCCTCGAAATCTGGATCAGAGACATAGTCCTTATCTTCCGAGTCAGATCCATCCTGCTCTTTGCCAAATCGCTGCACCTGTCTACGGCTGCGAGGCGCGTTGATAATGAGCTGGTCCTTGGTCGTGATATCCTGGATATCGACATTGGCGCGCTCGGCCCACTTGTCCCAGAACTGAGGGTCATTTACATCGAACTCCTCGCCAACGGGTGTCGACGAGAAGGTCGCCTTTGAGAACACGGACCCTTTCTCGTTTCCAGTATGCTTGATGACTGTTGTGCGACGTTCCAAGATCTGATCGATGTCTTCCTCACAGAACTTGGCGCTGGTCTCGTCATCATCCAACAGCGCACCGTACGCTCCCTTCTTCAGCAGCTCCTCGACCTCTTTCTTGCTCAAGGACGATGGCGGCTTGGGCATATCCGAGAGATCATCCGTATTGGGCATGACGTCCATTTTTTGCAAGACGGCCTTGTCCAGACCAAGCTTGATGCTTGCGCGGTCAAACATCTCCTTCTCGTACGTGTTCCGGGTCACCAAGCGGTAGATCTGCACAGGTTTGGTTTGTCCGATACGATGGCAGCGTGCTGTCGCCTGGAGATCGTTCTGAGGGTTCCAGTCGCTGTCAAAGATAACCACAGTGTCGGCCGCTGTTAGGTTGATGCCAACTCCTCCTGCACGGGTACACAGCAAGAAGACGAACGAGTCTGGCGTAGTTGAGAAACGATCAATAGCAGCCTGACGCATATCTCCACGAATGGATCCATCAATGCGTTCGTAGGGGTACGCGCGTCCACGGAGATAGTCCTGCAAAAGGTCCAGACACCGTGTCATCTGCGAGAAAATAAGAACCTTATGCCCACCCTCCTTAAGCTTCTTCAATAATTTGTCGATCAAGACCAATTTTCCTGACGCCTCAATCAAGCATTGATATTGAGCCTCCGGAGTAATAGCGTTTCTCTCAGCAACGATTCGATCTTCTGCTCCTGAAATCAGGTACGGGTGGATACAGCACTTGCGCAACTCCATCATCACGTTGATCAAGCTGGGTCCTGCAGAACCGCCCTTCTTCAAAAAGCCAAAGTTCTTCTCCAAAATCGCGCGGTAGAAGGCCTTTTGGGTTGTCGTCAACTCGACCTCGATAATAGTCTCCTCTTTAACGGGAATCGACTTTTCGACATCCTCCTTGAAACGGCGCAACATCAGAGGCTTTAAGAGCTGCTGCAATTTGTCGACCTCAGCAGCAGTCTTCAAATTTCCATACTCTGCTAAGAATGCCTTCTCGTTCCTATTTTCAATTACAAAAATAGCAATCACATTAATAAACATTTGCTCCGCAACGCTATCAACGGACTTCGTCCCGTGTTCAATATGAAGTATGATACTTACGCAAAACGGGTCGGCTCCAAAAAGTTAAGTAGAGCATAGAGCTCGTCCAGTGAATTCTGCAGCGGGGTTCCAGTCAATAGAACGCGATGTTCCAAATTATACGTCTTAAGAATTTCTGATACTTTTGACGCCTAAAGTTTTCGCGATAAAATATGAATGAGAGATATAGCATTGCATTAGATGCATGCAGAAGAGGGACGAAGTTTGAGGTAGGCGCTCTTGACCCATTAACTGAATAACAACTTACAGAATTCTTCAGTCTGTGCGCTTCATCGACAACAATGGCTCTCCATGCAATCGGTTTGAGCTGAGCAGATGCAGCCACAATCTATTGTGCATATTTCAGAATAGAGCGTCAATCGCCTGAAATAACTCAAGCAAGCATTTCAGTAAAAAACCAAGGTAGAAATAAATACCATTTCGTAGGTTGTGATCAAAACGTCGAACTTGTAGAGGCCTGGGACAATTAGACCCTATTAAAATACAATGAAAAAAATATCAGGATCCGCAGTGTTAACATGGGCATTGCATTTAAACAATACAGGCTCAGCGCGTACCTGGGCATCCTTGTAATAAAATTCCGTGTCGACAATCAGGTTTCTTGAAGGCGCGTTGCCGTGGAACACAATGACATTCATATCTGTCCATGCCTCGAACTCTCGGTGCCAGTGCGGGATCGTTGACAGGGGTGCAATGACCAAGAATGGACCTCTGATACGATATGTCGTGTGGATTTCGTTCAAGAATGTAACTGACTGGACCGTCTTTCCAAGACCCATTTCGTCAGCCATGATACAAGCCTGCTCGTTGAACCAGCAGTCCAGCAGCCAGTTCAAGCCCTCCATCTGGTACTGTCGAAGTTGGTTGCCATGCTTGAACTTGGGAGACTCCTTTAACTTGCGGAACGCACCACGGGGAGGACGAGGTAGTTGGCGGGCCTCATCAGGGTTGGGAATGATCTTGCGCGCATAAAATTCATGCACTTTGGTGGCGTCGATTTTCAAAATCTCATCGCGCAATTCCCATGTTGAGCCGTCGTATGGGGTATTGCACCATTTGACCAAGAAAAAGATCTGGATCTCGCCATTGGGCGTTGCCAACTCTCCTTCGTCAATAATGCGGTCAACCTTAGACAGAGTAAATACGGATTACAAGTGGTAGTCAGTTATGCTGCCTGTTGCCCACGAAGACCATTTGTAACAAAGAAATGACCAAAGCAGTTGGAGGGGGTGGTTACCTTGACAAATGCTGGGTTGAAAAACTCGTAATCGGAGTGTTGCCCGTACTTTTCCATAAACTTTTTCACACGGTTCTTTCCAAGGTGTTCTCCTTCCTCGATTCTTTTCCTGGGAACCCATTCGACATGAAGGTAGCTGGAGAACTATTTACAAAGGTATCAAAGAGTCGAAAAAGATGCCGTTATTGTCTGCGATGTTGTCCTACAGCGATGGGTAAAAGTGTATAGGCCATATGTCGATTCGTAAAAGCCATCGTGCGCATCTTACCTTATGCTTGATTAAAAGTTCCTCCTTGCCATCGTTCATCCTCCAAGCTAGGATCTTTTCCAAGGTCTTACTTGCCATGGGAACCAGGACTGGGTCATAAGGAACAGCCCAATGACTAGCACTGCCTCCAGCCTTGGCAACCTTCTTTTTCCTGCCAGCGGCTTTCTTGGTCGGTGGCGGAGTCTTACCCTTAAACTCCAGATCGGATTCCTCCGATTCAGATTCCGACCGAGCGCTAGATCCATCGTCACCAGAGCCCAATGATCCAGACTCTGAATCGGAATTATCGTCGCTTCCGAATGAGGGTTGGATGGCCTTATTCTGCAGCGCTGCCTGTCTCGATGCCTGCTTTCTCGTCGCTCCAGCGGCTGCCTTGGCTCCTCCCCGACCACGCCCTGCGGACTGTTTGGTCGGCTTTGCAGCAACGGGCATCTGTACAGGAACTGCTGCTGGTGCGATCGCAGGCGCCGCCGCGATAGCAGTAGGTCCATTAATAGAGAACTGGTGGTTGAGATGCGCTGGCAACTGACTGTAGGTGTTTTGTTGAAGAGCAGGCTGGACCTGATGCTGATATGGCGGCTGATGCTGCTGATGCTGCAACTGCTGGATATGTGGATGACGCTGCTGGTGCTGAATCTGCTGCTGCTGTTGTTGTTGCTGCAATGTTTGCTGAGGTTGCATAGGTTGACTACGAGCCAGGATGTGGGCTTGGGTCTGGGCCTGAGTTTGAGCATGGACTTGTGCTTGTGCCTGCGCCTGTGCCTGCGCTTGCGCCTGAGCTCTTGCATGGGCTTGCTGACGCGCCAGCTCCTGCTGCTGTTGTTGTCTTGCCAGTTCCTGAGCCTGCTGGGCTTGCGCCAATGCCAGGGCTTGGGCTTGGGCTTGCTGAAGCTGAGCTGAAGACATTGGTGGTGAGGTTAATGGAGAAGTCAGATGTGACTGGTCCATGGCGTACGGTGTTGCAGACTCGTACTGCATAGCCTGACTATAGGCAACTGTGGGACTGGCGTACTGAACTGGGGAGGCATATCCAAAGTGTTGCTGCTGTTGAGGCTGCTGTTGCTGTTGCTGCTGTTGCAGATACAGTTGTTGCTGCTGTTGATACTGGTATTGCTGCTGTTGCAGAAGGTATTGTTGTTGCTGAGGCGTGAGGTTACTTGACTGCAGATCGATCTGAGGGGATAGTTGATGGGAGAGATGCTGTGCATGATGAATCTGCTGCTGCTGTGGAGACTGCTGCTGTTGCTGTGGGTGGTGATGGCCGGCATGCATATGATGGAGTTGAGGAGAGACGACCTGCGAGTGCATGGGGAGGTGGTGCCCATACCCTTGTTGCAGTTGTATCGGTTGCTGTTGCTGCTGTTGCTGCTGTTGCTGTTGCTGCTGTTGCTGGATCAACAGCTGGTTTGCAGGCAGGTGAGCCTATTCGGTGCAATACAGAACAGAAACAGAAGAAAGCGCTGGTTATTGGATATGATCCAGGGTTCCCGCCAAATACATCCATGGTTTGGTGGCAAACACGCGGAATGTCAATGAGCACGTCTGGGGCAAAATCCTCCTCCTGCAGGGCATATAATGTGCCTTTTTTTTTGTTTCACAAGCACAAGGCGAGGAAAAAGGGGGGATTGCTGTCATAATCGTTATGCTTCGCTCTCTGTGTGATTGCGTGGTACTGTTGCGTTGTCGTACTGTTGTTATCTTTGATTTTAGGCTGATCAGCCTGCTGACCGGTATGCAAAATGAGGTCTATTGAAAACAAGTTTGTGATCCTGCAATGTGATGCAGATGATGACTTGCCTGGTAGTTATAGTTGGGATCCATTTTTGGCCACTAAGAACGTAACGATCGGCCTCGTGATCCTGTCTTGCTTTCCTCTCTGAGTTTCTTGTGGGCCCGACAAGGAAGAGAAAGGAAGAGAAGGACGTCAGAGAAGGAGTGGATGGACGGATGGGAAAATATGCAACCCTTCTTCCTGATCTCGATCTCCGCTGATGCTTGATTAGGCTGTGGCTGCTTCCGACGGGAGCGATCGGTCCGGTTGGGAGATGGACTGGCGATGGCGATCCACGAAGGAAGAGGAAGGAAGGGGATCGATCGTAGGAAAGAGGGTATTCAAGCACACACGGAGAGCGGGAGCGATAGTAGAGTGGAGTAGAGAGAAGTGCGGTGGAGTAGGGAAGCGATTGTAAAAAAAAGATTCGAATCAGAAACAAGTTCGCAGTGAGACAGGAATTTCCCTCGTAATGAAGACCGTTATGGATACGTGATATGGAGTGCAGTTGTTTGCCGGCCCATTGGGCTGATGCCGCCCAATTCGTATGGGCGACAAAAGCAAAGCACACCTCTTCTCCTTCACCTTTCTTCCTCTTCTTTCCTTCTTTTCTCCTCAGCTGCCAATTCCTCTTCATCCCTCTTCTGTCCCCTTTCTATTCATCCCCTTCTTGTCTTCTCTTCTTCTCTCTTGCCTAAGTCTCATTCCACTCATTCTCATCCGAAAAACCTTCAAATATATATCTTTGTACTTCTCACTTACCTTTGCTATATAGGCCTTTCTCTCCTTCTTCTCAACTGCAATGAAATGTATCTCGATTATAGTCTACAGAGTTGTCTAAAGGTGTACAAGGATCGTCGAGGGTCTGGATGGAATCTCATCCATCGGCTGAGGGTAGTGGGGAGAGATGAATAACACGCTTATTTTTGAGCGATACCAATAACAACATGAACGTAACATATGCGATAAAAAAATTTCTTTATTAGTAATGAATGGCATGTGTTTTGACTGTACAAGTGACAGTTGCCGCCAATTGGCACAACTTCATTGCGAACAACAACAAAAAAAAAAAAAAAAAAAAAAAAAGAAGTAAAAGAAGTTAAAGAAAAGAAGCGCATGAAAGCGAACAACCAAGGATCGTTGGTATTAGCACAAAGATTGATTTTTCTAGGTGGGTATAATTAGTACACGAATAAATATGTTACGAATGGTAGAAATATATAATAATGCAAAAGAACTGGGGTATCATAAGCAGGCAAACATGCGGACGAAACCATAACTGCCGTTCACCAATAATAAAAACGGCATTGGACTGGTGGCAAAGGTTCCCAAGAACGCTCACTTCTTCATCGATGCAGCCATCCTCGCACGATCTCGGTCCACAGCTGTCATTAGCGATTCGAGCTCGACCTGGAACCGATGAATTTCTGCATTCTTCCGCTGCACTACCTGAACCCACTTAGCCTTCCATGCCTCTAGTCGCTGATCCGTCTGTCGCTTCGCCTCCAAGACCACTTCCTGGAGCTCCTGATCGCGACGCTCCAAGCGCTGTTCCAACCGCAGCACGACTTGGTCCAGCTCCTCCAGCGTATGATGCTGTGAACGGCCACCAGCTGACGATGTACTGACAACAGAATCACTGTCGCGGGTCGACGATCTCTCCAGCGACAGTCCTGTCGGCTCAGGCTTGTCCTTGATCATCCTGATTCGCTCCACAACCTTCTCCAAAGCGACGGCACGCTCCTTCCAAGCGCCCAGCTCCGAGGTCCTCTCCTCCAAAGCCTTTTCAAGCCTCTTATAATCGTCCACAGACCACTCTGGTACTCCACCCGCAGAGCGATCCTGCATTGTCAATTGGATGTCAAAGGCCTCCTGAAGTTGTTCTCGAAGCTGGTCTCGTTGTTTGGTGAGCGACAGCATCCGAGTACGCATAATGGCCACCGACTCTACTTCTGCGGCATTGGCGGCACTCTCCTGACCATTAGGATGGCCTCGCTCGCCCTGCTGTTGGTCCTTGGGTCCTTGTTGACGTAAAGTAGTATTCTCGTCCTGAAGTTTGGCCTTTGCGATCTCTGCCGCACTCAACTTGGACTGGAGCTGGTCCACCTGATCCTCCAGCATGCGAGCGAGCGTCAGCTTCTCGCGGACTAAAGTTGCGTTTTCCGCCTCGGCTGCCTGCGCCCGTCTCTGCTCCGCTGCCAATCGGAAAGCAGTCTCCATATTGATGCGTTCCAACTCCTTGACGCGAGCTTCGAGTGCCTCGACGCCGCTGGTAGGCGCTGCTGCGATCGAAAGACCCTCAACCACCGCTTGAGCATGGCCTTCATCCAAGTGGTTCTCCATAACTTGATTTTTGCCGTTGGCGAGCGCCATCTGATCGAGCTCCAAGACTTTGTCGAGATAGGCATTGTGGTAGAACTCGGCTTCGGCCTCTTTGGTTCGAATCCTCACCAGTAGACCCTGGATGACCTTGCGGATCCTAGCCTGACCCTCGTCCGTGTTGGCGTCGTCCAGCCTTTGATTTGCGGCGTTCTCGTGCATATCCAGCAATTCTTCAAGCTGATTGACCCTGCGCTGCCTCTCCGCCTGCTGCTGTCGCAAAACTAGTGAAAGCGAGGACAGCTCCTTATGAAGACGTTTGTTTTCAACATTAAGCGTGTTAATCCGATCTCTCAGTTTGTTGGCCAGCTTGTGCTGCTCGCTCAGCGCGGACAGTCGTAGATCCTCTCGCGAGCTCCCATTATGGTGCTGGTGATTCTTGGTCTGAGAAGACAAAGGAATGACGGTTCCAGTCGAAGATCGAACGCTGATGAAACTTTCGACGGATGCTGTGCGCATAAGACTTTTACGCACATCTGCCTCGAACTTGCTAAGCCTCTCCTCCAAGTCCAGCTTGTCGCCGTCTGCGTGATTAGGCATGCTGGCAGTCGTCAATGTCTCGGTGGAGGTGAGTTTACGGTCCAGCAGCTTGTTCTTGGATCCCTTCTGCTGTTGCTGGGAATCCGAGAGTGGTGGCGAAGGTGAACTCAACTTGCTGCAGATTGATGGTTCCGTAGAGGTCTTCAATGCCGAGGCCCTGATCAAGCCAATGTCTTTCTCCAGATCCAAATCGACTGTGGTATCGGCCTGGTTGTCATCCGCAGAGGACAAAGATGATGCGCGCTTCGAGTGAGGTCTTCGGTAACTGGGAATGAGCGATTGCAGCTGAGCTAACATGCCATCGTATCCAGCACGGAAGTCCTGCACCTCGCGCTCAAGTTTCTGCATATCCTCGGTCTTGACCCTCCGCTCTTCGTCCAGGATTTGTTCTGTCACTCGAAGTCGCTCCTTCAAGTCCGCGATTTCAGCCTGATGCTCTTCCTCCTTGTCCTTGAGATTTTTTCGCGTCCTTTCATGGCTCTCCTGTGCCTGTTTCAGCAACACTCGAAGGTCCGCATTGCCATACTTTTCTTGATCAGAGCTATCCAGCTCGGACCGCAGCTGAGCCATCTCGTTCTTGAGCCGTTCCACTGTCTGCAGATGACGCTTCTCAGCCTCTTGACGCAGCTCGACAGAAGACTTAAGCTGAGTCGTCAGTTTCTCGTTTTCCTGCTGGTATCCCTGCAAAAGCGCCTCCTGTTGCGTCATCTCGCGGCCGATCTGATCCAATGTTTGATGATAGCTTTCGTACGGTTTTGCGGCCGCAGTATGCATCGCCATCAGGTCATCCTCGTACTCGTGCATCACCTTGAGAGTGTGATCCAATTCCTGCTGCAATGTCTGGATCTCCTCGTCGCGAATATTAAGGATTCGGAGTAACTCCGTATTCCGGTTCATGATGTATTCGGCTTCAGTGGTCAGTTGATCTTGGAGATCCTCAGAAAGGCCAAGCGAGTGAGAAGAAGACGTGGCCGGAAAACCGTTTCCTGAAACAGCAGAAGTGGAAGGTTCGGCACGCCCATTTTGCTTGTGATCCTGACGCTGCTTTTGAAACGCTTTGCTGGACATGTTTCCCTGATCGCCTGAATAATGATGAGATGCTGACTCCGCAGAAGATCCAAAAAGGCGCTGACTGGCATACCCCTCCTTTGACTGACCGCGTGTGTCCCTGGGTGAATGCTGGAGACTCTCTGTGTAGCCTTGACTGGGGAGGGATCCCTGCTCCAACTCCTGTCCTGGGTATGTATACCTTGAATACAGGTCTCCATCTTGCTGAGCAGAGTTGGCAGAATCATATGAAGTGCCAAGGAGGCTGGACTCTCGTTTATACTGGGATGGGTGTTGTCTCTGCTGCTGCTGGTAGTCATCGGAATACCTGGACATGGTGGATGAAATGCTGGGCCCTATGGGCCTGTTGCCACGGCTGTTGTACTTTGTTGATGCTGAAGGAGCATGGTGTGCGCTGAGACCGCCGCCGAGGTTGGGGCGAGGTGTACGATATGACCCAGAGTGGCTGTCGGTCTGGGATTCTGCTAATTCTGGGTTAGAAGACGTTGGTGAGAGTGTGAAGGAGGTTTTGCGGGTATAGAGAAGCCCCTCTGGGTTCCGTTCGAGGTCCTGCTGACGGCCAGAGTGGGATGGGTATCCTCGTAGTGAGGGCGAGAGATCTGGTACAGGGATCCTGATTTGGGTGTTGGACTGCGTTTGCTTATGCTCATTTTCAACATAGCTGAAACTGCTGTGGCCATTGGAGGACGTTGTGCCTGAGGATGACTGTTGCTGTGATTGTTGCTGTTGCTGCTGTGTCTTAGCTTTGGATTCAGCCTTTGACCTGGCGGCGATGAGGGCTTCGGCGAGGGCCATGCTGGGGTTGCTGAGGTCTGCTGGTCCCCGGTCTGGCTCTGGTGGACGGATGGGATGCACTTGAGGAGTGCGATGGCCTTGCGAGGATGGGGCGGAGGCCAAAGGAGAGGGCGATGACTTTACAGAATTGGATGCAGTGGTGGGCACGGTCCTTGTTGGAGGGGAAGGAAAAGGGTGAAAGGAGGACCGACTCGAGGGCATTTCAGCCAGGCTAGACAAATTGAGTTTTGAACCCATAGGAGACGGGAGGGTCGCGTCAGTATTTCAATGTGATATGCAAACAAAAGGTAGACAGAGAGAGTAGGGCGGCAGGGCGGGAAAATTTTGTTGATTTAGGGATCGGCGGGAAAAAAAATGCCAAAGACCAGCGCACAGTCAGTCAGTCAGTCCTTCTATCGGTCCATTGCAATGCTGCAGATGCAACAAACAAAAACCACTGCTCGCTCCCCACTGGTCCAATTGTGGTGCATTAGATGCATGCAAATGGGAGGAACAGTAAACGAGGGCACTTCCAAATGCGTCGTACGGAATAAGCGCGCGATGCAGCATGCCGCCTTGCTCATTGGTAAGAAAAAAGAAATGTACCCGCCGCTGTACTGGGGGATGGTTTACTGGCGGAATGTCACGCACACTCGACTGGGAGTGCTGTTCATTGGGAGCAGGACTGAATTGGACTGGACTGGGCTGGGCAGCTCTGAATTGAACTGAACAAGGCACCATTCTTCCTGTGGGATAATCCACCATATAGATTGCCTTTTCTTTTTCTGATCCGCTCCCTGGTCCGCTCCCTTATCCAGCTCCTGCCTCTGTTTTGGATAATAATGATAATGATGATGTTGTTGTTGTTGCTGATGCTGATGCTGTTTGTTGACAATGCTGCCGCTAATGCTGATGCTGGTATACTACTCGTGCTCATACTCATGATATTGTTTGTCGTTGCGGCTGTTATGGTGTATACTTCGGTTGGGATGGAAATGGCTGCTGATTATGCACCAACGTGCATCGACTCAATAATGCCACCCTGGGCCATCCAGGACGGCCTGGCCGATCATGAGGTAAACAACAACGACAATAACAGCAAGGATACATGGTAAATGGCGACGACCAAGAGCACCAACGATAGCTCACCTTTGTTTTGACCCGCCCTTCCTGGATTTGTCGTTCACCTGCCTTGCATCAAAGTCCCGATCGCGCATCTGCTGCAAGGCCTCCTGCTCGTCGTCATCGAGCGGTATGCTCTCAATATCATCCTCATGAATGCCGCATCTGTCCATCTGGTCGTCAATCTCTTCTTCTTCTTCTTCTTCTACAATATGTGACCCTGCTGGAATGGAGGAAAGATTGGCTCCGAAAGGAGGGAGTCGTTTGGCGGCTGTCATCTTGATTGGCAACCCCGAGTCTCGTCGGACACGGTACGACTCCGCGCCTGACAGATCATTCAACAATGGTGGCTCTCGCGATGGGAATGACTCATGATCTTCTTCGCTTCCGCTGCTGTAATGATAGGCGCCGGTGCCGTTCCCGCTGCCGCTACCACTGCGTTGATGGCCACTGCTTTGGGATTGTGGTGAGCTTTCAGGAGTGGCAAATCCGGACAATGGCTGGCTTGAGTTAGAAAAGGAGTGTTGCTGCTGTTGTACAGGTGGTGTTTGATGGTGCTGTTGCTGTTGTTTGGACCTGGGATCGTATGCGTCATGTGGGTATCCGAGAGACGAAGCAGAGTTGTTATTGTAACCGGCGGCATTGTGGCGGTCCATGGAGGATGTGGAGCTCTCCTCGCCTGCCTCGTAGTCGGCTGAGGACACGGTTCCTCGGGGAGGATGCTTGTAGTGCGGCCTGTCTAGATAGGAGTCTGTATTCATGAAAGCGGATCGCCAACGGCACGGCTGCTGACTTTGTGGTTGATAAAAAGATAGAGATGTGTAGCAAGCCCTCGATGTCGGTGCTAGCGGTTGGCGTTGTTGTTGCCACTAAAAAGCTACTGTTGTTGATAATGCAATTCCGCCACGGATTGATGTTCCTGGTAGTTTTGCAAATGGGTCTCGATATTAGTCGCAAGTTTGGTTACAGAGGTGAAATAAGAGACAAAAAAAGAAGGTTGATTGAATGGAAAGGAATGCCCCTGTTGAAATAAATGCCTTTCATATCATTGTCACAATCAGGTACAAAGTTTGTTGTTTTTACCCCCCAATTTGCTTTTTTTTTTTCTGCTGCTTCTTTTCCCCTGTTCTTTTATTCTTTTTATCTTCATCTGGAAAGAAGAAGAGATACTGATAATGAACTGGGTCAATTGCTGCTGCACTATGTAAACAACACGCGCGAAAGAAAGAAAAAGGCAGATGATACATACAGCCATATAATGAAAAATGAAAGGATACATAGCAACTGGTCCACTTTGCTTCAACAGACAATGAGGACATTCAGCTGGACCCGTAATTACAAAGCGGAGATGAATAGCCATGACTTACGCTATACGCGGAATCGACTAGGGAGTGTGCGTGAAGGTTGAGGCGACGATGGAGTTGTCTCTGTGTGAAGTGTAATAATGTATTGCCAGGGTATCAATTGAATCTTGATTTATGAATTCGGAGGAGGGGGGGGGGGGGGGGCAGTCGTTAGTGATCAAGCTGAGTGCGAGTGTAAGTATGAGAGAGTGAGCGGTTTATGAATTTCGAAGAAGTATTAGGTTGGAGTGGAATCTGATCTGAGTCGAGGATGAAGAATGACTGGAGGTGGGATGTGGATGGAGGTAGATGGAGGTGGAGTTGTGATGCGGGATGAAAGGAAGAAGAAGAAAGAGGAAAACAAAAAAAAAGAGGTGGGAGCATGGGTGCCATGCTCCTTTGCTTGACCACGGTCTATATATCGTGCCCTTTTCTTCCACGCTTTTAAGGATGCAGCCCCATTGAAGGAAAAAATATATCGCTATTCAGGTATCCCTCTCATATTTGCTTAGTCCACTGACAATGCTGCTGCATGTCCCAACTACCACATCTGTCGCGTTTTCCATGTTCATTATTGTCGTCTACCCGCCTAAACCAATGGGAAATGAAAAATGCTGCGTCTTTGTTGTAATTGTGAATATGAGGACATCATGATTATTAACCTCGAACATGTCTCTCGCTTCCAAGTTGCTCAGAATCCAAAACGGTTCTTGAAATATACAAAAAAAAAAACCAGGTTGGAGAGCACCTCAATCACGGACTTTGGTCATACTATGTTCAATGCAAAAACAGGCCCGCAGGTGAATCTGGTGCAATGCCTAAGGGAAACATCGAATAGGTGCGATGTCCTTGTCCATAAGGAGCTTCCCTCGGCTTCGGGTGCATCCCCTCACCTGCATCAGCGCGCATGCTCTAAACTCGTACCTTTTTCTGTTCTTATTTTTATCAGTCCCTTTAGGACGAAGAGGAAGGATCGGTATCATCGCAAACAAACATCCCGTTTTTTCTTGACGGGTTGATCCCCTTTTCTTGAGGCAGTAATGGTACAACAGGCAAATCCACTGAACTCGCCAGATGTATCGACACTTAAATCAAGTGACATATAGGCTAATCTTTGACAATGAAGAGGTATTCTAAATACTGAGAAGAAGGAAGAGCGCGCGCGATGGAGCACTTGCTTTCGTATCAAACTTTCTTGCTAACATTAGATTGACTACGTATTTCTTTAGTTTATCGCCGCACTCCTGGCGTCTTTCCTTCCATCTTTCTTCCTCCGAGAAATGGCAAAAAAACTCAAAGAAGAGCATGAAGCGTAGCATTGCAAATCACTGATCGAGTATGCACCCGCCTATGATTCACCTGAACTGCTAAGCTACATTTGCAGCCAAATGACCTGAATAGAAGTAAAGTACCAAATGTGGTCTCCCACTGAATACTTGAAAATCAGAGCAAACATCACCAGAGCATTGAGCATTTCTCCTTTTTTTTTCCTTCATAAAGATGTACTTCCATTATTTGGTTACGATCAAGCCGCGGATTATCACCGCAGGTAGCACCATGGGTCTGCTGTATATTGTATAGACTAGCAAGAAGCGGTGGACCAGTGCGCTATGGACGAAGATGAAGATGAAGGGCTATTCATCAAACAATGAGCCTCGTGGCCAATATTATCAATCTCGCCATTGCGCCTTTTGCCCTTTTGTATTTAGCGCGTGCATGTAGCTGCACGACGTGCGCAAAGCCAAGAAACAAAGCACTCCATCCCTTCATTTTGGCGTTTGCCGCCAAATGCAACCCATGATCATAGTGTTTGGCAGATTTGTTTGATGCCAGACAATAATAACGTACAATACGACGGGGCAAGCAAGGTGCAGTGCAGTGCTCAACAGTTTGATGTCTGTGGCACGCACGCACACATGCATACACACATGCGTACATACTGCAGTTGGGTTTAATATCATTTTGTCCAAAATGATATTCTTTTTGGAGGGAAAATAGCAACGACATGAACTGCAGTTCTTGTAGGGATGGAATCTAGGCTCTGGAGTTCTCGTCAACCATACAAATCATGTCTGGGACATGTTTATGCGCCTTGGTCAAAGATCCGCCTCTGTTCTGTTCTTTTGCAGCCATTTTTGGTTAGCAAAGGAAAAGGCACTAACGACAAAAACGCAATGAGATGTCCAAGTAGCCACGTTCATTCATTATCCGTCAATTGTTACTGCTGGATTTATGACATACTCAATATCGATCGCATCTTCAAGTTGTAAGTATGCCGGCGCTTGAACGTCTTTCCCACCTTTCCAATCGCTCGCCTGCTGCAACGGCGTCGCGTTGTCAACTTCATTATGGCCGTGACAAAAAAAAAATATCTGATTTTAATGCTCTGCTGAACTCTTGCATCTATTTTATTTTCCTCCGCCTCAGCGCACCAAAACTGGATCTCGAAACCAGCTCAACCTTAATAAACGCTTAGAGCTGGAAATCTGGTCACCTGCTGCAAGGACTGGCATGGCATTGAGCAGCCGAAACAGCACATTCATTGGTATTGTTACTCAGCACTCATCATTAGTAAGAGGGCAGGTTTTCACATCAATCAACGTGAGAAAACGAACAAGGACGACGTCATTAGATAGGTGATGAATGAGGTGGCTGCAAGAAAGCTACTGTGAGGAATGGAGGTGCCAAGGCCATCAAGGCGCTGTCCCAACCAGGGTTCCCCTTCCTTCGCCTGTCATTCGCGCGGCTACTTGCTGTGAAGAGCCTGGCGAAGTACGGGCAAGGCCAGCTCTCACGAGCCGTCACAGGTTTCGCGGTACAAAAAGCGTCTCAAGCAATGCTGCAGTCTCATCTCAGGAGACAAGTCGCAAGGGAAAGGAATCATCCAAGGAAGCAAAGCAGCGAAAAGCAACGGCTAGAAACAAGAGACATAAGCGAAACAAAGAAACAAAGAAGCAAGAGAGACAGACGGGAATGATGTTCAGTACCAACGGGTTCATCGACTCGGGTAACAACGAAAACACCACCGGGAGCAATCCGCGCATAGTTGAGCTTACCAGCAACAGCCCGCTCTCTTCGACTCCGAGTAACATTCACGATGGCAACAATATCAGCATCAGCACGGACGAGGACCCGGAACCAATAATCACCACGCCAGAGTCTAGCACGTTGTCGTTCATGTCTTCGCCAGCAAACAGCAGCAGCGCTATCATGAGCCCCGTCAACAGGTCTACCCTGGCGCTTATTAACGCTTCCCAGCAACAGCAACAGCAACAGCAACAGCAACAGCAACAGCAGCAACAGCAACAGCAACACTCAGAGGCTGCCATGGCATTGCTCTCCAGCTTGGGATCCTCCGTTAACTCGGCGACCTCATCAATGACCAACGCCTCGAACAGCAAGAATTCTCGGCCGACAGTGAGGAACCGCAATCCCTCAAGTACAACAGCAGCAGATACATCTGCCTCAGCTTCATCCAGCTCGCAATCATTACAGCCACTGAATCGTGCTACAACTGGTGCTCGAGGAAACGTAGCTGCCTTCTTGACTAAGCTCTACAAGTAATGCTTCTGCGCTGGAGTACCATATCGCCTTTTTTCTTTTCTTTTCTTTTGTTTTCTTTTTTTTTTTTTTTTTTTTTTTTTCGCTGCCATCTAATATCTTTTCGACACTCATTAACCATTAGAACCTGTTGCTATTTTTTCTGTTATTAGCATGGTAAAGGAGCCCGCCTCGAACAATCTCATCAAGTGGTCAGATGATGGACAGTCCTTCATCGGTAAGTCGTAGAAACAGAATTGGATACATTTTCCCAGTTCGTCTTCTTCGCGCTCTTTGGCTGGTCTTCGAGTAGCAGTTGGCGTCTAATCTGATTTCGTCCGCTGCCGTATAGTCGTAAACCATGTCGAGTTTGCCAAGGAAGTTCTTCCGAAATTCTTTAAGCACAACAACTTCTCGTCCTTTGTCCGTCAATTGAACATGTACGGATTTCATAAGGTGCCCCATCTTCAACAAGGCGTTCTTATGCCTGACGCGGACTCTGAGCAATGGGAGTTCAGCAACCCGCATTTTCAACGGAACCAACCTGATTTGCTATATTTGGTCTCGCGAAAAAAGGCTTCCGGCGGCAACGAAGACAAGGATGCACTCACAATGGATTTGGGACATATCCTGCAGGAAGTGACGGCTATTAAACGACACCAAGTCGCCATCTCGACGGATTTGAAGAACATCGAGAGGGATCATCAATCACTGTGGCAGGAGTCGATTGCAGCACGGGAAAGACATCAGAGACAACAGGATACGATCGATAAGATCCTACGATTCTTGGCAAGCGTGTTCTCGGGCGACAAGAAGAGGGCGATTGTACCAAACAAGAAAGCGAGACTGACTATCACGGACGGAGATCACGATGGGTCCTCAAGCGTTGATGATGGCAGACGGCTGGTTGAGGAGGGAGATGAAGAGGAAGAGGAGAACAACAAAGCGGAAACCTTACTTGGTGAAAAGAGGAAGCGTGGCGGGACGGATGACAAACCAAACACAGTCGATGGTATACTTAACAGCAGCAAGCTGCCGTTCAATATTAGCGAATTGACACCTGGTAAGGCCCTTCCTCTTTTGACCGCAACACACTATTAGTTCGTGCTCAAAACGTTGACTAACTTCTTTCTTGTTCTGCTTGTCCTATAGCCACACTGGCCTTGCTCGCAAACACCCAGCAAGGTGGGAACTCGAAGCAGAACTCGACATCAAAGGCCACAACTATCAGCAGCACCCTTCCCGCAGTTCCCACAGTCTCGGCAGCGACAGCGATGAATCTCAACTTCCCCGACTATCTAACATCCCTCCCTGCTCTGAACTATGTCGGCGCTGGAAACAACGGCATCAACACAACGCTTCCCAATGGCTTCAAATTTGATCCGACGAATATCACGATCCCGACCACGCTTTTGCCGAATGCGCTCTCGCCTGTCCACCATGATATGCTCCGGTCAATCTCGATGGCGAATGCGCTCGACACAACGCACAATCCACCACCGCTAGCGCCACTACCGCCGTCATTTTCACAAACGCCGGAAGGGGCCTCGGTCACCAAGAGTGTGGAGCAGATTACGCAGGAAATGGACCAGTTACAGCGAAACATTGAGGCTTTGTGGCAGCAAGGATTGATTGACAGCGATGCTTACTTTGCCATGGCGGACTCATATGGTAAGCATTGAACGTCCGGGAGGAATAGCAAGTGATACATGGATATCATTTGCACAAGACTGACGCGAGTACTTGAACCACTAGACCCGAGCGGATCGAGCACTCTGGGAAATGCATATCAAGGAGCGGTTGGAAACGATCAAGCAAGCGCAACAGTGACGCCGACTTCGTTGTCGGCCGTGCCACCTTCTTTGACAGCACCAACACAGTCTCCGTCCGTCGGTGCCAATCCAAGGATATCGACAGTGGACGAGGAGGAGTATCTTGAGGATCTGTTGGACATGGATCCTGTCTAGTTACCGAAAGAGGATTTTGCTTCCCTCTTGTCCATGAGACACAACAAGAACAGATATATATATATATTCGCATTGTCATTTCAAAAAAGTGAGGACATGGTCCAACAACATCGCTCAATTGCCACTGAGGCTGTGTTTGCATTTGTTATCTGTAATATGAAATGTATCTAAAATGAGGTGCTACAATGCTGACAATAGTAATAATGAGAGTCCAAAAAGAAAAAAAGTGACAGAACGAGATAGTGGTGGGGACAATCTCGCCCATATTCCTTTTGAAAGAGTTGCTTTATCGTGCAAACTGACGTCCACCATCGCCATTGGGTCGTCGACCGCTGCTAGGATGGTTGTGCGTCTTCTTCTCTCCAACGACGTAGGCCTTCTTGTTCGTAGTCTGTCCCTTGACGGACCCCACCGAGATGTTGACCTTTGGCGGGACCGAGAATCCGAATGCCTTGGCAACCTTGACTAGGTCTAGCTTGTTGACGTCAAAGGTTCCCTTTTGTGCGTAGGACGCGTAACTCTGAAGGTAACTCCTGTATCCATCTCTCGCGGACTTATTGAGGTAGTAGTTCTTCTCGACCAACTTCTCGAGCTGACTCTGGACGTTCGAGATCTTGCTGGTCGGGAACTGGTATTCGTTCAGCGGGACCTTGGCATGCTTCAGGAACCGGAGGAAACCGACTTCCGAGGGCAAAAGGAAGAGAAGGGATTTGCCCGTGGTACCCGCACGAGCTGTACGACCGACACGGTGGATGTAATCGCGGGGATCATCTGGGGGATCGAACTGGATGATCCAATCGACTGCAGGGATATCAAGACCACGGGCAGCAACGTCCGTGCAGAGGAGGATACCCGTGGGGGCGTTGATGAATTCAAAGAAGGTGGACGTCCGTTTCTGCTGCTTCTGACGTCCGTGCAGGTCCAGGACGGGGATATCAATGTAGTTGAGGAGCTCAGCGTGGTATTTCACAGAGTTACAGGACGAGAAAAAGACAATAACTTTCTTTTTCAGATTCTTCTTCAGGAACGTGAACAAAAGCAAAAACCGTTTGTCGCTTTCGCAGATGACATATCCTTGCTCAAGTCCGTCGGCTGTTGCAGTCTCTTTCTTCTCATCGACGTTGATGTACAATGGTCCGGCCTTGAGCGAGATACGGGCCAGATCTGTGACCTTGGTTGTTTGTGTTGCAGAGAAGAGCATCGTCTGACGGCCCTCCTTGGGCAGGAGCTTGATGATCTGCTTCATTTCGTCCTCGAAACCGCACTCCAAAATACGGTCTGCCTCGTCAATGACCAACGCCTTCAAATTTTTGAACACAAAGCCCTTGGTATTCTATTCACATCAATTAAGCCCATTGTTGATGTTAGCAAAACTGAATACTCCTAATGCCTGCAATCCCTAAATCCTTTGATGTCCTTGCAACAATTGTGTACCTGAAGATGATCGAGAAGACGTCCAGGGGTGGCTACCAAGAGATTGACGCCCTTGGCCAGCTTGTCAGCCTCAGCCTTGCGGTTAGCGCCTCCAATGACAATGCCGAAAGTTTGGTTGTGGTACTTGAGAAGGTCCTTGGCAACACCAAAGATCTGAAGGGCCAACTCACGGGTAGGCGAAATGATAATCACACCAGTACCTAATCACCAAAGGGCAGCACCAATTCAATGTTAGTCGACCTGGCAATATGATCCTCGCACAGATGAACAAGTCTTTTTCACACACAATATAATCCAACCCCTTACCGTTGCGAGGCTTGAACTTGAGTTTGTAGAGCAATTCCACGGCAGGGACCAAGAAGGCGATGGTCTTTCCCGATCCTGTCTTTGCAGCACCAAGGACATCGCGACCAGCCAGCAGTGGTGGGATGGTGCGTGCCTGGACCTCAGTCATCTTCGCGAATCCAATGTCGACGATCGCCTTCTTTGAGGGCTCGCACAAGTCGAGCGAGGCGAACTCGTAGTTGATCTTTTTGCCACCAGCTAAATTTTCAAATACAAGAATAGAAATTGTTGGGAAAGTGGGCTTCGATTATATGCAAGCGGTCGATTGGTATACATCGGAAGATGATGGCCTTACCAGTCGTGGCAGCGGCCTCCTCGTTGGCGGAAAAGTCGATTGAGGGCAAATCCTCTTGCCTCTCTTCGCTCTCCTTGACGTCCTCCTCTTCCTCTTCGTTGTCCTCACCATCATCCTCATCCTCATCGCCGCCATCGCCATTCTCCTCGTCCTGCTCCTCGTCCTCCTCGTCCTCCTCGTCTTCCTCTTCAGACTCTTCCTTGACCTTCTTGCTAGTCTTCTCCAGGAGCTTCTCCTCTCTCTTGCGCTTGTTGTTGTTGTTGTTGTTGGTGCTATGTCCGTTCATTGCTGCGACAGGAGCAGCAGACTTGGCAGAGCCAGCGGCCTTAGCGCTGTTCTTCGCCATGGTGATGTGTGAATGTAAGGGTGAAGGTGATTTGCGAAGGGGATAGCAGACAAAGCAATCAGGCCTCACCTTGATAGAAAAAAAAAGAAAAAAAGAAAAAAAGCCAATTCGCAGTCACAATTTGTAAACAGTGCTTGATATTAGTCAGTTAGAGAGGGTTGTCAATTAAAGAGTGAATAAGAAAGAGCTTCGCCTGCACACAAAAGGCTCTTCCATTCATCCTCTTCATACAACGCTCATTCATCATGGTTTGTGCAAAGTGTAAGCAATCATCCAAAACAATAGCCATGGTATCCAAGTATTGCTTATATACCATTCTATCGGAACGTTATCGAGTCTGACCAACTAACACTTGTTCATTTGTTTTTGCTTTTCATTCTCCAGGCGAAAAGAAGCTGTCGAAAGTGATTTGTCCTGACAAGTGGAAAGATGGTGCAAGAAACACCACCGTCGGCACCTCCTCCACAGCAGGACGTAAGCTCGGTGAAAACAAACTTCTGAGCAAAAAAAGAGTGTAAGGCCCAGTATCTGCTTCAATGTACTCTTCTTCACACCCCCCTCGAAAGATACTATCCCCAAGAACATTCTCTAACCCAAACAAGACCTTCTTCAACTTGATGAACAATTATAGGACCGCAAAGTTTAACCCATATGCGAATTCAAAGTGTAAGACATGTAAATCAAACGTGCACCAGGATGGAGCTATGTATTGTCAAGGTAAAGGGGATGCCTCGCTTGTTTGAATATCAGAACGCTTGGAAAATGTCATATTTTTGAACTGTGTCCCCTAACATCCGGTTGCTTCATATAGGTTGCGCATATAAGCAGGGGCAATGTGCGCTTTGTGGAGTAGCCATCCTCGACACATCCAAGTACAAAATGTCGGCCAAGTAGTGCAGGAATATCAAAATCCAATTTTGGACACCTCAAGGCGACAACATATTCAGTTGGCATGGATTACATATCGCAGCGTGCAGCAGCAACACCGAACGAAGCGCAAAATACCAAAAATAAAAACTGTACAGTATTATGAGAGGATGAGACACATCGTAGAATGATTTAGCTGTGGGCTGAATGAACCACTGGCCGATCCTACAATGCAGAAGCCACTCCACTGCCCATAACGGGACATCCCTGCGCACCTGGCCCCTTCCCAAAGAATTTCAACTGTCCAACTTCTTCGATCTTATATGCCAAAGGATACAGCGGCAGCAGCACATGAAACCTCGGGACATATCTCTTTCCTTCCGTAAATGAGCGTCCTTTTGACGCCCCTGCCGCATCCTCCTCCTCCTTTTCCTTCTCATCTTCCCCACCCACCTCCATCTTCACCTGCACATCGTCGAACTAGGTCGCGTGCAAGGCGGTCCGCACATGAGGTGCCGTGCGGGGCATCATCAGATATTTGACAATCCAGCCGCGTACCCAGAGGATACGAAGTCGAGCCGGTCCATCGTAACCGGGTGCGGTTCGTAGATATGTACTCATGAGAGCGATGAAGGCGCTCTTGATCTGGATCTTCCCCTCAGGTGTCTTGGCCAGTTCTTGGGAGAGGGCTATGGAGCCGTCGGCGATGATGGGGTTCGCCGGTACGTACTTCATGTGCTCGCGCTCGTAGGCCAATAGTATGAGATGTTCAAAATATGGAGAAAGTATAAGTTAGAGAGATAGACTCCATAGGGAAGATTTTTTTTTTTTTTTTTTTTTTTATGCTGGGAGTAGAAGATGAACAATGAAAAGAGAAGACGAATAGAAATGCGAAATGCTACAGAGAAGAGTAGACAAGCGGTTGACAGAGTTTGCTCCGCTGCCTTAACACTCTATTTATACGTTCCCATCATGACCCAACACGTCCTTGCACAACTCTCGGGTTCGGATTGAGTACTCTGGATACCCATACATAATGCGAGGGGGACATCAATGGGCAGGTAAGCTGGGTTATGAAAACACCCACAACACCGTTGCGGCAATGCACATGCTAAAAAGTGCAACGCGCAAAAACGTCCGAAAAAAGAATGAACAGACGAAACTTATTTCTTAAGTCCATGTGCCTCCAAATGCAAAGCCCAGAAGAATTGGTCACCACTCCCTCTTATATTTGAAAGAAGGAAGCTGGGCCTACTGTAACTGGTGCCTAAATCCGAATAATTATTTAGTTTGTCCGGACAATGGCATTAGATCAACCTTGGCATTCCTAGGATTCGATGATAACGTTCATAAGCAACATCAGTAAAAACCCTGGGTGCAATGCCATGCCGCAACAACCTACGCATCTTTCTTTTCTAAGACATACGGCGATAATAGACGACCTTGTGCAGGACCAATGTCAAGTGCGGCCAAGCTTAAACGAAGCGGTTGATGTCCTTTAAAATCAAACCCGTGTTTACAAAGTAGTTTTCAATTAATGACATTTTGATATTCAGCCCCCAGAGCGAACTCAAAAGTTCAGACATAGCCACTCAGTTAGACGCTAGTCTTTCCACAAGTCCATCACATCTTCCTTTGTCAAGCCCCTTCTCAAGCAAAAGAGCATCATTGGTGTTCCCGGTATGGATCTATTGTAGTTCTTTTATTGCCTCTGTACAAGTAATATGCAATGTATTATGAAACTATATGTAAAAACGTGGAAAAGAGGGGAACAGCTTGATGGGGAAAAAATACAGGTTTTTGGAGAGGGGAGGACTTGAATACAATATTGTTGAGAATATTTAATCGACCTCCTCGATGGTGGGCTCGGAAGCACCCTCGCCAGGGAAGCCACCGGGGGCAGCGCCGGCACCGCCCATGGGGGGAGCACCGCCAGCACCACCGTAGACCTTCATCATAATGGGGTTCGAGATCTCCTCGAGGTGCTTCTGCTTGGCATCGAACTCCTCCTTCTCGGCCTCCTGGTTCGCATCCAACCAGGAGATGACCTCCTCACAGGCATCGGTCAAGGTCTTCTTGTCAGCAGCGTCGAGCTTGCCGCCAACCTTCTCGTCAGCGATAGAGTTCTTGATGTTGAAGGCGAAGGACTCGAGACCGTTCTTGGCCTGGATACGGGAAGTGGCAGCCTCATCCTCAGCCTTGTACTTCTCGGCCTCAGAGACCATGCGCTCGATATCCTCCTTCGAGAGACGGCCCTTGTCGTTGGTGATGGTGATCTTGTTGGCACGGCCGGTCGACTTCTCGACGGCAGAGACGTTCAAAATACCGTTGGCATCAACATCGAAGACGACCTCGATCTGGGGAACACCGCGGGGAGCTGGGGGAATGCCAGTGAGCTCGAACTTGCCGAGCATGTTGTTGTCCTTGGTGCGAGCACGCTCACCCTCGTAGACCTGAATCAAGACACCGGGCTGGTTATCGGCGTAGGTCGAGAAGGTCTCGGACTTCTTAGTGGGGACGGTGGTGTTGCGCTTGATGAGGGCAGTCATGACACCTCCGGCGGTCTCAATTCCGAGAGAGAGGGGAGCAACATCGAGCAAGAGAAGATCCTGGGTCTTCTCGGAGGTGTCACCGGTCAAGATAGCGGCCTGGACGGCAGCACCGTAGGCGACGGCCTCATCGGGGTTGATGGACTTGTTGGGCTCCTTGCCGTTGAAGAAGTCAGAGACCATCTTCTGGATCTTGGGGATACGGGTGGAACCACCGACGAGGACGATCTCGTCGACGAGACCCTTGTCGATCTTGGAGTCACGAAGGACCTTCTCAACGGGCTCCATGGTGTTACGGAAGAGATCCTGGTTGAGCTCCTCGAAACGGGCACGGGTCAAGGAGGTGTAGAAGTCAACACCCTCGAACAACGAATCGATCTCGATCGAGGTCTGGGCAGAGGAAGAAAGAGAGCGCTTAGCACGCTCGCAAGCAGTGCGGAGACGACGGAGAGCACGGGGGTTGGCAGAGAGATCCTTCTTGTGCTTGCGCTTGAACTCCTGGACAAAGTGGTTAACGAGACGGTTGTCGAAATCCTCTCCTCCCAAATGGGTATCACCAGCAGTGGCCTTGACCTCGAAGATACCGTCCTCGATGGTGAGGAGCGAGACATCGAAGGTACCACCACCGAGATCGAAAATGAGAACGTTCTTCTCGCCGACGGTCTTCTTGTCCAAACCATAGGCAATAGCGGCAGCAGTGGGCTCGTTGATAATACGAAGAATGTTCATACCGGCGATGGCACCAGCATCCTTGGTGGCCTGACGCTGAGAGTCGTTGAAGTAGGCGGGGACGGTGACAACGGCGTTGGTGACCTTGGTTCCGAGATAAGCCTCAGCGGTCTCACGCATCTTGGTCAAGACCATGGAGGAGATTTCCTCGGGGGTGAAGGTCTTGGTCTCTCCCTTGAACTCGATCTGAATGTAGGGCTTGGTGGCCTTATCGACGACCTTGAAGGGCCAGTGCTTCATGTCGGACTGGACATCCTTGTCATCGAAGCGACGACCAATGAGACGCTTGGCATCGAAGACGGTGTTGATGGGGTTCATGGCGACCTGGTTCTTGGCGGCGTCACCGATGAGACGCTCAGAGTCGGTGAAGGCAACATAGGAGGGGGTGGTGCGGTTACCCTGGTCGTTGGCGATAATCTCGACACGGTCGTTCTGCCAGACGGCAACGCAAGAGTAGGTAGTACCGAGATCGATACCGACAGCTAATCGACGAAAAAGAAAAAAGAATGAAGACGATCGATGGTGAGTGCTTTGTTCTATGTGCCACAGTGGTCGTGTGCAAGTCGTAATACAGGGGTACGGAGGTACAGGGGTACAAGGGCAGCGGAGGCCGCCATGCACGTGATGGTGCAAGAGGGACAAAAAGAAGCCCATGGAACAAAACGGACGGGAAAAATTTGTATGCCTGCTCCAGAGTGGGTACGAATGCAGACGGGATGCGAAACACAGAAGAAAAGGGCGGCCGGGGTACCAAGAAAAAAAAATGTGGTAATCTTGTCATAATATGCAAAAGCCGTGCTTGCCCTTGTCGACGAAACAATGGATGCAGATCAATTGCTCCCTGCGGTAATATGGAGTGGGTCTACTCCAGTTCCAGGTCCATGTCCAGGTTCAGGTACAGGTCCAGTAACGAGGTAAGGAGGTGTCAAATCGAATCCTGATCCCCCCTGTAACTGTCTCAGTAGTCAAGTCGAGCTGCCAACAGATCGAAATCCACTTGAGGCGAGATATGTCCAAGATCGATCCAGGGGAAGGGGAAGGGGGAGGTATGAACTTTTGCAAGGTGAAGCAGATCGTTGGTGGACGCACGGTCATTGGCTGCATAACCAATTCTCAGGCACACGAAAATAACCGCCAGTGGTGGCAATTGGAAAGTGGGGGCGGAAGAAGAGGGTGATTGAACATGCCTCTCTTTTGATCTTCCCTTGGCAAGAGATATCAAAGGAGCAACAAGCTCATAACAAAATAAAATAAAATACAAAAAGGCAACAGGGAGGATGGCGATAATGATCAATGGTGGTTGGGGGTGCTTACCTTTTCCTTCAGACATGATGTATAGGAGTGTATGTGAACGTGGGGTGAGAGTGAAGTGAAGAAGAAAAAAAAAAAAGTGCAGAGATCGAAAGTGAGCATGTATTTTATATCCACCTCGCCCCTTCCTTTTCCTTCTACAGCATTCTATCGCGCGCCATTCTTCTTTCCATGGCATAGAACACACGCGAATCGTCTGGTAAATTTTAGCTTGTAGGAGCATCATTTTCACGTACAGGTATTGAGACGCAGTCTGTACGTGAAAATGATCTCATTCGAATCATCGAGCAGTTGCCAGAGATAGACAGCCCCCAGAGATAGTCAACACTGCTACTGCTTGTCCTTCGCGAGTGTTCCCGTCTGCTCTCGTCCTCTGATTCATTGGTGCAGTGCATATCCCTGGCAAGCAACAGCAACAACAAGAAAGAAAGAACTACATCCTATGCCATTTTCATATGTTGACGAGTACCTGCATTCCGTGATCTTGTGCAACGACTTTTTATTTTATGTCAGTAGAAAGGAATTCTGAGGGAGGAACGTCTGTGCGTCGATGATGCAGCAAAACGATCGATCGTTATGAAAAGTGCAGATGGAAGACTCGCACGGTCTGTACAGTGTCCTCATCAAAGAAGAACAAGTGTTCTGTGTCCCTCAAGGGAATCTCTTCAATCTCTACACCGGAGCATTCTTGCTCTATGTAACCAGCAGCGCAACAATAAGATACAAGGATTTTCAGAATATTAGTTATCATGATGACGATCCGCCTCCCCTCCCAATAACAACAACATCGGATGTCTCGAAACCCAGCTAACACCTTTTTGAAGGCCACCGTCCAGTCGAATATTTGGCCTAAGGATTTATTCACTTGAAGCACTTACTGATTCGGGCGAAGAAATCGACAAAAGTCTGAGGGTTTCTGATGGCCGAGGACATGTAGGCGGACACACCCTTGACGAGGATAGCCTTGAGCACAGATACCAGCGGGACGATATTTGTGGGATCGTATGTCTATCACATCGATTCGCACTTCTCTCGTTCAGTATACAGATAAAAAAATAAAAAAAAAACTGTGAAGTACTTCGATTCGAGTGAAATTGTAAAAACCATTCTCTTACCAAATCAGACAGAATTAGGACTTCGGCCTCTAATGCAGCGATTTGCTCTTCTGTAAAGCTTTCCCAGTCAAGGAGACTCGCTGTTGTCGGGCATGACACATTATCTTTCGATGACGGTTAGGAGAATAGGACAAAATTATCAGTCAGTGGTCAATGAGACAAAGGAAGTCTTGAAATGCAACAGCAAAAAAAAGAAAAAAAGAAAAAAGAAAATATGTATAAACGTTACTGTAGGTGATATTCTGGCTCGCCATGGTTAGGACTTCAGTATTGCCATCTGTCAACACAACTCTCTTCGCACCGAGGGACGCGCAAGCAATACCGAGGAAGCCGACCCCGCATCCGATGTCAACGACGTTCTTTCCTGTAATGGATTCTAGTAGATTATACACAGTTTTTTTTAGGGTGGGGTTCGAGTTATGCATGAGGTGGCCATAATATGTCGCTGCGCTTTGTTCGAATACGCGACTCGTACCTGGATGAGCGATAAGATACTCTGCCAGCCAGAAGCTATCCTCAGAGGAAAAGAATCAAGCGCCGTTAATGAAAAGTATCATACCAGGGAAGGCGAGATATATGGACCATCTTTGCTCTGCATTTTCACCTTGCTTCCCTAAAGAGATAATACAAGCACAAGCCAGACGTTTCAATAGGGTTAGCTCTAAGACGTCCTCTAAATATGTCAAAATATTTTGGTCCGACGCTTTCAACAATAATGAATCTGCTCCTTACCATGTCCTCAGGCCCGTAGTTCCAGAAGAGATCGTCGTCTGTTCCTCCATGACAGTAACGATTTTTTTGCACTCCCGATCCAGACTGTACGATTTGAAGCAGGGCTTTAATGGTGGTCCTCCTGCTTCTGGCCTATCAGATGGAACAGTAAGAGGTGTTTCCATTACGCACGATACATACAGCGTGCATATATTTTCCAACCAGTTTAGTCCAAGGGCACCAGTTATAATTGATAGACCAGATGTGAACTTGCCTTAGCGGTGCAGTCATCATGAGTTCTGTAAAGACTTCCAACAGACCCTCCGAGATCTCAGAGGTATCCTCTTCTTCGATCATCGAGATCAACTTTTTGAGGAACAAATGTTGATATGTTGACGAGGGAGGGTGCTTCATTACCTCTGAGTCGTAAAATATCTGATTTCATTACGTGTGCAAAGCACGTTAGTTCTCGCGGCACTTTGTCTTATCGACTGAGGAAAAAAAAAATGCCTTGTAAAACATGTCGAGTATAACGAACCTGATCAAGAATTGCCTGCTGCATCTCTGGGCTTGTTACTGATGGTACAGACTCAGATTGGCCACTTGGAGATGTGCTGGGAAGAGACCATTGAAAGTGTCGAAGCTGGCGCATCTGGAGGAGCTGCCGCTTGATCAGCAGCATCAGTTCCTGCTGTGCGTTGCCGTCCATTTTATAGGTGAGCGAGTGGTATAATTTGTTCCGCGCTCGACTGTACTTCCTAGTTATGATATCCTAGTGATCCTGGTATTCCTGATAATACTAGTAATCCTGGTGAACTAAGGACCCTGGTAAGCTTGATATCCTTTGTATCGGGTTCCTGTCCCTTGCTGTGTTTGAGGTCAAGAAGCGGTTGAAGTGAATGCTCCTAGGGCACAACAGACCCTTTGCTCCTTTGTTAAGCCACTGAGGAGCGGAACAAACCTCGCCCTCCTGGTCTTCCTGGTGGTGGGTGAGCATATTGCTGGCACATAAACCTAAAATGGGTTCCGTACGACTTCGACCTTGATTGGGCACCTACACTCCTTGTCTCCATCCCATCCCATCCCTTCCTTTTTTTTTTTTCTTGGTTCCCACTGAACTTCCTCATACCCAGCACCCCTCCTTCCTCCTCCTCTCCCTCCTCCTCATCGTCATCCTTTATCTCTCCTCTTGTGGACAACCCCGCATTCCTTCCTCCATTCGTTCTGCATCATCTTCCATTAACATATCCTGCTCAAAGGCCGTTCTGCCATGAACTACCACCCACGCTTACCACAGCAAGCCGGTAGCACCACCACCATCACCAGTGTACACACAATCACCAGCAACTCTCGAGTACCATACGCAAGCCGACGAGGCCTGACGTCTCTCTTCCTCCTCTGGCTCTGTGTCTCCCTGATCCTCTCCACAACCACTGCTCAGGCGGATGAGGTCCAACCACCCCAGGGGCCCCATCAATTATCCAGAGAAGACTTTGATTTGTACTTTGGTAAGTTCTTCTCAATCATGCCATCCCCATATTTCTTTGCTGACATGGTCTCGTATTACATGGTTGTTGTTGTTGTTTTACTATTATTATTTATTTGTGCCAAGGACGATCGAAGGATGTGACAAAGCCCATACAATTGCCGTGGATTCAAGGATCAAACATATTCGACAAATAGAAAAGAAAACACCCCTCCCCCATCTCCCCAAGGATGGTTGCTTTATGAGCAGCAAAGGAGTACTCAAGCATACATGCACACCTATCCACCATCGACTTTGACCTCTACCCCCCTCTTAACCTGGAACGCTCAATGGACAAAGAAAATAATCGCTCATTTGGTCTCATGCTTAAATTTTATTATAATTAACACCACCCCACCTTTCGTCCCTTTCCTCATCGTCGCTCTTTTTTTCAACACAGAGGACGATGTAACATGCACAGTGCACGGTGGAGAATGCTGTTCCGACATGAATTCAATCGACTGTCAGGGCTGGTTCTGTATCGGTGGAACCTGCGCCGCCCTTCGCTGCAACTACTGCTCCCAAGACCCCGATTGGTTCTGTGGATCTGTCGAGGGTGTCACTCAGAACCAAGGTCAGGCCTGTAAACACCGGGCGTTCAGGGACCAACAATGCAGCAACAGCACTATGCCCTGTATGAGCCAATTAACCTGTGCGGCCTCGAATAACACATGTCAGTTCACACCCGAACGGTGGGAGGAGTATCAGGAAGAGGTCAAGTCTAGGAGGATTACCATGGCAGGGATGATTATTGTGTTGATCGGGATGTTCATTGCCATGCGGCGGATGCTCAAGAACGAGGAGGCCAGGAGACGACAGATTTGGGAACCGGTTGATTCAAGCGCGGAAGGCTCGATTCTGAGACGACTCGCGGAAGATACGCAACGGAGGGTCGCGGGAGGGTGGGGTCAGATCAGTGGGTCGCTCGTCGAGGGCGGGAATGCGGCAAGTGCGGCTGTTGGGACTGCATTCTCGAGGCTCAGGGACAACGTCAGGAATGTGACCAGTGGTCGAGGCGGGCGTCCGGAGGATTGTGATGATGATTCTTTGGAGATGCTGCCGAACGGACGACGTGCGCAGACGAGGAGAGAGCTGGAGGAGGATATGAGAAACTTCTTGTTGGAGGCCGATGATGAAGAAGAGGATGAGCATGAGCATACTTGGGATCGGTCCAGAGATGAGGACGGGCTGCTGGAGAGACATCAAAGCAGCAGTAGCAATAGCAGCGCAGTATCTTCTGGATCTCATGTTCGATCGGATAACACGATCTCACCAATGCCGTCGTCCACCCAACCTGGAGGGTTCCCAGATGAGCCGCCAGCGTACGACGAGATCAGGATTAGTGGGCACGGACAACCTTCGCTGATCGCAGGACTGAACAGCAGCAGCAACAGCAGCAGCAGCAGCAGTAGCAATAGCGGCTCCAGTACGCCGAATCCAACATAAGGGAGGCATTAATACCATTTGTGGCACTCGTTAAAAAAAAAAAAAAAAAAAAAAAATGAGACCATCATGGTGCAATTCAGTAATAAAAAAAAATGTACAATTATACTAAAGACGCGTATAGACGTACGTATAGGACATGATCGGGCTGTTGGGCCCTGCTTTTATTACGTTCTTAGAATCACTATTCAGGGCGGTCGCAAAAACAGCCCATTCCCACATTTCTGGGGAAGGAGGGAGGGGTTGTCACGTTTTGTGAATCGAATGGCGACATCGGGGCCTGAGGCAAGATAAGGTTTGAAATGAAAAAAAAACTTATTTGCAAAAAAACATTAGAAAGTACCTGTTACTGTACGCTACAAAAAAAAAAATGAAAAAAATGAAAAAAATGAAAAAAATGAAAAAAATGAAAAAAATGAAAAAAATGAAAAAAATGAAAGAAAGAAAGAAAGAAAGCACGAGAAGAGATAGATAGGTATATCCGAGCCCCCCGGAAGATGGCTCGCTACAATATAGAAGGGCGGTAGTCTATGATGAAGCTTAGCTACAAGTACAAAAAAATATGAGTGAAGAGAGAGATGTTACGAGGATGAAAAAGGAGAGGGGCATGTTACAAAGCAAAAAAAAAAAAGTAATGAAGTGAGGGACCGGAGTCAAGTCCCGCAAATACAATATGTGCTCAAAAAAGAAGAAAAAGAAAAAAGAAAGCTAACGATCGATATAAAAGCGATTTCAGATATCGCTTGAACCTGCCACTGTATCCAGCTGCTTCGGATCTTGTGCCAGAGCATCACAGGCCCATCCAGCAATCAAGATCCCCGGCGGCCGGTACCCGACCTCCTTCACGACTTTGACCACGCTCTCGATCGTGGCCCTGACACATCTCTGATCCTTTGCACTTGCACGCTCGACGATCGCTACGGGTAATTGTCCAGGGTACCCTGCCCGGATCAGGTCCTGAACCAGTCCTTCAAGTCGATGAAGGGCCATCAGGAAAACTGTGGTCCGATGGGGGACATAAGTCGGCATTTCGGGGATGCTGTCGAGGGATCCAGTGCCGGTGCAGACGAGGAATTGGGAGGCGACTCCACGGTGAGTCAGGGGAATGTTGGCGAGGAGGGGACCGGAGATGGAAGAGGAGAGACCAGGGACGATGGTGGGCTCATAGCCTAGGCGACGGAAGAAGAGATATTCTTCTCCACCTCTTCCAAAGATGAATGGATCTATCAGGGGGTTGAAAAAGAGGATGGGATGGGGGAGAAGGGGAGGTTAGGCGTGGACGAGAGACTATATCTGATTAAGTTGCAAGGGCGTAGTAGTGTCCTGCCCTCCTCGTCCTTCTCGTCCAGGGATGATCCTATTTGCTTACCTCCTTGCTTCAAGCGGACGACTCGCATGCCTTGCTGAAGTGCCTGTGTGGCCCGTTCAAACAGTTCCTGCTGTCCTGACGCCTGACATCCTTTATCTTTGTTCGCAACGAAGAGTGGACACGAGACCAGGGCGAGGATTTCCTTCGATACTAGCTTATCTGCAAGGACGATGTCTGCCCAAGAGGTGATGGCCTTGTAAGCCGCCATGGTCAGCAGATCCGGATCCCCGGGGCCTGCACCGATAAGTTTGATCTCACCGATACGTGTGTGTCCGTGGCCTTGTTGCGAGGATGTTACTGATGTTGTTGTGGCTGTTGATGTTGATGTTGAAGAAGAGGTAGGGGTGCTCTCGATGTAGTAGTGCCGAGGCGAGGCAGGCGGACTGTCATATGGGTTGGTCATCTTGGTTGTAAACAGTAGCGGATTGTCCTGATAGCTTGTGGAGTGGTCTTCGTTGGACTTGGTTGATGCGGGCGGGCTGTTGCTTGTTGGTGAAGAATGAGAGTGAGAAGAGAAGAGAAGAAAAGAAGGAAGGAAGGAAGGAGAAGAAGGAGGGGAGGAGATAAAGGCGTTCAGGACAGGATAATTAAACGGAAAAAAAGAAAAAAAAAAAAAAAAAGATCGATCTTCATGGCGCCATATCCACTCATATCATATCGAAACATCGAATATGGACGTGACATTCGGGAGTGCCTGGGCAAATAGCCTTCGCCCGACGAGACGGAGGGACGACGAAGCTGTGAGAATTGTGTGAATTGTTTGAAATCAATCGGAGATGGTGTCATTTTTCCGTATCCCCAGATGGACTGCTTTCTAGGTGCAACACCTTCCTCGCACGCCATTGGATAATTAGACAGGACCACTTCAAATCAAGGGACACGGACCAAAGCAACGGCTCATCCTGCATCCCTGCCTACTTACAATGCAGTCTACTATGCACCGTAGGATATGAATGGACATGTATGTAGTTACCATGCATTTAACCACCCAAGCGCAGACTACAGTTACCCCTCACCTGCCTTTTATCTCTGTCGACGACCTGAGCTTTTCTAAGCATGAACAATCATAGGACCACGAAAAGCGCGTCTTATTCCTACCCTATCCATTACCATTGCTGGACGGACAACATCTATCGAAAGTCGCTTTTTTTTTTTTTTTTTTTTTTTTTCCTGAGTAGACGCACCAACAGACTAATAGTCAGGGAAAAAAAACATAACAAAGTGGGCTGCTGAAGGATGCCCAGACCACCATCCCAAGGGGATTGTCAACAAGCCAGCAACTCCTGTTCAAAATGCATCTTTACCTTCCCTCCTCCCCCCCCCCCCCCCCCCTGACAAAAGAGTAGCCTTTCAAACCCATCGCACACTCGCACACTCGCTCGCACAATGAACAAATAAATTAACCGTCGTAAATGAGCGTCTGGACAGGACGACAGAACACAAAGAAATAACATCCAGCATCTTGCATCGATCGTGCTGCCAAGTATATGCTTCCTTCCCCTCGATTGCTCGTAGGTTCTAGAGAGCATGGCCATAGTAGTATAGCATTTCTAGTTTATTTGGGTAACAGTGCACCTCGCAATTAGTTGAATTAGATGTGTTTGCTTCTAAAAAAAATGCACGCTTTATTTTGTATGTACAAGGTCTCTTTCAGAAAGACCCAATTTAACCTCTGCTCCGCTCAATAATGCGGACATCCTCCTTGATCTCCGGCAGCGTCAACACCCCCTCACCCGACCGTGTAGGTCGGTCCAAGAACCCGACCTTGACCAAATATGCCAAGTAAACACCGATCTGTTCAGAATCCATCCTTGGCGTCGCATCGAACCCACCATTCCTCGTACCTTGCACAACCACCTTCTGCGTGTGCGCATCGTCCAACTCTGGAGATTTGGTCGCCGTCGGCAGATCATCCATCACCAAGTGCAACAACGGGTACAATGCACTGTCCTGGCTCTTGAGGGTATAGTCCATCAACGCTGTTCTCCACGCAATGTACTCTGTCGTCTGCACCTCGTATCCAAACTTCACCAGCTGCTGGAAGAAATCGTTGAACCTAAACGGTGGTGCGATAGGATGCGTAACATGGTACACCATCGGCTCCTCCGATCCAGGCGTCGTCGCCACAGAGGTCACACACTGTGCAACATAATCCACAGGGCACAAGTTCACAGCGTTGTTCATGTTCGGCACCGATCCGAGCTCGATGCATCCCTTGATCAAACGCCAGATGAAATCGTCCGTGTTCGTTACTCCAGTACGAGTGTGGCCCAGCACATAACCAGGGCGGATAATAGTCGCAGGCAACCCGTTCGCGTTCGCCGTCATGATCAGCTTCTCGGCCACCCACTTTGACTGTCCGTATCCGCTGCGAAGACCGAATCGAGCTCCCTCCAGATCATCCGTCTCTGGGACACCACGACGGTTGCTGTCCGCAAGCGCATCCGAGAGCTCAACATAGTGCGCCGTGTCCAGAGCCGAGGTTGACGAAACAAAGTGGAACGACTTGGTATGGTAAGTGCTTGCCATCTTGAGTCCCTGCAGTGTGCCCAGAACATTGGCCGCTCTCAACTTGGGGTAAGGGTACACCCAGTGAACAAGGGCTCCGTTGTGGACAATCACATCCACTTGGCGACAGCACTTCTCCCAGACCTCGCTGCTTAATCCAAAGTGATCAAGGCCCAAATCTCCCATCACCACAGTCAGACGGCCCGAGGTCACCCATTCTTCGTTCCAGATCAGGTGCGTCTCTCCACAGGCTCGGACACGGTCCATAGCTTTGTCCTCGGACGAGGCACGAACCAAGCAAATCACATGTGCAGTCGGGTTATCAGCAAGCAAATTGCGCAGAATAAACGCTCCCAAGAATCCAGTGGCACCAGTCAGGAAGAACGTCTGGTGATCGACGGCATCCTGGCGCACGACTCGAGGATACTCTGCCTGGATCTCGGTCTTGCTCAGGGCTTCGAAGTCGCCGCTGTAGTCGTACTCCTTCTCCTCCTCCTCGACCTGGTTGCCTTCCTCGTCAGGCTTGTCGACATCCAGCTGAAGAGAATCCATGCTCACACGATCGACCTCCTTGGCCATGCCACCAATCGTCGGCTCGCGGAAAACCAAGTTGAGAGGCACATCCACGCAGCAAACGCGACGCACCTCGAAGATCAATCGTGTCGCCAAAATGGAGTGACCACCAAGATCGAAAAAGTTCTCGTTCAGAGGGATCCAAGTAGGACTCGATGGCAGGAGCTGCTTCCAGATGCTGTGGATCGCAACCTGAGTAGGGGTCATGGTTGGTCCATTCGAGGGAGCAGACTCGGCAGCAGCACCAGATGTAGCTGCAGGCGTCACGTTGTTGTTGAACTGAGGGGTGTCAGGGAATGGCAATGCGTTCTTATCAACCTTTCCGTTGGGGGTCAAAGGCATTCTCGAGAGGGGCACAAACACGCTGGGAACACTATATGCAGGGAGCTTGACCTTGAGCCACTCGCGGATATCGCGAATGAGTCGGCGGTATCGTCGCTTGTTCTCCGAACCATCATTATTCGAGCCCTCATCCGCGCTGCTCATAAAGATCTCGTCCTCGCTGGGTGCCACAGGAATGAAGTAGCTGACCAATGTCTGCTCCTCGTTCTTGTCACGACGGACCAGCGTCACATTTTCGCGCACCAAGGGGTGCTGTGACAGGTGCGTGTCAATCTCGCCCAACTCAATACGGAATCCGCGAATCTTGACCTGGTCATCAGCACGACCAGAGCACTCGACGTTTCCATCAGGACGGTAACGACCCAGATCGCCAGTGCGGTAGAGACGGTCTCGACGGCCCTTCCAGTGGCCATTCCACTCGGGCTTGCCATTCGTCTCTTCAGGACCTGGGGCAGCCAAGCTCTCACCAAGCCAGTTGGTCAAGAACTTCTCCTGAGTGGCCTCCTCCAATCGCAGATAGCCCTCAGCCAGACCTCCTGCGCGGACATAGATCTCTCCGACCTCGCCAACACCACAGAGACGTTGGCTGACACGGTTGATGACCAACAGCTGCACGTTGAGCATACCACGACCGGCAGGCATAACGTCCTTCTCAGAGCTCAAGAACAGGGGTTCGATGGCAGTCGCAGGAATCGAATAGTACGAGACAGCGCGCTGGGTTTCCGTGGTTCCATACATGTTGATGGTCCTGCAGTTGGCGGCAATCTTTTGCAGGCGATGGACATCGCGCTTGGTCAGAATATCACCAACAAAGAAGGCGTTCTTGAGCGAGGGGACCGGGTTCTGGGCATGTGAGGTCAAAAGCTGACCCATAGCTGGGGTCAAATGGGTAACTGTCACAGCACTGTTCTGCATCCAGACAGCCAGCTGGCCTGGAATACCGATGTCCTCCGTGGTAGGGATGTGCAGCTGAGCACCCAAAAACAGGGGGGTGAAGATATCACGTTGGATGGGGTCGTGCGCGATGCCAGAGAGCATTGTAAAGCGGTCCTGATCACTCAGACCGAATTCTTGCTGCATCCATGTGTAATAGTGCGTCAAGGAGAAGTGGCGACCGCGGACACCTATGATATATAAAGAAGTCGAGAATAAGGCGCAACATATTAGAGACGCTGTTCTGGTAATGAAAAGTACGATGGTGTCACACCGCGTGATCTAGCGGATATGTCCTTACCCTTAGGAATTCCAGTACTTCCGCTGGTGAAGCTGAGGGTACCGATGCTGTCAGGGCCAACAACAACTCCAACGTCCTGAGCAGCCAAGTCTTTGACTGCATCGAGGGCATCGATGCCTTGACTAGTCTGACCTCCAAGAACACCGCCATTGCCGGTGATCTGGAGTCCAGGGATCTCGCAGGCGACTTGGAAATCCTGTCCTTCCTCGATGTAGTCGCGAACAATCGGATCCAGGGTTCCTGCATGGGCGAGAACAATTAAGCCGCGAGGACGTGCGACCGAAAGATAAATCTTTTGGCGAGTGGGAGGGTATGCAGGATCTACAATAATCACAATATGCAAGTGTTAACATCAGATCGAAATATCCAAACAGACAAAATAGAAATGAGAGCAAGAGCGTGCAACGTTGGCCTACCAATGACACTGAAGGTTGCGCCGGCCTTGAGGACGGCCATGACTGCAATGACAAGATCGACGCCGCGGTAGGCATAGACCATGACCACATCCTGGGGCTGAATACCGCCCTTGACGAGAGCATGGGCAACCAAGTTGGAGGCCAGATGGAGCTGGCCAAACGTGTAAATGTGTTTCTGCTGACCGACCACGCGACCCGAACCGTCTTCGCTCAAAATGTCTCTGCTCTCAAAGACACACTCCCTCTCTGGGAACTGCTTCGCATTCCTGGCAAAGATGTCGTGAATTGCACCTGGCCAATTGGACCAATGCAGATCCGCGGATGGGTCAGGCAAGACATCGCGGCAGGTTGGGGTAACGATTCCGATATCGCTGACCAAGATGTCGGGATTAGGGCCAGCGATGTTGAGGACCTGGACCAGCTGATCCAAGATGTGCTGGATACGCCTCATGGAGAAGAGAACCTGGTTGTACGAGACCTTGAGTTCAATCTCGGGGAGGAGACCGAAGCGGAGAGAGGAGCTTGCATGGGAGATGAGGGTGATGGTCAGATCGGTGGTGGCCGAGGTTGAGTTGAGGACCTGATCCGAGGGTGTGTCAAGTTCGTTGAAGAAGCGGACGCGGAAAAGCGAGGGCGTGGTTTGCTGAGTCTGGGTCTCGGTGTTGCCGGCGTTGGGGAAAAGATGGGCCAACAGGGCGGCAAAGGGCACCTCGTCATTCGCAGCATCCCTTTCGGCCTTAAAAATAATAATAATAGTAATAAAATAGAATACAACAGAAATAGAGCATACAAGCAAGCAGAGCAAGGTTAGGATTTTTCAATGGTGTCAGTCGATCTGGAAAAAGAGATCGATGCGATATGGATATCACCGCACACGTCCCTTGATTGGCTGCCATGATTCTACAGCATATCATAAAACTCACTGTCACAAATGAAACTTACAAGCTGAGTCTGCTCAACGACCTCGCGGAAGGTCTGGCTGGGTGTAACGCCCAAACGGAGAACAACCGGGTTGCGTGCCTCTGAAGACGATCCAATCGACATGTCCTCGTCGCCAGTATACCGGTGCAACAGAATTGCGAATGCTGCGAGCAAGATCGTGAAGGGCGAGGCATGTGAAGAGGCCGCGGACGACGTGGGCGAATGTGATCCTGATACTGATCGACTGGCTGCAGTTGACTGTGCAGCCGAGGGTGCTGCAGAGGTGGCAGGTCCTGCGGGACGGTTGATCGCCATGCTGGCCTGCAGCAGCGCAAGCGAGGTCTGCTCAGGCAGCTGGAGCGAGTGTACGGCCTCGACGACCTGCAAAGGAATCGGGCGGGGGTAATCTGTCGGCAGATGGATCTCTGTCAGGGCATCAAGTCTGGTCTTCCATCTTGCAAGGCGGTCCTTGAGTGCGGCCGCATCAGCGCTGTGTGGTTGATTCGAGCTAGGCTCCTGGACAGGAAGGACGGCAGTGGCAGCTGGAGGCATTGAGAGATAAATGTTCTAAGAAAAGAAAAGGCTTGAATGTATGTGTTCGTACTTAGGATGTGGTGGCGAGATGCTAGAGAGAATGAAAATGAAGGGGTAAAGGTCTATGTTGGGATGAGGGGAGTGCGATGAAGTGTATATACAAAAATGCAGGATCGTGTGCTGGAATGAATGGATAGGGAAAGAAGAAGAAAAAAGAAAAAGATGCAATGTTGCAAATGTGTAAAGGAGGAGAATGGTTACCGCCGCCGCTCCCTTTTATACTCTCTCCTGGAAAGGACGAATGGGCCATTGAGATGGCCGATAATAAAGAGGGACCACTGATGATCGATCTGTGCGTAACTTTGACCAGACAAGGACTCCCTCGTATCGACAATCGCATCGATTGGCCCGAATGAATACAGGATGAATGAATGGATCGAAATGAACCCAGTGACTGTGATACCCGATTCGATTATCTTGCTAATGTGGGGAACAGATCGCTCTCCTTTTTGGTGGCGCTAATTTGCTGCCTCCCAGTGCCCTATTTTTCATCTCCCGCACTAAAACCGTGTCTGCATCGTTGGGCCTTAAACCAGATGTTTGGATTTTGAACCAATGTTTTTTTATTACATAACGGAGGAGGTATCTTTGCATATCGAATCAATCGATTGGGGGGAAAAGAGAGGGTAATGAGAAGAATGGGAAATGAGACAGAGAATATGAACACTATGAATATGGAAGGTTTTTTTTTTTTTTTTTTTTTTTTTTTTTTTACATGATAAATAACACAAGAATGTTGGATATATGTGCAAACGAAAGTGCAACATCGCAGCTCAGCTTTAGCTTGCCATTTCAGACAGCTCCATGTCGCGCGCCAATGTCTGTGGGTAGTGATGGGATCCTGCTCCCAAACTCACGCGGCTAGCGCGTCCGTTTCTTGAGGGCGTATTCGGAAGACTCCTTCCGCCACCGGGTGTCATCGCACCCTTGCTGAATCCAAACGGACTTTGCGTCCCATGGTGGGTTATGCCAAAATAACCGGGCGATGCCATCGGGGACTGTGTCAGCATGTGTGCACTCGCACTCATCGACATCATTGGAGCTGTCGCATGGCGTCCAGGGCTGTTCTGCAGCTGCTGATCAAAGCCCAAGAGCTCCTTCCTGCGAGCATTGGCAGATCCGCTTGGGTATACCGCAAATGACCGTCTTCGATGGTGTGCTGGTCGAAGAACAGTGCCACTAGCGGTCATGGCACTGGGACCCCCCATAGGAGACATCGAAAGCTGGTGCTGAGACTGGTGCAACGAGCTAGCGCCAAACTCTCCATTATCATATCCGAGAACCCCGTGCTGTGATGCCGGTCGACCTGGCTGCTGTACGTGTTGTCGATTGAGGCCAGTTGCTGGCGACATGGGCCCGGAAGTGGCATCCGACCGACCGCGGGAATGCGTTGATAGCCGGTGCTGCTGCTGCTGCTGCTGAGACTGGTATTGGAAGAGCGGCGGAGCCGGGATGCAGAACTTGCGAGCACCAATGGTACTGGCACGCCGTCTAAGAGGCGGACGAATCTGGCTCTGATACAGGGTTTCGTTTTCGTTCTCTCCGCTGTTATTGGCCACTGCAATCGTGCTGATCTCATGTGCTGCATTGATGTTGGTTGTCTCGTTGCGAGCACCACTGGTACTGCTCCCATTTCGGCTGCTATCAGCATTGCCCTTCTCGCCTCGACGCAATTGCTGAGACTTCGACTGAGCATCTTGGACAATAGCTGCACTGGATACAGACGAGGGGTGGACTCTTGGCGAATGCTGCTTTCTATGCGAAATTTCGTTCACCTCATCCCTCCAGCTCCGGACTGCAGAGCGCTTATCTGGGGAGCCCTCATAGTGCACGTCCTCGGCCTCATCCTGTTGCCGTTGTTGTTGCTGGAACTGCTGTTGAAGCTGATTGTGAGAAAGAGTGCTGCTCGAGCTCATCCTGTTGGGCTTGACGCGCATCGCGTTCGAAGACGTCCTTGACAATGAAACGGGTCCCTTGGGCGAAGGCGACACCATCTGGTATCCGGAGGACGAGTGTAGTCTGCGGGGCTGCTGCTGAGTTGTACCAGAGAAGCGAGTGAGCGTCGATTTTAGAGCCAAAGATTGCGGTCGCGATTGCTGTTGCTGTTGACGTCTACCACTCAGACTCCCACTTTCGACACTGCTGCCAGGTCGCCTGCTATTGTCCGTAATGTCCTCTGGGTCTCGACCATCGTGATCAAAGTCCTCGCCCGCGTCCATCTCTCCGTTTTGAAAGTGCTGTTCCTGAGCCAGTTGCTCCAGTTGCTCTCGATTGTAGAGCCAGTCTGCATCCTGTTGCGGATTAACGTATTCCTCGGTAGTGTAGTATCCTTCATGTCCTTCCTCAAACTCAAGATCCTCCTCTTCATCCTCACGGCGATTGTTGACCAAGTAGTTCCTGCCATAGTTGTCCAGCATATCGCCCAGAACAATAGGAGCACGCTCTCGTTCCTTGGTCTGGATCACACCGCCATCGAACCATTCAAGTCTTTTGCAAGACTTGATGATTGCGGATCGGTACACGGACCGCTTCACATACTTGGCATCCGGAAGTGCTCGTCGGAAGCCAATATCGCGTCGACGCCAGTCTAGCTCTGTCTCCGAATTCTGGTTTGTACGATAAGTGTCCTGATATTTGGAGCCCTGGCCGACCGACATGACGGGGTACATATTGGATGTCAATGGATTATGTCTGCTCAATCAGTGCATAAGAGAAAGGATAGCAGTTAGCACTTGAATTCATTCATGATACACAATACAACTGCTTTTGATAATTGAATAGGAATTTTTTTCGTACCTGAGGTCAAGCGTGACAAGGGAGCGCATACGCTTGAGAAGCGACAAGATATCGCTAAAACTCTTCAGATTGTTACCGACAAAAATCAATCGCCTTAACCTATGTAGACCATCCAAGGCCGAGATTGAATCCAGTCCGTTATAGCTGAGATTCAAACCCCTTAGATTTGGGAACAGTGTTGCAAATTCTAGGGGCAGCTCAGACAGGCATCCTGCACAGACCTCAAGGTACTCAAGACGATAGAAGCCCATATCAAAGTCCAGTGCATGGATCGGATTGCCCGAGAGGTACAGCTTGCGACTGTTCACAAACTCCGTCATATCGATAGCGATACCCTCGCCTTCTTGATCGCGCACCGAAAAGTTCTCGAGGCGCGTCAGCTTCTGACAGTTCTCTAAAGACTGCAGGCGATTGTCATCCAGGTACAGGGTTCGTAGACCTGGGAATGGTGTCGCATCAAATGTCACCAATTTGTTTTCAGACAACCGCAAGATTCGGAGACGACGCAGCTGTTGCACCAGGCTGATATCCTCAATGCAATTGTGCGCTAAAATTCAAAGCAGAAAAAAAAATGCACATATATCGGTCAGATCGCTCTCAGGGTTGGAAATATTAACAAGCTCTTTGGTCAAAAATAGGGTGATCTTCTTACCAAGATTGGCATGAATGAGTCCAGTGAGCGACTCAAGGTTTTCCAGCTGCTCGATTTTGTTATAAGATGCGTTCAAGAACTCGAGACGTGTCCTAGTAATGTTACAATAGGAATTTCCAAGAAAATACGTGTTGGTGGGAAAATAACGCAAGATAAACAGCGAGTAAATCCCAGAATCAAAGCGGTCAACGACTTACAGTTTGCTCCATCTGAAGTCAAGGCTGGTCAAGCAATTGTGCGAGACATCCAGTCGGATCAGACCATCCATCTGTTGCAGTGCCGACACGCTCTTGATCTTGTTGTCCTCGGCAATCAGTTCCCTCAGATGAACTAGGCTTGACAAGCCAGTCAGGTCCTCAATTTCGTTATGAGAGATATCCAGATACTGCAGGTTGATGAGATGACTAAAGTTGGTGAGATCGCTCAGCTGGTTGGATCGAGCTTGAAGGGTCTTGACAGATATGGGGACACCCGTCAAGTAAGAAACCTGGTTCTCGTTCAAGAGCAGGACCTCGAGATTGGGGACCAAATGATCCAGCTTGATGGTACTCTCAACCTCTCTCTTGCTTAAATCCAAAGTCTTGACCTGGTCCCACTCGTCCCAAGGATGAAGTCCAGTGATGAAGCGGAGTAGATGACCCTTTGCATGACTGAATGAGGCCTGCTCGGCAAACAGACCAGAGGTATCGTGCACACCTGCGTTTGACGAAGAGCGAGTCATGCTGGCATTGATTCCGAGACGAGAAGTATCCGCGTTCGAGACAGTGTCCACCTGATCCTCCCACTTGAGCGAGTACTCACCTTTCCGCTTGGGCTTCGAGGGCAGAGACACTGCAGACAAGTATTCACCAGCACCCTCGTCGTCTGTTTGCGTTCTCCTGGCGACATCCTGATCGCACTTCGCTCCCGCCATGGTATCAAATGACATGTCTATCATAAGTATAAAAAAGAGTATAGAGCTAGGTCAGCAATGTTTCCCTGCCAGCAACTTTGAAATAGCATCGACTAAGAAAGATTATTTCGCCCTTACCAAGGCTCTCAAGTCCCCTGAATGCATCTTCCATGCCCTTGGATCCGATAAGCGACCCAAGATCATCCAACTCAGCGTCTGAATTTTCGTCCGCCTCCTCCTTGTCCTCCTCTCGAGAAACCTTCTTGAATGTCGCATCGCGCTTCTCAGTTTTGGAAAACTCATCGTCATGGTTTATGTTGCCGTGATATTCAAGAATTCTGTCAGATACATCGTCCTCCACTGTCAATTGTTGCTCTGACTGTTTCGATGCAGATGACGGCGTGTTTCTGATCGAGCTGTCCATCGCAGACTTCAGAGCTGTGGCAGTCGCCAACTCTTCTACAAAAGAACTCGTCTGTTTGGACAACCTCTTGTTTGCCAGGGCAGCATACTGTTTTGCACGGAGAGGATCAGTCTCGGGCCTGAAGCGCCTATGATGACCGTCGATTCCTCTGGCCGAGGACACGTTGACACGATCCTTGGGATGCGGTGTAGGGTCCGTGTCCTCTGGAATTATCGTCTCAAGAACAGGCTGTTGTGGAGCTGATTGTACTTCCTGTTGTTGGACATTGGTGTGGGATTGGGATTTAGTGTTGACGTTGCGAGGCAAGATCCGGGTCGTGTTCTTGGGGTCGACATCAGAGGACAAAAGTTGGGCAACGGCGGCAGTCTTAAGCGCAGTGAAGGCGTTGACCATCTCATGCTTATTGAACCCCTCCAGTTGGGCATGGAATCCTGCAGATCCCAAGGTCGATCCTGAAAGGCTGTCCCTGTAAACGCTGTCCCTCGATGTTGTGCTGCCCCGGTCGCCAATTTCTGTATCCCGTGAGCCCTGTGAGGATCCCAATATCATAAAATAGTAATCAGCAAAAGAGCGCTGCAGGGGGAATTCAGCAATAATAGAGACAACATGGAGTAATAGCATACCTGGGAACGGTGGCGAGATCCATAAGAGAAGCGAGACGAGTGAGACGAGACGGGTATATTGGACTGGGATCTACTAGTCGTGACAGCGGTTTTGATCTGCAAATTGGCATTTGCTGTCAACAAGCTGGAGGCATCTTTTGCATCATCCGAGGGAGCATGGCTTCGATTATCGTTGAGGTCGATGTTCATGGCGGCTTTGATTACTCTCATCAATCGCTGTTGTTTGAATGCCTCCTGGTTGTTTTGAAAGGCCATGGCACCTGGTGATCCTGTCACTGAGCTTGGCAGATCATCTAAACCATCTTCCTGTAGGTTTCTGTCAGGTGAGAGCTGGGCGAGACGTCTCCTTGCTTGTTCGTATTTCGAAGAACGGGCAGGGTCGATTGAATCCTCGCCTTTGTTGACTGCGTCGATAATGTCGCTCAAGCTCAGGGACGAGGATGTGTCCTCATCGCTGGCGCGACTATGCTGCTGATTACCCTTGCCTGTGCTTGCCTGTGGCCGAGGGGTGGTCGACAATGCGTCATGATCCCGCGACAGCCTCAATTGCGCATGCTCATCCGCTAGATCAGTGAAGATGGTTTCGTGTTTCGAATCTCGCCAAGGATACTTCAAAGCGCTACTGTTTTTGCGCGAGACTGGTGGGCTTTTCCTGATGTGGGTGCTGAGAAATGAGCTGCTACTGTGCTGGTCTACATCGCCAAGGAAACCCCTGCTACCGCCGTTTATATCCTGCACAGTAGTCTGAGATCGTGATCGGAGTGGGCTGTTTGTGTTCCTCTCCATGTCCTGCTGAAACTGCCTGGAGCGACTCCGGCTGGCAGGATTGGGACTTGGCATCTTTTCATTCTTGCCCATGTGGACGTTACCATGGACATTCATGTTTCTGCTGTCGTTATTGATAGTGGTGGCGGGTTTGTTGTCATTATTGTTTTTGGTGATCTCGCTATCGTTTTGTTCATTAAATGCTGGGTGATTTCGAGTATCGTGCTGATGGTGCTTGTTGTTGTTGTTGTCGTCGTCCAGATCGTCCAGGCCCCAGCTACCGTCCATGTCATCGGGTGGGGTCTCATCAGAAAGCAGTTTCATGGGGCCGAGGTTCATGTTTTTGTCGGAGAGGTGCGAGTGCCGCCGCTCCCAGTGACCCGAGGGCCGGGTTCCGCCCACCGCGTCCGCAACGTTAATCCAGGCATCCCTGGTCTCCTGTGACGCCCACATAGGCTCGTGCTGCCGCTGGTCCACCGCCGTGCCTGCACCTAATGTTTTGAATACACAAAATTTTTTGTTTAGTGCCGTGCCTCGACCCCTTTTTCACGATAGCAAAACTGGCCTTGAAACATAGATGGAGAAGGATATTATTTCATGACGAGGAGGGAGAGTAGGGAATACAGTAAACAATTGACAGAGATTGACATGGCTGAGGTTTGGCGGAGGAAATTCGCACAAAAGTGTGCAAGAAGAAAGTGATCATGCACATCGAACTGACCTTGGGCCTTTTCGTATCGATCTGCATACATCCGTGGCGTATCCAATTGCTGTTGGCGCTGCAGTTTGAGGTGTTGCTGCTGCTGACGCTGAAGGGCCTGCAATTGTTGCAGTTTCTGTTCCTTTGTCGACAATGAGGAAGGCGAAGATTCTGCAGAGGAGAGGGAAGCAGAGGGCGAAGTGCGTTTTCCCGATGTGGACTGACGGGAGATCGAGGAGGATCCAGGCGCTGCGGTTCTCAGCATGTTGTTGGGATACTTCACGCACTCGCGACGGGATGTGGATTTGCGGACAGAATCCTAGTGACTAGGATGGGCACTGCCAAGCCAGGCTGATGCAATTGACAGCCGATGATTGTATCCTGTGAGCTGGCGAAACTATCAGAGGGCGTAATAGAAAGTATCGAAGGAAAAAAAGCAGAGTGAAGAGTGAGCACGACAAGAGAGTTGGTGAACAGAAAGTGTGTTGTGGGTTGACTGTTTTTTAAGTGCAGCGCATTGAGCCAGTGAGATAATAACCACACAATCAATAGGTGAAGGGCGAAGGCGGTGGCAAAGCGGGAAAAAGTCGATGGACAACAGCTATCGTCGTCATTGATATCGCATTGCAAAATGAGAAGAAGTCGCGCACTACCTGCAGGATGCAGAAAAAAAATAAAAAAATCTTCTGCGTCTGCAGTAATTGGAGCAATTCAGTTGAGGCACTTGAGGGAACAAATATGAATGGATGAGTGGGCATATTTACTTGGCGCGAACAGAGAGTCGTTGGGTAAGCCGTTTGGAGACAATATTGCAATGGGGGTAAGGGGAGAAGGAAGGCTCACTCGAGGCATGCGTGGTTGTAGACAGCAAGACAGACAGAGGGGAGGAGAAAATAAAAGAAAGATGATAAAAGTGCCAAGGAGGGGAAAAGTGTCAAACAATTGGCGACGATAAGGGCGATGTCCAAGTTAACCGATTGGTTTCAAAGGGAGTTGCCAAGGAGGTGTTGTTTGAAAAGAGAGGGACCTGCGATACGAGGATATGGGGGAATGGGATCTTAAGAAAGGGGAAGTGCAGGGTTGCAGGGTCGGTGCAGCAAAGGGCCAGGCCAGACAGTACTGTTGCACACCATTGGAATGCAGAATAGAATCGCATCTCTCACTGGCAGCGATTTACCTTTGTTGCTGTTGGTTCTAAGTAGCGATTTCCAATCCGATCCAGAATCTGATTGAGGGTTGGAGCGTGAAAGAGGATCCTTGACACGCGGATTAAGTGGAGGTGGAATCGAATAGATGATGGGAATAGGCAGAGTGAGGGAAGGGTGGTTGCGGCAGTTGGATAGCCAATTAGAGGAAGGAGAAGGGAAGGAAGGAAGGAAGGGAAGGGGATCCGGTCGTTTCAATGTCCTGGAGGTGTGGGATGGGGTGCTATTGCTCGTTTTCCTTGTCGTCAATGGAGGGTGAGGGATTCCGTGGTGCGCCTGTGCTTTCTGACTGTTGGTGCTGCTGCTTCCTCTGTCGAACAACCGGTCAGTCTGTTCAGCTCAGTCGTCTGTTTGGGTGAGAAAGAGAGAAAGAGCGAGGGATGAGAGATTGCCGAGAAAGAGAGAAGCTGCTGAGGCAGAGAAGAGTGGGACGTGTAGGACAATAATGAAGAAAAACGAGCAATGGACAAAGAATCAAAAAGAAAAAAAGGAATGAGGGAGAGGGAGAGAAGAGAAGAGATAAACAGCAGCAGGAGTGACAACAATAACAACAGCAATAAGAATGAGAATAAGAGGATGAGCCCTCCGAGGGCGAAGGACTTGACCATTGGCCATGCTACACCGTGCTACAGCATGCTGTAGTACGCTATGGCACTCATACGGTGTGCCCTCCCTAGACTTTATTATTATGGCGATGTGAGCCTGCAGATGGTCCGTTGTGCGCAATGCTGAGGTCAGTTCGCCACTTCTTTATTTCAGGGCACTTCCGGGCCAAAACGTGCCTGCGAATCAGGAACGATATCTGTATTTGCCTATACCGTATTAGTTTTAGACTCAGGTCGTCTTTTTTTATTCCTGCACTTTTGTCTTTCCATGCACGGCGTGAACGGAACAGCATCCATCCAGCAGCTGCCTATCCGACTCTTTCACATTGAGTATAAGTGTCGCACAATGAGAAGATCGATCAAAAAAACTCCGAGCACAGTATTGGAACAGTTTACTTTAATACATGACACGCAAATAAATCAAAGCCTGCATTTCCTACTTTCATCATGTTTGACTACGTTGTGCTTAGACTACATGCAGCAAACAGAGGTCGGGCTGGTATTGCAGTTCTGTTCACTGCAAACAAACCTGCATGCGTGCATGCTTCGTTCCTAAATAAAAAAGGCTGTTATATAAAGAAAACCCATTCATTCGGGCCACATGTGTCAAGTCGAGTTGTATGAACTTGTTCGCGCCACTTTCCACCGCGCGATTACAGCGAACATGGATGTTTCTGTAACCCCCCTATAAGCTGCAACAAATCCGTAAATCCACAGCAACATTTTTAAAAATGTGGAAAACGCGCTGCCAGGAGCTGTTGAGCCACTCCCCTTAGTGCAAGAACTGAAGCGTCAAGGTCACTAGAATCGCCCCCGCCATACTCTCCCTCCCACCACCGCTTGATTCCCCATTAACACCTACGCTGACAATTGCTGGGTCGCAGCTTCCGTCGAGAGAGTCCTAGCAAAAAACCCGGCTGAGTTCCATTGCGCTCGGACGGTACCTTGGTATATGGCAGTTGAGGAAGCAAAAAGTGGCATTGATTATTGTGAGCACGCAGAGGCGCATTGGCTCATCTAAATACCCAGTCTTGATCAAAAGACCCCATTTCTTTCTTTTCCCCACTTCACTCCCCACATCCCTAGCTATGTCCAAGTGTCCTACAGCCGCCTCGGATCCTGCTTCAGGGACCAATTTCGGAGATCTTTGCCCGATCAAGGGTAACCAGGGTAACCAGGGCAACCAGGCAACCAGGACAATTATATCGATACCATGTCGCCAGGGACGACGATCTCAGAACTGCCATCTATGTCAGTCGTACCTGGAATGCCGTCTGGAACCCCTATCTTTACGAAAAGGACCTCGATAGCCATTATAATGGTAATAACTATCCAGGACTTCACATATACGGTCGAAATGTCAGAGCCTTCATACTGGATACAAAACATGGACCATTTCCATCTCCCTGAGTACATCTCCAACTCTGCAATCGTTCATCCTCCGTTGCGTGAGCCTTCGCGCCTGGTGTCATAAAAGGATCGCTCGCATAGGTACCACAACTTTAGGTCCCATTAAATGCCAGGGAAAATAGTAAAGAAGTATGGCAAGGCTTTGCCTCCAAATTGGATTGTAGGGGTCGGTGCACTACTGTAGACCTCGAGGAGCATGTGCAATTAGGATGAATAAGGAACAGGATAGTAAAACGAGGACGCGTTGTTGTAATTTTTTGGTAGGCCATCCTATTTGAAAGACAAAGGTCGTCCAGCATCGGAACAACCACAGTGTGCACAGCAATGAAAACATGAAATGCTGTTGACTCATATCTAACTTGCTACTGTCTTGGCTCAAAGCTCGATCAATGAAAGCTACATACCTTCGTATGCGCAACCGACATTAGTCATCTCTCCAATATCTGCTCCATTACTGACAGCTTTGTGTCCCCACGCCGACAATGGCATACCAATGGAACTTGGCTTTTGAACGCCATGCCAAAACCAAGTTTAAAAAAAATTGGGTGTCAGAAACATAGTCAAATCCACATGGCATTTGAAAAGAGCTTAGTCAAATGAACTCTCCAACACCCAATCGTCCTAGTCGAATATATATTTTGACGAGCAGCCTGGTTCGGTGCTACACGGGTTCGCATAGCTGGATCTCGTTGGCCGGAGAGAATATCTCCCATCCTTCCCCACCAACTTGCGTAAACTACATTGTCGATGCTTGAGGTTTTCCTTTCTGCTTGGCCCATCGCCAGTGATCGAGACCAATATTCAAGCAAGAAGCCGTCTCCTTCTGTAGCGAACATTACATTACGTTTCAGGTCGACGTTTTATTGTTTTCCTCACAATCCAAGATGACATTTTTCGGAACCATTGGCCTATTTAGTGGGAAGTATACATGTCCTGGCCGCACCCAAAAAGTGTGCAACGACACCCGCCGCCTGAAAAACATCAGCGCATTGCATTAAAGCATCATTCATAATAGAACCCAATGATGTTATGCTTGAAGCACAGCAACAGTGGTCTTGTAGGATTAATGGATAGAAGTATGTCCAGACGGTGCTCTGGCTGTGGGTTCATGTTACATGTGCGCACTGCGAGGACACGCCCCTTGGGTGATGAAGGACGTCACTCGACGCGTCCTTCATTTTGATTTTCGTTTGTTTACATTTTGACGCGTGGCCTTCCATTCAAAATTCTCCCACGGGCAGCCGTTCTCTTTTTCTCACATTCTTCTCCACTCTTCCAAACCAAACACCCACCGATGCACCCGTACCAAAGTGCACTCCGTTACTCGGTGCTATGGCCAAGCAGTATCACCCCAGGTATGTTACAACGCTCATGAGGTTGCTCATTGCGCTTTTGCTCATTATGTTTGTGCCTGTGGTTGCAGGATGTTCTCTTCTAGCCTACTGGGGCTGTGCGTGTCTGTACTAGTGTCTGAGCCCACTTTGTATATTTCTCGCATGTTTAAGCTGCTTCGCCCATCATGTCCACTACAACCTGCATCAGCAGCAGCGCAGTAGGACCACAGCGATGACCACAGCGATGACCAGTCGAGTCCACAAAGGTATGTTCTTGGAGTTCTTTCCTTGTAAAGTGGCACTGCCTGCCTTTCTTTTCTTTTTTTGTCTGTGCCTGGTGCTTGGTGCCTTGTACCTGATGGTTCTGCACCTGGTGCCATAGATTGTGTCCGTGTCTGTGACTCGATACTCATATCATCGTCTCTTTCCGCACTTGTTTTTATGTATCAACCTCTCATTTCTAGCAAGGAGAGACTCGCTCCTCCAACCCAGCATATCAGCCTGTCGGTTACAGCAACCACAGGTACAGCATGGCCCAGTCCCACCGGGATTCGTCATGGTCAAGAAGAGCGAATCAGGTGGCCACAAAGGTATGTTTGACATGCGCCATTTGGTGCTACTGTACTAGGAGTTGACTTTGGCGCCTGTGTTCCCTTTCTCACACACTCACATAGTGGTTGTCCCCTTGTCTTCTGTCGTCTGAACTGCTTCTCCTCTAGCCACCAGCCTCTATCTTTGCCAGTTTCGGCTGAGAAGAGGCTCAGGCTCGCCCCACCTAACCTAGTGGGCGAACCAGACTCGCTGGGCCATGGCATGCCCATCAAGCCCATCCAGCCCATCAAGCCCATCCAGCCCATCCAGCCCATCCAGCCCATCCAGCCCATCAAGTGAACCAAGCCAAGCAAGCAAATCAAAACATTCAAAGCTAAGTACTCTCCATCCCCTTCCCCCCTCCACCGCCCCACTCAACCCTCCCACCGCCTTCCCCATCGTCAATGATTGCCCTTACCCCATCTAAAAATAACCCCTCCCTTGGAGTGTCTCTGCGCACTTGGTCCCTCTCGCATGGGTCCTCTTGCGATCCAGTGACCTCGAGGCTGAGGGGCTGTTGATCCCAGCTGGGATTGGGTGCCTGCTGTGCTGGTCGCCCAGTGCTGCACCCTAGCCTACTCTCTCCTGTCCACCCTCCTTGTTCCTGGGGTCAAACTAAGACGCTTACTTTTTGCTGTGTCCAGGGATTCTATAGATCGTCGATGTGCCGTACTCTCTCTTGCTCGCCCGGTTGGATGCACGGCCTGATGCTGAGACAGCGTCCCCGCCGTTTTCCCCGATCCTGGACTTGATCCAGGTTCATCGTCCTGGGGGGACTCGACCACGGTCGTGCGAAGGGACACTCGCCGGCACATAGGCCAGCTGACTGTGAGGCTCGGAGCGAAGACATCATGGTCAAGGAATGTCCAGCGGTCCTGATCCTAGTAAGGGACTCTGGAGCAGACCTTCGACAGAGATGGCTTCGTCTTTGAGGCAGCACACCGGCGGACCCATGGTCGGCAAACTACTATGCCAGATGGAAGACAAAGGTACGTTTGCGCGTGTCCTCTTGGATAAAGAGATGTATGTGTGCTGAGTTTAGCACGCAGAAAACAGCGATATACTGACACACTATTTAACTGGTCCATTCGTGGTAGCGGCGATGTCTCGGCAAGATCAGGCCTAGTAATGCTCCCCAGCTGGGCAGCGAGAGGGAGAGAGCGCGTCGGCCGATCAAGGATCCCAGTTCTAGGGTGGACACATGCAAAGAGGTAAGTGCGCCATGGGTTCAAGGTAGAGGTGGAGCGGGTAGAGAGGAGGCAGGGGCAGTGCTGTCAGTGACCGCACAGCAGACCACCCTCTCTCAGCTGAGGGGAGACGGCCCCGAACCCTCGGGGTTTGGTGGTCGCGAGGTCGGGTCCTCTGCGGGGGATGACCAGTGTGTATGGACACAAGAGGGAGAGGGCGAATGGGGTAAAGTCATAGATGATGGGGAAGAATGGTGAGGGGGGATAGCAAAAGGAGTGCGGGCGGAGTGCAATGGATGGGGGGATAAGAAAGGGTCGATGGGAGAGTACAGGAGGAGCAAAGGAGGGGAAGGGCAGGCAGCGACAGCTGTATAAAAACACCGAAAAAAAAAAAAAAAAAAAAAAAAAAAAAAAAAAAAAAAAAGACAAGAAAAATGAAAAATGAAAAAAGAAAGAAAAAAAAAAAAAAACCAAAAAACCAAAAAAACCAAAAAAACCAAAAAAACCAAAAAAACCAAAAAAAAAAAAAAAAAAAAAAAAAAAAAAAAAGAGAAAGAGGAGGAGGATGAGGGAGACAGAAGGAAGAAAGAAAGTTGAGGTCCAGAAAGGAGCACAAAAGAGGCAAAGGAGAAGGACAGAGTGGCGCCAGCACCACCACACTCAAGTCGAACCGTAACCGTAACCGTAACCGCCTGCAAGGTAAGCACTATTCCTCTGCATATGGACTCATTCATGACACTGCGAGTCTCGATCTACTTGCTCACAGGGCTTTTTTTCTTTTGTGCTGGACACTAGACAGTGCATCAAAGCCCCAGCAGCCGGGTCGTAGGCCACCGGCCTCCCCATTCGATCGCTTTGAGAACAGCATCAAGGCCCACGAACGACGATGACAGCGACATCGACAGCGACACTGACATCCAGAGCAGTATCAAGCACCCGAAAACGACATAGTCGTTTTGTAAAAAAAAAAAAAAAAAAAAGCATGGGCAGCAGCAGCAACAATAGCACTGAAGCAGGCGCAGGAGCGGTAGGCGGAGCACAATTCAAGGTCGAGACAAATAGAACTACAGAGCAATAGTCAAGAGGACTTATCATCCAGAGTAATCGATTCCAAAATGGTGCATTCGAGGAGCGCCATAGGCGGCTTCTTCCAGGGCTTCGTATACGATCACGGAGCTGTAGTTGATCTCAGGACGTCGTAAAAACTATACAACACATATCGCAGGCTCTTGTTCATTCAGACATCAGTCATTCTGTAGTGGCCATTACACAATACAGTGCCCTTGAATAAAGCAAAGACTCCGAAGTAAAAAAAATGAAAACATTTTGGAACCAAGTAAACGGCTCTTCAGAAAAGCGTAATCATCTGCTACCCTTTACAAGAAGAGAATATAGAAAGAGTTGTCGATGGGCAAAGGAATGCAATATACGTTTCATAGCACTTTGGCACAAAGAACCGACCGAAACACGAAACGTTGCCTCAACTCCAGAGAAAGGACACTTCCCCGGTTCTCTCTTTACCCAAAGCGATTTGGTTGGGTCAGAAATCGAAGCACACAACCAGACGCCATTACAAAGCTAAAATAGAGTCAATGTCGAAATGCGCCTTTGCAATAGAAAGTTGAAGGTAATGGACTCACAGTCAGCCTGCGGACCAAACCATTTCAGTTATCTTGAGCCTTGGATGAAAACACATGCAGCCTGGCAACAACATGGTGACCTTGTTTTTGGTACGTACAGTGAATAAAGACCGAGAGAAGAGAAGGAAGGGAGGGAGCATAAAGGGTCGACAATAGATGTCGGACGCGATCTCTGTAGCTTTGCTACGGGGAGCGTATGATTTTTTTTTTTAAGCAGCAGCAGCAGCAGCAGTAGTAGTAGTAGTAGTAGTAGCAGTAGCAGTAGTGAGAGTAGGATCGTTCACAAGGTGCTTTCGTAACTTTCATCGGAGCAGACCCTTTAGAGCAAAAAACAGAATCCTACCACGTTCCAGCATTACTTCCCCGGCCTGACAATACATTCCGATAGTATTTCGTCCCCACCGGCACATGCAGAGGTTTGGCGTGGAACGAAAGTTTACAGGTCATAGCACCATCCTGGAGCTCTAGATCGATCATGAATGTGGATAAGCAGAGGCGCTTCTTAATCGACTGTTCTTCTTCCGTCGTATACAGCTTGCTTGGAGCCACGGCTTGCATGGCACCGGAAGATAGAGGCCGATGATCGAGTGCTTTGATATCAACACACAGTTTCTGTATGATGTCGACACATGAGCAGGACTTCTTCCCTATAAAACGTTCGGTGACTCCTGCTTTTGTTCCCCTGAGCTGAACGTACGTAAGAACCCACAGTTCTCGCGCGCCAGGGTGATGCTGCTGCTGGCAATCTGGGTGTATCCCCCCATGTCGAGCTCAACAAGATCGCACAAGAGGGAGCACGCGCCTGTTCTCTAGGCCCTAAGTTTCCGAACAATGTGTTCTTGGCGCGAACCATTCCCAGTTGATGAATGACCAGCGTGGGTTCCTTATAGGTCCTTCGATTACAGACTTTCCAGACCCTCGAGAGCGTCCAAAGATATCATTTGGCACTCCTGTGGCTGTCGATAGAAGATCACTTAGGTAAATCGTAGCCGTGGCACCATTTCTTATCATCTCCTGAAGCTGTGAGGTATCTCAGAGGGTGTCTGTGAGGGCAAGAGATCGTAGTTGGGCAGTGTGGTTGAGAAGCTAGGCATCATTGTTCCACTTTGTATCGAGGGAACCGAGGGTCATGGCATGCTCGCCGTATTTGTGAATTTGTGTCCGCTCGTGCCTGCACAGGCGCAGTTCTTGATAGATATAAAGTCAACCAAACATCGTTCTAGACTTGGTTGACAAGGATGTCGGCCCTGAGCAAGGGAGTTTCGCGCACCGGGTACCTGGATTTGGGCATGCACTCAGGTCTCAGGTCTGAGAGCAATGTGGCTTTTTGCCTGAAATTATGAACACAAAAACAACTCTACCCTGTTCAGGCACGGAAAGAACGAGCCCCGCTCGCGTTCGTTCTTCTCACAACCAACAACCTGTCGTCTTTGACTCCTCCATCAGGTTACATAGCCCAGCTACACTTTCCCTCTCGAAAGCGAGAAAAAAGGTACCTCGGCCCTCCTCATCACAGCAGAGTTCGCAGAGAGGACACGGAGGACTTTGTTTCTGATCAACTCTCGCCTTGTGTAATTCCTCTAGTGTGTAAGCGCGTTTGCGTCTAACAATGTCCTCGACCATGTCCTTGGTCAGGCGAGGATCCGGTGCCACCTCGAGATCTGACCTAGAGTCCCTGCTCACGGATGCCAGAATGACGCGCCACTGGATCCGTTCCTTCCATAGAATGACCCTCCACCCACACCTTTATCAACCAACAAGGCATCCGGGGCGTCTCAACAGCATAGCCAGGACTTCTTCAGCTGCCTCTCTCCGCCCCATGTTCAGTCGGCGCCCAGCAGGAAGGCGGTGGCCATTTGGGTCACCAACTAACGATGCACCCAAATTCCGAATCTTGGAGGGACAAGGAGAAAGACACCGGTTAGGCGACAACGATTTCAATCCGTTCATCAACTATCCCACCTCCGCCAATGTGAAACTGCTTCCTGCCACATATGTGGATGGGATCGATACCAGGAAAGCGCCAGCTGAAACGTCAACATCTTTCAACGGATTCTGGACCGTCGACTCTTTGCCGCTGATAACGACGTACAATCGTTCGGACATCTTGAGAGCTGACGGAAAGCCGGATCGCAGCCCTACTGCTTCTTCAACAACACTGGACGGAGTCCTCCTAGGGGGAGGATCATCCGAAGAGTCGATACTTGACAAGGTTACCGGCCTGCCTTGGCTTACAGGAGCCGCCAACTCAACCCACGCATCACAGTCAGCAACGCAAACGATATGGCCCTTCGAGACGTACCGACTGGACTCGACCCAAGCCGCCATGGCCGAGAAGCTGGTGCAAATGATCGTCAATCAATCCGGAACCCTGAGTCAACAGGAGTTTACAAGCGATCTACAAAAAATAGGAAAACTGACTCTCCTGCGATGGGGGCTACCCTTGGCGTTCGTGGACTCGGCTCCGCATCAGCAGGATGTCATCAGCACAGGACTAGATACCTTGATCTCCACCCTTCCTCGGTCAACTAGCGGCGAGACATGGGCAGGACCATTGGTGGACGTGTTGGAAAAGTACAGCATGCTGCAATCCGTGGATCGCGTATGCCTCGCCTGTTTATTTCACTATGTTTCCAGCGACAAGTCCGAGGTCTTGCAGGAGCAACGTCTATCACGAGTAAACGCTACGGAGAAAGTTCGTCAGATGCGCAGTGCCAGGCGAATCGATGTTGAGGAATGGTGGAATCAGACGAGGCGGTTTCGGTTGCAGCTTGCACTAGCACGGGAAACTGGAATTATGCCAGCCGAGTCGGAATACGTGGCATTCATGCAAAGCTGCCAGAGAGCGGGTCAGGTCCGTGAGGTGGAGTTGACGTTCCATCACTATTTGGACTTTCACCAGAACGCACGGCAACCGCAGTCTTTGCAGCAACACCAACACCAACAGTCCAATGCAGAGCAGCCGAGCGAGCAAATCTACCGCGAGTACATCAAGACTCTCGTACGTATGGGGCGTATGGACCAGGCGCAGGATGTTTTCAACAGTATGAAGCGTAGAGGCGTATACCCTTCAGTGATCACATTCGGAGCAATGCTCGACGGCTATGGACGGCAGATGGATCTTCGAAAGATGAGGCAGGTTCTTGTGTCACTTCGTTCCGCTGGACACCTCCCGACGCTCGAGATGTATACGTCCATGATGGCCAATTATATCAAGGCAGGAGAGTTGAAACGAGCCGATGAGGTCTATCGCCAGCTTCTCGACAGGTCGGACATTATCATGGATAAGCAGAGCAAGAACGTGGTGGACAACCTCAAGAGGTTGGGGGGAGGTCAACATGTTCAGGACGATAACCTCCCACTGGAGAATGAGCATCCGGATCCTGTACTGACAGAACTTAGGAGGATGCCCAATTTGGAGCGCTTGAACTCTGTGATTCACTATAACCACAAGCTGAAACGATATGCGGATGGGATGAACATGCCCCAGTTCGTCCAGTCGTACAGGCAGCTTATTGGAGAGGGACTAAGGCCGAATTCGATCACCTTTAACATTCTTCTGGGAGCTCTATCAAAGGCTGGTCAAATCGAAGACGGATTGAAAGTGCTGGAGCTCATGAAGACGACCGAGGAAGGGCAGCCTGATGTGGTGAGCTTTTCTACTTTGATCGCCAGTGCGGTGGAGCAGGAAAAAGTGGAACTAGGCTGGACTCTTTACGACGAGATGCGAATGCGGTCGATCAAACCTAGCGTGTATACCTATGTTTCATTGATCGAGATGGTGGCGCTTGATCCTTCCAACAAGCGCGGTCGTGCCATCATGAAAAAGCATGCTGTCCGCGGTAACCACCAGGTCCGTTTCCCGGTCAAAACGCAAATCGAGGATTTGGTCGGGCTTGGTTTCGCTGGAGAACTCTACAACCAGCTTTTAAATCAAGGACTCGAGCCGAATCAGCACGTATTCGGTGGATTACTGAACCTAACTGTACATGGAGGGTTCGCGGATCTGGCGCAACATGTCTATCAGGAGATGATTTACAAAAAGATCGAGCCAAACACCGCCATCATGACGACGCTTATCAAGGGCTTTGCGATCCGGAGGGACTTTGAGTCTGGCTGGAAGGTGTGGAGGCATATGATCGACACGGACATCCCAAGAAACGTCATCACATACCACCATCTGATTCGACTTTGTGAACGGTCGTTGCCAGACCCAATCGGGATGGCTAAGATGCTTGACTTGCCCTTTCCTGACATTAAGGACATGGCCCCCAAGACCTCCGAGGCCAAGAGAGGCAGCCTGAACGACACAGGCGAAACCAGCGAAAAGGAAGCGGAGAAGCCGGTCAAGAAGACCGGTCGACCCAAACTGATGAAGAAACTTACGCCAGAGGAAAAGCGCCAGCACCAGGAGGAGAGACATCAGACCAAGAAACAAAGACGACTGGAAGGGAAGCGGGTGAGGGAGATTGCTGAGTATGCGAACAAGATGCCGCAGATGATCTGGATAGAGATTCGCAGCCAGATGGCCCTCGACCATGTCCACTGGCCGCGCGTGCAGCAGTTTCGAAAGAGCATTGTCGATCGCGGCATTTGGGACCCCATCGAGAGGGAGGCTGGACCGGTGATGTCGATCACGGCAGCTGCAGAGGCGGCGGCAGAAACAAATGTCCATGGCAAGGGATCAGGAACGGGATCGGAGTCACAGAACAACAGGTCTCGCGCCAATATTTCATCCACTGGGACCGACCTCACGAGCACAACCTACAGCAATGGTTCGTCAACTGATGCACGGGCTGTGATACTGAAAGAGATTTACGCTGGTGGTGGGCATCTTTATAAGCCCAAGCGAGGCGCACGCTGGAACATGTTACTGAAGTGGGATGTCGAGAGCAAGGTGCCGATGTTGATGAGGGATGCGAAGGTGGCATCTGCGAGCAAGGGGAATGGTGGCAGCGACAGCGGTCGCCACGAGGGCGAGGTGGGCGGTAGTGGCCACCATGACAGTAGTAGCGATAGTAGCCCGTTTGAGGGTGACGAAAGAAGTGGACGTGCCACTTCATCGGTATAGATCACTAAAGGACCTTTGTATGTACAGTATACCTAAAACTCTAAAAAGACTCTATAAAAGACACCACTTGAACACACCCTTGTGTAAACACGACATGTGTACGTTCCTGAAACGGGTTGTGCCTGAGTTCAACATGAAAGTGGTGCCCATGAAAAAAGAAGGGGACGATTCGCTCCGTATCTGAGTACGCATCTCCTTGTGGTCAGAGCAACATCGACTATACTACAAAACCAGAAAGAGACCATTTGCAGCGCGTGGGATAACCCGATCCTTGACGATTTTCCTTTTTTTTTTTTTTTTTTCAATGTTTTTTTTCTTTTTTTTATTAGAAAGAAGGGAATTTATTTGTCCCTTTTATATACATTTGAATATGGTGGAGTACATGGAAGAAGGAGAGTCTAAGTTCGCGAATGGTCACCGTGGATTGCTGTCTTCTCACGCGTGCCGATACCCGGGGTTGTGATGACTATCGTCCGGTGACCTGGCAAGTTTGAGTTACTCGTACTTCTCCTCGTAGATGCGCTCGGCGTTCTTCTTGGCCTGGTGCTTGGCCTTCTCGCGGTCAAGGAAGTCAAGGCCCTTGGTCTCGAAGAGCTTGTCGGTCTCGGCGGCGGCCATGGCGGCGAAGATCTCCTTGGTAAGCTTGTGCTTCTCGCCGGGCTGCTTGTCCTCGTACGACTTCATGGCCTCGAAAGCGGCGGCGCCGGCAATGAGCTCGTGGGACCAAGAGGACGAGTGGGTCTGCTCGCCGTAAACTTCTTCGTGGTGGCTTCCGAATCCGAACATGGTTGATGTATGTGAGTGTGGGGTAGGGGTTGGGTTGGAGGTGTGAGAGAAATGTGGAGATGAGAGTGAAGAGAAGAAAAAAAAAATGAACGAGGAAAGTGGGGGAGTCTTTATATCAGGAAAAACCGAGAAGGTCGGTGTTGTTGGCGAGGTGTAGATTGATGAAGGCAATCGGAGCAAAACAATAAAGACTCCACTCGAGAGCATAACGCGCAACGAAAAGAGACTAATGGTGCTTACTGAAGGACTCCTCAGGTTGCGCGCGCGTTGCAATAAAAGTTAAAAATAATAATGTTAGGATCCTGGGCCTGGATCCACGTACACGAGTGTCCACGAATGGACGAACCCCTGTGTTGGGCAGCGGCCCACAGCCCAAAGGAGATGGATCGAGAACGCTTTTTTGGAACAGCGGGCAGGAAAAAAGTGAGGCGTGTTGTCCAGGAGCAAGGAAGCAGCGGCCCAGATTCGCCGCTGCTGATTGGCCAATGGATACGGAAAATCGTCCGCGAATTGAGCAGCGGCACAAAAGCATCCAAAGAGGAAGGAGTGGACCACACGCCAAACCTTCTTGCCAAAAACGAATAAGGAGCGGAGGGAAAAAGATAATGCGTTTTGGAGCATCTTCCCCCTGCCCCCCCCCCGGTGCTCCCCAGGACTGGGCTTACATTAGACTGCTCCGGCCGGGTCTCTTAAGCGGATTGGATTGCTCCACAACACCATAACCCCCTCCTATGTAAAGAAACATGCAAATCCCATGTCCTTGAGGAAAAAAGAAACATGCCACAACCAATCTTTTGCTGTATGCGTCTCGCAGGCATAACAAGGTACATGTATCGCATTTGGGACGATATATCAGTTTCTCACTTCTGCTCGCCCATTCCCCCTCCCTCCCCTTTCTGCATAGGCACGTCTGCCACAGCCCGAACATGCGCATTTTATGCCCTCACACGTACACCAATTAGAACGGTCCTCATTGAACATATTTCACAGATTAATAATCTCCCAGACCACACAGCACTCAGGATTAAAATGAGGCTGGGTTGGTTGGGCCAATAGACTAACGACTGCAATACACCCTTCAGCTTTTCTACTCTCCCTCGCTCCTCGGGGAAGGGGAGACCAAAGTCCTAAACATACCACCCTCCGGACGGGCTCTGCGCGCCTTCTTGCTGTTGTATAGATCACGCCAGTGACGCTTCTCAAGCGTCTCATCGTCCTCCCCCCCCCAAATTTTTGACAAAAGACGTCTTCTTCTTCGTCAGAAATTCGCAGAACAACTAATTGTAGTTCAGACGAAAGCCTAAATGTATCAGAGGCACCAAGAGTTCGCCATTAGGGTTCCAGTTAACTGGTGTTTTGAGCTCGACGGTCGAAAAAGTTGGTTTGACAGAGGTCCAAAGTATTTCATGTACTGGAACCAAATGCTTCAATCATGCCTTTCCAGTCTTTCGTTGGAGCATGAGCTAGCGCAGCCTGAACTCCTTCGACGACTCCTATGTACTGTGTGAACCGTCAGCACACAGGATCGATGATGCGTTCAGAGGAACTCCAGAGCTCAGCAGTAAGAGTAGAACATGGGATAACGGGACTCGTGAGACAGAGGATATCGTAGAGACGTAGCCATGAAGGACTCACTCATGTTGGTGAACCTCGACGAGATATTGACAGTTTGAAGACCCTGCTGGTGTGATTCCTAAATGAAAAAAAAGTGAGTGCCAATCCAACCAAGTAACAAGTAGTAACTGAAGGGTCTCTTGAAGTGTCATACAGTATATAGGATCAAGTTAGGGATAACAGCACGGAGGACTCGGAATTGGAGGAGTTGGAACGAGAACGCTGAGAAATTATATAGGGTCACTGCGCTTAATAAAGAGAGCGCGTCTTGATCAGCAGCATGGAAAAGCAGATGTTCCAGTTAGAATAAAGTAGTGGATCGCGACGTGTTAGTTGAGGATTTCATGCTTGGTGCACAATGGCTGCATACTTTTAAGCAGGCTAGACAAAAAAAAACCACCCATAATTAAAGCGAACACGGCAACACAGACCTCAGTTTTTCTAGGACTACTGCATTGAGCTTTCAGATAAGTCTATCAGAGGCCGACTCAACCTTGGGGAGACCAGTTCGAGTGTAAATGCTTGTTTGTGATTGCAAGGTGGCGGAAGCAAAAAGATGAATAAAGGAAAGAGGAGAAAGATGACTGAGGTGAATAAGCAACAAGGGAATGCAAGCTCAGCGGCGTGGATGGTCAAGCCCGCAAAAAGGGCCACAAGCGGCCGCTGCTTCACGTAGCACAGAAAAAGGACATTTGAACGTTGCGCGAGCAAACGCCGTATGTTTACCACCATCTAACCATATAAAGGGTTACCATTGGTGAAGTTTGGCACGGATCCGCGCGAATTGAAGCGAGGCCAATCAGACGCGTTGGTTGACAAGAGCACAGCCATGAATCCGTAGCACACGATCTCCTTATCCAGTTACTGGTTGTCTACATGCACCGCATCGAAACGGGAGTCCCAATATGGGCCTGCATCGGCAGTAAGAAATACTGTGGACATATCACAGTTCTTCATCGCATACACCGCACAATAAAAAAAAAAGATGATGACAGACACTTTCTGATTGTAACAAATGTCGCATTGATATGCATAAATGTGTTTATTATTTTGCTTGCAGAGATAATGGTACAGGTATATGGTAGTTCAAATGATGTTTGTGAGATGACTATTAAATATGACTCTTCAATCGAGCGGTTTCTTAGAAGGCGAGCAAGGGTTTGTCCATGCCGAGAATATGTGCCAGACTCGATCGACGGCGCTCGTGTTGGGCGGGAGGGGGAATTGGCAATCCATCAACATTGCGAGTGATGTTGTTCTTGGCCTGCTCCTCCCTCAGCCTGTCCATGAACAAGGCCTGCGCGCGGGCAACATCCGCATACTCGCCTCTGAATTCCTCGACCTCGTCACTTGCATCCAGGCTGTTGCGGGAGGGGCCCTTAGATCGGGATCGTGAACGGGAGTGAGAGCGAGATCGGGAGCGGAAGCGTTCTGCAAAGGCCGCCAGGGTTGAACGGCGGCTTTTGGAGGAATCGGTGGTGTTGGTCTTGGTCAAGGGAATGGTGGTGTTGGTCTTGGTCAAGGGAATGGTGGTGTTGGTCTTGATCAAGGGAATGGTGGTGTTAGTCTTGGTCAAGGGAATGATGCCGTTCATCTTGGGCTGGGACTCGGATATAGGGTGGACGACATGGTCACGGCCACGGTCGTCGGCATCATGGTCGAACTGGATGGAGAGACGGTGGTCGTTGACGGTGGAGCTGGCGTTGTTGGCGACTGTCTGGCTCATAGTATAGGGGAAGTTGTCTGTGCTTGGTTGCTTGAGGGGCTGGTTGTGCTTTGGGATGTGTTGAGGTGTGATGGGGAGGAGAGAAGGGAGTTGCGAGAAGTATAAATACTTTTTCTGGGCCATCCCTGGTGCACGGATGGCTGAAGTCGGGCAGGGGCGCGAAGTCCAAAATGGAAAGAGGTGCGGATGCATTCTGAAACCTAAAAATAAATAAGGATCGCCGCAGCAGCATCATGTGGTGTTCTTGACCGCGCTGGAAGGTCGTCGAAACTCGAAAGCCCGTCGGGGTGTCTCATTCAATCCCCGGTAACGAGAAAATTACGCCCTTCCTTTTATGGACGCCTTCGATTTTCGTGTTCTCGAATGCGTGTGATGCTCACCTGAGCAGCCCATGGTGGTGCATACTGGACTAGTCTAGTTCCCAATACTTCCTTCCAAAATGGGTAGTCTAGTATCCACTACAATTCCAAAAGCACCGTGCCTTCACATGCTAACACGTACACGTATGCATGGAACGAGCGTTCTTTAGACTACTACAGCCGACAAGGTGTATCCAGAAGCAGCATTACGTTCGATTGAGTAAAGGTTGCATATTCCAGTAGCCTGTCGTATGTAGGTGCTACCTGTGGTCCTTTTCCTTTTCCGAACCTGTGGCAAGATGGCAATGGAGAAACCGCTTAGATTTTTCTTTTTTTTTTCTTTTTTACAGGGTATTTTATTTTATTTTTTGCTACATTGTTGGAATGAATTGATTGGTGCAGATGAGGTAGAGTCAATGGTGGTGTGGAGAGGTAGGAAGAAACAAACGATGCAAAGGAAAATGACAATCAAATGCGGGTGATCTTGCTGTCTTTCTTAAAACGCGAGCATGGGCTTGTCGAGTCCCAAGGCGTGGGAGACGCTTGACCGTCTGCTGCTGCTTCGGGACGAGGGCTTGCGAGGTGGGATTGGGATACCGTCCGCGTTGTGCGTGATATGGTTCTTCTCTTGCTCATCCCTCAGCTTCTCCATGAACTCTTCCTGTGCACGAATAACGTCCGCGTAGGGAGCGTTCTCGTCGATGGAGGATCGGCGGGATCCAGATCTTGACTTGGACGACTTGCGAGACGATGTCGAGTTGACCGAGGACTGGGTGGTTGTGCGGTCCAAGGAAAGATCGTCCTCAGTAGAGCGCTGGCGAGAGTGGGAACGCGAGCGAGAGCGAAGACGGTCAGCAAAGGCAGCCAAGGAGCTGCGGTGCTTCCTGGCCTCGGCGCTGGTGACGTTGATGTCGGCAACGGTGTCTTCCTCGATCAAGGGCGTGATTGAGTGGTCACGTCCACGACGGTCGGGTTCTTGAGAGAAGGCGATGGCAGGTGCAGGGGTGGTGATCTCCTGGATCTCGGAGGGAGACGAGGTGTTGGTGTTAATGGCGGCCATGGTGGTTTGAGAGTGTTGGTATGTTGCTGTTGTGTTGAGTGGTTTGAGTGGATGGGCCGTAGCGGGGGAGGGGATGGTTTAAATAGGCTTTGGATCGTCCCTGGTGCCCCGACTCATTGCCTTTTCTGTCGACACGATGATGGATATGGTCCCTTGTGTTCGAAACCCCACCAACGAGGGCGAAGGAGGCAGGATGTGTCAACAAACCCGAGGATGTCGTATGGTCTGCCTGTGGTCAGTTGGCAGACGTCGTACCAAGGGAAGCAAGCGGATGCTAACCTTGGGCCTGGCGGAGTCTGAAGACAACACACGGACACCCATCGATTAACCTGGGATTTCCTTTTTTGGGCCGGCCTCTTTTTTCGGATGCTGCCGCTGAAACCCAGTGTTGATTTGTGGGGAGGACATCGGGTGTAGTCTACATCTCGCCCAAGTCTATCTATTCTCAGCCCCAGACAAGACGTCAGTGGAGTTCAGACCAACCCCACCAGCCATGTCCTGAAGCCCTCCTTCGCGGCCAACCGCCATTTTAAAGACCGGCTCTCGCACGGACATGCCCTATTTAGGAAGCTGCGTCCTGTAGCCATCCGGTCCTCTCTCGCACCCTCCAGCACCTTCTGCTCGGCTAGCCATGTCTTCTCCCGCCACATTGGCCCCTTCGCCCCTCTCGTTACTACTCGACACCTGCAGTCCCATCCCAATAGATGACAATTACTATTATCATTACTGCTTTCTTACATATGTATCTCTACTCAAGTACAGTAGTTGCAAGCAGCAGCAACAACGCCTGAATGGAGGTGTAGTCTATTCCAGAGGATACAACGTCTGACTAGCAGCATGAGCAAGATGAACAACAAACAGCGTCTGATAGGAGAGCGGATAAAAAAGGACCTTGGGTCGAGGGGTGGATGGACATGGATCTCCAAATGTGTCCTCTGTTGGTTTCAGCCCTCCATCTCTGTGCCATCTTACTGGCGTTCCTGGTCTCTGCCTCCATTTCTCATTCTCACGAGATCTCGGACGCAGGTTGCCCAACATAGAAACATCGCTTAGCTCTAAATTATGCAAGGAGCAGATCCCTGATCAGCGTGCATCGATGACAAACATGAAGACTGTTGGATTTGTTGTCGGCCTGTTGCTGTCTGCTGCGGCAGCAGCTTTTGGTCTCTCGGTTTCTATTTCAATACCGAGACTGATGTGTCTGGGTAGTCTATGACGCTTATTTTACCGAGGAAAGGGCCATCGAGTCCTCTCGAAGGAATAAAATTCAACACAAGAAAATGAACAAAACTCAAGTAATAACAATGCAAGACAACGCATGCATGTTTACAAACAGCCATAGTCGAGGCCGTAGAACCAATTGGATGCGGAGAACCGATGCTAGATGGCGCTTGCGGCTGGTCAGCTGTTAGACCAAACCAAGCAGGGCGTCAATGAGCGCCAACAAACCACACACACGTACATACACACAAGCACACACAAAAAATGGCGCTGAGTACATGGATGGATACACACGCCAGTTGGCGGTATTTGAAGCATGACTAAAGTGCATGTCCAGGTCAAGCAAATCCAGTGGTTCACCATTCTCCCTCATGTTATCTAGAGACTGCAGCTAAATTCACATAGTATGCTTGCTAAACAAACCGCTAGCAACATTTCGAATAGGTCATCAGATGCTAAATGCTCTCTATTTCTACCGACAGAACTTCGCCCATAGTCTAAGGTATATCGATTACAATATGTATTTTATTTGTTTTTTTTTCCTCGCATGAAAGTAACACTATGTACAAAACGACGCCAAGCGCAGATCAACCAAGAATGAAGCGCTCCTCCTTCACGTCCTCCATTAATATGTCTTCATAATCATCATCACCATCATCGCGATAACAAGGGCTTGTCGATACCCAGAATCTGCGCCACGCTCGATCGACGACGCTGGATAGGCGGAGGGATAGGTAGTCCATCAATGTTTTGTTTGACGTTCTTCCTCTCTTGCTCCTCTCTCAGCTTCTCCATGTACAATGCCTGTGCTCGTGCCACGTCCGCATACTCGCCCGTGAAATCCGAGGATTTACGACGCGAGTATTTGAACTGATAGTCCTCATCGCTAGATTTGCGACGGTCCTTGGTGTTCTCACTATTGCTGAAGATGCCGCTGTTGGGTCGGGACCGGGAGTGGGAGCGCGAGCGGAGGCGTTCTGCAAACTCTGCGAGAGACCTGCGACGTCCACTTGACTTTGAATTTGTCGACTCGCTCGTCTTGGTCTTGGTCAGAGGGATTCCAGACAGGACCGCTGGCGTCTCATGTTCTTCATCGTGAACTGAAAGTGGGTGAATTGCACCGCTGCGGCCTCGAGGATCTTCATTCTCAGAGAACTGGATAGCAGAGGGGCGAGGCGAGAGCTCGGTGATGGTCATAGCTTGTGTCATGGTTGCTTTCCTTATTCTTGAATGGCGAGTGGTTGTAAGAGGGAGAGGGAGAGAGCGTGCAGAGGAGAGGGAGACAAGAGATTAGTTGAGAATAGAAAGGAGGAGGTCTGGGCAAGCGTACTTATATTGACGCGTTAGAGGGGTGGGAGGGGGCATTGCTTCTTTTTTTTTCATGCGCGCTTGCTTACTACATTCTGCTTGTATAGAATTGTCCTGATGCTAGAAGCTAAAAGCCTAAAGCTAAAAAGCATGGACAACGAGGCGCTGCGCCAGCGCGTTATTTGATTGATGCGGAACATAAAAAGGGATACGTCCGCAGGGGGACTGTGTCGCCACAAGTCCTATTTTACGTGTTTCACAGTCACCAGGAACCCTCCGCAAAAGCAACTTGGTCTGAACTGTGGAGTGGGCACCAAAAAGGGTTTCTTGTTCGGACCACTGATTCTGCTGCCCATACTTTTTTTTCTGTGATGCGACCATCTCTCCAAGCCCTGGTAAGGATGAACGCCCCCGATGAGGGACAAGGATGCAGCCACATCAGAATTCAGTACTCATCCTCATTTCGTTCCTCTTCTTCAACAGCGTCCTTGGACGCGTCTTATCAGGTACAGGCGCCAACATCACGTCCACCATACTGGTTTATTGCTCCACTGCTCCAGAGTCTCACCTCCTTTTATCGCCCAGGTTCCTCGGCAAAGATGGAAAGGTCTACACGGGCGAACCTCAGGCCCCGCTTGCTTGGTCCAAGGCCACAGCAGATCTTAAGCCCTCTGCAGGAGAGCAGACGGATTTGACCGCAAAGCTCATTACGGGCGATATCTTTTCCCAATCCAGCACCACTGTGACCGATAAGGTCATTCCTGTCGCCCGATTGCTCTCCCCTCTCGCACACGTCCCAGTGTTTCGATGCATTGGCCTCAATTATGCGAAGCATGCGGAGGAGACAAAGATGCCTATTCCCAAGTGCCCAATCCTGTTCATGAAACCATCCTCGGCGCTTCAGGATCCATTCAAGCCAGTGGTGATTCCCAGCATTGCCGAAAACAACCAAGCTGATTATGAGTGTGAGCTGGCAGTGGTTATCGGCAAGCCCTGCAAGGACGTCAAGGAAGCGGAAGCCCTGGATTATGTGCTTGGTAAAATCATAATCTTTATCCATTGTTCTTGGTTGGTTCGATGGAATACTCTTTTTTTTTTTTTATTTTTTTTTTTCTCACGCTAACCCTCACCATTTGAATTGACAGGGTACACTATCGGCAACGACATCAGCACACGGAAGTGGCAAGGGAGCAACCTTGGATCGGGTCAATGGTGCTTCAGCAAATCGTTTGATACGTTTGCACCCTTGGGACCATCCTTGGTTTCTACAGAGTTGATCAAGGATCCAAACCAGCTCCGGATCAAGACCACCCTGAACGGCAAGGTGATGCAGGACTCAAACACATCGGATATGATCTTCAATGTTCCGCGTCTGGTAATAATTCGTTCGCCATAGTCTATTACAATATGTGTCACCAGCGTGTTGTCCGTTGTACTGCAAGTCATGTGTGAAAAAAAGAAAAAAAAGAAGTTTTCCCTCTCACCCATTTTTTTTTATTTTTATTTTTTTCCTGTGAACAGATTTCATTCCTGAGTCAGTCGACGACTCTGATGCCTGGCGATGTTATTCTCACAGGAACCCCTGAGGGTGTTGGATTCAAGAGGGATCCACCAGTGTTCCTACAGCATGGCGATCATGTCATCTGCGAGATTGAGAGCATCGGGGAGCTGCACAATACGGTCGCTTATGAGAGCAAGTTCTCACCCTAATCATCACACAATCGATTCTGTACATAAATGGCGGTTTTATTCACAGTATACATAAACAATGCAGAATAAACTGAAAAAGGAAGCACCAACAAAAATACAGAAAGGTGTCATTGTTGTTCCGCCTGTGAAAATAACTTGAGACCCTGGGGAGATGTGTGCTCAATGGGTGGGTGGGTGCGGGGGTTATCGGTATCTCAAAGACACCCTCTAAATGAGTTGCTTGTTCAAAGGACCCTCTGCGACGCTTGACCGTCTGCTATCACGGTTGCTGCCAGGGTTAACAGGTGGTGGGATCTTGATGCCATCGACATGGGTAATACCCTTCTTGACTTGGTCCTCCCTCAGGTGCTCCATGTAGTCCAATTGCGACCCCAGCACATCAGCGTAGGGTCCCGAGATATCTGTAGACTTGCGACGGGAGTACTTGTACTCCTTGTCCTTGTCACGTACCTCCAAGGTGTCATCGTGTTCGTGTCTGGCATGGCTGCTGCTACGGCTACGGCTACCAGAGCGCTCCTCATTAGGACCACGGCTTCGGCTGCGCGATGTGACGCGGGTGATGGCATCGACGATCGAGCTACGGCGTCCCTCTCTGGGTGGGTTAACAGGTGGGGGGATAGGGATACCATCGACGTTGTGGGTGATGCCGCTCTTGGCCTGTTCTGTGCGCAGGTTCTCCATGTACTCGGTCTGTGCTCGCAGGGCGGATGCATATTCGCCACGCATGTCGGACGACTTTCGGCGAGAGTACACATACTCCTTATCCTCGCCCTCCCTGATGACGCCGTCGATGGATGGGCGTGTACGGGAGCGAGAGCGAGAGCGGGATCGCGAGCGGGAGCGAAGGCGCTCGACAAAGGCAGAGATGGAGCCGCGACGGCTTCCGGTATTGGTGACGTTGACGCTCTGGCCGTCCTCTGCGATAGGGTGGATATCGTGCTTGCGGCCACGATCCTGCGCCTCCTGACCTTCGACCTGGATCGCAGGAGGAACGATGGTGGGTTCGCCGGTGGTGTGGTAGACCATTTCTTGGAGTGTGATTGAGGATGAGGTATACGAAGAAGTGAAAGGTGAAAAGAGGGAGTGAGGGTGGTAGAAAAGCAATTAGGAAGCGTGTCTGTCCTTCTCAAGAATGACGCTCTTTTATATAGCGTAACTGTACCACTTCGTGGATCCTCGGTAAGTTGGGTTCAAAACCTGTTTAGGACCCGGTTCCTGACTAGCCGAAATGGTTATGCTTCTAAACCTTCCACGGAAATGCCTCAGATAGCGTAGCCAGTTTGCGAAACCATTAGAGTTCACGATATGAGAATCTTCCCCTACCAAAATGTATCGTAGTAAACGAGATTCAATTCACAGTCAGTTCATACCCCTTAAAAAGCGCGAATGAATTGAAAAGATATATTTATCGTTTACTACGATACATTTTGGAAGGGAACTGCCCATTGTCCTGTAATCATCATCTCTCACTAACGCGATCCAAGGCAAGTGCATGAGGCACTACCTCCTTTACTTCCTTTCTATCTACCTAGTCGGGGTGCATGGGGCTGACTACCTCTCCTTACTGTCCTATCCACGCGCGTTGAATGTTAATCTATCCAACACCACCATTGGATTCGCTACGCTAGAATCCAATGGTGGCAGCCTGCTTGTGGTCCCTGGAGTATTCATTAACGCTCGAGCAGAGCCTTCTTGAACCATGCTGTAGCTCAATCCTACCATCCAAATCTAATAATGAGGAAGGGTGGCCGTTGCACTCTATCCACGCGCGTTGAGCAGCTTATGAGCAACTCAACACTACTTGAGGATTCGTTATGCTAGAGTCTAATGGTGGCAGACTGCTTAGAGCCCGGGAGTACTCATCAACGCTCCAGCAAAGCCTTCTTGAGTCGAGCGCACCTGCCCATTCCCTCTGTTATGAGTTGCACTTTGTTTTACTGTTTTATAGTTTAATATAGTGCGGGACATCTAGTCGCGACTGTACGTAGAAAACATTGAAACTCAAAAACCTTGGAACTAGAGGTTATATTGATAAGCGGCGAACATTGGTTTGTAGAGAGAAGGGTAATACGCATACGCACTTTAATGATCCAAACTTCGATTCAGCGGTTGTACTTGAAAATGATAGGTGTTTCTAGACAAAAGTTCCATGTCGCAACTAGACGTCCTGCACTGTACACTATGCCCGTTCGCTTGTGTCAATGTATATTAGGCGCTATCGGACGTTCATTCACATCACGCTCTCAACATGCAGGAACGAGACTCAAACATGAACGCCCGTTCGGAAAACTGGAGAGTAGAGCTGCAAGGGCTGGCAACGGAGGAATATCTTGTAACTTGTACACGTATCTCAGACATCGATTATCGGGGCTATCTTACGTTCTTAAGGAAAAATGATGGTCTCGCAAAGTGGCATGCGCATAAGAATTGGAAAAGATACCATCGGTTGCCTTCTTGCAAGTGAGCACATAGGACTTTTTTCGAAAGGGCGAGGAGCTGGAACAAAAGTAGGATAGCAAGGCCTACAGTCAACTCGACATGATGCACTGGGCATTGCAGAACAGGAAGCACGCCGCTGAGCTCCAATCTGTCACAGTGATGCATTTGGCCGACGCGTCTGTGTACAAGAAAATGAGGCGCATGCTCCAAGAGGACATGGATATGCCATGTATGTTCAATTGCATGATACAGCTTTGCATACCTGCTACCAGTCGAGATATTTATTGCTAACGGTCAAGCTAATTAAATTCGTCTGTTCTTCCCATAGATCCAAGCATGGGCACATCCAGGCATGGGCGCAGAGCTGTATGTCAATTGGCCAAGAAAAGCTCTTCCCTAAGTGCATGTTTTCTGTTTGCGACTTTATAATTGCCGAGGGCCATTGCTACCATTTAGAGGCACAGATGACTAGTTACACTCACACTCGGGGCAATTGCGAGATACAGAAATAAATATGATAATGAGTAATGGCGCCAAGAATGCATAAGCAAGGCGGTGTAGATGCCCGATGTGCATCATCCGTACGCAAAATGAGCGACGAAAACGGCCTTGATGCATGGAAAGCCGTGTATTTTGCACAAACAGCAGACGACGGAGTTTTGTTTCCTTGGTAGATGTATCTTTTTTCCTGCCTTGGACATGCCCACACCGCCGGTGTGTATTCTCGATAATCTACCCAATTGATCCGTTTTTCAATTGGCTCAAGTCGTCTGCTCTCAACACTTCTCACCTTCTGTATATTTGTATCTTTTGTGCAACCCCACATCACCGACACCTTCAATCACGAGAATCGACTGCGCCCGTCGTGGTGGTAGTCCACAATGGGTAAAAAGAGAGCCCTTTCCATACTGCCTGGCTGCTTATTTCAGTACATGATGAAAAGAATGCAGTTTTGCAGCTGCCCACACAGGTCTTTATTCGTTCTTTTTGCTACTAGCAGTGTCGCCATGGCCACCTGTGCTCCTGCGCGTCCATTCCAAAGAGGAAAGATTTAGGAACGACCTCTTGGACACAGAGTCCGGTCCTGGACGAGGTCCTGATTCTCTCGAAGAGTGTGAGACTGCTCCATTCTCCGTTATTACGTAGCCATCCGCTCTATCGGTCACGGTCTGGTGTAAGAACCGACGCACATCCTTTTCAGAGTCCTCGCCTGCTGTCCTGAGAGACTGTGGGGTCACCATGTGAGGCCTAACTGATATAGAAGGGGTTTGAGATAGTGCTCCTGAAGATCCTGCACGAGCTATGCTACTAACAAGCGAGGCATTGGAGGCACTGCGTGCTGATGTGGATGTTCCGCCATAATTTGCCGCTGCTGTTGCCGCAGATCCCGGAGCAGCTGACCCTCCGAGTTGGATCTCGCTCACTTCGCCCCGCAGCTCCCGCGCCTTCATCGCCGCAGACTGCACATCTCGCTCCCATGCAATAAACCGGTTACGGATCCCGCTGGGAGCGTAGACGGTCATGTATCGGCCAATGGTCCTGAACCACTGCGATTGAAGCGCTTGCAGTTTGTCCATCCACAGAGCAAGTCTTCTCTGGGAGACAGGCAGCTTTGTATCGAGGTACGAAATTTTGTTGAAGAATGCGCCTGTGAAGTCCCGGATTTCGATTAGCTTGCCGACCATGCCCTCCAGATGATACACAGACCGCTGCGTGGCGTGCTCCTTTTCTTTGACTTCTTCAAGCAGCCGCCTGCGCTCCTCCAAAATCGCGTCAGCTTCACGATCGATCTCCTATTTGATACGCCATGAAGAATGGAGATTAGATACTAACGTTGTTGTACAAGGCGGACAGAGGTAGACGTGGTTTGGATTGCATACCTCAAATTGCTGTCCCCGCTCATTAAGTATAGTCTGAAGAGATTCCAACTGGCTAGTAAACTCTTTTTCCATCACCTATTGCACATCGTGCGCATGGGAGTGTAGGGCGAAAGATGGTTGACAATCGTCAGTGATATGATTCCTTGTTCCATGTTCAGCAAATACAACGCCCTCGATCGATCGCGACCCTTACCTGCATCCTCTCATACATGCTTTTCAATGTTTCCTCCTTCTCCTTCAAGAGCTGGTACGAATAATAATTCTGCGTGTCGCATTCTATTACGAGACTACCGTATATCAATGTCAAATAAAGCCTTATTAGTCAATAAGTCCGGAGCAGAATGTATATTTTCTTCTTTTCCTTCAAATCCTTACCTTTTCAACGGACGAACGCTGACATCTTTGCATTCCAGGCACGAATATGACTGCGACCGTTTCCTGTACGCTGGGTGCTTGATAGTTTTCCTTTGAGAATTGCAAATGATTCCAGGTATCGCACCACTACCCTGTGCCGCCTCGATCCGACATCCCAAAAGTCGCTCCTGACCTGCCAGTCCGCTCATGGATTGGGATCTCTTCCTGGGATTCAATGACCCAGCAATGCCCCTCCTATCCTTGTCTAAATAAAACTCCGTGATCTTTGGCGGTCCGGGTTGCTCAGGTTTTAGTGAGAATAAGGATGCGAGGGCATCCAAAGACGGGAAGGCTGCGACGGATGAATACTGAGGTGTCACGTCCGCTGTGGATGTTATTGGGGCCTCCTCCTCGGATCCCTGCATGTTCGTTGTAGATTCGCCAATAACGGTTGAAGCCGGCGCCTCGTCAGTCTCGTAGTCGTCATTTCTTTCATCTTCCAGCTTAGTGCTATAACCTGGAGAACAAAACAGAGGTGTTATTCGATCGAAGCGGAAGAAATAATATTAACACAAGATTATGCGCGTAGAAAGGTCTGCTCCTGGCTTACCATCGACAGGCGTTGAGGTAACCAATGTTTCGTCCGTAACGAATCCTTCTTTCATATTGGACATAATCGGTAGTTTTCCTTTAGGCATTAAAAGCGATTGGCGATTTTTTCCGCTGTTACCCGAGAGCAAAAAAGACCGTTAGCTATTAATGAGATTATAACATGAAGCACACAAACAATGCGCGTGCTTGACACTTACGCCGCTATATTCTTTAGAGACTGAGATGCATTCTTCGTCTCTCGGGACTGGTTGCATGTAAGCCATTTCGATCACGATTAGCGCCATTAAGAATGACTTCAACCCGATGCGATATCTATTACATAACCGTCTGGTACTTACAGTCTTTGCCAGCCCACGGACCAAACTCTTGCCCAGTTCCTTGCCTCCCGTCAGCCAGTCGCCATTTGCCAGTGCGTCTGCCATATCAGGTTTATGCTTGGGCTTTCCTCTCCAGACCTGCTTCAGTGAGTCCGCATGGATATGTTTCGCAAACACCTCAAGATCCGTGGTCTCACCCTCAGGGTTTACCGCCGTCATTCCAGAGAAATCCTCGATCTTGGACTTCAGCACCTTGTGCACCTTCAGGCCCTGCGGATTAAATGATGAATGGTACGCTGCTCCGATAGCTTCGACTGTCTTCAAGTCCAAGAAACGGGCCTTTATATCCGGCTTCTTGATCTATGAATTTCCCGATCGCATATCTTCGTCAGTTCACTCGGAAACTTGTGCCTGAGAAACGAGGTCCTTCTCCTCGCTTAAACTTCCAATGCTTAATCCTTGTAAACGCACCTGGAATGCCTTGACGGCGTTTAGGAATGCTACTGGTTCTGCGAACGGATCTTTCGGTACCTAAAGATTCAAGGATGATAGAGATGAACGTCAAAAACCACCTTGATCCATATGTCATCCGCTAGTCCCGTCTCCTGCAAGGATGGCTTCCTTACGTTGTTGACCAGATGCTGTAATTTCCCTCTTATGTTCCACAGCTTGCTAAACATCCCTGCTAGGACGCCGGGGTCCAATGCGCTTTCCAAGTAGAGTCTCTATCGTCAGTGCACACAGGAATCTGCAATTAGCAATGTGCCATAACTCACGATTGCTTCGGCATGAGATACAGACTAAAAATCGTACCTGGAACTTGGAGCTGAGGAAGATATCATAAAACTCATCGAGGCCCTCCTTCGTAGCGTTACACAGCAGTCCATCGACGTCTGACAGGTTAAAATGTCCAAAAATGTACAGACTGTTTTGCACAAGACCCACTAGCCGGATCACTGTCTCTTCAAAGTCTGTCAGGTCCGAGATCTTGTAAAGCTGATTGAATTTCTCCCGCTGGGCATCGCTATACACACACAATAAAGAAGATAGAGCGGGCACCATTGACATGTGAGTCGGCTTTGCTTATCGATATCAAAGAGCTATCTGGTATCTACCATAACCGCATGTGAAATTGACGGTGATTGGCGGGTCCGAATGTGCCTACCTTGGAGACTTTGACGTGAGTGCACTTCGGCCACTGCAACCCATTCTCCTGAGGTTGAGATTGAGATAGAATCGTCGTTTGTAAAAATCAAAATCGCCCTCATGTGGCACAAGGACAATGTTGAGTGACGACGCAAACAAGCTGAGATTCGTTACAAAGAGTTGACCATTGGGTGTCTAACATCACATGAAAATGGTCAATAAATGTGGAACTGAAGACGATATCGTGTGGGACACTGTTGGGAAGGCTGTTGCTTCATACCTCCTTTGGCCGTGCTTTTTCTTCCCGCAGATTTTCAAACACTCTCTCTAGCCTCGGACAGAAAACATCCTGATGTTCAATCGTGATGGCGACCACTAGAATCTGGTTGATATAACATGCTCACAGGTCAGAGATCGCTAGGCCATTGGGCATAAAATCGCCAAGTCCTTACAATAGTATCGACTTTCAGACCTTATGGACAGGATCTCCAGTGAAAGATACAGCTGTAGCGACTTCTCGATTCCGTTCGATAGCCCTGTCAATGATATTCAACCGAAACAATGAGTGAGCATATATGAATCCTAAAAAAGTCACAGGCGCGGCGCTCGGGTCCGAATGACGTTCTACCATTGTTCCACAAGGTATACTTGATAGCCCTCCAGCTTGGCCTCTGTGTTGTCGATGCGGATGCCATCCACATTCCTGCAGATGTCAATGATGCGACCACGTTCGCAAAAGACGAATCGTCCTGGAGTTAATGGCATGTCTTGCCTCTCTTTTTTTATTTTTTTTACAGCGTTCAGGACGCTAGTAATGGATGAGGAGATGTTCTGAAGACCGATGCAAGGAAGCAACTGCCCAGTGTATTCTATTCTATTGAAGGCTGGTGCTTGATAGAAAAGCGGAAGGCGAAAAGGTGGGGAGGGTAACGAATTGGTGGAGGTGAATGCAGGCAACTTTGCAGTTGAGGAATGACTTCGCCTTGCAGCTAGGGAGCAGTCATCATGCAATTACAAGGGAAATCTGCGTTGCAGGTAGAGAATGGCATTGTCATGCAATCAATCGAAGAACGACTACGCTTTGCAATTAAAGAAGACAGCTGTGGGTGCAAAAGCACCGCTGATCTGCGTGAAAAAAAAAAGGATTTCACGTTCCCACATTCAACCATGCACAAGATTCTCAATTCACGAGCAGCTCACGGCGTCCAACGCTCTGCAAGGGCCTGCCACCGAGTTTATACAGATTCAAGTTCATATGCACATGTAGGAGCGAGACCGTTTAGCTCCGTCTCGCTTATTGCACGCGCACAGGACGCCGGCAGCAACAGCGCCGATGATACGGATGAGAATGCACCCGTAGAGACAGTTGATGGATTACCAGATTACACAGCAGAGCCCCGAGGACGTGCCAAGGGTGTTGAGTGGAAACTTCGTGCCAAGGTATGTTTACTTTAATCATTTATTATTCTCCCTTGGTTACGCGCTAGGATGCCGATCTGATCAGCCATGTACCTTTACTTTTTCTCACACACTTTATTAAAGGGAAGGAATTTTGTTGATTTCTGCAGAATCAAAGTCTCCGGAGGTCAGGGTGGTGATGGTTGCGTCTCTTTCCATCGCGAAAAGTTCGTCGCGTTTGGACAGCCCAACGGTGGAAATGGTGGTCGAGGCGGCAACGTGATCTTTGAGGCATCTTCGAACGAGACATCGCTTCAACACGTCCCCCACACTGCCGCTGCGCCACGAGGCGTCCACGGGAAGGGCTCGCTCATGCATGGGCATGCAGGCAAGGACCTGCTCATCAAGGTTCCTATGGGAACCATCATCCGGGAGGTGCCATCGCCCGAGAAGGAACATAACGCAGAGAACGAGGACGACGATCCGTTCCACAAATCATTGGAACTGGGTGAACTCGAGGCTAAGGAGAAAGAGATGTCTAAAAGATGGGTCTTGTATCCGAGACTGACGAACGCTTGGACGACACTGCCAGAGGGCAAAGTCAATTACTTTGACGAGGCACAGGCGTGGGTCGCAGAAGAAGATCGGATCGTTGAAGCCAGGAGAGTAGCCATGAGCAAGAAACCTCTTTTGCTAGACGTGAATGAGCATACAGAGGATCAGACACAGTTCATGATTGCGCGTGGAGGTGGAGGTGGATATGGTAATCCACACTTTTTAACAACGCAGAATCGTGCACCAAAATATGCCACCCGAGGACGTGAAGGTCAGACGAGATGGCTTACACTGGAACTGAAGACCATTGCAGACGCGGGTCTCGTGGGATTGCCCAATGCCGGCAAATCGACGTTCTTACAGGCGGTCTCGAACGCTCACCCAGCCATTGCGCCATATCCTTTCACGACTCTGAATCCCTATATCGGTACCGTGGACTATTCTGACTCGTACCAAGTCAAGGTTGCCGACATCCCGGGACTGATCCGAGGGGCACATCGAAACGTTGGACTGGGTCACTCGTTCTTGCGACATGTGGAGCGAAGCAAAGTGCTAGTCTATGTGATCGACATTGCGGCCGAGTTTGGAATCAAGAGAAAAATCAAGGGTGTTGATGACTGGACACCGGAGGAAGAGTACGAGAATGAGAACGCTGAAGCACCACAGCAACAACTACAATCGCAACAAGATCAGGACCCCGCCTCTGTTGACCCAGAATATAGTCAGCCGTTCGAGGACTGGAAGACGCTCTTGGATGAACTGGAAGCATATCAGCCTGGACTCACAAGAAAGCCCTCCATGATCATTGCCAACAAGGCAGATGTTACCGAGGTTGCGCCCAAGAACCTGCAGTTGTTCCAGAAGCTGGTGCATGACGAATGGGCCAAGCGCCGTACTGCTGCCCCAGGCGCTGAATCAGCGGACCACGATATCAGGGTCGTACCTGTCTCTGCAAAGTACAAGAAGAACATTGTCAAAGTTACATCCATCCTTCGAGAGATCGTCGAAGCCGAGAAGGCCAAGGAGTTGATTGCGGAAAAGCGCAAAGAACAGCGGGAGCAACAAGAGGAGGAAGAGGCCCAAGCCTTTAAGGCGACCCGACGCAATATTCTTAGCAGTACAAAGACCGAAGAATAAAAAATTGAGGTTTGTTCATTGCTAGTCTACGCATCCTGAAATACCTAATTTTTATTCTGTTGCCACCAACCTCACTTTTTCAACTTTGGACAGACCATGGAGTATCTGCGGAACCTGCCCTCGAAGACAAACGCATTCTCGGCAGCAACATACGAGAAGGTACGGAGCACAGGGCACGCCCAAAACCGACCCTTCTTCACCACCGTCGACCAGACTCCGCACCAAGGTATATTTATCATTTGCATGACTTTGCACCGAACGGCAATGGAAAAGTATGTAGCTGAATGGTAGATCTGATGATGTCAAATCTCGATTCCGTTCCAGTAGTCCTCCCAAGCAATGATGAAAATCTCATTCTGGCAGCGATTCGACACAAGAAACAGGTCAGTCCAGCGACAAGGCGGTCAGCCTTTTGCGAGCAGCGGACCAAAAAACACTGCGAACCATGGTGACTGAAGCAAATACTAATCGGATTTGATGCTATCACACCACAGGTTACGGCGAGAAACACGGAGCAGCAAAAGAGACCATCAACGCCAACAGGATCTGAGACTGGAACACCACAACCGCCAAGACTCTACAAGCGACCCAGGATAGCGCTTTCTAATGCTGCCGCAGCGTCGTCAGCAGCTAGAGCAGCAGTAACGACCGCAGCATCTGCCCAGTCATCCTCGTCATCATCTTCGCCTTCGCTGTCCTCATAACGTACGATGCGAAAAGCGTTTCATAGATGAATGGAATTGGCATTGGTGCAAGGAAGAGAAGCGCATGTCCCAACGCTGCTGGCGAACGTAGCCTCGTTAGAAAAACTGTCTGCGGGAACCAGATATATATGCAGGTTTTTTTTTTGTTGACACTTCAAGCATTAGTCGATGCGACTGAGAGCAGGGTAGCTTTGTTTCGTTTGTTTCGTTTTTAGGCAACACAGCCGCTTTTTATCATATGTAAAATAGAATACATGTAGAAAACTGGCACAGGTGCCGCAGTGATCCCTCAGTGTTACTCAAAAATGGATCCCAGCTATTATGTACTTCATTCGTGCGATGACCCCCCTCTTCTTTAGCTATCAAGCCATTGACGATGAAGTTTATGTTCCGTTTTACTCTGTATATATTCATGTTATGTCCGTCCTCAAGATGGTTTACTAGTAGCTTAAGATGGCCAGGATATCTTGTCTGGTTGGCCTCAGATGGCTCGAAACATACGGGCACATGTAAAATAACGATACACTGAGAGGCTCGGCCAAACATGCCTTGTTGGTAAAGATATTGTTCAGCCTACTGCCATCGCCGATGCTGCCATAGCCATCAAGGATCCTTATGCAGCTATAAAAACCACTATGGCAGGCCATGAGTGGCGCCAGTGTACCTTATCTCATCTCCCCAGGCGGTCATCCGCGGCAAGGTCGAGATATAGAAGCTGTTCAGCGGATCAATGACCCAGAGAACATCGTTACCATCTATAGCTATGTCAATAATTGTCTCGGTTGGAAAACCGCTGCAGAACATGATATTAATGGTGTTCAAGCTCATTCACTATCGGAACTGCAGTTAGTGATGAGTTCGTGTTAGCTACGTAGCTGGCTGCATAAACGCTCTTCGTTTTCGGAATCGGCAGCATGGATAAAACACGCCACTTTGCCCTACGTGACTCCCGGCACGTGCACAGTAGTTGTCACTCTGTCCGCTGCAGGCCGGACTTTTGATGCCTTTGTGCTTTCTAACGTACTGATTGATAGACATACACGATACTTCTCCAAAGCCTCTAGTCTCAAACATTTGCGCTGGCGAATTGACAACCTCAGTGTCCAGGCGCTAGATGACGTTGAGGTAGGTACTATTGCAGCTGAGGGCGTCGTACTGAACTTGGACAGCGCAATAGATCAGGCTGCCTGGGGTCTCGTACTACCCCTGTCAACGCTCAGCCTGACAAGTCTGATCCGTGATAGGGAGACTTACGCAACCACCACTACAGTCGGTATCGTTGGAATGGTTGCAACTCTATGGCAAAATATTACCACTGCATTGGCCGACGCATGTAGTGCACAGACGTGCGCTGGCGTGGTAGGAGGCGTCAGTCGAGACGCCGCCACCGTTGGTGATGGTGTGTGTGAGGGTTCGCCGCTGACTGTAGACAACACCGCACGAGCGTGCGAAAATGCAGGTTGATTCCTTTGCGGGTGCAGCATGGGATATGTAAAATACACCCCTCTGTATGCTCGGAAACCCCACAGTCTAGAGCTTATTCCCCTGAAATAGCCATAATAACCGATGGAGGGCAGCGTGCGGTTAAATTGAATCAGCCCAAGCGGATTGCTTGCCTTTCTACATTTGGATAGTTCGAAACTTTAATTGCTTTTAGCACTTTTGACAGCGATCTGGGGCTGTGCAAATTGAAGGGACAACTACGAAACAGATCCTCATACTTTGATCTAGGCTACCCTTCTCATTGATTTCGTCCAGGTAGCCGCCCTAAGAACATGCCTTACCACTTCATATTCTTGTTCAGTAAAACATTTCATTGGAGGCGCGGCTTATTTCTGAATATATTCAGTGCAGCGCCTCCACACTCCATTATGCGTTAAAACCTATCAGGCAAGTGTACGGTACTCCTGCAGTGCAATCGTGCCTTCCATCAATATGAAGAAAGTCAAAGGTTATGCTTATCTGGAAATGTCAAGAGAGTGTGTTCAGTTGGCTCGAAGTAATGTACAGGGTGCGATTTATTGCGAAATAAACACTCAGTCGGTCCTAGGCCTCTTGCCCTTGCCTCGACCCTGAGCTCCACCGTCCAAAGCAGGTCTCTTGCCCTTTGCTTGATTCAACTGCTGCTGTTGCTGCTGTTGCTGCTGCGGGTTCTTTCCTTTTCCGCCACTGCTATTTTGACCCTTGCCACCAGTAGGAGCCACTGCCGGCTTTGGTGTCTTCACAACGATTGGCATGGTTGTCTTGATCGATTTGATATTCGTCGCAATCCAGTCCACAGAACTCTTTTGTGTCCTTGGGGTCGTACCCGCCGTTGCTGCCATCGTTGTCGCTGTCGTTGTCGTTGTCGTCTCGGAAATAACTGACGTAGACGTTGTCAAAACCACAGGGGTTTCTGCTGTTGTCAATGAAGCTAAGGTCGAATTTGCGATTGCTGCCGATGTTGCTGTCGATGTCGTTACTGCCTGACTCGATTCTGCAGCCACCACCTTTGCTCCCGCTGACGACTTTGCCTTTTTCGGCTGTTTCGCTACCGGGGACGTGACCTTGGGCAACCATGATACCATGATAGGCTCAACTATCCGTCCGAGGATCATGATCAGACCCTCTGCTTCCTTAGATCCTGCCTTAATCGCCACCGCGCCAACCGCAGGCATTCCTAGTGCCTCGCTCAATTTCCTTTCTGAACCTCTCAAAAACGGGAAAAGCACTGTTCCTGGAAGCATGGCGACCATGGGACCCAGATGTGAATACAGATGTGCTGGTACCAGATCGCCCTTGCAAATGAAGATAGCGCTGGGTGCAGGGTGTGATGATATGTTGTCGATAGACCGTTCCAGAGCCTTGGTTATGGCATTAATTCCGATAACGGTGGATCTCAATATTTCAGGTGGTGGTAGTGACTGGGGCGCTGATGATGACTTTGGTGTTTCTTCATTCATGGAGGCTAATGCGGGATTTGGCCCTGATGATGCTGTGCTATTACTGTCGCTCGATGCCTTTTTAGATGCCTTCCCTGATTTTTCCTGCTTTGGTTTGATCGAGCTCCTATTATGGTGGGTATTGTGGAGCTCGCGGATCGGCTTCAAGAGACTACCAGGACGTGAGCGAGCAGGTTACCAGAGAAGCGCATTCAGGTCAGCAGAACGACAAAAATAACAAGGCACTGAAAGTTCCTAAAAACACGATGCAGCTCCTAGTTCGATGGCCAATACGTACTCGCAAAGAACATCCAGAACAATCGTATTGTCCTCGCTTGTCACCTCAGGCCTGTTTTTATATCGCAAACATGGGGCATGTTAGGTCAAGATGTATGTATGCAAAGAAAAGAAAAAAAACTCGTCTCCTTTGACGATTAACGGACATCCCAGGAAATTACATCCGCATCCAAATTCCGCTGCAATTCGTTACCATGGAATATTAAAAGGCGTATCGAGTACGTTCTTGAACACAACCTTGGTCTTTTTGGCTTCTGCGCGCATGCCGCCCGAGTGCGTAACAGCACCCTTCCCTTGTTTCTGATTCAATGACATTCCTGTTATGCAGCCGTCGTTCCAAGTAGTCACTTCTCAAGAATGTGTTTGGAGCCGTCGTTTTCCAGAATCCTGTCCTTTAAGGTCTGTCGTCGGGTGTGTCCCAATGAGGGGCTGTTAAAAGGTGATCAGGTTTGCTTCAAGTCTCCCAGGATGTTTGTTGCCTCCTCCCACTGCAAGCCACCGAATCCTGTAATAGTGTCTGGTGCTCGCATGGTGCATAGCTTCTTTGCTTCTCTTCCATCACTTCAACCGTCCCCCTTCACCTTCTCTCTGCTCTTCATTATTCACCTCAAGTTCACCGCCATAAATGTCGCAACCAAATCCCATTGTATGCTCTTGGACCAACAGGAACGCTTGCATCAACTAACAGGACTTGCTGTGAAGGATAAAAAAAAACGCGCCACAAACTGACACTCGACTGCGTTCATATCTCTTGATGCCCACCACAATACCAATAGGTATTTTTTGATGTCTCCATTGGCGGCAGACCAGCTGGCCGCATGAAGATGGAGCTCTTTGCGGATGTTGTGCCAAAGACCGCCGAGAACTTTAGGTAAAAAGTCATGGGAGGGAGGGTAGCGATATATATCAAAAGTAGCGCAAATTTGTCGAACAATTCCAAGTCCTGACATTTGATATCTATCGTATTCTTTTTGAAATAGACAACTCTGCACAGGCGAATATAAAAAGAACGGTGTGCCACAGGGATACAAGGGATGTACATTTCACAGAGTCATCAAGGATTTCATGATCCAGGGCGGCGACTTCCTCAAGGTACAGCAGCAAAAATATAGACACCGACCATCATTCTTTTTCAGACGATTGTATACTGACAGGGATTCTTTCGATACGGGCGTTTGTAGGGCGATGGTACAGGATCAATGAGTATTTACGGCGAAAAGTTTGCGGACGAGAACTTTACGATCAAACATACGGGACCAGGATTGCTGTCCATGGCCAACAGTGGACCAAACACAAACGGATGCCAGGTAACGCTCCCCTCCTCTTGTGGAACCTTTCATTTCTTGAGTGATACAAGGCCCCTTCTTTTTTTTTTTTTTTTTTTTTTTTTTTTTGGCTGCTGCTGGGAACAAGGGATTGCTAATATTTATTTTGTATCTACCTCTTTGACGGATATACACTAGTTCTTTATCACGTCAACGAAAACAGAGTTTTTGGACGGACGGCATGTGGTATTCGGAAAGCTGATTGACGGACTGTTGACGCTTCGCAAGATCGAAAACGTGCAGACTGGACCGAACAATAAGCCCAAGTTGCAGGTTGTTATTACCGAGTGCGGGGAATATTAGACCGCTCAATGGGATCGCTGCCGATACGAACATGTGGATCACAATAATAATAAAAAAAACAAAGATGCAGTAGCAAACAATTTGATGAATAATGGTCTTATAAGACTACTTTTTTTGTTCCATCGAGGAGTTGATATGTACAAAAAACGTTTTATTGTTTCACCAGAATGTCTGATTTTTTACTTGAGCCACTTGCGGTAGCTTTGGACCAAAGTCTCTTGGCTAGGTGTAGCTTTCTGAACAGTGCTCCTCTCAAGAACCGCATCCTTCCATTCAAAGAAGCGCTTCAGCTCCGGGTTGCTCTCTACAGTGATGTCCTTAACTCCGTTGTATTGGGTGAGGAGAAAGAATCGGGCCAGGAAGGGAGCGATCGCCAGATCTGCGAACGTGAACTTGTTGCCCAAGAAGAAGGATCCCTCGCCATCGGTCTCCTTGCGGTGTGCATTAAGCAACAACTTGTTGAACTTTCCGAGCTCGACAATCAATTCCTCGCGGTGCTTGGCGGCCTCGGCGCTGTCGAGGGTGAAGGCAGTCTTGTGGTGAACAGGCTGGGTGCGGGCACCCCAGTGGTGGATCAAGTAGCGGGTCTGAGCACGCTGCAGGGGATCCGAAGGGAGGAGACTGGTTTTATTTTTTGAAAATTGGTGGAGAATGAATTAGCCATTGTCGTCTTGGGATATTTCGATATTAGTTCAGCTCTGCTGGAGAACTTACCCAGCCTCGGGATGGAGATCAGCCAAGTACTCGGCAACGAAGAGCGACTCGAGAATGATGTGCTTGTCGTCGACCTTCAAGGCAGGGACCTGGCCATAGGGGTTGATATCCTTGAGGTACCAGTCAGGACGGGGGACAGAGAGATCGATGGAGACGACCTCGTGTTCAGTGTTGGTCTCTGCTGCTGCGATGACAGCACGGGCAGCATAGGGGCAGAGGTCAGAGTTGTAGAGGACGAACTTTTGGGCAGTCATGGTGGTAATATCTTTAGGCAAAAGAAAATGGCGGGATAAGAGAGAGAGAGAGAAAGTGAATAGTGAAAAGAATGGGGACTGGTAGTGTGGGAGCATCCATGGCCCCTTTTATACTCTGCAATGTTGCAGAAAGAGAAGGGCTAAACAAGATTCCAGGATTCGAAATGGCCAGCCAATTGGAGCCCGGGTTGGATCGCCCGATCGAAACCTCCCAAATGCTCCATACGCATCCCATTATTAAGCGCGGCTTTTGACGACGTCAGTAGTATCATTTATGCGAACTCTGGTGCAACAGAGCCATCTGAGCTATCTGAGCACGAATTGCACCATCCTTCCTTTGCTTCTCCACTTCCATTATTAAGCAGCGCGGTGCAAGACTCAGCAACGGCCATCATCCGTGCTTACAGAGGGACAACAATGAAGAAATGAAAAATGAGGCGAACATTTGTGCAGATCACACCATTTTTTTTTTATTATCACTCTCCCTTTTTTTTTTTCCTGTGAAAGCTCATTGAGTCCGTTTGGGATCTACACGTGAGTACGCGGCGCGTCTGTTTCGTCAAACGGTCGCCTACATATAGTGCAACAGCACCATTCAAGTAGGTCCATATGCCACAGAAGCAAACAAAAACAACCGCAACAGGCAGTGCTCCCCCCAAGCAATCCCTACTCATGATGCTTATTGAGTATAGCTATAGCGATGACAGTGACAGATGACTGGGTGATTAGATATCTAGGGATCGTTAGCGGTGAAATACCGTGTCAACTATCGACTTTTTTTTTTTTTTTTTTTTTTTTTGGTGGGGAGGGGGTGGAGGGGATGAAATGATCCACCAACGGAACTCTAGTCAAGAAAATCTTCAAGAACCGGGATCCAAAATGTGAAAATGGGTATTTCCAAAAAAAAAAAAAAAAAATCAGTCAGGTTGTGAGGCAGTAGATTGTCGATTCCTTCCCGAGCTCCTGGAGATCCAATTCTGCTAGTGGCGCACGCACGCAGGCGTACCTGTGAGAAGCTCAAGCGTGAACGAGGATATTGTGTGTATTTTAGCTACAAGAAGACTTTTCGAGCAGCCGTCCAAAAAGGACTGGGTTCTCCTTAAGGTACCGGTCTGGTCGAGATGGTGCTGAGGTCGATATGGATGAGTTCATGTAACCTGTTTTATCTCCGCCATTAGCGAGCACTGCATGGGCAGGGGCACACGGACAGAACCTGTTATAGAGGATGAGCCTTTTGAACCGCTGCCATATTTTGCGAAATAATTTATGAGAGAGGACAACGAATACGGATACGGATATGAAATTGTGATTTGGAAATAAAAGCGCATTACTCAGCTTCGCCTAAAATCTATGTATATGAGCATCGTGTGAGATCTTCGAATAAGGCACTCTGGCGTAAGGATCATTTTATTCTATTGTTTCCTCCTCTCCTCCGCTATTGCTGCACTAAGTTAGGCAACGCACCGAATCCATTAGCGCCGGCTACCCCTGTTGCTGGGACACCAGACTCCTTTGCGGCTGGGAAATTTCTCCAGTTCAGAAGCAAGCCCTTCAAGGATCGAATCTCGCTCTTCAATGCCGATTCAGGAGTCGTTGGATCCGTCAGTCCTCCTTTACCAGAGGCAGCTGCGCCAGCAGTGTTGTATCCATAATACCTTGAGGTTGGGTACGCAATCGAACTCGTCAGCGCATAAGTCTCCTTGGTGATGTACTCTGCCAGATCTTGTGTCGTGGCCCTCGTAGCCTTCAGTTGCTCAAAATTCATGCTGTTGGCGTGCGTTTCCAGTTTCTTTGAAAAGCCGTCCAGCTGCTTGACAGTCGATGGATTAGTTGTCAATGGTTTTGTAGCGATGCTTGTTTCTGTCGAAACCGTCAATGTCTTGTTTGTAATTGACCCTGTCTCGTCCTCTTCTTCCTCTACAGTCGTCTTGGTGTCCTTGATCTTCTTGACCGGCACACGGTTGCTGCCGAGGTGGAGACCCTGCAGATATTCCCTGTATCCCGAAAGCCGCTCCTTAAGTTTGCTCAGCAGCTCTGTCTGGGAGACCGCCAACTTTTGCCGGGCACTCGTGATACCACGGACCATGGGGTATATTACTTTCTACGTTGGCGATACAGAGCCGTTCAAGAAGTGTTAAAATCAATGCCATTTGATCCCAGTAGTTGCGCTCTCAAGAAAAATAACTGCGATCTGTATATTTGCGGCTTCCTTACCTGGACAAGAATTGATGTCAAGACAGTGACACCTCCAGAGATCAACATGGCGATAACCAGCTTTTTCTTGAATGCATTCGGATCAACTACAGCCTGTTGCTGCTGTGGAATATACATTGGCTGGGCATATGCTTGCATTGGAGCATAGTTACGGGGAGGAACTGGAGGCGGGACTGAATTGCTCGATACCGGTGCGGTAGATGGCTGGTATGGCTGCTGCAATTGCTGTTGTGGTGGAGGAGTGGTGCTAACAGCAGGCTACAGATCAAGAACGTTCATTGTGATGTTAATAGGCTGCTACTCTGCAAGTATGCGATCCGATATGACTGCAAATAGCGTGGCAAATTGTCCTTACGGCAGATGCTGTTCCAATAACTCGGGCTTTTGCGAGCTCGATTTCCTTTGCTGTCAGACCCTTTTTTTCCAGGAACTGGGTCTTTTTGGACTCTTCGGCCGACTGAACACTGGGTGAGGAAAGGAACGACACTGCCTGCTGAACCATGTTCTCACGAACGGGCGCATCCGAAACGGGGGCTGCTGTGGCGGTTGCTGCTGCTGCTGCCACCGGAGTAGCCGTCGAGGTGGCGATCGGTGCTGGCGCTGCGGGAGCCGGTGCTGCTGTGGTTGACGGGATTGTTGAAACACCAGCATTGTTGTTAGCGGCGTTGGCTCGTGCAGCTTGTGAGACCTGCTGGGCCTTCTCTCTTGCCTCCTTCTGACGCTTCAAGAGGGCCTCACGACGTTCATTCCTCTGCTCGGCTGTCAGGGCCTGTCCATCGCTGTTGTTCCCCTGCAGAAGTTGACGAACAGGGTCAATTGACTGGGCTGGGGGATTGGTGGTGGGGTTGCTATCGTCGCTCATGGTCCTTGAACGGTACAGTGCAGGTACCGACTGAAGTCCTGAAGTGAGATCGGGTAGAGAAGAGTAAGTGAAAGCGAATGAGTAATGGGGAGTAAAGTGAACGGCGGGCGAGGGAAGCGGGGAAAGAGAGTTCGATCATCATGTGATGATAGTCATTAGCTTCGGAACCGAAAAAAATCGAGGCCGAGGGGGCCGAGGGGTTGCCTCTCATTGGCTCTGTGGGTTAGTGCCTAGAGACTGGACCCTGGGAGGGCTACCTTACCCTTTACAACATAGATTTGGATAAACTGGCCATTGCATGATTCCAGGATGGCATACAGTGCAGAATGTTTTACGCCAGAAATGGTATCTCCCTCATGTTTATCAAGGAATCGCATGCTACAGCGGTTTAATTATCAAGGACCCTCATAACCTGCAGACAACACGATGAGTTGTGGGCAATACAAGGATGCGTGCTTGATTTATTGAATGTAGATGTGTGTATGATACAATGCTTGAGACCATGTTAGGCTCCTCACCATTTACCTAACAGACCTCATGGCCTGGACCTTCTCGTTAAAGAGGTTTTCCGCGCCCTCCCAGACACTGCTCTTCTCACGATGCTCCAGATCAATGATTGTGGGCAACAGGTCTCTTGAGAAGGCCTCGCTCGACTCCCTTGGCAGCAAGGTGGGCAAGTGATCGATAGAGCAGACATCCAGGGGAAGAGGATTCTTGGTTGGGACGTCAACAACAGCCTTATCAAACGTGGTATTGACAGAGTAAACGGGGATAGGGTTGTGGGGATTGGTGGTGTCGCAGGAAACATCGACGATGACGGACATGTTGCGCTCTCCGTCGAGCATTGCTGGCGTGAAGAATGGAGGGATGGGCTTGTTCAAGTAGATGCAGTTGACAAAGATCTCGGACTGGAGAATGCGGGGAAAGGGTCCTCCCTCCTTGGTCTCGGCCAAGTCCCACTTGATGATCTTTTCCTCAGGGATACCAACAGCGCGAGCAAAGTCGCAGGCGCCACTTCCGCAGCGTCCCAATGCGCCCATGACCATGACCTCAGGGATCTTGCCCCCGTTAACCTCGACTGTTTTTGGTGGCACAAAGAATAAAGAGGATTAGTCACTGTCTCGTCCGTGGGAAAAGGATGGACAAAAAAAGAATCGAACCAGAAAACTGGTTTCTTACCTGCGCGAGTCAAGCGCTCTTTGATGTAGGTGATCAGAGCAGCCTCGTTGGGGAAAGGCTTGTATGGAGGCAAGGGCTGGCCAGGGTTCAGCTTCTGATGGCACCAGTCATCGACTCCAATAGCGGCTCCTGCGAATCCAGCATGGTATCCGAAAGCGGCGACACGGCGTCCGTTGGAATCATTCAAGAACTCGAGGTCCAGAATGGTTCCGTTGCCGGCATCGAAGCGTCCTAGGATTTCGGTCCAGCCTCCCTGGTTCTTAAAGCAATGGGCGAAAAAGATGTGGGTGTGGTGCAGAGGATGGGTCTCGCCCTCAGGGAGCTCCTTGAGTCCAACGATATATGCCTCCTTAGGCGCCTTGCGCCACTCTCCAAAGGGGACTATGTGACATCCAACCCTGATGGGATTGTAGATCAAAAAAGCGTTAGGAAATCTTTGTTTCGATTTGCAACAGAGTGATTGCATCTGTGGTTGAGAGGGTATAAGGAGACTTACTTTTCGTATTCCTCGTCATCAAAGATGCGCTCGGGGGATCGCTCGACAGTGATCTTGAATCCACGGTCGAGCAGGGTCTTGCAGGTGGAGGGCGTCAGAGCGGCGCGGTGCTCCATTGCCTTTGTTTCTGCTCTCAGCCAAAGATAAACCATTGTTGTAGATGTGTCTGTGTGGGGTGTTGGAGTTTAGGTGGAAAGACTGTCGATGAGACGGAGGCGGGTTGAGAGGGATGTGTATGGATTGTATGAGTGTGTGGGAGATAAAGAGAAGGGGAGAAATGGGGTTCCGTATTTATACAGCGCGCAGTTCCTGTTCCTGATGATCCATATCACCATCTCATATCATATCGCTCCAACGAACTCTGACTGCAAGTGAGACGAAGCAGATCTTTGTGCTCTGAAGGGCAATGTGTGACGGGCTACCCGTTTACCCAGAGGTCTCTCGCACGGCGAAACACCGAATAAAATTATCATCCGTCCCAACTTTATCAATCTCTCACGATCCATCGCCATCTTGTGGACAAATCAACTGTATCTCAAATTGGTGGCGTTACCTCATTTCTCAGTTCTCATTTCTAGGGGAGAGGCTCCAATGGGGTCCACAGGAAACGTATCCATCCCTCGGTGCACGTACAGGGCGTGTTATCACCACCGCTCTCTACGCCTCATTGGTCGTTGTCTGGCACTGTCCCTGGACAAAGAGTCGTCCTTTCATCTGGTTCGGTTGAGAAGAATAGCCAGACTCGAAATGGAAGTGCGTTCGTTTCCCACGGCTGTAAACCCCTATCCAGATCCAGACCAATCCATTCTATTTTATTTTCACAAACACCTATGCTCCTCCTCTGCCTCTGTCTCTGCCTCTGACTCCCTCTCATGCAATCCAATCGACTGATGTATATCCTTGTCTCGGAAGAGGCCAACTATGGAAGGGAATTCCGAGAACTGTTAATAAAACGCTGGACATGGCACAGCCGGCCATCTTGAACAGGTTTCGGGGGTGAGGCGGTGGAGAAAGAGGATGAAGGTCAGTTTCATGGCTACGGAACTAAAACTGCCCAAGGTCGTGGATGTCACGCTAGACTAGCCTCATGAGGCGAATGAAGGATGTCCGACGGTCGATTATGCAAGGCGTATGCCGCTGTGTACGTGTCTGCCTGAGAAGCCGTGTAGGATGGCACGGCATGGCAGCCTGCGTCGAGTGGTTAGCTGTTGAAGAGACGAGGGGGAGGGGCGTCTCCTGAAGAGATATATGTCTGTATGTGTGTATGTGTGTATGTGTGTATGTGTGTATGTGTGTATGTGTGTATGTGTGTGTGTGTGTGTGTGTGTGTGTGAGTGTGTGAGCAAGTGAGCGAGCAAGTGAGTGAGTGAGTGAGTGAGTGAGCGAGTGAAGCGAGAACAATGCGCACACACCCTCCTACCCCAATCAGAGGCCACAGAACACGGACTCAACTCAACACAACACAACACAACACAACGCAACACCGCCCTGTTTCTCGTCCCTGTGGTTCGCTCATTTAATCGACTATGGACTATGGCCTATGTATGGCCTATGGACTATGGACTATGAACAGTGAACAGTGAACAGTGGACGACGAACAATGGACGTCCTTCCAGGCTGCAGGCGTCAGCTGGTCACACGCGTGCATAAAGACATCGCCCTGGCCTGCCTATCCCCTTCTCCCCCCTCCCCTTCCTCTTCCTCATTTCTTTTTTCTTCAACCTCAACTCATCCCCTCGCCACCATACTGCTCATTCAAGTCATCCCCATCCCCATCCTCACCCCCATCCCCATCCTGTCTCGTCTTCAGGAATCAAGAAACACCCGAGCCAGCGAACTCAACTGAAGAACGCTCCTTAACACCCACCACAGCCAAAAAAAACATCCCAAACGCGCTTCTTCGCCTCAAATCTAACCAAGAGAATGCCGGTCTTCACTCAGATATGCTCTCCCGATCCTGTTGCGGACCCAGCTGCTGCCGTGACCATCTGCACCTGCGAGTGTCTCCCGGACGAGAACACCATGCTCATCGACTCTTCGGAAGGTACAAATACCCTCGGCACCAATGGACAGAGTGGACTGTTCGTTTATATCGACGGCGTCCGTCATTGGGCTACCTGCGCCCTAAACGCCGCCACCAATTCTCATGCAAATCTCAGCGACAGAAAGATGGCACTTCTCAAACAGCAGCAGCAACAGAAGTCAATTGGCGGCCTCGCCCTACTTCGGAAACCACCCGTTCCTGCGACCCCTCAGCGGTATGATCCATTCTCACCCGCGCGTCTTCGACCAACTAAGACCTCGCATCTGTACGCAGGGAGCCGGTTCAGGGGCAAGCAAAAGTCTGGAAGCAGCAGCTATGATGTCATGGTCGACATTAAGGTATGCACAATGCAGAATGAATTCAGATGCTTAAATGTTGGTTTGATCCGTTCACACGATAACCCATAGCTATTTTACTGTTCATTTACAAACAGGATGTCAATCTGGCGGACTCGTCATTATGCGGATACCTACACATCAACGGACTCACCGAGGAATACCCCGAACTCACCACGTTTTTTGATGCCGAGATAATCGGGGATGCACACCCTTTCGTTACCAAGAAATGGGAAGCAGACGCAAAGACGGATAAGGAACACTGGGTAAGTTGATTCTGAAGGAGGCTCAACGGAGACATGTGGTTAATAGCTCGAGGTTCGAGATGGATATGCATGATAGACACAGATATGTTCATCTTGGAAGCAACTGCTTCTCAACAGTAACACGTCAGCACACATGACCGTGTTTAATAACCTGTGGCTCACCTACATCTTTATTTCTTGCTTTCTTTTCTGCTGCATATAAACTTTATGTAGATGATGTTCAAGCCGTTTCATCCTATGAGCGATTCCTTTACACAAGAAAAGTTCAAGTACGACTTTCAGAACCAGGATGTGATCTTCATGCGCTGGAAAGAGCATTTTTTAGTTCCCGATCATCACGTCGAGGGCATCACGGGCGCCAGCTTTGCGGGCTTTTATTACATCTGCTACAACAAGGTCACCGGCGAGATCGACGGCTACTACTTTCATCGTTCCAGCGAAAAGTAAGATTCATCTTTATTTCATCCTTCTTTTTCTCCTCAAATACGTGAAACCATTAGATATAGTAGTCTCTTTTTTGTTCGCATTTCTGATCCTTTGGATATTGTCACTATTCATTCTCATTCTTAGATTTCAAAATCTGATGCTGACGCACATCCAGGACCAACCAATATCGTTTGGATCGTACGAGTTCCGCTAAGTGCGCACCCTCTATCCGTTAGTCCGATTGGCTACCTTGCCAAATAGTCAATATCTTCGAGCAGCTCATGGACTCTTTCCTTACTGCTGCCTGTACATATTCTTTTATCTTTGCTATCTGTTTGTTTTCTTCGTCGTTTTTTTTTTCTTGCCTAAACCCTCAAACAAATATCCTATTCTACCCGTTACTTTTCTCGCTTTGCGGCCTTTGTCCCTGGCCTTGGCTAAAGTCTTCCATTCATGAATAACGTCGAGAGGAGGAATGAATTACCTCTTATTGTACATAGTTAATAAAACACACAAATTCTGAGTATTAGTATCGTGTGTTCATTGATAGCCACCATGGGCTTCCTTGCTCGCCTGTCTCAGCGTGATTGTCGACATTCAGTGTTTTTCAGCCATGCGTGAGGCGTCCGATATTTGTGCATATCCTTCTATAGATAATGGAAAAGCGCTCAAGAAGTAGCATTGTAGGTTGACTAGTACTTCTTTGAGCCAACAGGGTCTTCTTACAGACTATGAGTATATTAAATTTCTGATTCTTTGGACCTCCAGAAGCTGTTTTACTGGACCGCATAGCCGCAGCCTTGTACGACATGGCACACCAAATGCTTCAAGCTGATCAGCTTCCTAGGGGGGGGGTTGCATGAACATTTTTTTCAAAAGAAGAATTGTTCAAGATGGTACGAGGAATCAGACTAATCGTCGGTGTTCATTCTATGCAAATTGACGCAAGATGGTGTCACAGACCGTAAATTAAACCGTGGAAATAGGCTCAATTTGATGCTAGTCGAGCCTGCAAACATATATACTACTATCTATGATAGGCCATTTGAGGTTATCCAACTATGGGTCGCGCTCCAGGCCGCGGCAAGGTATCGTAACCTTGTGTGATCGAGTATGATTTCCATACTAACCTAGCCATCCGCATCAATCTAACTGAACGCAAAAATCGCATCTCCTTACTGCAGCATGTCCTGAACTATTGAAGAAAGCAGAAAAAAAAAGAAAATCCCCTGAAATGTCTTAGGTGGGGCTTGGTCGATCGAGTACTCTTGTATCATGTAAAGGCATCGAGCTGAATTGGATGCAGTGAGCTGCATGACCCAATCGTCAAAGGAAGGGACAGTTGCCTACAGCAAATATTCATAGACATTCTCTTTTCATGGAGTTACTACTTACCTGCCTTTCTTTTTTTTTTTTGGTAGCACATGCACGGGAAACTGGCATCTCAGAAGAAATAGAACCTATGCCTTGGCTGAGTCGATCGAATCGAAATGGAACAGTATATTATCGATCGTGGAATTGTGGTCTTCATCACTTTTCTTGCGCCCTAGAATATGGCACTGCATACAGCTTACTAGACCCAGGTCCCCAATCTTAATGATCTAAAACCTGCTTCCGTCTACCATATCCCTTATCGTCAGGTGGCATTCTGCACTCTTGCCATGCAATTTGATTACTGACTAGTCAACAGCCTCGGATTATAGTACAATCTATCCATGCAGGAAAAACCCACGGGCGCTGTGGAAGCTAGCAAAGGTGATTCTGGAAAAAAGAGATTCTATCTCTGGTCAACAAAAGACCATGCTCAGGAATTTTGTCCACTGGCATACGAATGGACACAGGGCTTTTTTTTTTTTTTTATAGCGCGCTGTATGTCAGCTACTGATGTTCTGCCCGTTAAGGTTCAGCCCCCGACATGAACGTATTGTAGACTAGTGTAACACACGGGTGAAATGGGAGCGGCATGAACGAGTCCAAGCGTATGATTGGCGGAGTTGGACCTCGACTGCGTGCTGCGCCTGGTCCTTTCCCTGAAAGAGGTCTTTGATGGACTATTAGTCAAAAATCATTTCTTGGGCACATAGCCTTTCATGCACGTTCGGGGGGGTCAAGTTTGACACGTCTGACGTTCGTTTATGACTAAAATAGAAAATGCCCTTCCCCCCCCCCCTTAGCTTGCCTGCAGTTAGTGTACTCCACATGGGCACCGCCACCGTTAGGCAAGGTGTATATTCTGCCTGCTTGGATTAGCGGATTAGACAGGACTACCATCAAGCGCGTTGTTTTACATCACTGTTGGCATTCCTGCCGGCAGAATTTCTGCCGGCGTAGCAAAGGGTAGAATTAGTTCCTTAAAATACATCCCTTAGTCTTCAAAGACGTATAAAGACCGTTGCTTTTCCTCCTATTCTATTTCTCATCAACCGCTCACCATTCAACTGACCTTCAAGCACCTTCAGCGCTCAGCTCTCAACCCTTCATAAACCTCGCCTTCCTCGTAGGTTGCCCCATACTATGCTCTAGCTTCCAGTCGAGACAGCTCTGCCGCGTGCTTTTGATCCAGTACTGACTTGAACATCTTTCTTCTTTTACCTTCCTCAACGTTAAATGGCGCCCCATTGGCTTTCTACCGATCTACGTCTATAAACCGATCTGGTGGCGCCTATCTTTTTGATCCATACTCTCTAATAACCATTACCCCCCACCCTATCTACAGCAACATGCACAAGTCCTTGGTCCTCCTCTCTGCTTTCTTGTTCGGCGCCGCCGTCGTCCAGGCCAGCCCTATTCCTGGTGGCTCCTGGTGCTACAATCCTCAAAACGAACCCTTCTGGGGAGCCGCCACCTCCAGCTGCTGTAACGGCTGGATGGGCGAGGACCGTCGCTGCCATGATATTCCCAACTGTCAGGCCTTCTATTCCTGTTGTATCGACAAGTGGCACAGCGGCAACCATCTCACCGACAAATGCACCTAAAAAAAAAAAAAAAAAAAAAAATGGTTAAACGCCGCTTTTTTTTTTTTTTTTTTTTTTTTTTTTTTTCAATGTCATAGTAGGCTACCTACTTGGATTATTTCAAGTAACAAAAATATTATTAACGTAGTTAGTGGAAGTTGTAGGAATAACCTGATGGTGCGTCTTTGAAAAAAAAAAACCATAAATATCTGGTGTCTCATTTTGCGCGTGTAGCATGTCAATCGTTGTAGAAAGCCATGTTGAATAACTTCCTTGAGGTCAAAATGCATGAAAAGAAAAAGGCAGAAAACACGCAGAACTTAAGGTGAGAGTAATTGCCCATCCCAGGGGGGTTTGCAGCATACGAAGGGAACTTGATTTTTCAAAAGGTCAGCGAGCTAGACTGCTTAGAGAGAGAGAGAGAGGATTCGCTCCCTTAATTCCTGCGAGAACACTCATTGTTTGGAGAAGCTGGCGTGTCAAACAGTGTACGGACCTGCAGGCTCTAAGCTTTTGTCCTACAAGAAGGTGGGCCCGTTCCGCTGAAAAAATATGTGACCTCCGGTTCTAGTATCGCCCATTCTTTCCATCCTTATTTTTTTTATATATTCTCCTCTTCTTTTTTATTCCTCCCATTCTTTATTTCGATCCCTCTCTCTTTTAAAAAACACAGGTAGCATAACGCTCAAAGTTTTGGATCAGTAATCCTTTCCAGGTGCCTTGGCTGTCGTAAACGCTGAGAACGTAGTTTAACTCCTGGCGGACGACAGCAAGCCGAGAATAAACAAAGACGCGAGTGGGCAAATATCACCAAAAGGTAACAGGCGAACCGTTGGGACTAACACCTACCACCACTATCTTATTTTCCCAGTACTGCATTGAGTAGGATGATGCTATTCTTGCAGGAGGAGAGGAATCCCAACAGCCTCTCGCTCACACCCCCCGCTCAGCCCTCCTCTGAAATTGCACCTGCCCCCTTGGACCTAAACACAACTGCTGCCCTTGTGAACAGCACCAAAACCCTCGACACAATCTACACTTCTTTATGCCAGCTACGCGCGTCCATTCTCTATGGAATCAAATGGTTGAGCTATCCTTGGACTTGGCCTTTGAACCAAAGCTTCGTCGTGTGATCAACATTCACGGTGCGTTTACCTCCCAGGGGTAAAATGATATTCTCTGTCCCACGAGTTCCGTTATTCCAGGTTCCACTCTTACTGCTGAACCCTTAAATTTCCCTGGACGCGCCACCGACCATGTGCGCTGACGGTCCATACACTACATGGGAGCCATCGATAGAGTTCAGGCTGCGCTGGCTCGTGCTCCAATGAAAGACAGGAAAGCCATGATTGAAGCATTTGGCTCCAATACACGGAATACCTTGGACCTCTGTTAGCCCAACTTTTCGATCACCGAGTTCAGAACACCAGTTAATTGCATCCCTGAAGATGGATCTGAGGTATCTATGATACGTTGAGGGGGTTTTTCGTGAAGCCGATGTTGCTGAGCGTGCTGATGTCTCTCAACTACAGTTGCTGTGCGAATCTCTGAAAGAGAAAGCGAATAAACATTTCTACAGTACACCTTTTGTCAGGATATTGTTACCACTACATGACTACGCGTGCTTGGAAACCACATCCTTGTTATCACAAGAGGGTGCCACAAGAACCCTGTGCGTGTACATTAAAAATGATTAAGTGACCCTAATAAGGGAACCAAGCAAAGTTCTCTCGATAGCCTAGTGTTGTGCGTTGCAGCGATGGTGTTGCTAATGCATATTAAGGTTGTAGGTTTAGCTTGAAAAAAAAAAAAAAAACTTGCTCTTGATTGTTTCTGTGCCCAACTCTTGAGGTAAACAATCGCCTGCACATTTTCTCCACAACTTCCTATAAACCTTGTGGCGCTGATCCAATCCTGTGGTCTTGTAGGGAGGCGGCAATGTGGCCCCTCAAAGGTGTGCGCTGTTAGAGGATGCTACCTTCTACATATTCCACACTTTGTTCGTGGACGCGTTCAGACTCTCAGTCAAGGGATGTAGTCCTGTCCTTGGAAAATCGAAAACGCGGCGATGAGAAAATTTCGGTTGCCTGGGGGAAAAGGAAAGCCATATCCAGGGGCCACGCAGAACACGAGAGCCAAAGCGCAGGAAAACAAACTAGAGGCAATATTCCTTGAAGGTTGACTGGACTCATTATTCATGCGTACTTATCACTTTATCAGCATGTATGTCGAGGCCTCCACAGAGATACTAACCGGAATACAACATGTTCTTTCGGCAGGTCCAGTGCAGACCAGAAAGATTAGTTGTCCAGATGACCATCAGCAACCTAACCTTCACCAACAGTTCTTTTATGCGCATTTTTTTTCGCTTTCAACAACTGTAGTACAGTACATGTGAATATTGAATATGCGAGGAAGCAGCCTAGGCGGCCATTTGTTTCTATGCTTCGAAACACATGATGTGTACCTGCTGCGGCCAGCCCTTTTTTATTCCATTTTAACTTTCCCCCAATTACCAGGGGAATGTAAATACATAAATACCGACAACTCTTTTCTCTTTACCCCACACAATCTAGCACAAAAGAGCAAACACCAAAAGAATCATTTCCATACTATGAATCAGACCATCACCAACAACGACTCTGACGCCACTGCCAGCAATTCTTTTCCCTCAGTCCAATTCAGCCGCGATGATGACAGCCGTGGCCGCAACCATGTCATCCATCCAATCGCCGAGTCCGGGCCCACAATGGACCGCACCATTCCCTTGACCAAGACCAACACCACCGATTCGACCAAGAGCCGTCGCCGCTCTTCCTTGGCAGCCTTTGCGGAACTCTTCCGTACCCAGTCTTACTCTGATTTCCGTTCGCGATCGCAATCCAAGGGTCGCAATAGTCTGGATGAAAATGAGTGTGAAGTTGAGGAATACAAACACTCCCGACGCAGGTCATCTGAGACTGGTGGCGGTAAATATGAAGACGTCGTCCGTGCTCAGGCTCTGTTTATGGACAAGTTGAGGGAAGAACAGGCCAGGAACCATATCACTCGCAATGTCGATGGGTTGCCGATCCCTCCTTCCATGCAGCGCGACCGTCGTCGATCGAGCCTGGTGCATATTCTCGGCATGGACAAGCCCTTGCTAGCTCGTTAGGCGTTAGTCGATGGACATATGGATTGAACAATACCCTCCAGCAACATCAGTACCACCTGTATCATTAGCTTTTGCCAGTAAACAAATTATTCGTACATTCATATAAACACGACGCTTAAAACACAGCATAAGCGAGAGCTTACTGTCAGGTCTCCCTCAGAGAAGAGCACTGATTCGGATACTGCCAAGCTGCAATGAAGCATTGAAAATAGGTAGATGCTGTAAGATCTCGAGCGTTCATTCCCTGGACATCTAGCATTGTGCACTTCAGCCCTGCCACCGCGCTTTTCTTTTTTTTTTTTATCGCGAGCGATATCACCTAGTTTCCTCAAAGCGTCTTCCTGCTCGTGTTCACATTCCAGAAATGCCTCTACAGTTTCAGTCTTTCTCGCTCCTCTCTGTGCTTCCTGCTATTCAGCTCTCATTGCCTGTAGTTGGAGACGGAGTTGCGGTGAGAGCGGGTTTTCAAGAGGGGACCCGAGATCATTTTCGAGACCGCTTTCAATACCGATCGGCTCTTGTGGCTCTTGAGGAAGTACAGGTTCCCTGCCGTAGTTGATCTCCATGCCTCTGTGGATCCTTGGTGCCTGATACATGTGCTTACAAGGCGGATTGTGCTGGACGCGATTAGAACATGTACGAGAAAGAAGAAGGGGCCCTGTCCATGTTCGCAATGATGGAGTACTCTGGATTGGGCCAAGTGAAAGACTTGACTAAGAACTGTGGAGGATAACATTTGATCAGAATGAACTTTGTAGACAGAAACAATACCTACCACCCGCAGTTTAGTCATGAGCCAGGGTCAACCACCTGTTTAGTGTCACCATCGTTAAAAAAATATAGTTCGCTGATGAGATATTTTTCTTCCGCCCCGAGCTGGACAAGGAGCGGGATTGCCTTACGGTCACCGTTGGAGAGGCGGTCGAGATATTGGGCTCCGCCGACTTGGATCTCCTTAAAGCGAGCGAGCTGCTTATCAAGTACGGAGGTGGAGGTTGCGGCGGTCATGGTGTTGGATCTGAAGAAGGGTGTGAAATGGGGGAAGGGTGTGAAATGAGAGCGTGGGTGGCGCTTGATCGGTGAGTGGACGAACGAGACGAGTCCGAGGGATGACCGAGCAAGACGATGAACAAGGGACCTTTAGCGGAGGATGGTGGTGGTGCGTAGTGAAAAAAGAAAGAAGACGAAAGGGTGTGTGGAAACCAGAGGGAGAGAGGGTGTTCCTCTTTAAAAGTCGGGGCGAAGAGTCGTGCAAGCAGGCGCCATCGAACCCCTGAGGAAAAGCGTCGTAAAAAGGGCCAAGAATGCCAACAGTAGCGGTCTTGTCCTTTTTTGCTACTCTCCAAGCACCTTGGCAGACAACCTTATTAATGATCCATGCATTATTGCTGTCCGCAACACCGTGCTTGAGTAAAGGGAGAGATGCCATCATTGCTCAGGCCGGTACAGACTCATGGGTATCAGCTGTGATCTGTATTCATGGGTGTCTTTCCAGGCACCAAGGTGACCCAGACTCGGCTTTCGAGGATGTTTTCGGGTCAAGGATCGAAGGCAGAGTCATTGCTTTTTGATGGCCATCCTTGGCATGTCGCATGAGTTATGTGCAGACTGCGTTGGACAGGTGTAGTTCTCAGTTTCGGTTTGATTCGTGAACGCGTTTTTTTGTAGTGTGGTTTACCGCCACTCGAACATCGGTTAGGGGAACGCTACTCAGCGGCCCATCCTATCTCTACGCACCAATGCTCCTGCCTAGCACCATCGTTTCTTTGTGCACGGTCGAAGTGTTGTGGGCTGTGCAAGTCTTTTCTTGGGATGGATGGCAAGACTTTCTCCAATGTCGCACCAAGATTTTGTATCTTTACCACCTTCGCCATTACCTCTTGTTGCTTTTCTCTTTTCTTTCCTTCCTTCACTCCCACCCGCCCATCCTCTTGCCTTGCGAACATTACCATGACACTCGATGCTACGGACCTACACCCCTCGCAGGCTTTTCGACTACGTACATCCCCAGGTTCATCCACACAAGCCGATATCGTCAAGGTCAAAACACGACTCGACACCAAAACCAACCAACACATCGTTTTATGGAGGGGTGTCCAGCTCTATTTCAAGAGTGCTCAGTGCGCCATGAAAGCCGGAGAAATAGTTGCGACAACAGCTTTGTCCAGTAAGTTGTGAGGGGAAAACTGATGACCATTGGCTATAACACAGTTGTTAATTGCTACCATTCTCTATTTTAAACTGTAGCCTTAAGTCTCTGAGGATCGGTCATCATCCTGGAGTTGTGCTCGATGTGGTTGTCGGCAGCACCGAACAAAATACCGTCGATCGTGCATGGGATGGGGAGTCCCTCCAGCAAACCGTATCCACAATGTCAACAGCTCCCACTTCCGCCATGGGTATACCAGCCAAGGCCACTGACCTTTTGCGATGCAACTCACCCTCATATGCGGCTGCTGATGACGCAGAATCTATTACACAGCAAGTCACTGCCCTCTCCATATCGGACCAGACGTCCTCGCACAATGGTCCCGTTGTCTGCTCAACCGAGATGACACAGCAGCTGGCCAAGTCTCCCCAGGCCTACCTCAACCAGTGCACTTTGCAGCTTCTGGACATCCAACGCATTCAAAGTGACATTGCCGCAGAAGTGCACAAGAATGGGTCTCTCCAAGAGCAGATATTCCTATTACAGCAGCGAATGGACGAGAAGGACAGGATTGCGCAAAAGCAGTTGCTCGAGAAGCAGGAGAAAATGCTCCAGATGCAACAGCAGATGGACGAGAAGCAGGAGCAAACGCTCCAGATGCAACAACAGGCCCTCGATCGCCTAGCCATAATCCAAAGCCGTGTCCAGGCCGTCCTTACCCAGACCTACGAGCTTTACGAGTATCCTATTCCACGGCTCTTCATTGTTCTTCCAAAGGCATCAAGACATCAAGACAAGCTACTTAATCCGTTCTCGGAGCAGTTTCGTCTTTATTTCTTGTGCGAATGCGGCACCCACACCATGTCCGAGGGAGCCAAGATACCTCACGAGATCCACCTGGCCAAGCACGAGGGATACGACCTGAGCCGCCCAAACGAATTCTTTGAGAAGTACGGATCCTATGTCCTGGCGCTGTTGCAAATGATCAAGTACAGGGTCACAATTGCCGGGGTGGTTGTGCCACAACTGGCGCATTTCAAGATTGCAGATAGAGTCGAGGCGGCCGGGGAGCAGCTCAAGTTCGTGAAAATGAATCTTGGACCATTGGTAGACAATACGATCAGCTTTATTGAGGACCAGCAGCAAAATAACAAGGATGGGGTAGACGCAGCTGAAAGACAGACGAGGATGGATGAACTCGATGTCCTGGAGGGAGCGGGCCTTCGGCAGCTGGAGTCGTACCTGAGGGTCCAGGATGAGGGGCGCACTCTAGGCAAACTGTACCGAATCATCACTAAAGAGGGACACGTCAAATGGGTGTGCATCGATCACTACCGTGAGAACTATCGAGAGTCAGCATTGCAGCAGTTGAGAGATGTGGTGGACTCTGGGGTTTTCGATGAGGAGCAGGGTAGGGTCAAGATCAGTCCAATGTCCGCTCCTCAGGCAAAGCAGTTCTACGAGGCGCTGGTCAAAGCACGAAGGATCCATGAACTGACAGTAGAACTGCAGTGGGGTATGACACTGGACGATCATCGGAAGTTCCGTGCCGCTATCACGAATGCGAACATAGCTTGTCTGACAATGAGCACGCTCAATAGCGAAGGGCCAGCATTGGATCTTATCAACCACAATCGACGCTTTGAACCGATCATGGAATTCCTGTCGGATGGGCGACTCCAAGCTTTCGCACTACAAGGGTCTGAGGACTTCTTCTCCCGGATCAACAGTTCCTCCATCAGGCCCACTCCTCAACTTCGAACTTTATCTATGGATCCCATTCACCTCGAGGGCGCCGCATCCCAGACAACATTCGCCAAACTTCTTCAGAACTGTCCCAATCTGGCAGAGGTGCGGCTTCGAGCAAGGGAGCCGGACATCATCTTCGATATACTTATGCGCAATGTCAAGCATTTGTCAAAACTTAAAGTGCTGGAACTAGACCATATCATCGATCTCCTTAAGGATGAGGTTCAGGGCGCGTGGGCCATATTAAGCGACGCTTGGCTTTATGAACCATCGTATCTGCTGTTTTTACGGAAAGGTCTACTCACTCGACTGACGATTACGAATACCGTTATTGGCCAAGCGAAGGAATTACTTCCAGAGATCCTATACACAAATCCAAGGCTCTTGGAACTTAAGCTCAGTTGCCGATGCGCGCGATTTCTTGAGATGCTCGACCTGATTATATCAGCGAGAGAGCGAGGTAGGGCAGAGGGATACGTCTACGCACCATTACGACTCTACTTCGCAGCCTATCACGACGACACAGACGGTGATCGTATCATCTCTGTTGTACACCTCTCGAAGGAGTCCGATGTGCTCGACATGTCCATCGACATCAAACTGAGGACTGAATCGCGGCCTAATCAGGACTATCTCTCCTCGCTGATCAACCGGTACGGATGGTCCATCAAGATACTGAATACCTTATTTGGAGCGTTCAGCGATGATACTGCTCAGCAACTAGACCAGTCAACGAAAGAGAAGGGCTCCAGGATCGCAACTCTTATGCTGGACACATATGGTCTGTCCCCTGTGGGTCTGGAGTGCATGGCTCGAGTCATAGATCGGTCGAGCTATCTGCAGGACTTCCAGTTCCACGTTCGTAACCTGTTGATTGATAATGTATTGGAGAGCCGGCTGCTTTATCGGCACAGGGAGGCGTTGACTGCCTTGAGGGTGCATGTAGTATCACACGATTCACATGTCCCATGGCTTGCGAAGACTTTCTTGTCAAGACACGATGTACGACGACTGAAAAAGCTTCGTTTCAAGGGCGAGTACAAAGGCACCTTTCCACAAGAGTACGTTCCTTGGCTCGCTGCAATGGTCTCCTCTCCAAACGGTCCATCCATCCATGAGTCTTCCCCATCACAGAGCCTCGCAGTTCCTCAGGCATCATCATCGACCGAGTCCGCTGTTGATACTTTTGACGGCATGGGAGCCATTGCAGGAGTTCGAACTGTCTGCATTTTCACTTGAGCCGGAAGACTGGAAGATAATTATCGAGGCGCTTGATTTTTCTAGACTGAAGGCACTGGACGTTTCCAGGAGCAACTTTTCAATCGAGCAGTTCAAGACGCTGGTCGATTGCATCCCAGACGATGGTTCAGATGTACCGCTAGAACATCTCTACCTTCGTGGGTCAGCTCTTTCGCGGTACTATTACACCAGGACCAACATCGAAGATGCAACCGAGCTGTGTTTACATCCTGGAAGACATATCTTGTTGCTAGAAGATTTCACCTTTTTTAAATCAACTCATTCTCAACAAAGGCTGTATTCCGAGATTCAGCGGCTACACAAGACACTTAATGAGAAAGCGCCCCAAATCAAAAAAATTTATTATTGACAATAAAATTGTACCTGACGGAAATAAAGATTCAGAAGCCTCCTTCCTTATTTTTGGATGAAACTGCACCCACTGTATTCAGCAACTTGCAGCAGCAGCTGTTTCAAGACGCAAAAGCTTGCCTTTCCTTTCAGGAAGAGAAGACATATCTGATTGACTGTACCTTATTCGTTCTGTCTTTATTCTTGAACGCATTTTCTGTCGCTGTGGAGCAGATACCGGTACCGTCGCATTTGTGATCAATGCGCAGAAGAAACAACCGAAGAAAGAGAAAGAGAAGCGCGTGCTTTTGAGTTGTCCTTACTTCATAAGGTCTGCAGGTGACATCAAACGCAGACTCCTTGCTGATCCCCAACCAGTCTACATCCGAGCTCACATATTCGTTTGTTAAAACGCCTTTGTCCTGGACCTCAAGAACTTCTCCAGCGGCTCATCTCTCACCAGTTCCACCGCCTGCTTCAGTAACGCCGCCGCCAGCTCCAAGGAATCCTTATATTCCTCCGAACACGGCACAGTCTTCAGTCCGCCTGTCGCAGGATCCCTCTTTACCACATGATAATACGACTCTGCCTCCCTCGTCGCTTGACCCTCCAACGAAGCAACTCAGTCCGAAAGTTTGGATATGAGGCCGTTGTCTGCCCTCAGTGTCCCAAGTCGCCCAGCCCTCCATTTCCATTAACAACGTTTCACCACCTATGCCTCGTGTCGACGTTCTTTCCTACACTTAGTCTTAGTTTAGATCTAGGAGGAACGTGCGGTTCGTCACTTCGGTGACGTAATTTTCGCGCTCATTTTTCTAGCGGAGAAAAAGCCCATGGTGGGATCTTTGAACTCAATCGTCCTCCACGCTTCCCCTCAATGCTTCCCGCCGCCGCCACACGACCCCTTGCCAGGACGGCAACCTTGGCTACTGCCAGGGCGACATCTGCACTTGCAACACGATTCCAATACTCGACTTCCTCCCACCTACATGGCCATGCCGGAAACAAGTACGATCCCGCCATCCCTGGTGATGAGACGGGTTTCTTACCCGGCGACAAGATCACCGGTGATACCCAAATCGGATCATACCCTAACTTGCCAATGTACAACCAGCAGTGGCGCGATGGAAACGCTTCAGCTGGATACTGGGATAGACAGGACCGCCGCAACTTCGGCGAAACGGTAAGCGATCGCTTTTTTGTCACTGAACGGAACCGGTCGCAACTGTTCGTTAACCTGGAAAATACCGGAGCAAGGACCACAGAACGAATGGCTATATCTTTGCCAAAAAGAGCAGAATTCAGGATATTACAATCATTGATAGGAAGCAACTGAGCGCAGAAGCAGCCCTACTATCACCACAGCGCCGACATGGCGAGATGATCCTGATAGTGTTCAGAACGAGCTGGAGTGCAAGGCAGCATACAGGGTCCGCCAATGATTCAGCGCAAATGATGACAAAGGGCAATTGAAGATGCAACATTAAGGCTGAGGAAGCAATGGTCATAGTGCTCGAAATGACACCAGCTCTCAGTATCCCTACCACGCGAGCCATACGACCAGCCCACTAATAGCACACGCTCTCCTCCGCTTGCCTGCCTCGCTTCTTCGGTCAATGCGGTTTAGGTCCCAGAGGAAGATGAGGTGCTCAACATTTGGTCTCCCGATGTTTGGGCCTTCCCTGCCTCTTTGGGAGTGAAGCGCCTTGCCGCTGCTGCGCTTGCCTTCCTCGGATTCGGATACTTGCTTACGGAGACGAGACCCGAGCCCCATTTCGAACGTCGCAGCTACTCCGATGGGCTTTTGGACGCTCTTGGAGTCGATGCTTCGAACGAGGTCATGGTTGCGAAGAGAGGTGCACGTGTTGCCTCCGAGTAGAGATGGGTTGAACACAGAAAATGACACTGCAGGAGATATTATAGTGCGCCCCAACGAAAATACAATAAAGACTTGCACGCGAACTCTCGCTGCACGCGACAAAATGACTAAGCATGGGAAACAAGAAAAGGTGAAGCACCAGGTGCTCAATTATATTGGTCTTCAGGCACAATTACGATACTACATTCTACAAGTAGGCATATTCTGAAGCATCAAGTCGGTGCTTTATTCAGCATCAATAATCTCGACTGAATGCGCTTAAAGTCCACGGTGTCCTCAAGCTGTCTTACTTGATAGCCAACACCTTTCCCTCCACGGATATTTGCCTCTCCTGCTGCTGATACCATCACTTCCCATAGGTGGTTGGAGAAACGCCGTGCGTCAATCTCTTTCAGCCCCCATGATATCAGCAATTCCTCACATGCCAGCCCACTCAAATCTTTGTGCTCAAGATGTGCACATAGTGTCGTTCCTATGAGCGGCAGATGGTTGCTATCGATGTCCATCTCAAATGCCTAATAGTAAACAGATTCTCAATTAGACCTAATATAATCAGCTAAAAGAACAATTGCAGGAATCTGAGAAGAAAAGCTGGCTTACCGCTTGGATCATGAGTGTGACATAAGACGTGAATTTATCCCAGTCGATTCGATTTCTCGCCACCTTCAACGAAAAAGACGTCGGTACGTTTCTCTTGAGTTGCTGCGTGATTCCTGTTCGGCACTCCCAATGATGTTTACGCATGACCTTGAGTTGATTTTTTTGACGGACGGTCGCCGGTTTTGTAAGGACCATCAGTCTACGTGTTGTAGGGTCGATTCGCGCCTTGTTGGTTATGTACCACTGCTCAATCTTTTCACTGGCTGCTTTGGAATCGTTAATGGAATACGCTGCTGTCGACCCTGGCGGATGTACAGTTTGGGCGGATGATTTGGACTTTGATTTCGATTTCCTCAAAATACTTCCGATCGCCGGCTTGGTTGCGTGTATCCTGGCCGTGGGCTGTCCAATCTGAAAGGTATTCACAGGTACCTGGCGATGTTTGGATGAATTCGGTATTGTGGTCCTGAACAACGAAGCAAGCAGGCATTTGGACGGTGCTTTGATCAGACGCTTTGGTTTCGTTTTTGATGGTCGCACCGGTTGTGCTGTCTCCACTCCTGTCATATCTTGATCGATAGCCGCCCTACCGGCAATATCCATTGTCGGCGAGTCATTGCTAGGATGAGCTGTAACTGTCATTTCTATACTAACAGGAGGGGCCACTGGAGTTGTTTGATCCGTGCCTCGACTATCCTCTTCACCATCCTTGTGTCCTCGCGGCGCTGTTCCTGAATGCAACCGATCCGAGATGCGCCTGAGCTTTTGATTGAGTGAAGCAGCCGACGTCTGCGATGGCCTGTCGTAGGATGTTTTCCTCATCGAGAAAACAACCTTTGGGCCAGTTCTGGCAGCAGATTGCTCCGTTACTATCGAAGTGATCTGCCGCATGATAGGTGCATCTACATGCAAAATACGATGAATTTCAGTTGATGTTAGCCATGTATAATTTCGGCCGCTAGCATCTCTAGCGATTTACTGGCAGTAGAGACGGGCCGATAACTGAAAAGCACAATAATAAGCTGACACAATGGCTTTAAGTCGACCTACTTTTATCAGGCAGGATATGGCTCTTTTTACATCTGTTCTTGTAACGACACTTGCCGTACTTTAGAAAAAGTAGGCATACCTCATTGCCAGAAGGATCTAACGGGGCCGGCGGCCTTTCTTTCGCAGCATTGCTCATTGTCGTTGGCAGCGGTGAATTCATTGAGTCGTAGAATGAGAATGAGAGGTAGGCTAACAAGCGAAGTCTTTACTCTGTTTATCACATGATATCTTTATTCATCAACTCCTGCATCCGACAAACAGCTCCTACAGCAACGATCCTATTCAAAAGGCACCATTACAAGAATGTTAGTGTTCAGTGAAGCAGATTTTTTTTTCCGTAGCAAGACACCACATAAGGAAACCTAGGATCGAGAAAGATCTCACTCAGAAAGTGATATTTTTGGCCATATCATGGTTTGTCTTCCTTTCAGAATGCACAAGGCACTCCTTCGAGAACAAGGATGAAAGGTCATCATCATCGTGAAATCTGTCAATCCAAAGACCTAGTTCCATATCGTTTATCTTGTCATGCCCATACCTTATTAGCAGCGTAGAGGCATTCCTGGCCAGTAGACGACTTGTGTTCGTCGACCTTGTTGTTTACTCTTGTTGCTGGTATTTTCTCCGTTGGACGTGGCTGATATCAAACTGTCCCTGTAGGTCTGATTCAAGAGCTCTCCCAGCACATCCAACGTCTGAATTTTTTCAGTTGCAGATGCATCCTGATCCTGTCCATACAATCGTTGACGTAGCCGTGCAGTCCGCCTAGCGCTCTGGGTCATGAATGTGGTATCCGTGGCCGGCAATTCTACTTGATCCTGCTCCTCAGCACTTTCCTGATCGTCTGCCCCATCCTTGTCCTCGTCCTCACCCTGTCCATTCCTCTGAGCACCGTCATCTCCGTCCTGTACCTCGTCACCCTCCTCTGCTCCGCTATCGCCCTCTCCGGCTGCAAACCCAAGCTTCGTCAGCTTCCTTCTCTTTATCCTCCGCTTTTTCATCTGTGCCTGTTCCAGTATGGCCGCCTCTGCCTTCTGCTGTCGAAACCGCCTTGAAAATTCAAAAATCTCGATCGCTTCTTTGCTTAATTGAGGCCACGACGACTCGGCGACTGGGCTGGTAACATCGTCTGGACTCTCGCCTCCGTTCAGTCCTGCTTGCGTGTAACCAACTTCCTCTTCGACATTGCCATGGAGAGTGCTCTGATAGGAATGGCTCGTGACGGTATCGTCAGGTGTTGGAGTCCCTACGTATTCGTGTTGGGAGTAGTTGAACTGTTGACCGAACGCTGGCAAGCACGTTGCAGGCGCAGTGGCGAAAAACGCTTGCCGTTGAAAAAGCGAGAAGTGACGCTCATGGAACGAACGAAACGAGAGCACTGGCGGTTTAGGATAATGCGGATGGTACTGAGCGGTCGGTATGTTGGAATTGGTAGATCCGGCGTAATCATCCTGCTCAGATGAATATCCTGGCTCCATCTGAAAAAAAAAAAAGAACACGAGGAGTACTCTTCTGCTTCAAAATTCAGGTCGCTGGTGGGGTATATTCAAGACAGATCTTTGATCTTGTGCCGGTAATAATGGTGTATGAGTTGTTGAGGATCATTGTTGTAAGTGGAAGAGTGCAGCTTTTTTTGTTTGTCGCTAAGAAAAGTTGTGTGTAAAATAAACACTGGACTTGGTTAAGGGCGCCATGTTTAGTATGGAACCCAGAACGCGTCTGTTTCTACAACCCTCTCTTGACAAGCGCACAGCCTCCACTCCCTGCACGCACAACGCAAAGGACGACGACGCACAGCTGAATACAGGAAACGGCAAGGAAAGCGTTTAGAACAGGAGCACAGGAGGGACGACGATCAGAGTACAACCAGCTCAAATCCTTTGGCTGACCCATTCCGGACTTGGACCGCTTCTAACAATGCTGTCAACCTCATTGGCTTCGCCCTCTACATCTCAAGGAAAGATCCCTCTCAATGTAGTCTTTATCATCGATACCTATCTGCCAGCTGGATTTGACAAAGTTCAGGCTGCGAGGGCGGCTGCGTTGTTAAAACGGACGCTTACCAGGACCCTGCTCTACTTCCAGTGCAGTATGGACCCCAAATTCCAGTGGACATACATGTTCTTCAATTCGAGAGCGCACCAGAACATCGGACTGATCCCGAACAGGATACTTCATAGTCTTACCATGAGCACAGTCGCGAACTGTGTGGACGAATACCGTAGGATCGTGACACCACTGGCCGTTTCGACTTCGCCCAAGGGAAAAGGGGCCACCACTGTAGCTGGGATAACGAGCAAGGTCGGCGGATCGGGCACCGTTTCGCCCTGCTATAATTTGCGCCGCCAATTTGTTCACTCATTGGCAGATTTTGGACTCGACATTGCATCGTACCAGTCGCCTATGAAGTCATCGTCCAGCTTTATCCGCTCTCAATCGCTGCAAAAGCACTTTCCTCCAGTCGCCATCAGAAATTACATGTACGTCCTTTCCCCACTGCCTCGGACTTGGGGAGAGACAGCATATTTTCTGGACGGCAAGCAGCATACACAGAATGACATGGGCCCACGGAGGAGCGATATTCTTGAAGTGCTCAAGGGGATTAAGGACGCATTCTTTGAGCAAGGACTCTGGGACCGGTTTCTGGACCAGCACACCAGTCTGAGTTGGATCGACACTAGCATGGAGAGCAACACTGAGGAGCAAGCCAAGGTGAGTAATTCTCTGAACTAAAGCATATACATTTGACGACTGGCACGAATGATCATACTCATCCCAATCATGCGATAATAGTCAACTACACGGATATCCGCGACTATGCTCATCCGGTCAACACTGGAGCTGATAATAAAGGCATTTGGGGGATATATTATACCCCAGAGTGTTATCTGCCAGCCTTTCCTTCCGAAGGACGTCTACTCGTTCGCTACCATCTTTCAAACATATCGGTCACTGCAGATCCATCCCGGACTAGGCGTCAAGATGTCGAAGGACAGTTGGCAGGCACTCCCTTCCGCATCGATTGGTCTGCACTCCGAGGACATGCGTCCAGTCAGGGTGATGTGGTCGGGCGATCTAGTCTGTTTGGAGTCACTGCAATGTATGTTGACAGTGCTGCTCGTTATTTATTGGAGACCTTGGCCCAAATGCCATTATATGCTAACCATGTTATCTGAGCCTTCTTCCAACAGTTATTTGCAGTCTCGATGTATCAGAACCCTTTCCAAGATCCGCCTCAAACGAAGATCCCATCTCAAATGTAGATCCAATCGAGTCCCTTGAAGTCATCAAGCGATTCCCTAGTCGATCATTGAGCGCCAATTTACATAGGATCAGGATTGCGAGGACTATGACATGTTTCCCACAAATTGATAAGGATGAGCCTTGCGAGCATGCTTTGTACCTTCTTAGATCACTGCGATCCAAAAGCGATGTCCTGCTTCTTCAAATCACATTTGCGTGCATGCCTGCCTGTGAGGACCAAAAGGATTCAGATAAGGACTTGGGACCCCAGACATATACCTGCCAAGCACTACTGCACCCAACCGCCCCAGGAAGCGGTATTCTGCAAATTCTTGAGGAAGGATCAGATCTCAGCAACCTCGGTTCTGTAACAGCGGTCTCGAACAACAAATCAAGGCCATTCACTATGGCGATGATGGAAAAGTCGTGGGGTAGACTGGGTGCATTTGCAGATCTAGCTAGCAAGCGCCGTGAGAAGCCGCTGTATCGTCTTGACGACATGCCGCATTGCCTAATGTCTCGTCCCAGACTGCAGCAAGTGGCTCCGGACACTTTCTCTGACAGTGTCGTAGATCCAAGGTATATGGATATGCCACGCAGCTCTTTTCGCTTGCCGTAAATACGATGATTGAGTTAACAATATCCTTTTTTTTTTTTAATGTCAATGATAGATCATCGGTCTCGAGACCTTTGCCTGGCCAGTCCGTAGCGGAGATGGAGGCTTCTTCCTTTGAGATCGAAGCCCCAAAGTCCATTGATGGCCTATGCCTCAAGATTCGCAATGCCTACATCAAACATCTATATCATAATGAGGTATGTTGCCTAACGCACCGTGCCTTTGATACATCAAGTATTTGAACTAATCGCTGTGGATTGGTTTCTCTTCTATAGTTTACTGTAACAGACTACGTCAAGCGCTTGAACGCGGCTAGCAAAGAAATCACAGCTTTAGCAGCTAAGCAGTCGGTTCCTTTAAAGGAGGCACAGGTACGTTTTACATTGTGCTTTTCCCTATCTGTATTCCGGAATGTCTATGTGGTCAATTGATCCTAACGTCGTCAACCTGTTCTGATTCATCAATGTAGCAAAGCCTTGTAGCATTTATGATTGAGTTTTTGAGAATATGGCCTACAAGGATGGGATCGAAGCACAAACAGATCGCGAAAGAGTTGAACACTGGCAAAATCAACGAGTCAAAGTCGCAGGACCATTATGTCATCCTTAACGACGAGCGGCCTGAGCTCGATGCCTGGAAGGCTAGTGTCATGAAGAGTGTCAACGATGCGGACATTCGGGCTCACCTGAAAAAATTGAAGACCAAGGAGTACGTTCTTTAATATTGGGCGGACTAGAGTGTGTCCATGAATTCAGCATTTATCTGTTGCTGGTTATTCACATTTGTTTCCCTATGCTTCACTGGCAATAGCATACAGATTCAAGTTGTTCAGAATCTGCATGTGCTCCTACTGATCGACAAGTATGGTCTCGAGGAAAATAAGCCCTTCAAGAAGGATCCAGGAGCCCTCAAGACAGTCAACCTCTTTATGGATGAGCTGTGCATTGAGGCCAGCATTGACGACCGCCCTTCTGGACTAAAGAGCCCGCAGACGCCAAGGAGCAGGGACATGGACGCCGCCAAGAAATTCTTCACTCGAGTTGTAACGAAGTATTATGAACTGTCGCTGCCCAAGATTGTCGACAAGCTGTCGATCAAATGCGGTGTAGAGAAGACCCTACTGAGCTCTCCAAGGCCATCACGGGGCGCGAAGAGAGAAGGTATCAAGAGATCTATTTCAATGGGTATCCTCCAGCGACCAAGCCCTTTGGATTTCACCATGGCAATGAAGGACGGGGGGGACGAGTTGACCTTGAGCAGGGCTAGCATATCTGTTGAAGGAACTGCCCTGAAACATGGTTTTCCGGCGACTCGGCAGTTGACATCCGAAAAGCCCACACGAAATGTATTAAACAACTCGATATTCAGGAACCGGCAAGTCGTCATGACGTTGGGGTCAGTGAAGGGCGTCCGGCCCGCGCCATCTACTAACCCTACGTCGACAACTACTAAAGAACAGGCGGCACCAGCACAATCGCAGACAGGACTCCAGTGTTCCACCTCTATGAACACTACGGATGAACGTAAGCGTCCAATTCGAGGTACACACGGTATCGAGCTATCCAATACAAGACTACTTAATTGACCACTGCACTTTTCTTCATATAGTGGAAGAGGAGGATGGTCCGCCAAAATTGGCCAAACTCAGGCTGAAAAAGTTTTACCACGACAAGGAGAGCGAAGAGGTCCTGAAAGTAAGAACAGGCGGCCTTTGCATTTTTTGAAGCACTCATTTCATGGCCGTAGGCGATAGAAGGGATAACTAACTAACATGCCTCTTTGACATGCAACAGCTCTTCAGGCGACAGAGACCCCTTTCGAAAGCTGATCAGTTTAGCACTTCTGTCGCTATGAATCCCGGACACAGTGGGGACGGCGAGAATAGTGAAGAGGATCTTGGGGCACTTGGGCAGTATCTTGATCGGAAAGGCACCACGTCCTGGGGTGTTATCAAAAGCGTGAGCACGACCAGTAGGCATAGCGAAATTCTCAAGAGTCCGTCTAGTGGTGCGGCACAGAGACGTGCCCCGTCGATGAAGCGAAACACATCGCCTTCTAGACACTCTATTCCACTGACATCGCTGTCGCTACCCATGGATTCGATCGTGCCATCCACACCCATTGCCAGTCAGAAATACAGCTATGATGTTGACGATTTGCAAAGGACGCCGCAAACACCGTCTGGAAGGGTTCAGTTACGTCGCTACCTTTCTCAGCAGTCGCCCAGCTACAACATGCCAGACAGTGAAGATATGCCGTTGACGCCGAGTCGACGAGCACAAGTCCATCGAGGTCGTGCATTTGCTTCACAAATCCGAGGAGCATCCCTTCCTGAAATGGACGTCCTTGGCTCCCCTGGTAAGAGACGCCGGACAGTCAATGGTAGCGACGACGAGAACGACAGCGATATTGTGCCTCGAGATATGCCTCGGTCGCCTCTGCTGGGCTTGCGACGATCGCGAACAACGTCCTTTACGCCCCGCTCACCTTCATCCAAGCACCAGCGAGATAACCCTTTCCTGAACGAGCTACGAGCTACGAGACCGGATCGTAAAAGGATTCATGTGGGCAGCTTGATTGAAGAGAGACCGAGGATTGTGCTTGTCCCGGGGACGCCTTCGTCTTCACTACAGGACAATGCATCGTCGGTACAGTCAGCGTTTTTGAGAGCCACTGCCACGACAACGGCTTCGGCTTCATTGGATTCGTTTGAAGAGTCAACTAGTGCGATGACAACGATGACAACGACGACTACGACGGCGGACAGGAACTTGATCATGTCGACACCGAAATCGATGTCTAAGTCGCTGGCTGCTGCTCACTTTGGACTTTCATCGCCAGAGATATATATCTCGTCGCCCACTCTTGATCGCAGTACAGTGCGCCGGCATATCGATTTTTCATTCTTCTCCGCAGATGATTAAGGAATAAAACTATCGCCACCACCTCGGACCCTATCTCTTCGCGACTAATGGGCTAATGACCCTTTGAAAGATGCAGTATTCATCAACATGTTTCAAAATTGCTCGGATAAGGAGAGGCACGTAGGGGTAACTTTTGTGCGAATGGCCATGACACCATTCCGGCGTGAGTTCCATTAACACCTCGCTCGCCTCTTCCCCCTCCTACTACTTCTCATATTGTCCAAGAATCAGACATCCTATCTATACCAAACTGTTATCGAAGGCTAAAATTCTGACCCTTCTTGTCTTGTTCTCTGTGACCCTAATTGAAGGCGCTGCGAAAGCCGTATCTGTTGATGTCCTCAATCTCACCGACATCTGAAGAGCCTACATTAATGGAGACTCGCTTGACCGCACGTCTGCCAGGCAGTATTCAGATAGCATTAGGAATGATTCAGGACAAAGCCCTTGGTCCGCTACCTGACTTCGACGATCTCAGGACCGACATCCTTGTCAGCCAAGCCTAGAATGATGTTTGGTTGACTTTATATCTGTCAAGAGCTGTGTCTGCGCAGGTACGAGCGGACTCATGTTTATCACAAAATCCACAAATACGACGAGCATGCCAAGGCCCTCGGTTCCTTCGATACAAAGTGGAACAATGATGCCTACTCTCTCATCCACACGGTCCAACTACAATCTCTTGCCCTCACAGACACCCTCTGAGATACCTCACAGCTTCAGGAGATGATAGGGGATGGTACCACGGCTACGATTTCTCTAAATGGTCTTCTATCGACAGCCACAGGAGTACCAAATGACACCTTTGGACGCTCTCGAGAGTCTGGAAAGTCTGTAATCGAGGGACTTATAAGGAACCCATGCAGGTCATTCATCAACTGGGAACGGTTCGCGTCAAGAACACATTGTTCGGAATCTTGAGGCCCAGAGAGCTGGCGCATGCTCCCTCTTCAACAATCGTTTCTTCAGAAACATTGTGCGATCTCGTTGAGATCGGCATGGGGGGGGGGATACACCCAGATTGCCAGCAGCGGTATCACCTTGGTGCTCGAGAACTGTAAGTTCTTGCGTAGGTTCAGCTCGGGGGCGAACAAGAGAATCACCGACCGTTTTATAGAGAAGAAGCCCTGCCCATGTGTCGACATCATACAGAAACTGTGTGTTGATATAAAAGCACTCGATCATCGGCCTCTACCTTCCGGTGCGGTGCCATGCAAGCCGTGGCTCCAAGCAAGCTGTATACGATGGAAGAAGAAGAGCTGATTAAGAAGCGCCTCTGCTTATCCACATTCATGATCGATCTAGATCTCCAGGATAGTGCTATGACCTGTAAACTTTCGTTTCGCGCCAAACCCCTGCATGTGCCGGTGGGGAAGAAATACTATGGGGATGTATTGTCAGGGTGGGAAGGTAATTCTGGAGTGCGGTAGGGCTTTCTTTTTTACCTTGGAGGGTCTGTTCCGATGAAGGCTATGAAAGCACTTTGTGAACGATTCTACTCTCACTACTACTACTACTACTACTGCAGCAGCTTAAAAAAAACGAATGGTCAAGCATTTCATATTTCATACGCTCCCCGTAGCAAAGCTACAGAGATCGCGTCCGACATCTATTGTCGACCCTTTACGCTCCCTCCCTCTCTTCTCTTCTCTCGGTCCTTATTCACTGCACTTATCAAAAACAAGGTCGCCATGTTGCTGCCAGGCCGCATGTGTTTTCATCCAAGGCTCAAGACGACTGAAATAGTTCGGTCCACAGGCTGACTGTGAGTCCATTACCTCCAACTGTCTATTGCAAAGGCGCATTTCGACATTGACTCTATTTTAGTTCTGTAATGGCGTCTGGTTGTGTGCTTCGATTTCTGACCCAACCAAATCGCTTTGGGTAAAGAGAGAACCGGGGAAGTGTCCTTTCTCTGGAGTTGAGGCAACGTTTCGTGTTTCGGTCGGTTCTTTGTGCCAAAGTGCTATGAAACGTATATTGCATTCTTTTGCCCATCGACAACTCTTCCTATATTCTCTTCTTGTAAAGGGTAGCAGATGATTACGCTTTTCTGAAGAGCCGTTTACTTGGTTCCAAAATGTTTTCATTTTTTTTACTTCGGAGTCTTTGCTTTATTCAAGGGCACTGTATTGTGTAATGGCCACTACAGAATGACTGATGTCTGAATGAACAAGAGCCTGCGATATGTGTTGTATAGTTTTTACGACGTCCTGAGATCAACTACAGCTCCGTGATCGTATACGAAGCCCTGGAAGAAGCCGCCTATGGCGCTCCTCGAATGCACCATTTTGGAATCGATTACTCTGGATGATAAGTCCTCTTGACTATTGCTCTGTAGTTCTATTTGTCTCGACCTTGAATTGTGCTCCGCCTACCGCTCCTGCGCCTGCTTCAGTGCTATTGTTGCTGCTGCTGCCCATGCTTTTTTTTTTTTTTTTTTTTTTACAAAACGACTATGTCGTTTTCGGGTGCTTGATACTGCTCTGGATGTCAGTGTCGCTGTCGATGTCGCTGTCGATGTCGCCGTCGATGTCGCTGTCATCGTCGTTCGTGGCCCTTGATGCTGTTCTCAAAGCGATCGAATGGGGAGGCCGGTGGCCTACGACCCGGCTACTGGGGCTTTGATGCACTGTCTAGTGTCCAGCACAAAAGAAAAAAAGCCCTGTGAGCAAGTAGATCGAGACTCGCAGTGTCATGAATGAGTCCATATGCAGAGGAATAGTGCTTACCTTGCAGGCGGTTACGGTTACGGTTACGGTTCGACTTGAGTGTGGTGGTGCTGGCGCCACTCTGTCCTTCTCCTTTGCCTCTTTTGTGCTCCTTTCTGGACCTCAACTTTCTTTCTTCCTTCTGTCTCCCTCATCCTCCTCCTCTTTCTCTTTTTTTTTTTTTTTTTGGTTTTTTTTGGTTTTTTTTGGTTTTTTTGGTTTTTTGGTTTTTTTTTTTTTTCTTTCTTTTTTCATTTTTCATTTTTTTTGTCTTTTTTTTTTTTTTTTTTTTCTTTTTTTTTTTTCGGTGTTTTTATACAGCTGTCGCTGCCTGCCCTTCCCCTCCTTTGCTCCTCCTGTACTCTCCCATCGACCCTTTCTTAGCCCCCCATCCATTGCACTCCGCCCGCACTCCTTTTGCTATCCCCCCTCACCATTCTTCCCCATCATCTATGACTTTACCCCATTCGCCCTCTCCCTCTTGTGTCCATACACACTGGTCATCCCCCGCAGAGGACCCGACCTCGCGACCACCAAACCCCGAGGGTTCGGGGCCGTCTCCCCTCAGCTGAGAGAGGGTGGTCTGCTGTGCGGTCACTGACAGCACTGCCCCTGCCTCCTCTCTACCCGCTCCACCTCTACCTTGAACCCATGGCGCACTTACCTCTTTGCATGTGTCCACCCTAGAACTGGGATCCTTGATCGGCCGACGCGCTCTCTCCCTCTCGCTGCCCAGCTGGGGAGCATTACTAGGCCTGATCTTGCCGAGACATCGCCGCTACCACGAATGGACCAGTTAAATAGTGTGTCAGTATATCGCTGTTTTCTGCGTGCTAAACTCAGCACACATACATCTCTTTATCCAAGAGGACACGCGCAAACGTACCTTTGTCTTCCATCTGGCATAGTAGTTTGCCGACCATGGGTCCGCCGGTGTGCTGCCTCAAAGACGAAGCCATCTCTGTCGAAGGTCTGCTCCAGAGTCCCTTACTAGGATCAGGACCGCTGGACATTCCTTGACCATGATGTCTTCGCTCCGAGCCTCACAGTCAGCTGGCCTATGTGCCGGCGAGTGTCCCTTCGCACGACCGTGGTCGAGTCCCCCCAGGACGATGAACCTGGATCAAGTCCAGGATCGGGGAAAACGGCGGGGACGCTGTCTCAGCATCAGGCCGTGCATCCAACCGGGCGAGCAAGAGAGAGTACGGCACATCGACGATCTATAGAATCCCTGGACACAGCAAAAAGTAAGCGTCTTAGTTTGACCCCAGGAACAAGGAGGGTGGACAGGAGAGAGTAGGCTAGGGTGCAGCACTGGGCGACCAGCACAGCAGGCACCCAATCCCAGCTGGGATCAACAGCCCCTCAGCCTCGAGGTCACTGGATCGCAAGAGGACCCATGCGAGAGGGACCAAGTGCGCAGAGACACTCCAAGGGAGGGGTTATTTTTAGATGGGGTAAGGGCAATCATTGACGATGGGGAAGGCGGTGGGAGGGTTGAGTGGGGCGGTGGAGGGGGGAAGGGGATGGAGAGTACTTAGCTTTGAATGTTTTGATTTGCTTGCTTGGCTTGGTTCACTTGATGGGCTGGATGGGCTGGATGGGCTGGATGGGCTGGATGGGCTTGATGGGCTGGATGGGCTTGATGGGCATGCCATGGCCCAGCGAGTCTGGTTCGCCCACTAGGTTAGGTGGGGCGAGCCTGAGCCTCTTCTCAGCCGAAACTGGCAAAGATAGAGGCTGGTGGCTAGAGGAGAAGCAGTTCAGACGACAGAAGACAAGAGGACAACCACTATGTGAGTGTGTGAGAAAGGGAACACAGGCGCCAAAGTCAACTCCTAGTACAGTAGCACCAAATGGCGCATGTCAAACATACCTTTGTGGCCACCTGATTCGCTCTTCTTGACCATGACGAATCCCGGTGGGACTGGGCCATGCTGTACCTGTGGTTGCTGTAACCGACAGGCTGATATGCTGGGTTGGGGGAGCGAGTCTCTCCTTGCTAGAAATGAGAGGTTGATACATAAAAACAAGTGCGGAAAGAGACGATGATATGAGTATCGAGTCACAGACACGGACACAATCTATGGCACCAGGTGCAGAACCATCAGGTACAAGGCACCAAGCACCAGGCACAGACAAAAAAAGAAAAGAAAGGCAGGCAGTGCCACTTTGCAAGGAAAGAACACCAGGAACATACCTTTGTGGACTCGACTGGTCATCGCTGTGGTCATCGCTGTGGTCCTACTGCGCTGCTGCTGATGCAGGTTGTAGTGGACATGATAGGCGAAGCAGCCTAAACATGCGAGAAATATACAAAGTGGGCTCAGACACTAGTACAGACACGCACAGCCCCAGTAGGCTAGAAGAGAACATCCTGCAACCACAGGCACAAACATAATGAGCAAAAGCGCAATGAGCAACCTCATGAGCGTTGTAACATACCTGGGTGATACTGCTTGGCCATAGCACCGAGTAACGGAGGGCACTTTGGTACGAGTGCATCGGTGGGTGTTTGGTTTGGAAGGGTGAAGAAGAGTGTGAGAAAAGAGAACGGCCGCCCGTGGGAGAATTTTGAATGGAAGGCCACGCGTCAAAATGTAAACAAACGAAAATCAAAATGAAGGACGCGTCGAGTGACGTCCTTCATCACCCAAGGGGCGTGTCCTCGCAGTGCGCACATGTAACATGAACCCACAGCCAGAGCACCGTCTGGACATACTTCTATCCATTAATCCTACAAGACCACTGTTGCTGTGCTTCAAGCATAACATCATTGGGTTCTATTATGAATGATGCTTTAATGCAATGCGCTGATGTTTTTCAGGCGGCGGGTGTCGTTGCACACTTTTTGGGTGCGGCCAGGACATGTATACTTCCCACTAAATAGGCCAATGGTTCCGAAAAATGTCATCTTGGATTGTGAGGAAAACAATAAAACGTCGACCTGAAACGTAATGTAATGTTCGCTATAGAAGGAGACGGCTTCTTGCTTGAATATTGGTCTCGATCACTGGCGATGGGCCAAGCAGAAAGGAAAACCTCAAGCATCGACAATGTAGTTTACGCAAGTTGGTGGGGAAGGATGGGAGATATTCTCTCCGGCCAACGAGATCCAGCTATGCGAACCCGTGTAGCACCGAACCAGGCTGCTCGTCAAAATATATATTCGACTAGGACGATTGGGTGTTGGAGAGTTCATTTGACTAAGCTCTTTTCAAATGCCATGTGGATTTGACTATGTTTCTGACACCCAATTTTTTTTAAACTTGGTTTTGGCATGGCGTTCAAAAGCCAAGTTCCATTGGTATGCCATTGTCGGCGTGGGGACACAAAGCTGTCAGTAATGGAGCAGATATTGGAGAGATGACTAATGTCGGTTGCGCATACGAAGGTATGTAGCTTTCATTGATCGAGCTTTGAGCCAAGACAGTAGCAAGTTAGATATGAGTCAACAGCATTTCATGTTTTCATTGCTGTGCACACTGTGGTTGTTCCGATGCTGGACGACCTTTGTCTTTCAAATAGGATGGCCTACCAAAAAATTACAACAACGCGTCCTCGTTTTACTATCCTGTTCCTTATTCATCCTAATTGCACATGCTCCTCGAGGTCTACAGTAGTGCACCGACCCCTACAATCCAATTTGGAGGCAAAGCCTTGCCATACTTCTTTACTATTTTCCCTGGCATTTAATGGGACCTAAAGTTGTGGTACCTATGCGAGCGATCCTTTTATGACACCAGGCGCGAAGGCTCACGCAACGGAGGATGAACGATTGCAGAGTTGGAGATGTACTCAGGGAGATGGAAATGGTCCATGTTTTGTATCCAGTATGAAGGCTCTGACATTTCGACCGTATATGTGAAGTCCTGGATAGTTATTACCATTATAATGGCTATCGAGGTCCTTTTCGTAAAGATAGGGGTTCCAGACGGCATTCCAGGTACGACTGACATGGGTGGCGGTTGCGAGATTGTGCTGCGATAGGTTGCGGGCCATGCCATACACGAGCTAGGAGGTCGAGAAGACTGTCACAACGGGTATTCTGGGCGGTGTGCTGTCGACAGTGTTGCTTTCAGTTTCCACAGCCATCTTTGGAAACCGAAAACGGAATAAAAGAGGAGAGTAATAGTGGGTAGAGGTATTATACAAGTTTAAACGGCCGCAAAAAGAATGGACATTCAAGGCCTGTGCGATATGCACATTGGCCATGGCGAACGAAAGCGGTTCTTAATTCAGACCCTTGGATTGCGCCAACATCATATCGTCCAAGATTTTAGTCCGCGCTGTACCATACAAACAGTTTTGTTATAGACAAGTTTGCTTTTTAATTATATACATCGTACTTAGAATAGAATACAAAAGTGTCCCTACTGACAATGGCAATGATCATACAGACGGGTCGCGAGGAATCATAGTTGACCTTACCCCGGACAATCCAGTCCGGGAACAATGCCTTGCCACGCTCCTGGGCCATTTTCTCTTCTCTTGCTTCATTCTATAGCATTCTGCCTTGAACGGAACACACAGAATAACTTTTCGAAGCTTCGGCGCAAACGAAAAGTCCTCCAGGATGTCAAATGTCATCGCGTCACCTTTCAGTTCGAGGTCGAGGAGGGAAGTGAACGAGCGCAGCCTCTCCCTAATCAACTCCTGCTCCTCAGGCGCATATGAATTAAGAGAAGGCACCTCTACTTGTCCAGGTAACATCCAACCTGTATGGCGCGGCCGGGGTTGACAGTCGAATGGTCGGATCTCCATGCGCAGCCTCTCCAGCACCTTGGCACAAGGCCAGGGTTTGCACCCCTTGAAAAGTTCGATTGTACCGGCTTGAGTGCCCAACAGGTTCAAATTGCGCAGGAGAGGACAGTTCTCGAGTATCTCGATGGCACTATGGTTGGTGATCTGAAGACATCCCTCCACATCAAGTTCAACAAGGCTATGCGAGGTCCCTGCTGAAGTGAGTGTTGGAGGAAGGCATGCTAATTGATGGAGGGCCAAGTCCGCGAATTCCGTACATTTGACGCTGACCTTTTGAAGCCCATGGTTGACCCGCATCACTTCCGCAAACGCCTCATCCGTTGTAGGCGGTACACGCTTGGCGGTAAACTTCTTGAGGTTCAGGCATGATTTTGACACTGCGTTCAAGAGCCCCGAATCACCGACTCGAGAACCGCCTTCGAATACTGAGACAGGCAAATCAAGCTCGATCTCTTGGATGCTGGCTTGATTCTTGAATATACAGTCCCAGTCCTGAGCACCGATGTTGCTCTCACCAATGATTTTGACCTTCCTGAGATTTGGTGTGTGCTGAAAGAGGCGGCGGGTGCAAAGATGTGGTTGTTTCGAGCCGTCCAAGCAGGATTGTCGTGGTCCCAACATCACATTGTCCCAGCTCAACGTTCGGAGTGACGTGCTTGCCCAGCCGGCATCGTCCACTTTGACCAACTCTGGCACAACATCGACGATCAAGCTGCTGTCTTTAATGCCGTCAATATCCTCGACTTTGGCTTCGCCAAGTTCCTCGACTAGTGTGTTGATTGTCAAGGCCAGTGTCTTGAGATGAGAGCACGATTTAAGCACGAAAAGAATATCGTCGATGCGGACATTGATCAGGGCATTCCAGTAAAAGTCCTCCAGGTGCTTGAATGCAGACACAGGAGTCATCCGGCACTCTAATGGCTTTTGCGAGCGTTGTACCAAGGTGATATGCAGAACTCGAAGCTGTAGTGCTATCTCAGCGAGTTCCTGAAGCTGCAAAGTGCTCAATTTTGTGTTGTGGAGGAAGAGCGAGTGTAGGCTGGTGGTAAAGTTGAGAATGGAGACAAGATTGTTCCATTCGATGGAGAGGAGCTCGAGACTCTTGACATGATGACCGTACGAATACACCTTGGAATAGCTGCGAGTCTGCTGGCACTCACGGACGAATAGCTTTTCATAGAGATAGGGAACCCAAATGGTATTCCAGGCACGACTGACGCGGATGGCGGCCCTAAGATCATTCTGTGTGAGATAGTCGGTGACGAGGTGTTGAAGTTCAGGGATGGAAAAGAAGGTATCCTGGGAGATCCTTGATGCACCGATGTTGACAACGTAGTTATCGGATTTGCTGGCCTTGGGCATGGCTGTCGGGGAGGGGGGGAAAGAGGTGGATAAGAAAAATGGTGAGAAGAAAATGGGCAAGGGGCCCCTTAATCAGAAGAAGATGGGGTCGGTTGACCTTTGTGACAGATATAATGGTCTGCTACATCGCCACAAATGTGTGTGTCTCTTTCTCTCGTCTTTTATTTCACGTCCATCCTTTCTCTTCTCGCCACTTCTAGCCCTTTCGATCCACTGAACAACATGCCCAAGTTGCCACCGACCGTCCCAGACCGTGCTCAAGCAGCTAATCGGATGATTCTACGTCCTAGGAGGACCAAGAGCGGCAACAGCGTTGACACTGCTCCAAAGGTGTTCCAAGACACTGTCTTCTCGATCCCAGAGCTTGTTCACTTAATCACCGACCATCTGATAAAACGCGATCTCGCGGTTCTCATCCGTGTCAACCGTGCCTGGAATAGCATTTGGATTCCTTATCTCTACAAAAGTCTATCCTTTTCCCATTCCGACCGAACCGACGTCTATCCAACGATCTGCAAATACGGAGACCATGTCATGACCCTCTGTCTCACGTTTACAACATGGGCCAGCACCCAGCACTTTCTATACTTTACAAACAACCTGCAATCGCTCACGCTCCGATTCCAGATCTTGTGCACTTCATATCTCGAGCAGATCACGGAGACGGTGCCACAGCTTCGAGCCTTACATATCACCCTGGAACAACCCGTAGTACAGCCGTTGGACTGTCAGATGACCCCTGTAGCGACTCTTAAGAATCTGAAGGACTTTTCCTGGTGCGTCAATACCAACGTCCGCATCGACGATATTCTTTTGGTGCTCAGAAATTGCCGTCAGCTCAGGTCGTTGATTCTGGAAAGGGTCGCCATAGTAGAGGAGCTTAAGAACGCCCACCATGAGCAGGAACCAGATGAGAAGAAGGAGCGCACTGGGTTGAGCAAGGTGGATGATGAAGGTTGGGTGAACACATCGCTTCGGTCGTTGAACTTGACTGTGAGATGGCACCCTGAGGATTCGAGCACTACGCATCCTCACTTTCGTCGTCTTTTTCAGCACCTTCCCAACCTCGAATGCATTAAACTCGACTGGAAGAGCAATGTCATCGCTCTGGACTGGAGAGATATCTTCGAGGATCGAGCCACCCTGCAGAGAACCATGCCAGAATCTCATATTACGACCATCGATCTCGACCATTGCACTGGAAGCAGCGTCAGGAATGACACCTCAGTGATGGGTGTGGTGATGGCAGTGGTGCATGAAGACCAGGCTCTCACACAACCGACACGTATGCCTCGATCAGTCCACGTATCGCCAGGAATATCACAGAGTCTGGTTGCCTTCGACATTGAAGGGTGTTTGGGATTCAACAGCATCAATGCTTCTATACTTCTGGAGAACTGCACGGCGTTGCGCAGATTGAACCTGTTAGGCACGATGGCCGGGACAATCGAACTCTTCAAGGGGAGTAAACCGTGGCCATGCGCCAACATGCTCGAGAATCTGAGTATGGATATCCAACCACTCGATTATCAACCTCCGCCGTTTATGGAACCCTGGCCTCCACTCAGGCTGTACACGTCTGGGGAAATGCAGTCAATTTGGGGACGGCTGTGTTCGTTCACGTCCCTAGTTGGTCTAAAGCTCGGGGGCGAAGCATTAACGTTTGATATGATCCAGGACTTTACGTTTGCGCCAAACCTTCGAGTAGTGAACCTAGAGTTCCCAATGACCGCGGACAACATGGCTACACTTCGAGAGGTAGCTCTCGTGTACGGCCAGGCCCTGTTCCCGAACTGGATTGTGTCGTCTGATATCACTTATCTCTCCTTTCGTCCAGCCGTCGCGGTTACAGCTCATTTCGATAAAACGAGTTATATGTTCGAATGGCCAAGATGAGCCCTAGATTGAGAAGTCGTGCTACATCCATCTAAGCGGGTCATCAAACTGAGAAATTCAACCGGCCGAGCTTAATAAGTCGAAGACTCGATAGTATATCTAACCTAGCTTAGAATAAGAATCAGACGATCCTTTGCAATCCAGGCTTGTTCTCTATATCTCAAACAAGAAGTGTGCATGTACATACGGCATTCAGAGATCGAGCTAACTGTATGTAAAAAAAAGGGGATGTTGTGCTGATAGTCTACGAGTCGCGGTACTTCGCTTACGCTCGATCAAAATAGCAGCTCCAAAAAGAGACTCCTACACATGATACCTTGAGCTGGGCTGAGCTGTTCCTCCACCCTTTTGTCCTTTACTCGGCCTTTGACGGGTGCAATGTTGAACCTGCTTTGGCCCGACAAAGTTAACCCATAGTTTCAAGATCACATCCTTCCAGGTCAGAAACCGAAGTGAGGTATTCGTCCAGCCTTCATCGTCGACTTTGATTAGATCAGGCTTCTCTTCTGATTTTCTAGCCCAAGATCGGCTGAGCCCTTGAACCAGACGGGCATTTTGGAAAGTCACCGCCTGGAGTTGTGTGCATGATTTGAGGACATGTAGGACATCATCGACCCGGACCTCAATCTCAGCCGTCCATGAGAGCCTTCCCAGGTGCTTGAACGTCGTCAATAAGGCCATTTGGCGATTATAAGTCACCAGACCCCTACTGTCCAAGGTATTATCGAGAATTCGAAGCGCTGGCGCCCTCTGTACGAGCTCCTGGAGTTGCGAGGCATTCAAGGCTATGTCAAGGAGAACGACGGACCGTAGGTTTGTCATTTGACCAAGGAGGTGAGCGATGCCCTCCCATTAAGAGTGGACGATTTCTAGATGTTAGAGACACTGGCTATATGTCTGCATCATGGGGTAAAGATGGGTCCCATTATATAATGGGCGGAGCGCAGTTTCTAGTAAAGATATGGGGTTAAGACGTCATTCTACACTTGGCTGACACAGATGGCAGTTCTGAGATCGTCGTCCCTGGTGACATGGTATCGACATAATTGTCCTGGTTGCCTGGTTGCCCTGGTTACCCTGGTTACCCTTGATCGGGCAAAGATCTCCGAAATTGGTCCCTGAAGCGAGATCCGAAGCGGCTATAGGACCCCTGGACATAGCTGGGGATGTTGAGAGTGAAGTGGGGGAAAGAAAGAAACGGGACCCTTTGGTCAAGACTGAATATTTAGATGAACCAATGCGCCTTTTTGATTCTTCCTCCTTCCTCTGTCCATCTCAACTGCCATATGCCAAGATACCATCCGAGCGCAATACAACTCAGCCAAATTTTTTGCTAAGACTCTCTTGACGGAAACTGCAACCTAGCAATTGTCAGTGCAGCACCAGGAATGATTCAGGACAAAGCCCTTGGTCCGCTACCTGACTTCGACGATCTCAGGACCGACATCCTTGTCAGCCAAGCCTAGAATGATGTTTGGTTGACTTTATATCTATCAAGGGCTGTGTCTGCGCAGGTACGAGCGGACTCACGTTCACCGTAAAATCCATAAATACGGCGAGCATGCCAAGGCCCTCGGTTCCTTCGATACAAAGTGGAACAATGATGCCTACTCTCTCATCCACACGGTCCAACTACAATCTCTTGCCCTCACAGACACCCTCTGAGATACCTCACAGCTTCAGGAGATGATAGGGGATGGTACCACGGCTACGATTTCTCTAAATGGTCTTCTATCGACAGCCACAGGAGTACCAAATGACACCTTTGGACGCTCTCGAGAGTCTGGAAAGTCTGTAATCGAGGGACTTATAAGGAACCCATGCAGGTCATTCATCAACTGGGAACGGTTCGCGTCAAGAACACATTGTTCGGAATCTTGAGGCCCAGAGAGCTGGCGCATGCTCCCTCTTCAACAATCGTTTCTTCAGAAACATTGTGCGATCTCGTTGAGATCGGCATGGGGGGGGGGGGGGGGGGGGATACACCCAGATTGCCAGCAGCGGTATCACCTTGGTGCTCGAGAACTGTAAGTTCTTGCGTAGGTTCAGCTCGGGGGCGAACAAGAGAATCACCGACCGTTTTATAGAGAAGAAGCCCTGCCCATGTGTCGACATCATACAGAAACTGTGTGTTGATATAAAAGCACTCGATCATCGGCCTCTACCTTCCGGTGCGGTGCCATGCAAGCCGTGGCTCCAAGCAAGCTGTATACGACGGAAGAAGAACAGTCGATTAAGAAGCGCCTCTGCTTATCCACATTCATGATCGATCTAGAGCTCCAGGATGGTGCTATGACCTGTAAACTTTCGTTCCACGCCAAACCTCTGCATGTGCCGGTGGGGACGAAATACTATCGGAATGTATTGTCAGGCCGGGGAAGTAATGCTGGAACGTGGTAGGATTCTGTTTTTTGCTCTAAAGGGTCTGCTCCGATGAAAGTTATGAAAGCACCTTGTGAACGATCCTACTCTCACTACTGCTACTGCTACTACTACTACTACTGCTGCTGCTGCTGCTGCTGCTGCTGCTGCTGCTGCTGCTGCTTAAAAAAAAAAATCATACGCTCCCCGTAGCAAAGCTACAGAGATCGCGTCCGACATCTGTTGTCGACCCTTTATGCTCCCTCCCTTCCTTCTCTTCTCTCGGTCTTTATCCACTGTACGTACCAAAAACAAGGTCACCATGTTGTTGCCAGGCTGCATGTGTTTTCATCCAAGGCTCAAGATAACTGAAATGGTTTGGTCCGCAGGCTGACTGTGAGTCCATTACCTTCAACTTTCTATTGCAAAGGCGCATTTCGACATTGACTCTATTTTAGTTCTGTAATGGCGTCTGGTTGTGTGCTTCGATTTCTGACCCAACCAAATCGCTTTGGGTAAAGAGAGAACCGGGGAAGTGTCCTTTCTCTGGAGTTGAGGCAACGTTTCGTGTTTCGGTCGGTTCTTTGTGCCAAAGTGCTATGAAACGTATATTGCATTCCTTTGCCCATCGACAACTCTTCCTATATTCTCTTCTTGTAAAGGGTAGCAGATGATTACGCTTTTCTGAAGAGCCGTTTACTTGGTTCCAAAATGTCTTCTTTTTTTTTACTTCGGAGTCTTTGCTTTATTCAAGGGCACTGTATTGTGTAATGGTCACTACAGAATGACTGATGTCTGAATGAACAAGAGCCTGCGATATGTGTTGTATAGTTTTTACGACGTCCTGAGATCAACTACAGCTCCGTGATCGTATACGAAGCCCTGGAAGAAGCCGCCTATGGCGCTCCTCGAATGCACCATTTTGGAATCGATTACTCTGGATGATAAGTCCTCTTGACTATTGCTCTGTAGTTCTATTTGTCTCGACCTTGAATTGTGCTCCGCCTACCGCTCCTGCGCCTGCTTCAGTGCTATTGTTGCTGCTGCTGCCCATGCTTTTTTTTTTTTTTTTTTTTACAAAACGACTATGTCGTTTTCGGGTGCTTGATACTGCTCTGGATGTCAGTGTCGCTGTCGATGTCGCTGTCGATGTCGCCGTCGATGTCGCTGTCATCGTCGTTCGTGGCCTTGATGCTGTTCTCAAAGCGATCGAATGGGAGGCCGGTGGCCTACGACCCGGCTACTGGGGCTTTGATGCACTGTCTAGTGTCCAGCACAAAAGAAAAAAAGCCCTGTGAGCAAGTAGATCGAGACTCGCAGTGTCATGAATGAGTCCATATGCAGAGGAATAGTGCTTACCTTGCAGGCGTTACGTTACGGTTACGGTTCGACTTGAGTGTTGTGGTGCTGCGCCACTCTGTCCTTCTCCTTTGCCTCTTTTGTGCTCCTTTCTGGACCTCAACTTTCTTCTTCCTTCTGTCTCCCTCATCCTCCTCCTCTTTCTCTTTTTTTTTTTTTTTTTTTTTTTTTTTTTTTTTTTTTTTTTGGTTTTTTTTTTTTTTTTTTTTCTTTCTTTTTCATTTTTCATTTTTTTTGTCTTTTTTTTTTTTTTTTTTCTTTTTTTTTTTTTCGGTGTTTTTATACAGCTGTCGCTGCCTGCCCTTCCCTCCTTTGCTCCTCTTGTACTCTCCCATCAACCCTTCTTAGCCCCCCATCCATTGCACTCCGCCCGCACTCCTTTTGCTATCCCCCTCACCATTCTTCCCCATCATCTATGACTTTACCCCATTCGCCCTCTCCCTCTTGTGCCCATACACACTGGTCATCCCCCGCAGAGGACCCAGCCTCGCGACCACCAAACCCCGAGGGTTCGGGGCCGTCTCCCCTCAGCTGAGAGAGGGTGGTCTGCTGTGCGGTCACTGACAGCACTGCCCCTGCCTCCTCTCTACCCGCTCCACCTCTACCTTGAACCCATGGCGCACTTACCTCTTTGCATGTGTCCACCCTAGGACTAGGATCCTTGATCGATCGACGCGCTCTCTCCCTCTCGCTGCCCAGCTGGGGAGCATTACTAGGCCTGATCTTGCCGAGACATCGCCGCTACCACGAATGGATCAGTTAAATAGTGTGTCAGTATATCGCTGTTTTCTGCGTGCTAAACTCAGCACACATACATCTCTTTATCCAAGAAGACACGCGCAAACGTACCTTTGTCTTCTATCTGTCATAGTAGTTTGCCGACCATGGATCCGCCGGTGTGCTACCTCAAAGACGAAGCCATCTCTGTCGAAGGTCTGTTCCAGAGTCCCTTACTAGGATCAGGACTGCTGGACATCCCTTGACCATGATGTCTTCGCTCCGAGCCTCACAGTCAGCTGGCCTATGTGTCGGCGAGTGTCCCTTCGCACGACCGTGGTCGAGTCCCCCCAGGACGATGAACCTGGATCAAGTCCAGGATCGGGGAAAACGGCTGGGACGCTGTCTCAGCATCAGGCCGTGCATCCAACCGGGCGAGCAAGAGAGAGCGTGGGCACGGCGGCGATCTATAGAATCCCTGGACACAGCAAAAAGTAAGTGCCTTAGTTTGACCCCAGGAACAAGGAGGGTGGACAGGAGAGAGCCGGCTAGGGTGCAGCACTGGGCGACCAGCACAGCAGGCACCCAATCCCAGCTGGGATCAACAGCCCCTCAGCCTCGAGGTCACTGGATCGCGAGAGGGCTCATGCGAGTGAGACCAAGTGCGCAGAGACACTCCAAGGGAGGGGGTATTTTTTAGATGGGGTAAGGGCAATCATTGATGACAGGGAAGGAGGTGGGAGGGTTGAGTGGGGCGGTGGAAGAGAGGAGGGGATGGAGAGTACTTAGCTTTGAATATTTCAATTTGCTTGGTTTGCTTGGTTCACTTGATAGGCTTGACGGGCTTGATGGAATTGCCATGGCCCGGCGAGTCTGGCTCGCCTACCAGGCTGGGCGGAGCGAGCCAGGGCCTCTTCTCAGCCGAGACTGACAGAGACAGAGGCCAGTGGCTAGAGGAGAAGCAGTTCAGACAGCAGAAGACAAGAGGACAGTCAGCGTGTGAGTGTGTGAGAAAAGGAACACAGGCACCAAAGTTGACTCCCAGTACAGCAACAGCGAACGGTGCATGTCAAACATACCTTTGTGACCATCTGGCTCGCTCTTCTTGACCATGGCGAGTCCCGCTGGACTGGGCCATGTTGTACCTGTGGATGTTGTAACGGACCAGCTGATATGGTCGGCTAGAGGTGCGGACCTTTCTTTGCTAGAAAAGAGGCGTTGACACACAAAAACAAGTGCAGAAAGAGACTACGCCATGAGGATCGAGCCACAAACATAGACACAATCTATGGCACCAGGCACAAGGCACCAAGCACCAGGCACAAACAAAAAAGAAAAGAAAGACGAGCAGTGCCACTTTGCAAGGAAAGAAGACCAGGAACATACCTTTGTGGACTCGACCGGTCATCGCTGTGGTCGTCGCTGCGGTCCTACTGCGCTGCTGTTGAGGATTGCTGCAGTGGAAATGACGGGCGAAGCAGCCTAAAGATGCGAGAAATATACAAAGTGGGCTCAGACACTAGTACAAACACGCACAGCCCCAATGGGCTAGAAGAGAACATCCTGCATAAACACAATGAGCAAAAGCACAATGAGCAACCTCATGAGTGTCGTAACATACCTGGACGATGCTGCCTGGCCATAACATCGAGTAACAGAGTGCACTTTGGTACGGGCGCATCGGTGGATGTGTGGTTTGGAAGGGTGGAGGAGAGTGTGGGAAAAAGAAAACAGCTGCCCGCAGGAGAATTTTGAATGGAAGGCCACGCGCCAAAATGTAAACAAACGAAAATCAAAATGAAGGTGGACGCGTCGAGTGACGTTCTTCATCACCCAAGGGGCGTGTCCTCGCAGTGCGCACAAGTAACATGAACCTACAGTCAGAGCGCCGTCTGTACATACTCTATCCTTTAATCCTACAAGACCACTGTTGCTGTGCTTTAAGCATAACATCCCTGGGTTTATTATGAATGATAGTCTAACGCAATGCGCTGGTGTTTTTCAAACGGTGGTGTCGTTGCACACTTTTTGAGTGCGGCCAGGGCACGTTGTCTTTCAAATAAGATTGCCTGCCAAAAAAGTAATAAAAAGTACAACACGTCCCCATTTTACTATCCCGCCCCTTATTGATCCTAATCCTGCACAGGCTCCCGAGGTCTAGAGATCTACAGTACACCGACCCCTTGGATCCAATTTGGAGACAAAGCCTTGCCATACTTCTTTGCCATTTTCTCCTGCCATTTAATGGGACCCAAAGTTGCGGTACCTACGCGAGCGATACCTATGCGGGCGAAACTTAAGCGGGCGATCCTCTTAAGACACCAGGTGCGGAGGCTCACGCGGCGGAGGGAGAGCGATTGCAGAGTTGGAGATACACCCAGAGAGATGGAAATGATCCATGCTTTGTATCCAGTATGAAGGCTCTGACATGTCGGCTGTATATGTGAAGCCCTGGATAGTTATCTCCATTGTAATGGCTAACGAGGATCCTTTCGTAGAGATAGGGGCTCCAGACGGCATTCCAGGTACGACTGTGCACATTGACCACCGCGAACGGAAGTGATTCATAATTCGTACTCTTGGATTGTGCCAACATCATATCGTCCATGGTTTTAGTGCGCGCTGTATCATGCAAATAGTTTTTTATACACAAGTTTGTTTTTTAATCATATAGATCATGCTTAAAACACAAGGTGTCCGTCCTTATTGATAACGGCATTGATAAAATAGACACCTCGCGAGGAAATATAGCTGAACCCACCCGCCACAATCCAGTTCGGGAACAATGCCGCGCCACGCTCCTGGGCCATTTCTCCTGCCTTCTGAATTATGCTACTGCTATAGTCATTTGACTTGACTGGAACAAACAGAACAACCTTTCGAAGCTTCGGCGCAAACGAAAAGTCCTCCAAGATTTCAGATGTCATCGCATCCCCCCCGAGTTCGAGACCGAGGAGGGAAGTGAACGAGCACAGCCGCTCCCTGATCAACTCCTGGTCCTCAAGCGTGTATGGTTTAAGGGGGGGTAAATTTGCTTGTCTCCAACCTACACCGTACGGCCGGGGTTGATAGTCGAGTGGTTGGATATCCATATGCAGCCTCTCCAGCACCTTGGCACAAGGCCAGGGCTTGCACCCCTTGAAAAGCTCGATTGTACCGGCTCGAGTGCCCAACAGGTTCAAACTGCGTAGGAGAGGACAGTTCTCTAATATCTCGATAGCACTATGGCTGGTGATATGAAGACATCCCTCCACATCGAGTTCAACAAGGCTATGCGAGGACCCTGCTGAAGTGAGTGTTGGAGGGAGACGTGCCAATTGATGGAGTGCCAAGTCCCCAAATTCCGTGTGTTTAACGCTGACCATTTGCAGCCCATGGTTGACCCGCATCACCTCTGCAAACGCCTCGTCCGTTGTAGGCGGTATGAGCTTGGCAATAAACTTCTTGAGGTTCGGGCATGATCTTGACACTGCGTTCAAGTACCCCGAATCACTGACTTGAAAACCGCGTCCGATGACTGAGACGCGCAAATCAAGCTCGATCTCTTGGACGCTGGCTTGATTATCGAACATACAGTCCCAATCCTGAGGGCCGAAGTTGCCCTCACCACTGATCTTGACTTTCTTGAGATTTGGTGTGTGCTGAAAGAGACGGCGGACGCAAGGATGTGGCTGTTTCGAGTCGTCCAAGCAGGATTGTCGTGGTCCCAACATCACACTGTTCCAGCTCGACGCTCGGAACGGCATGCTTACCCAACTCAATACTCGGAGCGAGGTGCTTGTCCAGCCGTCATCGTCCACTTTGACCAACTCTGGTACGGCATCGGCTACCAAACTGCTGCTTTTGATGCCATCAATCTCCTCGACTTTGGCCTCGTCAAGTTCCTCGACTAATAGGTTGATTGTCAAGGCCAGTGACTGGAGTTGAGAACATGATTTAAGCACGAAAAGAATATCGTCGATGCGGACATCTGTCAGGACATTCCAGTAAAAGTCCTCCAGGTGCTTGAATGCAGACACAGGAGTCATCTGGCACTCCAATGGCTTTAGCGAGTGTTGCTTCAAGGTGATATGCAGAACCCGAAGCTGCGGTGTTATCTCTGCGAGCTCCTGAGGTTGCAAAGTGCTCAGTTTTGTGCAGTGGAGGAAGAGCGAGTGTAGGCTGGTGGTAAAGTTGAGAAGGAAGGCGAGATTATTCCATTCTATGGAGAGGAGCTCGAGACTCTTGACATGATGGCCGTATGAGTGCATCTTGGGATAGCTGCGAGTCTGCTGATACTCGCAGAAAGATAGCTTTTCATAGAGATAGGGAACCCAAATAGTATTCCAGGTATGGTTGACACGGATGGCGGGCTTAAGGTCATTCTGTGTGAGATAGCCAGCGAGGAGGCATTGAAGTTCAGGGATAGAAAAGAAGGTATCCTGGGGGGCCTTGGTGTATCGATGTCGACAATGCAGTTGTCGGATTTGTTGGCCTTGGGCATGGCTGACGGGGAGGGGAAGAGAAAGATGGCAAGAAAAATGGTAAGAAAAGGGGCAAGGGACCAGAAAAAGATGGTGGTGGCAACGGAGAGGGATGAGTCGATTGACCTCATGAGACGTATAACATTGCCACAAATGTCTTTTATTTCATGTCCATCCTTTCCCTTTTCACCACTTCCAGCTCTTTCGACCCCTGAACAACATGCCTAATTTGGCACCAACCGTTCCAGACCATGCTCAAGCAGTTAGGAGGACCAAGAACGACAACAGCGTTGACACTGCTCCAAAGATGTCTCAAGACATTGTCTTCTCGATCCCGGAGCTTGTTCACTTAATCGCCAACCACCTGGCAACACGCGATCTCACGGCCCTCATCCGTGTCAACCGTACCTGGAATAGCATTTGGGTTCCTTATCTCTACCAAAGTCTATACTTTTCCCTATATTAAACCAACGCCTATCTAAAGATCAGCAAATATGGCGAGCATGTCAGGACTGGAACTATCCTTATCACAGCCATCGGACTGTCAGATGGCATCTGTTGCGACCCTCAAGAACCTGGAGGACTTTTCCTGCTGCGTTAATAGCAAAGCCCACATCGACGATATTCTTTTGGTGCTCAGAGCTTACCGTCAGCTCAGGTCGTTGGTTCTGCAAAAGGTCATCATAGTAGAGGAGCTCAAGGACACCCGCGACGAGCAGGAGCCAGAAGAGAAGAAGGAGGAGCGCACTGGGTTGATCAGGGTGGATGACGAAGGTTGGATGAACACATCGCTTCGGTCGTTGACCTTGAGCACTGTGACATGGGACTCTGAGGATTCGAACACTACGCATCCTCACTTTAGTCGTTTTTTTCAGCACCTTCCCAACCTCGAGTGCCTTAAACTCGACCAGAGGAGTAATATCATCGCTCAGGCCTGGAGAGATATCTTCGAAAATCGAACCATCCTGCAGGGAACCATACCAGAGTCCCATGCTGCCACCATCGATCCCGACCATTGCATTGGAAGCAGCATCAGGGACGACACTTCAGCGACGGGTGTGATGGTGACGGTGGCGCGTAAAGACCAGGCTCTCACACAACTGACACGTATGCCTCGATCAGTCCATGTATCGCCAGGAATATCACACAGACTGGTTACCTTTGATATTGAAGGGTGTATATTATTCAACAGCATCAATGCTTCTATACTTCTGGAGAACTGCACGATCTTGCGCAAATTGAACTTGTTGGGCACGATGGCGGGGACAATCGAGCTCTTCAAGGGGAGTAAACCGTGGCCATGCGCCAACGTGCTCGAGAACCTGTGTATGGACATCCAACCGCTCGAGTATCAACCTCTGCAGTATGGAATGCCCGGGCATCCGCTCAGGCTGTACACGTTCGGGGAAATGCAGTCAATTCGAGGACGGCTGTGTTCGTTCACATCCCTAGTTGGTCTAAAGCTCCGGGGCGAAGCATTAACGCTTGATATGATCCAGGATTTTTCATTTGCGCCAAACCTTCGGGTAATGCACCTAGGGTTCCCAATGAGCGTGAACAACATCGATACACTTCAAGAGGTGGCTCTCAAGTACGGCCAAGCCCTGTTCCCGAACTGGATGTGTCGTCTGATATCACTTACTCCTCCTGGCGTCTAGCCGTCGCGGTTACAGCTTATCTCGATGAAGAGAGTTTTATGTTCCGATGGCCATGATGAGCCCTAGATTGGGAAGCTGTGATACATCCATGTAAACGGACCATCGAACTGAGAAGTCCAACTAGCCGAGCTTAACAAGTCGAAGACTCGATAAGATATCTAATCTAGCTTAGAACAAGAATCAGACAGCCCTCTGTAATCCAGGTTTGTTCTCTATAGCTCAAACAAAAAGTGTGCATGCACATACGGCATTCAGAGATCGGGCTTGCTTCATGTAACAAAAAGGAGGCGCTGTGCTGACAGTCTACGAGTCGCGGTACTTTGCCTACGCTCGATCAAAATAGCAGCTCCACAAAGAGACTCCTACACGTGATATCTTGAGCTGGGCTGCACTGTTCCTCCACGCTTTTGTCCTTTCCTCGACCTTGATGGCGACAGACGACCAGCTTTCTTCTCCAATTCTCCTTTCATTCATACGCTTTATAGTCAATAATGTCTTCACGGGCGGGTGATGAGCAGGACACACTCCAGGATGCAATGCGGCAAACGACATTGAATGACAAAGACCACGCAACCAGTAACGCCAAGACCACAGCCGAGAAAGACACTAGTGCGAGCCCAGCTCTGGATAAGAGTGAACAGGAAGGTGGACAAGACAAAGTCGAACCAAAGACCGAGGGCAGCGATGAGGATGAGCAACACAGTAAGAAGGAAGGTGATAGTACCTCACCTAAGGATGTCGCCACCAGCAGCGTCTCATTCGCAGAAGGCATATCGAATGCTGATGATGGGGCTCAAAAGCCCGGTCTGACACGCCGAAAATCTTCCTTGAGTACCATCGGGTATGTTTTACAGATGGATTACTGAAGTTTATTGATTGAGCAGAAAGCTGTCGCGTAGCATCTAATCAGGAGTCTCGTTGGTCTTTTGTCCCACACAGGAGTCGATTGAGACGAGCCTCGTCGATGGAGAAGCACGTCACGATCGTGGACGCGACGGACGACACCACTGCCGGCGAGGAGAAGAGCAGCGCTACCGACGAGCCATCGGAGGAGAGGAACAAAGATGATGAGGCCACGAAAGAAGAGTTGGCAAAGATCCTGATGCAATTTGATCCGCTTGCGGAGTCCAAGCAACAACAAGGTGAGAACGCTGCCTCCATTTATTGGGCCCCATGCTATATGCAACATCACTGCTAGAGCCTAATCATTTTAATCTTGTGTTGTGAATAGAAAATAAACCATTAGAGACAGTCATTGAAAGAGGCATAACTGCTAGTAAGCCGGTCTTGAATCCTTCAGAGACCGTTGCAGCTTCACCAAATCTCTCGCTTTCATCCTCATCCTCGCCAAAAACACCACAGTTGATGGATTCGCCAAAGATTTCACACGACGTCAAGGTTGCAATGGCCGAGAAGGCTAAAACCGGATCGTCCAAGAAGAGGAGTGAGAGTCGGCAAAAGAGCTCCCTATCATCAGAGACACCCCGGAGCAGCGAGAAAGGGGCTAGTAATGGAAACAACAGCAACAGCGGCAATCGATCTGAGCCCCCGAAACCTAAAGACATTCCGTTCGACTTTCACAAGTTCCTGGAGCAAATGCGGCACAGGAGTGCAGTTCCCATCACGCGCTACTTCCACAGGTGAGGAGCGGATCGAATTGTTTGAGTGCTCATACATTTGACTGAGTTCATGAAGACGTACTTGTCGCTGACATTCTGGTTTGTGGGGTTCAGCTTCTTGAAAGAGTTTGATAGAAAACCTTGGACAGTGAACGAGCAGATCAAGATTATCCACGACTTTTTGGACGTAAGTCGTTGCTGTTGTATTCATGCGCGGAAAAAATCCCTCAGAAGGAAGGCGTGGAAACAGGCGTTAACATACTTATTTTTCGGTTCTATTTTTTGTACAGTTTATTACGGGTAAAATGGAAATGTGTGAGCTATGGAGGAATGCATCCGACCAGGAGTTTGAGAACGTGAAGGAGGGCATGGAGAAGCTGGTGATGAATCGTCTCTTCGCCTAGTAAGTCCTGCACGCGAGAGGCCTATCCACTTGCAACTTGACGATGTGCTTACCAACATTTCAACTATTTATTTACGTCCATAGTACTTTTTCGCCTTCGACAACCGATGATGCTGAGCGGGACGAGGTTCTCACTCAAAAGATACGGATTTTCCGGTGGGTCAGGGAAGAGCACTTGGATATCCCTTACAGCCCGCACAATGAGGCCTATCTGAACAACGCCCAAGCAGGTAGGAGCACAGTGGATTCTTTGGGGCTTTTGCGGACAGACAGGGGCGGACGAATGTACTTACGGATGGTTTTTTTTCCTTCTGCGTTGTTAGAGCTAAAAAAAATCAACAGTTACAAGGCCCCGCGCGATAAGGTCATTTGCATTTTGAACTGCTGCAAGTTCATCTTTAGTAAGTGGCTGCAATTGGCCTGAATATGCTGTCTGGTGGTCCACAGCTGGTACTCATCGTGGTATATGTCTCTAACTTTGTACGATAGCGCTCATCCGGAGATCAGAGGGCAACTCCAAAGGCGCAGATACATTCCTTCCGATCCTCATCTATGTTGTTTTACGTGCCAACCCTCCAAATCTCGTCTCTAATGTTCAGTATGTATCCATTTCGATACACGGAGGAAAAAATGATAATGATGCTTCACGTGGGATATTATAGACCCTAACAGCATTCGATATTGTCTTTTGGGCTGTTTGTTGCATAATTGCACTAGATATATTTCGCGGTTCAGGAACCCGGAAAAGCAGCAGGCTGAGGCCGGGTATTATCTGGCTTCATTGATGGGGGCGATTTCATTTATCGAGAACCTGGAGGCGAGCTCGCTGTCGATCACACCCGAGGAGTTTGATCAACAGATTGAGAAGACAATGAATGAGCTCAGTCAAGAAAAGGCAGACGCCATGGCAGCAGCGGCCGAGGCGGCCAGGTCCGCAGCAGCAATCTCAGCAGCAGCTTCACCGGAGCCAACGATTGGACATAGGAAGCAGAGCAGTAAATTGGCGACGCTCGTTGCCGGGACTGCGGCGATGAGGAATAGTCAGCAGCGACCAGCTATCAATGAGAAGCAGTATTTGACGGCAGAAGCAGCGCAGCATCAGCAGCACCAACAATATCAGGAAAAGAGCTCACGTCAAAATGGCCGGGATTCTACAAGAGCATCGCCAGCGCCTTCAGGGTCTTCGATTTTAAATCCAGCGGCGTCTTTAATCGAGCGTGGGGCAAATTTCGCGACGAAGACGATTCAGAAGCCGCTGGATCTGATCGAAAGAATGTTTCAGGATAGCGGCGATGAGGAAGAGATGGCGAAACCGTACCCGCCTCGTCCTGTACAACCACAGCAGCAATCACAGCATTTTGGCAGATCTGCTCCTCCGTTGGCTCATCAATCACAGCAGCAGCAGCATTATCATCATCAGCAACAGCAGCAGCATCATCATCAGCAGCAACAGCAGCAGGTTCAGAGGCCGGATACATTAGACAGGGACGATTCGTTCTCGGAATTTGTGTATGTGCCCGCAGGACAACAGATCCAACAGCCTGTACCACAACAGTCTGGCGGGTTCTTTCAGCAGCAACGAGGATACCCAGGGCTAGGAGTTCAACACGCTCAGCAGCAGCAGCAGCAGCAGCAGCAGCAACAACAACAAGGGATGGAAGAGTATTTGCAGGCACTGGAGACACTGACAGACATGTTTCCGACATGCGAGCGACAAGTGTGCGACGTGATTTTACAAGCGAATGATGGACGGCTCAGCCCAAGTATTGACGCGTTGCTTGGTAAGTGAATGTATAATGAGCATGGCAATGTCAATATCACTGTCACTGTCAATATCACTATCAATGTCAATGCAGGTGCAAGATACGGATTGAGATACAGATGTTGGGGTTTCTGATGGAATGCTAAAATATGATGGAGGGATTTTACTTTAAAATTTTTTATTGTGGACCATGATAGAGATTTCATCTGTGAATGATAATCATAAGGGACAGTACGGCAGCCCTGGACTCGACCTTCAAGCGGAACATAGTCAGGAGCAACAGCCGCAGCCACAGCCACAGCCACAGCAGCCACAGCAGCCACAGCAGCAACAACCGGAAAATCTGATAGAGATTGACAAGGGGATGACGACGACTGAGGCTTCTTCAAATAAAGAGGATGCATAAAGGGCGGAGAACAGTCAAGAGACAGAAAAAAAGATGTTCCTGGTGGTGAATAGACTACTTTTTGTTGGAGGCACAGGACAGGGCGCCATCCGTGGCGGTACACGTTTGAACAGAAGACCAGACAGTGGTGCGTGAACTTTGATGATCTTTTGGTTTGGTTTATGTTCGTGTGAACAAAGCATATATTCAGCGCATCCAGCCCAGCACATACCATAGTCTAAGGACCGTAACAAACTGCACATAGCCTTAGCGCGTAAGCACACACACATACAAGTGGTCTAGTGCAAAGAAGACACAAGGCATACAAACACAAGATGTGCTTGCTTTGCTGTCTTTGCTTGTTTATATTTTTTGTCTCTTCGGGGCTAACGCTCAGACCGAGACCCGAGATCGAGATCGAGATGCGGCATTTTTGTTTGTTTGTCTGTTTGTCGTCTGTGTCAGGCACAGTCAGCGTTAGGGGGTCGATTGGATTGGATTGAGGGTTTTATTCTGTGGAGCAAAAGAATTTGTCGAGCGTGACAACTGGCCAGACTTTGAGAGGGAGCGGTGAGGATTGTTGGTATCCAATTAGATCATGGTGCGTGAATTCCTATAATTATTATTATTATTATTATTATTGTTGTTGCTATTGTATGGCGATGGAGATAGACTAGCAGGGCGATGCTGTTGCTGTTGCTGTTGCTGTTGTTGCTGTTATTGTTGTTGTTGTTCGTTATCTGGAATTTACGGAACGATGGCACCATGGGAATGGATTGATAGGGAAGATGCAAGGTCCACCCCCTGTACTTGATTTAAGGTTGAGCAATGGTCATCTTTTGGCCGAGAGAAGGGTGGACGCAAACGAAGGGAATGTAACGGAGCGAGGAAGGAAAGGAAAGGAAGGGGGGATATGATGCGGTGAGTGAATGAGTGGGCGAGTGAGTGAAAGTAAAAGAGAAGGAGCGAGAGACAAAGGAGTGGGAGAAGGATGAGTACGGGCACGTTGCGAGAAAGAGCGAAATAGAGAGACATTCGCCGCAGCCGAAACAAAAAAAAAAAAAGTGTCATGACCACTTGTTACTTATTTATTCCCCTTCTTTTTCTCTTTTCTCATTCCTCATTCTCTATTCTTAATTCTCCATTCTCCTTCTCCATTCTTCTTCTCCATTCTCCTTCTCAGCAACCCATCCCATTCTGACTACGCCCTCAACTGTAATCAACATCATCCACAACAAAGCTACATCGTCCCCTCCCCCTCTCTCTCCCCTCTTCACCCCCCTTTCCCCCCCTGCTGGATGCCCACAACCTCTTGCACCAGACACACTTATCAATGAAAAAATCTGATCGGTCTTCTTTCTGTCCTCTCCTCTCTCTTCTGTCCCTTTCCCGAAGACCCGCTGCTGGAGACTCCCTCACCCTCACCGCGTTCCTCTCCCAATTCTACTCCACCTCCTGTCTCGACGATCCTTAAGACCTCGTCTTGCTCTCTCTCTGTTCCTCTCTCTGTCCTCCTGTACTCTTTGTCTCGTTCTTTTTGTTGCAGATTACTTTTTTCTTTTTAAACCACACGCCGAGGAGGGATCATCTTCACCCCTACTCCTTTCATCTACTGCCCCTTTAGACCCCAGTCTCCTCTGACTCCCCTCCCCCCTTCCTCTTTCCGATCTTTTTCTTTGAGTTGGGACCAATCCTACTCTTGAGGCCAAAGCAGACATCTAGAAGGACAAAGGAATCCACGCGGTAAGTGGCACAGCTGATTGTTTCCTTTCTTTATTTTATTTTTTGCAGATCAAGGGTTCAACTGGGGTAGAACAATGGACAATAATACCCATGGGGATGAACTGGAATGGTGTTGTGTTGCAATGTGTTGTCTTTGTTGTCCGCTTGTTATTTTTATATCCTGGTGAAGAGGTGGATGAAGCATACAGCAACTACACGAGGTGTTCTATGTTATGCAGATCGCATGTGCAGTTGGTCCCCTTCCAGTGGCCACTATGGAGGAGGTTATTATCCCTCATCACTCTGTTCTTCTGTTCGCTCTTCCTTCCTTCGTTCCCTCGTTCCCTTATTCCCTCATTTCCTTCCTCCCTTCCTCCCTTTGCCTTCCGAGTGGGTATGTATGTGTGCGTGTGTGTTCTCCCTCTTACTTTTGTCCACTTGATCCTATCTGCTCCTTTTTTGTCCCCAGTACTCCTCTCCTTCGGGAGCAGACGAGGCAGATAAGGCAGAGTGCAAGTGGAGGGATAGGCATGGCCGAATGAAGGCGTTTGTTGTCGATTGAATAGGACTGAATGGGATTGAACCACATGCCTCTCGCCATGCGGTCTGATATGCTCTGTAAGCATGCACCTGTATCTAACCAGAGTCTTCTCTCTCTAGCTCGCCCGTCCTCAACTACGTCTCTCCTCGTAACAACCAGCTGCCAACAACCGCCAGCAATGAGCATCCTCGCCAACATGCCCACCCCCAACATGCCTGCCGCCATGTACCGCTCCTTCTCCTCGGACAGCTCCTCGGCCCCCTCAGCCATGACCGCCATCAACCCCACGACCACCGCTCGACTCCAGCGACTGCCCACCCCACCACGCAGCCCAGGCCTCGCCCCCCTCGGCAAGCAGTTGACCCTGATCGAACCGCCCATGACTAAGGGCATCCGCTTCCTCATCCTCGACTGCCCCACAGATTCAACCCTGCCCTTCTACCTCGCGGAATTGAAGCGACACAATGTGACTGATGTCGTTCGCTGCTGTGAGCCAACCTACAGTGCCACCACACTGCAGGCTGAACGCATCTCGGTCCACGACTGGCCCTTCCGTGATGGCGCCGTGGTATGTATACACCCCCCTCTCAACACCCTGCTTTTTTTTTTTTTGCCCTGCCCTGTCCTGCCCCACTATCTATTTTTTACTTTCTGTACGCATGCATGCAAGAGTGCAGGCTGGTTTGTGCCGTTTTTTTTTTTGTCGGACCAATCACCTATATTACTTTTCGTCTTCGCCTCCAAGGTCAAAAATCTTAATGTTATGACACCCATGATATGTGTATACAATTAACGATGGTTCAATCGGCCATACGGCTGTATTGTCAACTCGCGAAGGGAGGGGTGAAATGGAAATGAGCAGTGAGATACTTCAACAAGTGAATGAAATCCGAAGAAGACGGACACAGCTCTCTCTCTTTCAGCATTTTTTTTTTTTTTTGTGGAAGGGTTGTGAAACAGTGCTTATTTTTTGGTGGCGCACAGAGTGATCTGTGCGCGGGAAGGACCTGCAACACCTCCGCCATATCTTCATACCCTTCCTTATATGTTACTATAAACATACAACGGTACATCAATGGCACATATTTACGGTATTCATTGTACATATTAATGACTAGCCACCAGCCACGATTATCAAGAACTGGCTGCAGTTGGTCGACAGCCGCATCGTGAAGCGTCTTCGCCAGCAGCGCAGTGGCTCTCCATCGGCGTCAGCATCGGAGGAGGAAGATGAGACACAGGTCCCGACAATTGCAGTCCATTGCGTTGCAGGACTCGGCCGAGCCCCGATTCTGGTGGCGATTGCGATGGTTGAGCTCGGAATGGCGAACCTGGACACGATCGAGTTCATCCGTCGCCGTCGCCGTGGATGCTTCAACAGCAACCAGATCCAGTACATTGATGGATACAAGCGCGGCAAGATCTTGAAGCACGCGCTCGGCAGCGGATCTGCTTCGTCTGCGAATGGAGAGGGAGGATTGATGGCAGGAAGCATGAAGAGCGGATTCAGCAAGATGTTCAGACTCAAGGCTTGACTCTGCGTGGTTGAGCTTCTGAGGAGTACCTGCATCTTGGTGGATCGTTTGAGGGAAGGATGTGACGGAGGACGGAGGAAGGATATGAAAAAGATGAATATCTGTAGGCAGGATGCGAGTGAGGCCACAGGCATGGAGCGGAGGAAACTAAGAATGGAGATGGAGATGAAGATGAAGATGAAGATGGAGTTGTTGCTGATGTTGGCGCCGTTCGAGATGGTTCAGAGAAGGGTGTTGGATCAATGGCGACGATCCAAGAAGGAACAGTGTGAAATACAGAGACATCGAAGACGGCGACAACGGCGACAACGGCGACATGGGAATCAAAAGCAGGAAAAAGAACACTATGGGCTGTGGAGGAGGAGGAGGAGAAGGCCAGGGCTGGAGAGAAGATTCGGTCGAGAGAGGGAGCAGGGACGGTTTGTGTATGGCAGCCGTAGTATCGATGTGTTTCAGCAGAAGCACACAGATCAGATCAAGGCAGCAGTTGCTGTGTCGATAATAAATGAAATCAAAAAAGCAAAATCGACTGCAGGTTGCAGACATGGACCGGAGAACGCTGCACAGGAGCATGAGGAGGATGGGGGAGGAAAGAAGAAAAGAAGAAGAGAAGAAAAGAGGAAGAATGTGCATTGCAGGAGTTCTTGGGAACGTTGACGCGTTTCTTACTCGTAAACGGTTTGCATTCCTTTTTTGTATGGGATGGAAATGAATGACAAATCAGACGGGGGCTCCAACGGCGTTTTTGCGTGGGAGATTAAAGCTCCTTTTTTTTTTTTTTTTCTTTTCTTTCCCTCTCTTTCATTCCACTTCATTCCATTTCCTCACTTCGCTTGCACTCCACTTCATTCTGCTTCATTCCACCTCTCCACTCTCATTCCTCGCCTTTACCAGAACTCCACTTGCGGACTTGTGCACCTCACAATTCGACGTTGTCTTTTGAACAGAGTGTTCGTTTTATATATTTTGATCGTTTTTTTTTTTTTTTTGACAAACATCCAGTCAATTGAACAGCGGAGAAGGCAGAGTGTTTGTTGTATAGACCAATTCCATGGCCGCGGTCGCATACTCGGCCGTGCCCTCGTCAGAGGAGGACAGCCATCATGGGCCACCCGTCAAGGCTCCTCCAGAACGACACCCGCACCAGGACCTGCCGCAGTTCACCGTGAGTTTGCTCGAAACCCTCGATTCGGTTCGATGTCTTGTATCTCTGTTAGTCCCATCTTCTCATACTAGCGACAAACTAACTAATATTCTCTCCACCTCCATCACCCCCCATTGAACTTTCGTTGCTGTTTCTTTTTTTTTTTTTTTTTTTTTTTTTAATCGCTTGTCGCTTGCCGCTTGCCGCTTGTCATTTCATAGTGGCGCGCAGTATGGGTCGGAATCGCGATTGGAACACTGCTCTGCTTCACCAACATGTACTTTGGTCTCCAAACCGGCTGGATCTCGATGATGTCGCTCCAGTCCTCCCTCCTCGGCTTCGCCATCTTCAAATCCCTCCCGGCCTCCTACTACCGCACCCACCCTCCCTTCGGCCCTGCTGAGAATATCGTTCTCCAGTCGATTGCGGTCGCCACGGGGACGATGCCTCTCGCAGCCGGGTTCGTCGGTATCATCCCAGCCTTGCAGATGATGACCAAGGAGGATAATCCGCCCCTGGGTCCGATCGTGCTCGGGGCTTGGGAATTGATCGGGTGGTGTCTAGCGATCGCCTTCTTTGGGGTTTTCATCGCAGTGCCCTTGAGGAAACAGGTGGTCGTGAAGGAAAAGCTGCCGTTTCCGAGTGGGACGGCTACGGCCCAGATGATCGGGGTCTTGCATAATGCGCCGTTGGTGGTCAAGGAAGGGGTCGAAAGCTCGAGAGGGGAGATCAGGAGAAGAAGAGGGTGGGCTCCGGAAGATGAGGATGAGGAGGCGACGGTTTTGCACGTAAGTGATGACCAACTGGCGACGAAGACAAAGACAAAGACAAAGACAAAGAAAGGATATGAAAGCACGGGGAATAGTAAGCCTTTGGGACAGATGGCTCCATTAGGTTCGTCCTCGGCATCCTCTGGAACCGTAAGAGCAACTGCTATAGGATCCAATCAAGAGAACCAACAAGAGGACCAACAAGACGACGACGCAGAAACAGAAACAGAAGGCAGGATTGAGATTGGAGGCGAGGACGGTGAATTCTCGCTCGACAAGAGCTTTCTCCAGGAGGACAACTGGCGGATCAACATGGCCGCCCTCGGGGTGTCCTTCACCCTCTCTGGCCTCTACACCGTCCTCTCCTACTTCTTCCCCGTGATCGCAGCCATCCCGGTGTTCGACTGGATCTCGGGGATGACGATTGCGTTCGGGGGTCGGTGGCAGTGGTTCTTTACACCATCGCTTTCTTATATCGGTCAGGGCGTCATCATGGGTTTTCCGACCACGGCGTCCATGTTGTTGGGATGTATTGTTGGATGGGGATTGCTTTCGCCGCTTGCGACGTTGAATGAGTGGGTGACGGGACCGGTCTGGAGCTCGACCACGGGCGCGAGAGGATGGATCCTTTGGATTTCGCTAGGCGTGATGATTGCGGAATCGATCGTGTCGCTCCTGGGTGTCGTGGTCCTGTCGCTCGTGGCCCATCATCGGTACATGGTCAAGTCGAGACGATATGAGGAGCGCAGACAACTTTTGGAAGCCAGAGCTGCGCTCGAGGGGAACGCACATATGGAGGAGTACCATCTACATGACGACGAAGACACCGAGGACGAAGACTCTCCCCCGGATCAGTTGGTTCCACTCAAGGTCTGGGTCTGTGGATTGATTCTCTCCTCTGCGCTGTGTTTGCTGCTCATCTGGATCGTGTTCAAGGATCAGCATATGCCCGTGTACGCGACCGTACTCGCCTTGGTCCTCGGATCCTTACTCTCCGTCCTGGGCGTGCGAGCTCTGGGATCCACAGACCTGAATCCCGTCAGCGGCATCGGGAAAGTCTCCCAGTTTGTCTTTGCGGCCGTCGTACCCGGCGGGATCGTCGCCAACCTCATCGCCGGCGGCATCGCTGAAGCAGGAGCCCAGCAGGCCGGAGACCTCATGCAGGATCTCAAGACTGGTCACCTAATGGGCGCCTCGCCCAAGGCACAGTTCTGGGGCCAGCTGATCGGTTCCCTGGCCTCGGTCTTTATCTCTACGGGAGTCTACAAACTCTACTCGTCCGCTTATGAGTTACCAGGCCGACAGTTCGCAGTCCCGACTGCCAAGGTCTGGTTAGACCTCGCCCGACTCGTCAATGGCCATTCCCTGCCAGAGCACACCGGTCCCTTCATCCTCGGGTTCTCCCTTCTCTTTGCCGGACTCACGATCCTGACTACTGTCTACTCTGACGCCGCCATCCTCAAGAAACTCGACAAACACGGCAAGGGCGATGGAGGACGCCCGAAATGGCTGGCCTACGTCCCCTCAGGGATCGCCTTCGCCATCGGGATGTATAACCTTCCCAATTTCACTTTGGCGAGGTTCGTTGGTGGATTGGTCTCGGTCTGGTGGGACTGGCACTGCAAGCGGTACGCTCACCATCCGCGTGCGAGGTTTGCGAAACTCGGACGCGTCTTTTTGATTATCATCGCTTCCGGTTTTGTTCTGGGCGAGGGCACGTTCTCAATTGTGAATCTTATCCTCAAGACCTGTGATGTCCACTCATGGTCTTGTGCTGGATGTGTCGAGAGTATCTGTGTTTGCAACTAAATCCAAGGTCCAAAGTCCAAAGTCCTTCCCCTCCCCCTTCCCCATCCCCTTCCCTCGTTTTTTTTTTTTTTTTTCTTTTTTCTTTTTTGTACATTCATACCCGCTCACTCACTCTTCACTCTTTACTTCTTTTCGCACCTCTTTATTTTTCATACACTTACACTTAATTAAAGGCTCTGTTTATGAAGATACACGTAAGAACAGTATTGCTCGTCTTTCTTCTTTATTCACATGAATATGATGTCTTTTCCGCTTTGAAAGATTGCGCCTCAAAGACTGAGTGGAAGGACTATCCGATTCGTCGTCTCGCATAAAAGTATCTGCTAAGAACCGGATATGTTTATAATGACTATATTGATGGACATCGAATGACAAAAGAAATTAAAAAAAAAAAAAAAAAAAAAAAAAAGGGCGACAAGTAAAATTTACTCCACAGGTCCCATTTGCATGATCTTAACCACCATCGAGGTCCAGCCCGTGAATGGATGGCTGCGATTGCCCACTCCCGTATTTTCGGTATAGTGCTCCCACACGTATCCTGTGCGTTCATATTCCTATGAGAATATGGGAATCCAATAGAAAAAAGGTTTCCGATATGAGTCGACTAAGGCGAAAAGCAATAGCAATGTAGGGTCAAATAGTCCTAAAAAAAACATCCTTACCTTGTAAACGTTATTGATAATGTTCTCGCGAAGCTCGTTATAGATCTTCTTGCTCTTGTCCTGGTATGGCCCTTTGCCAATATAATTCTATTTTCACAGTGTCGTTCACAAGCATAAGCAAATTAACTTATATATCAAGACACATCGCAATCTTACTTTTTCATAAAGCATGTGCGGAGTAAATTATTTTCCACATAAAACTTACAGTCTTCAAAGAGTGCAGCACCAGGTAGTTGATATTAACCCACACAGGACCCCTCCAGTAGTTCTCGCCCGTTCCTGCAAACTTATCTTTCGCCGACAGCGAACGCAAACCAAATGGCGTCCACAGCTCCTCAGGATCATACATCAGATCGAGAATATATCCCAACTTCTCAGATTCGGGGTCCAGGATTCCAAGCGACATCGGGAACAACGAAATATATCCCTTGTGACACACATGGTAGCTTTCGTCTTCCTCATCCACAGTCAGATCGCAGTACACCTTCTCTTTCTCGTTCCAGTGGAGGTCTAGTAGCCAAAGGCAAAAACATGCATAAATAACGTAAACATTCGCCTCTCTCGCTATGGCGCTCACTTCGCGTAAAGTCATTAACGTACCATCGATATTGGCAGCGATAGCTTTGTAGTGATCTTCGAGCTCTTCAACATCATCCTCTTCCCCAAGGATTTCGGCAATGTTTTTCAGATTGCGGCTCATAAATCCGATCCACGACAACAGGTCCACATGCAACTCTGCGACACTAGGCCGCGGCGCTCTGGGATAGTCATCCAATCCAGATGTCAGCGTATGTGTCGCCGTACGACCTCCCCAGCGGTATCCCTCAACACGAGATCGCGACTCGCGCCCGTATTCTCGAATACGTCCACGCATCGTTTTCCTCATCCAGTGATAGTTCGTAATTAGCTTGGGATACAGTCTGCTCAGGTACTCTAATGCAAGTTTGGGATTCAACAAATGTGCGTTCGTGACATCCTGCTCCTGGCTGCTCTTCGCACCGAACGGCGTCTGATTCGATTCTCCAAATGCATCCACCGCGAAGCTCTGGGTCACGTTCTGGAGACGATCCAAGTACGAACTGATAGCCATAATGAGCGTCGGGGGATTGGCATGCTCAGGGTATTGGACATGAAACTCTGATCGGACACGACCTCTGGCCTCATCACCCAAGATCTGCTCTCTCTGGATCCATCCGTTATAGTCCTGTCGGTTGAACCAGCTCTCGATAATCTCCAGACTGAGATCGTTGTCCCATTGACCAATCATCGTCTGGTGGAAACCTTCGTCCCAATAGAATCCTCGAGGGAAAAACGAGCGGGAGGGAACGGCACTGAAAAGAGAGGCTGGAGGAGTGGGCTGTGGGTCGGGGTGGGGACGACGTGCGACGGGCCCTTCCAGATGGTCGTACTGGCCGTCTTCATACGTCGGCGACTCGTCAATAATTGATGTTCCATAAAAGTACCTTGACACACACCAACGACAAAAGGTTGAAGTCAGTATAAGCTGATCGTGAATTGTATCCCATACTCAGCCGCCACCACTACTGCTAGTCATTTCGCATGTACCCAATGCCTCCGATCAGGTTGCTGAAGGTCGCCTTGGCAAACTCGACCATTGAATCATTGAATCCATGGCGCTTAAGCTGGAGCGTCTTTTCAAAGCGCTCGTCAAAAGCATTCTCGGCCATATCAATTTTTGAGGTGATAACCTGACTCGTCACTGGATGTTGCGAGGATTTCGAGCTGAACCTGACTTCGAACTAGAGTAAACAGAGATAAATAATGGAAATGTGTTGCTCAATACTAATCTCATTGTGGCATGAGCTGGCGCCTATGAAGTCGCTCCACGACACCCTCTCACCCTCACCTCAAACTCAGCATCGTAGTGCATTTGAAAGACCAGGATAGTGGGCTGTCCATCGATGAATTCGTCTGGGAAGGAAAATAAATCCTTGGGTGGCAGTTCGGCCTTTCCAGACCGTTTAAGTTCTTGGGCTCCTTGGATGATCACATTCCGTACATAATCTACAGTTGCGAAAAGGTATGAGGTATGCGAGTAAGCTGGATGTTCAGCATCGAACTCGAAGCCATGTCGATCGTCGTAAAAAAAAAAAAAAATCAAGGGTGGGGGATGTACCTTTGACACGCCAGACAGTTCCTGCGGGTGGGCTTGCACCAAAGAAGTGGATGGGATCATCCTTGTTAGACCCTTTGGCTATACAAAAAATATCCACGGTCCAGACTTAGTATGTCGTCCATTCATGATCTGACCTGGTACGCTATCCCGCATCGGAGATAACGAACGTACTCTGTTCGAGGACAAACTCAAAATCGCCGAGATCCTTAGCATCTCCATCAAACACGATCGGCGATGTCACCTTCTATAATTTCAGAGGATCAAAGGAGCATCATGTTAGTATATAATGATCTGTCCAATCTCTTTTTACAACCCTTTGCCCTGTCGCGATCATGAAAACAGGTAACGTACAAAGTTTTCCGGGACCAACTTAAATTGCCCCTCGCCATCGATCCCGATATAATACAATCCAGCAATGGACATTGGCTTCTCTACATGCACAAAACGTGACACAGAATATCGATGAGTAAGCAAAGTGCGTCCAATAGTCTCAGCTGTCGGCGATTTCGCAAGCCATCCATCCAGTCAATTCCGTGTAACGTATGATTACCTTTACGAATCGGCTTTCCCGAGATCCTCACTCCCCACGATCCACCTACAAAGTCCCCTCCACACACAAAAAAAAAAAAAAGAAAAAAAAAAGATTGCAACAGATCAGAAAATCAGATAAGCCCAGCCCATAGGTCCGATCTAGAATCACCGAAAAACACGAATATCTTGCCATGATCGCCCCCAGGAACCTTGATAAACTCTGTTTTGAGCTCCACATTGTTACGAGTGTCCTTCAACTGCTGAACGCCAAATGTCCGTCCATCGTTCTTGAGCCAACCATATTTCTCAAATCCATCGCGTTCCTCGCATCCGTGTCGTATATCTAATGTTCATTCCATACAAATAACAAAATATGTCCATATAAGGACCATTTGTTCTTTTCTCCAAAGCGTAGCCAAATCAAACATGAAACTTTGGACTTACTGTTGACGCCAGCGTAATTCTGGGTACCGTACCACATCAATCCCGTCATGACCGTATCCGGCAACCGTGGTCGGGTTCCAAAATAGAGGTTTGGTCGATAGAGTCCCCAGAGCAAAGACTGGTTCTGGGCTTTGGCGGCTGCGAGGGCAGAGTTCTCGTCGTTCAAGAGACTTGGGTCGCCATGGGTGAAGCGGATGTTGTTCAGGAACGAGTTGGTGGCGTCCATGGAGGAATCCTCTTGGGCGGAATGAGACACGACGGCAACGCTCAAGAAAAGCGTGCCCACGGCGACGAGGGGGCCAAGGGAGAGCCAAGACCGTAGCTTGGGTCTGTTCATGGTTTGAAGAGGGGTGGTTTTGGGGTGAAGAAGGGGGATGAAGCGGAAGGAGGGAAGGACGAGATGATGGTGGAGCGAGGGGAAGAGGGGAAGAGGAATCACGTCGAATCGGCCAATCATGCGTCGTTTAGTTTTCGACGTTATTTTCAAAGGTACACACACTTTCTATGTATTGACATACTCTAGAAGCAGTGGGTCGAATCTACCTATAGCTCTCGGTGCTCAATCTGCTGACGGTGACGACCATCGGTCCTGGTCCACTTCTTGCTGTAATTCATGTTGCCATTGCCGTTGCGCCGCTTGGTCGTATATGGGTTTATCGCTCGCATTCGAGATACTGGTCGCCTTGACCGCTGGATCCTCCTCCTCCCTACCCTTTCAGAGCCGCCCCATCTTCCTCATCTCCACCGATATTGCTTCCGATTGTGGTCGTCCCCATGGCACGCTCAACCTCCTCGTTCACGTTCTTCCGTGTGAATCGACAGACTTGGTCTCTTTGTCATTATAATCCTCATTACTCACACTCAACCTCTCCCCCCTCCCCAAAACAGCAACCTACACTCGTCCAGGTCTTTCTTTTTGGCCCTGTGGACCTTCTTCATTTGCGTATATCTGTTGCTATGCGAGTCAAAGGCGTCCTTTGTCTGTGAATAACCGCTCACGCTGCTGATGGGCATGCTCTTTACGCCAAACAGGTCCGAGAACAAATCCTCGTCGTCGGCCCACACTCCTGTTGCCTTTATCGTCCTTGAGAAATCCGAGATCACGTCGGTCAAAGAACGCATATGTCCATGAGAATGGACCAACTCGAGTCCAACCTCGGTAACAACCCGCATGTTGTTCCTGCATCGGTCCATAGTCCGCCCGTGCTCCGAACTATCTTCCACATTACTGATTGAGGTTGAATCACCTCCAAACAACAGCTCGCACGCCCTCAACATAATATCATCCTCTCCTCTCTCCATCAAGGCTATGTATCCATCCTTTGTCTCTCAGTTCATGTCTGTTGAGAAACTCCTCCGACGACATCTTAGCACCATGAGACCCCTCATGCGCCTTGCCAATCTTCATACGCCCATTCGAGTTATCGTTCACACTGCTGGTCAAGTTACTGTCCTCTCTGAACAAGTCCCAAACAAACTAGGGCACTCGAATTCAAATCGGTCCTCTTTCTCCTTACGACAATTGTTCAAGTCGTAGAGTAAGCCCTTGTGGACCAAAGAGTCACCACTATGATTAATCCGGAAAGATCGCTTGCCGTGCCTGATTTTCGACCGTTGCGTCCGTCGTCGATCAGCGTGCTGCGGTTCAATTCTATCGGTACCGAGCCTGCCATGGTGGTGAACGCGATTAGAAGCAGAGACAGGAATTGGAACTTCATACTGGATGCTTCTAAGCAGGGTCTGCTGGAGATGCCGTGTTGTCAAAGGTATGTGGGTGGGGTCGCGCGTTGTTGTCGGTGTTGATGATGAATAATGCTAAGCGTTATTGACTGGTTGACAGTCTGAAGTCGCCATCTGGGACCATATTTATACAAGCTACTCAGCTGATTGCCAGCTATGTGAAAAGGTGTGCCCCCTCAAGGATCGTCATTGTAAACGCGTCCTGTTCGTAATTTGCGTATACCGACTGGTAAAGATACTAAGGGCTGCCAATAAGCTGACGCCCGATACAACATTGCAGCAGGTGGCTGCACATCCGCGCTCTTTTGTTGCCCATGAGAGACCCACACCTCCTTATTTTCGTTCAGAAAGACATCCAAGGACACTTCAGAAAGGAATCTCTGATAGCCCTGGCAGGGATGGCCACGACAGATGATTGGCAAAGAGAGTCATGTCCACAGCCTGAAATGAAGAGTGTGCTTTTGCTAGATGATATATATATATATTTTTTTGGTGTTTTAATGAAATTACATGGATAAAGCGCAAACTGGTAAACAAAAAGAGTGAACAACGCATTCGTTGCTGCTCTCTCCCTTCTTTATCTTACAAATCCTTCTTCGACTCTGACTTTCCGGCCTTTGTCTCGGCCTTCTCGGCCTTCTTGATCGCAGCCTTCTCAGCAGCCTCGGACTGCTCGTTGCTAGCTCCAGTCAAGGCCGCAAATGGGTTATCGGCCTTCCAAGGACGCTTCAGGTCGCCCTCAGCGGGCTTGCCAAACAGATGAACCTGTGCCCACTTGCTCTGCAGCGCATTCTTGACGGGCAGGATCGACTGGACGACCAAGGGACGGATCACGCCAAACTGGAAGTGCAAGAAGACCATCAGGGCCAAGCCAATGAGGGCCTGCTTCTGCGCCTGGGCGTTCTGCTCAAGATCGTAGGCCATGTTTGTGGTCGTCACCAGCTTGGGCTCCTCGCCGGACATGGGCTTGGGCTGGTCGAGATACTTGAGAACAGCCGTGTCCTTCTTGGCCATAACCCTCTTCTTGATGATGAAGGAGATTCCGAGAACGATGACCTGGGCGGTAACGTAGGCTCCCAAGATGAGCTGCTTAGTCTTTGTGTCCTCGAGATCCAGACGGTTGGTGATCTGCATCGAACCCATCACCAGGGCCATGTTCATAATCTAATAGAGAATCGATGAGATAGCCTGTAAGAATTTGCGCTTCACTGAACAATGATCGTACATTCTTGTTGGCAACGGTCGGTCGTGTTTGGTATAAAGTGCTTTCCCCTGATGCACTGTTTGGAGGAAGGGGAAATGGGTCCTTTCAGGTTTCCTCAATGGCCTATAATAGCGACCAGATCCTCACAACAGCGAGTTTTCAACTTTGTCCGGTTGTATTCCCTGCTGATGATGCAAAAAAAAAAAAAAAAAAAAAAAAAAAAACGCAGTGTTGTTTCGGTCACTCTGCGATGTTCCTGAAGTCCCATGATGAAGTTACGGTCGTATTATGTTCTTATGAGGCTCAGATGAGTCCTGATCCTGCAAGATGAAAGATCTGTTGATCATCCTATGCAGTGTGCTTCCTGTGCTATTCCTGTGCCCAGTGTCAAGCCGCTCTTGTGGTACATCTGCGTTTTCTCACCTGTGCGTTCATGTTGGCTGTGTTGGCTTGACGTTGCGGGAGGGGAGGATGAAGAAAGAAGGATGGATGGGAGGGGGGGGGAAAGAAAGGAAAGGGAAGACGCTGGATGACCGTGGGATGACCGCAAAAAGAACAAATGGAACGAATAAGTCAGAGAGCTAAACAGGTCCTGCTTCCATCTCGACCAATCAGATTGCTTAGAATGGCGCGCTGTCCCTCGATTGATTTTGTGCCACGCTCTTGTGCGATCGGCTCTTGTACACCTCCAATGGTCAGTAGATAACTTTGATCCGCATAGAAAAACCCAGCCTGGACATTAGCCTTTTTTTTTTTCTTTAAAGAACTGGTATAAGCTGAAAGTCCTCTGGTGCTATGCTGTCCGATCTACGCCATCGATTGCTGCATTGGCAGGTATCGTCTGTACAGATCAGGGATTTGATTTAGAGGGTAAAGACATGGCCCTGCTCCTGCTTGTGCAACCTAGCTGATCTTTTATTCAGCATCAGTTGATCGAAAGCAGCTGTGCTGTCGCCTTTAATGCTCGGTAAAAGCTGCACACGTGGGGTGGAATGCCTGACATTCCTTAGCTTCATATTTATTCCGCTATCCTTCTCTATCCGCTATAAGTTGCCCGCTCCAATGTATTCTAACAAGTATGCAACATACATGAGTCGGGGAGGAAAAGGGGTTTCTATTTCATGACGAAGAACAGCTGGACAAATATCATTGACAAAAGTGGGAGACGCGGCCCATGGGACGGATAAAACAAATTCCCCGTATAGAAAACTACATGCGGGTCATTCTGTCTTTTTTTTTTTTTTTTTTATTCTAGTAGAACGCGTTACCAGAAACGTAGGAACACGACTACGTGAGGAGCAAATGTAGTCCCGCTGCTGTTGCACAAGCTGTGTACATAAACCTTATTGCACGTAAAGATGTGTAGCAGACGTGAAGAGTATGGTTCACTCCGCGGAGACTAGGGCCATCAATGCGCTTCAGCCAAACCACGTACTATGCGCTGTAGGCTGATTTTCCACACGACTCTTGGCGGCGTTGTCGTGGTTCAGCTTAGAATACCTATCTCCGACCACCCATGGCGAATGACATACTAGAAAATATAAATAAAAAAAAGGAGGAGGTAAAAAAGCAATTGCTCTAAACATGTATCGATCAAAACAATGACGACCCCTGTACCCTAATAAACGTATCTCATATCCCAATGTAGTGGTCTTTCATCTTTTGCTGCACGTCTTTTTTTTTTTTTTTTTTTTTTTTTTGATGTAACACAATTCGGCGTTCTGGGTTGAAGAAGTACTCAAGAATATTTGATCACCGCGAAATGAACAATTCGTCTTGTTTTTATTAGACCAATAAAGATGGGAACTTGGATCAAATCCCTAAATTGGTTTTGCTCACTTTGTATCTTTGAGGGAAATATAGTCTAGGAGTTGTAGAGTTGTTACGCGTCAGCATTCCAGAGCGGTGGAGGCATCGGATCAAAGATATGTAATACGGTACCTATGAGAACCTGCATACAAAGTGATGTTAAGTAATATGGCGCGCAGTAAATATTTTTGTTCCGACTGCGACTGCAGGCAGGACATTGGCGTCAAATGCCAAGGAAATACGCCTAGCAAGAAAACAACCAAAGGCGATGGGTGGCGCATACAGAAGATCGAGAAGGGTAAGCCAAGGGCGGACCTAAGAATTGCTGGGTGTGCAGGATTGTGCAATGCCGAGGAGTGGGTCTCATTCGCGAGGAATGACACTGCGCACTCCACCCCTCCGATCGTGCCGTAGCCGAGAGAATCCATCTAGTGGGACGAAAGAAAGGAAAGAAGGCATCAGATGTGGCATTGCTGTCAATGTGACACTGGGACATGGGACATTGCCCATCGGATAACGTGCGTAGGTCACAGGAAGGGCGCTAGCCAAGGCGATAAAAATACTAGGGGGGTGCACCGCATGAGAACGGAACGAGGCCAAGGACAGGAATAGGCTTTCCCCAGAGGAGTGATCGGCACGAACGGTTGTAGTCAAAGGACTAAAAAAGTGTACGCCCGCAGCATGAAATGCGGACAGGCAAGTCGTCTAAAAAAGGAAGGGAGGGAGGGAGGGGCATGAAAAAGATAAGGAGGAAAGACATTGTGCCGTTGCGGCCGCATCATCGCATGACAAGATTCTGCGCTAAAATGGAAGACAAGGACCGTTTCACCGAAAGGGCGCTTTCCGCTTTCCATTGGCCGCTGTAGTAGTCTATTATGAGCATGCAATTAGAGGGCAGGAGTGAGAGCAATCATAGTCAAACACGTCTTCCAGATGTTTTATTTTTGTTTTTTTCGACGCCCACTCAGCTCACAGACATTTCCCCCTTCCTTCACAAACAGACAGCACCGCCCGCCTGCACACATGGCCGGCGCATGTGCGCCACTGCCGCATCTGTCCGCTGTCTCTGTTCAATACATTGGATAGATAGTTAGGTAGTCTAAAGCACAGCTCCGCCTTCTTTACTTTTATCAGTGTTCAATACGTCGATGGATGGATGCGTGCGTGAGTGAGTGAACGGGTCGGGGGAACGGAATATTCAGTTCCGTCTGGGTGCTCGGATGAGAATAAGTTCCTTTGCCGCAACATATTCGGGGCAGATTGAGTGAGTAACAGTAGCATGATTATTTGATTATTGAGAGAGAGCAAAATCGACGAAAGTCTTGGCATTTTAAGGTTCTGTTTGCCAAGAAATCGATGTTACACAGGGGAGGGAGCAAATCAGACGAGCGGGACACAGGGGAGTACAGGGAACGAAGGATTTCTTGGCAGCGCCAAGAAATAAAACATTTATCGCTTTATCGTTGTACTTGCTCAGTGCATATGTCTCGGACAGGCAGAGGAAAACCATAATAACCTGCTGTGAAATGAGCGAATGGCACCTCATCCAGGGTGCAAATGCAAAGGGGATTATCACGCTCATGCTACATATCGTACATGCAGTCGATTCAACGGATGCCCTTCCGCCACTTGCCCAACTCAGATGCGCTCTACGTGTACAGTAGCCGATTACGAATGGCGCCATGTACGACCCACATCCACAAGCAGATGGCGAAGGAAGGGAGGCGTACAAAGTGGGTGGCCAAGTCCTCCGATCCACCAGTCGATCCAATTGTTTGCTGCCAAGAGAATCCTCTGCTCCGCCGAGTGCCAAGGCATCTGGGTTTTCTTTTTTCGGTTCATTTGATTTCATTTCAGGTCATTAATGTCCTACGCCAGCTTTGCTCGTTTCGCCTTTGATCTCCTTTCCTCGGAGACACCGGCATGTGGCATAAAATAAAATCAAAGAGCAGTAGACGAGAGCAATTGAGATAGCAGATATCTACCAAAGATAATTGAATTGGCCCTTTTGTACGCACTGTAGACTGTTGTCGATCAAGAAGAGGGCGATCAGCGTACCAGCGTGCGTGCGCACGAATACTGTCTGCAGTGCAGGTGCATGAGACAACCCTGTCGGTATTCCGTCTACCCTTTCTTTTTGCTCAGAGTCGAAACTGGACGAGTATCCGAACGCTGGGATTTCCATCGTGGAGAAGAAAGAATGAAAGGGTCGACAGAGGCAGGCGAAGGGTGTGTGTGGGTGTGGGTGTCGCACTAGACTAGCAAAGTGTCTAAGTGTGTAGGTGTCTCTTTCATTTTGCTGTGTGGGTGGGTCACTCACTCACTATAGAAAAACACACATAAAACATATACAACGCTACAACACACGCGCGAAGACAAGAAAGGAGGGAACGGCAGGAAGGACGTAAAAATAGACGGGTATTCAATTTTCGACTCGATTCAATTGGATTCAATTCGCAGTTTGTATTCGAAACGGGCGACAACAAACGACGCACAAAGCGAGCGAGGGGACGAACGTGCGTTATTTTGCAGGTCTAGTTTCCAGTAAGAGGAACAACTTTGTCTGCCGCATTCAATTGGGACAGAGTACTCGGCATGACATATCACTCACCGGATATGCATCCGTAGCAACATAGTCTCTATCTCTATTCACTCCCTTAGATTACAGCCGATACACACCTTCTCGCCCGTGGGTTTCCCTTTCCCTGGACGCCCCCTCCCTCTCCTCCTCTTCATCCGTCCTATAAAAGGAACCACCACTGCCTTCCTCCTTCCGTCTTTTTTTGTTCTATTCTCTCTTAATCATCATTCTTCACGCAAACCAAAGACGCAGCTTGCAAACAGACACGCAACTCGCAAACGCAGAAACAACCGCAAACAACCTTCTCTCCGAACGGCATCCCCACACACCTCCACGCTTCACCACTTGAACTCGACACCGCTCGACACCTCTTCAATGCAAGTCTCAACCTTCTCAAACAGCACAGCAGCACAGTATCCCTACAATCCCGACATGTTCTCTGCCACTTCTCCACAGCAGGCCCCAGCCCAGTATACCCTTCGCTCCCAGCCTGAGCAGAACCAACAGCAGCAGAATTCCGAAGACATGTTCTTCGCCCTCGAGCGCCTTCTGATGGGCATCTCCCCCTTCCCCCCTTCCATGCCCACGCTCGCCAAACCCACCTGCCCTTCCCTTGACGACCAGATCATGGCTGATATCCAGGCCGCGCCTTCCTCCATCCCCTCCATCATCCTCAACGAGCAATCTCTCGATCTCCTCCAGCAGCAGTACGCTCCCGTCTCCACTCACACCAACTCTGCCTTCCACTTCCCTCAGCACGATCAGTCCGACTGCTCCTCGACCTCCAGATCTGTTTCCCCTCCTTCGTCCCCTTACAGCATCTCCTCGTCCTCGGTCTCCTCCCCTGCCATCCCCCTACTCGATAGCAACAGCAGCCCCATGTCCTCGGATTTGTATTGGATGGCTCCTTCCACCGCAAACACTCCGATGGTTGCACAGCAGCAAGCACAACAACAGGAATGGGAGTACTCGCTCTTTGACCAGATGAGCCTGCCCTTGACCATGACCGACTTCCAGAACTATGTTGCCCCCTCCGCTACCGAGAACACACCCTCGTTCTTGAGCCAGCCTCAACAACAGCACACTTCTCAGTTGTCGGCAAAGTCCTCTCTCAAGCAGGCCATCTCTACCAAGCAATCAAAATCTCACCACCGCCGGTCCTCCTCGAGCTGCTCCGCGATCTCCGCCTACGAGTCCACGGCCCACCGGGAGCACCGCGCCTCCTCAATCTCCTCCGTCTGCTCCGCAGCCTCCTCTACAACCTCGTCCTCGAATTCGAACACCCGTCCCGTCAAATCCTACTCCTGCGAGACCTGCGCGAAGCCCTTCCCGACGCGTACGCAGCTCAAGTCCCATATGGCCATCCACACAGACTTGTTCCCCTTTCCCTGCGTGTATGCCGGTTGTGAGCTGCACTTCAAGCGCAAGCACGATCTCCGTCGCCATGTCGATGCCAAGCATGCGCTCGTGAAGAAGTACATCTGCACCGGTGGTTGCGGTGAAGGATTTGGTCGTCGCGATCAGATGGTCCGTCATCTCAGAAGGGGAAACTGCGGTCAGGGCCAGGGCTTCCAGACCGAGTGAAAGGAATGAGAAGGAGAAGAAGGGAGGAAGACTTGCTTTGTAACATCATCTGCCATATCTACGTAGCAAAGTGCTTGCTATTAACCTGTACATTAAAAAGAGACATAACTTCAACCATACACACGAACTTATAATAACCATTTGGCTCAACTGAGCGCGCGACATCTTTGATGCAAAATGACATTTAAAACGCGAACCTGGCAAAAGCTGAATAAATATATATAAATCTGTTATTTTCAAAGCGCCCACGCTTTGATGTCGATAAACTATCCGTTATTTAAGAGAAGCATGCATATATGAACATGGTGGATGCTCCATAGACTCCACCTAGTGCGATTTTGTATACCGCGTCTTGCCGTGGTTTCCGATAGGCACCTCGATTCAGTATCTAAGCCCATTGTGCATTGCCCAAATCTACCTTCAATCATGCTGGTTCACTAACACGACATTTCCTTTTAATACCATGAAGCCCTGCGTGTGCAGATACTGGATTTCACCTTTGAATAGATCGTTTACGAACTTGAGTAGCTCTAAAAAAAAATGTTTTTGTTTCAAAGTGCTTAAAATGTCAGCAAATAGTATTTGTTACATTTTTTTTGTTGTTGATGTTGTTGTTGTTATTACAAAGCTCGTTCAACTTGCCATACCACACCCTCGGTTTAGACGATCGACCTTCTAGAAGATCCACTAACGATCCCTTCACTCCGCATCCGGGCTTGATGGCTTCTTGCTGGAGAACACAATGCTTGCATACGACTCTTTGACGAAACGAGGACTCTCGGCAGATCTGACAGAGTAGAAGGACGAACGTTGTGAGGGAAGAGAATGAAACAGAGCAGGCGCAGTAACCGACGACGACAACAACCACATGGACGAAGGCGAGTATGTAAAATCGCGTGGGTTTGATCCTGAGTTTCGGAGTCATCATCATACGAAAGAAGAGCGTGCGGGCGGCGATAAGCAGGCCTTTTGGAGGGGGCAGGATCTGAAAGTGGAAAATATGCTGGAGGGGAGGAAAGGAGGAGAGGGGGGAGTTGGGAAATGTGATGAACGTGAGGCCCATAGCATCCGTGCACGCGAGACGTTTCTGTCAGAACTCAATCATGGTGGAGAATGTCAAGTTGTAATACTGAAGGCGCTCCAGGGACAGCCCCCCGAGTCGTTACCGAAAACCTCGTTTAGTGGTAGTCGATATCGTCAACGTTTAATCATTTCTGTCGGGACCTGCGTATCTGGATGGACTCTCTTTCTTGTACCATCTTATTGTCGCCCCACTCCCCCTTTAAAAAGAATAGAAAAAAGGGAATAGGCGACTGCAGCGGCACTGGCACTGCAACAAGCGCAAGGGCAGTAAGCGGAGCAAAGTTCAGGATCAAGAACAGCAACATCAGCACTCTGCGTTAAAGCATCATTCATAATAAGCCCATTGATGTTATGCTTAAAGCACAGCAACAGTGACCTTGTAGGGTTAAAGGATAGACGCATGTCCAGACAGCGCTCTGGTTGCGGATTCATGTTACATGTGCCCACTGCGAGGACACGCCTTTGGGTGATGAACATCACTCGACGCGTCCATCTTTACATTTTGACGCGTTGTCTTCCATTCAAAATTGTCCCACTGGCGACTGTTTTCTTTTTCCCATACTCTTCTCCACCCTTCCAAACCACACATCCACCGATGCACCCGTACCAAAGTGCACTCCGTTACTCGATGCTATGGCCAAGCAGCATCTTCAAGGTATGCTACAGCACTCATGGGGCTGCTCATTGTGCTTTTGCTCATTGTGTTTGTGCCTGTGGTTGCAGGATGTTCTCTTGTAGCCTATTGGGGCTGTGCGTGTCTGTACCAGTGTCTGAGCCCACTTTTTATATTTCTCGCATCTTTAGCCTGCTTCGCCCGTCATGTCCACTGCAGCAATCCTCAACAGCAGCGCAGTAGGACCACAGCGACGACCACAACGATGACCGGCCGAGTCCACAAAGGTATATTCTTAGTGTTCTTTCCTTGCAAAGCGGTACTGTTCGTCTTTCTTTTCTTTTTTGTTTGTGCCTGATGCTTGGTGCCTTGTACCTGGTGGTTCTGCTTCTGCGCCTAGTGCCATAGATTGTGTCTGTGTCTGTGACTCGATCCTCATGGCGTAGTCTCTTTCTGTACTTGTTTTTGTGTGTCAACGCCTCTTTTCTAGCAAAGAAAGGTCCGCACCTCTAGCCGACCATATCAGCTGGTCCGTCACAGCAACCTCGGGTACAACGTGGCCCAATCCAGCAGGACTCGCCATGGTCAAGAAGAGCGAGCCAGATGGCCACAAAGGTATGTTTGACATGCACCATTCGCTGTTGTTGTACTGGGAGTCAACTTTGGTGCCTGTGTTCCTTTTCTCACACACTCACACACTGACTGTTCTCTTGTCTTCTGCTGTCTGAACTGCTTCTCCTCTAGCCACTGGCCTCTGTCTCTGCCAGTCTCGGCTGAGAAGAGGCCCAGGCTCGCCCCACCCAACCTATTGGGCAAGCCAGACTCGCCAGGCCATGGCAATCCCATCGAGCCCATCAAACCCGTCAAGTGAACCAAGCAAATCAAGCAAATTGGAACATTCAAAGCTAAGTACTCTCCATCCCCTCCCCTCTTCCACCGCCCCACTCAACCCTCCCACCACCTTCCCCGTTGTCAATGATTGCCCTTACCCCATCCAAAAATACCCCCTCCCTTGGAGTGTCTCTGCGCATTTGGTCTCACTCGCATGAGCCCTCTCGCGATCCAGTGATCTCGAGGCTGAGGGGCTGTTGATCCCAGCTGGGATTGGGTGCCTGTTGTGCTGGTCGCCCAGTGCTGCACCCTAGCCGGCTCTCTCCTGTCCACCCTCCTTGTTCCTGGGGTCAAACCAAGACACTTACTTTTTGCTGTGTCCAGGGATTCTATAGATCGTTGACGTGTCCGTGCTCTCTCTTGCTCGCCTGGTTGGATGCACGGCCTGATGCTGAGACAGCGTCCCAGCCGTTTTCCCCGATCCTGAACTTGATCCAGGTTCATCGTCCTGGGGGGACTCGACCACGGTCGTGCGAAAGGACACTCGCCGACACATAGGCCAGCTGACTGTGAGGCTCGGAGCGAAGACATCATGGTCAAGGGATGTCCAGCGGTCCTGATCCTAGTAAGGGGCTCTGGAACAGACCTTCAACAGAGATGGCTTTGTCTTTGAGGCAGCACACCGGCGGATCCATGGTCGGCAAACGGCTACTGACACATGGAAGACGAAGGTACGTTTGTGCATGTTCTCTTGGATAAAGAGATGTATGTGTGCTGAGTGTAGCATGCAGAAAACAGCGATATACTGACACACTATTTAACTGATCCATTCGTGGTAGCGGCGATGTCTCAGCAAGATCAGGCCTAGTAATGCTCCCCAGCTGGGCAGCGAGAGGGAGAGAGCGCGTCGATCGATCAAGGATCCTAGTCCTAGTGCCTTCCTCGGCTGTGGTCTTGGCGTTACCGGTTGCGTGGTCCCTGCCATTCAGCGCCTCACCACCCGCCCGTGAAGGCATTATTGACTATAAAACGTATGAGTGAAAGGAGAATTGGAGAAAAAAGCTGGTCGTCTGTCGCCATCAAGGCCGAGGAAAGGACAAAAGGGTGAAGGAACAGCCCAGCTCAGCTCGAGATATAACGTGTAGGATTTTTTTTTTTGAGCTGCTATTTTGATCAAACGTAGGCGAAGTACCGCGACTCGTAGACTATCAGTTACAGCACCTCCTTTTTGTTACATGCAGCGAGCTTGATCTCTGAATGTCGTATGTACACTCCTTGTTTGAGCTATAGAGAATAAGCTGGGTTGCAAAGGATCGTCTGATTCCTGTTCTAAGCTAGATTAGGTACCCTATCGAGTCTTCGATTTATTAAGCTCGGCCGATTGAACTTCTCAATTCGATGGCCCACTTATATGGATGCAGTACGGTTTCTCAATCTAGGGCTCATTTTGGCCATTGGAGCATATAACTCATTTCATCGAGATCAGCTGTAACCGCGACGGCTGGAGGCCAGGGGGAGTAAGTGATATAAGACGACACAATCCAGCTCGGGAACAGAGCCTGGCCGTACTTGAGAGCTACCTCTTGAAGTGTATCGATGTTGTCCACGCTTTGAAACTCTAGCCTCACTACCCGAAGGTTTGGCGCAAACGAAAGGCCCTGGCTCATATCAAGCGTTAATGCTTCGCCCCGGAGCTTTAGACCAACTAGGGATTTGAACGAACACAGCCGTCCCCAAATTGACTGCATTTCCCCAAATGTGTACAACCTGAGCGGATGTCGGGGCCTTCCATACTGCAGAGGTTGATACTCGAGCGGTTGGATATCCATACACAGGTTCTCGAGCACGTTGGCGCATGGCCACGGTTTACTTCCCTTGAAGAGCTCGATTGTCCCCGCCATCGTGCCCAACAAGTTCAATTTGCGCAAGATCGTGCAGTTCTCCAGAAGTATAGAAGCATTGGTGCTGTTGAATAACATACACCCTTCAATATCAAAGGTAACCAGTCTGTGTGATATTCCTGGCGATACATGGACTGATCGAGGCATACGTGTCAGTTGTGTGAGAGCCTGGTCTTTACGCGCCACCGCCACCGCCACCATCACATCCGTCGCTGAAGTGTCGTCCCTGATGCTGCTTCCGACGCAATGGTCGAGACCGATGGTGGTAGCATGGGACTCTGGTATGGTTCCCTGCAGGATGGCTCGATCTTCGACGATATCTCTCCAGGCCTGAGCGATGACATTGCTCCTGCCTCTGAATTTAAGGCACTCGAGGCTGGGAAGGTGCTGGAAAAGACGACGAAAGTGAGGATGCATAGTGTTCGAATCCTCAGAGTCCCATGTCGCAGTGCTCAAGGTCAATGACCGAAGAGATGTGTTCATCCAACCTTCGTCATCCACCCTGATCAACCCAGTGCGCTCCTCCTCCTCTTTTTCTGGCTCCTGCTCGTTGCGGGCGTCCTTGAGCTCCTCTATTATGATGACCAACGACTTGAGCTTACGGCAATCTCTGAGCACCAAAAGAATATCGTCAATGCAGAGGTTGGCAGTGGTGTTCCAGGAAAAGTCCTCCAGGCTCTTGAGAGTCGTTACAGGAGTCATCTGACAGTCCAACGGCTGCGGTAAGGATCGTTTCAGGGTGATATTCAAGGTTCGAATCTGTGGCACCATCTCCGTGATCTGCTCGAGCTGTGAAGTGCACAAGTCCATTGATCGGAGTGTGAGCGATTGCAGGTTGTTTGTAAAGTAGAGAAAGTGCTGGGTGCTGGCCCATGTTGTAAACGAGAGACAGAGGGTCTTGACATGCTCGCCATATTTGCTGATCTTTAGATAGACGTTGGTTTGATATAGGGAAAAGTATAGACTTTGGTAGAGATAAGGAGTCCAAATGCTATTCCAGGTACGGTTGACACGGATGAGGGCCGTGAGATCGCGTGTTGCCAGGTGGTCGGTGATTAAGTGAACAAGCTCCGGGATCGAGAAGACAATGTCTTGGAACATCTTTGGAGCAGTGTCAACGCTGTTGTCGTTCTTGGTCCTCCTAGGACGTAGAATCATCCGATTAACAGCTTGAACACGGTCTGGGACGGTCGGTGCCAAGATGGGCATGTTTTTCAGGGAATCGAAAGAGCTGAGATAAAAGACATTTGTGGCGGTAATTATATATCTCATGCGGTGAGCCCAGCAGAGGTCAATCAACTCATCCCTCTCCGTTGCCACCACCATCTTTTTACCCCTTTTCTTCTCACCATTTTTCTTGTCCACCTCTCTCTTCCCCTCCCCGTCAGCCATGCCCAAGGCCAACAAAATCGCATCAAATCCTGCCCCAGGGACCCTTCACCGAAGTCTGCGGCTCAGAACATCCGATAACTACATTGTCGACATCGATGTACCAAGGATCTCCCAGGATACCTTCTTTTCTATCCCTGAACTTCAACACCCCCTCGCCGACTATCTCACACGGAATGATCTTAGGGCCGCCATCTGCGTCAGCCATGCCTGGAATACCATTTGGGTTCCCTACCTCTATGAAAAGCTATTCTTCCGCGAGTACCAGCAGACTCGCAGCTATCCCAAGATGCACTCATACGGCCATCATGTCAAGAGTCTCGAGCTCCTCTCCATAGAATGGAACAATCTCGCCTTTCTTCTTAACTTTACCACCAGCCTACATTCGCTCTTCCTCCACTGCACAAAACTGAGCACTTTGCAACTTCAGGAGCTCGCAGAGATAGCACCACAGCTTCGAGTTCTGCATATCACCTTGAGGCAATACCCGCCAAAGCCATTGGAGTGCCAGATGACTCCTGTGTCTGCATTCAAGCACCTGGAGGACTTTTACTGGAATGTCCTGACAGATGTCCGCATCGACGATATTCTTTTCGTGCTTAAATCATGTTCTCAACTCCAGTCACTGGCCTTGACGATCAGCACACTAGTCGAAGAACTTAACGAGGCCAAAGTCGAGGAGATTGACGGCATCAAAAGCAGCAGTTTGATCGCCGATGTCGTGCCAAAGTTGGTCAAAGTGGACGATGACGGCTGGGCAAGCACCTCGCTCCGAACGTTGAGCTGGGGCAGTGCTATGTTGGGACCACGACAATCCTACGACTCGAAACAGCCACATCCCTGCATCCACCGCCTCTTTCAGCACACACCAAATCTCAAGAAGGTCAAGGTCAGTGGCAAGAACAACATTGGCGCTCAGGATTGGGACTGCATGTTCGAGAATCAAGTCAGCATCCAAGAGATCGAGCTTGATTTGCGCGTCTCAGTAACCGAAGGCGGTTCTCCAGTCGGCAATTCGGGGTTCTTGAACGCAGTGTCAAAATCATGCCCGAACCTCAAGAGGTTTATTGCCAAGCATATGCCATTTACAACAGACAAGGCGTTTGCGGAGGTGATGCGGGTCAAACACGGGCTTCAAAAGGTCAACGTCAAATACACGGAATTCGGGGACTTGGCACTCCATCAATTGGCACACCTCCCTCCAACACTCACTTCAGCAGGGACCTCGCATAGCCTTGTTGAACTCGATGTGGAGGGATGTCTTCAGATCACCAACCATAGTGCCATTGAGATATTGGAGAACTGTCCTCTCCTGCGCAGTTTGAACCTATTGGGCACTCGAGCCGGTACAATCGAGCTTTTCAAGGGGTGCAAGCCCTGGCCTTGTGCCAAGGCGCTGGAGAGGCTGCATATGGATATCCAACCACCCGACTATCAACGCTGGCGGCGCAGTGTTGGATCTAAACAAGCAGATATGCCCCCTCTTAAACCATACGCACCTGAGGACCAGGACTTGATCAGGGAGCGGCTGTGCTCGTTCACTTCCCTCCTCGGTCTCGAACTCAAGGGTGAAGCGATGACATTTGACATCCTGGAGGACTATTCGTTTGCGCCGAAACTTCGAAAGGTTATTCTGTGTGCTCCGTATAAGTCAAATGACTATAGAATGAAGCAAGAGATGAGAATAATGACCTTGGAGCGCGGCAGGGCATTGTTCCCGAACTGGATTCTGTCGAGTAAGGACAACTATATTTACTCGCGACCCACCAGTGTGTTCACTGCCATTGTCAGTAGGGACACTTTTGTATTCTAAGTACGATCTATATAATTAAAAGACAAACTCGTCTATTTGTATGGTACAGCGCGCACTAAAACCATGGACGATACGATGTTGGCACAATCCAAGAGTCCGAATCAAGGATCGCTTTCGTTCCCGGTGGTCAATGTGCACATCGCACAGGCCTTGAATGTCCATCCTTTTTGCGGTCGCTTAAACTTGTATAATGCCTCTGCCCACTGTTACTCCTCTCTTTTTATTCCGTTTTCGGTTTCCAAAGATGTCCGCGGAAACAGAAAGCAACACTATTGGCAGCACGCCGCTCAGAACACCTGTTGAGATGGTCTTTTCGATCTCCTAGCTCGTGCACATCATCGCCCGTAACCTATCGCAACACGATCTTACAACCGCTACCCATATCAGTCATACCTGGAATGCCGTCTGGAACCCTATCTCTACGAAAGGATCCTCGTTAGCCATTACAATGGAGATAACTATCCAGGGCTTCACATATACAGCCGACATGTCAGAGCCTTCATACTGGATACAAAGCATGGATCATTTCCATCTCTCTGGGTGTATCTCCAACTCTGCAATCGCTCTCCCTCCGCCGCGTGAGCCTCTGCACCTGGTGTCTTAAGAGGATCGCCCGCTTAAGTTTCGCCCGCATAGGTATCGCTCGCGTAGGTACCGCAACTTTGGGTCCCATTAAATGGCAGGAGAAAATGGCAAAGAAGTATGGCAAGGCTTTGTCTCCAAATTGGATCCAAGGGGTCGGTGTGCTGTAGACCTCTAGACCTCGGGAGCCTGTGCAGGATTAGGATCAATAAGGGGCGGGATAGTAAAATGAGGACGCGTTGCTGTACTTTTTTTTTTTTTTTTGGCAGGCAATCTTATTTGAAAGACAAAGGTCGTCCAGCATCGGAACAACCACAATGTGCATAGCAATAAAAACAGGAAATGCTGTTGACTCATACTTAACCTGCTACTGCCTTGACTCAAAGCTCGATCACTGAAAGCTACATACATTCATATGTGTTACCGACATTAGCCATCTCTCCAAAATCCACTCCATCACCAACAGTTTTGTGTCCCCGCACCAATAATCACATATCAATAGAGCTTGGCTTTTGAGCGCCATGCCGAAATCAAGTCTAGAATAAACTGGATGTCAGAAACATGGTCAAACCCACATAGCATTTGAAAAGAGCTTAGTCAAATGAACTCTCCAACACCCTCTCGTCGTCGTCAAATATATATTTTGACGAACGGACTGGATCGGTGCTACACAGGCTCTCGCATAGCCGGGCCTCATTGTTGGTCGGAGAGGATATCTCTCTTCTTTCTCCACCCACTTGCGTAAACTACATTATCGACGCTTGAGGGTTTCCCTTCTGCTTGGTCCATCGCCGATGCTCGAGACTCTATATTCAAACAAGAAACCGTCTCCTTCTGTAGTGAACATTACCGTACTTTTCAGATCGATTTTTTATTATTCTCCCCACAACCCAAGGTGATATTTTTCGGAACCATTGACCTATATAATGGGAAATATGCATATCCTGGCCGCACTCAAAAAGTGTGCAGCGACATCACCGTTTGAAAAACACCGGCGCATTGCATTAAAGCATCAATCATAATAAGCCCATTGATGTTATGCTTAAAGCACAGCAACAGTGATCTTGTAGGGTTAAAGGATAGACGCATGTCCAGACAGTGCTCTGGTTGTGGATTCATGTTACTTGTACGCACTGCGAGGACACGCCCCTTGGGTGATGAAGAACGTCACTCCACGCGTCCACCTTCATTTTGATTTTCGTTTGTTTACATTTTGACGCGTTGTCTTCCATTCAAAATTCTCCCGCGGTTGTCCTCTTTTCTCACACTCTCCTCCACTCTTCCAAACCACACATCCACCGATGCACTCGTGGCATAGTGCCCTCCGTTGCTCGATGCTGTGGCCAGGCAGCATCGTCCAGGTATGTTACGACGCTCATGAGGTTGCTCATTGTGCTTTTGCTCATTGTGTTTGTGCCTGTGGTGGCAGGATGTTCTCTTCTAGCCTATTGGGGCTGTGCGTGTCTGTACCAGTGTCTGAGCCCACTTTTTATATTTCTCGCATCTTTAGCCTGCTTCGCCCGTCATGTTCACTGCAGCAATCCTCAACAGCAGCGCAGTAGGACCGCAGCGACGACCACAACGATGACCGGCCGAGTCCACAAAGGTATGTTCTTGGTATTCTTTCCTTGCAAAGTGGTACTGTTCGTCTTTCTTTCTTTTTTTGTCTGTGCCTGATACTTGGTACCATAGATTGTTTATGTGTCTATGACTCGATCCTCATGGCGTAGTCTCTTTCTGTACTTGTTTTTGTGTGTCAACGCCTCTTTTCTAGCAAAGAAAGGTCCGCACCTCTAGCCGACCATATCAGCTGGTCCGTCACAGCAACCTCGGGTACAACGTGGCCCAATCCAGCAGGACTCGCCATGGTCAAGAAAAGCGAGCCAGATGGCCACAAAGGTATGTTTGACATGCACCATTCGCTGTTGTTGTACTGGGAGTCAACTTTGGTGCCTGTGTTCCTTTTCTCACACACTCACACACTGACTGTTCTCTTGTCTTCTGCTGTCTGAACTGCTTCTCCTCTAGCCACTGGCCTCTGTCTCTGCCAGTCTCGGCTGAGAAGAGGCCCAGGCTCGCCCCACCCAACCTATTGGGCAAGCCAGACTCGCCAGGCCATGGCAATCCCATCAAGCCCATCAAACCCGTCAAGTGAACCAAGCAAATCAAGCAAATTGGAACATTCAAAGCTAAGTACTCTCCATCCTCTCCCCTCTCCCACCGCCCCACTCAACCCTCCCACCACCTTCCCCGTTGTCAATGATTGCCCTTACCCCATCCAAAAATACCCCCTCCCTTGGAGTGTCTCTGCGCATTTGGTCTCACTCGCATGAGCCCTCTCGCGATCCAGTGATCTCGAGGCTGAGGGGCTGTTGATCCCAGCTGGGATTGGGTGCCTGTTGTGCTGGTCGCCCAGTGCTGCACCCTAGCCGGCTCTCTCCTGTCCACCCTTCTTGTTCCTGAGGTCAAACCAAGGCACTTACTTTTTGCTGTGTCCAGGGATTCTATAGATCGTCGCCGTGCCCACGCTCTCTCTTGCTCGCCCGGCTGGATGCACGGCCTGATGCTGAGACAGCGTCCCAGCCGTTTTCCCCGATCCTGAACTTGATCCAGGTTCATCGTCCTGGGGGGACTCGACCACGGTCGTGCGAAAGGACACTCGCCGACACATAGGCCAGCTGACTGTGAGGCTCGGAGCGAAGACATCATGGTCAAGGAATGTCCAGCAGTCCTGATCCTAGTAAAGGACTCTGGAACAGACCTTCGACAGAGATGGGTTCGTCTTTGAGGCAGCACACCTGCGGACCCATGGTCGACAAACTGCTATGACAAATGGAAGACGAAGGTACGTTTGCGCATGTCCTCTTGGATAAAGAGATGTATGTGCGCTGAGTGCGGCACGCAGAAAACAGCGATATACTGACACACTATTTAACTGATCCATTCGTGGTAGCGGCGATGTCCCTGCAAGATCAGGCCTAGTAATGCTCCCCAGCTGGGCAGCGAGAGGGAGAGAGCGCGTCGATCGGTCAAGGATCCTAGTCCTAGGGTGGACACATGCAAAGAGGTAAGTGCGCCATGGGTTCAAGGTAGAGGTGGAGCGGGTAGAGAGGAGGCAGGGGCAGTGCTGTCAGTGACCGCACAGCAGACCACCCTCTCTCAGCTGAGGTGAGACGGCCCCGAACCCTCGGGGTTTGGTGGTCGCGAGGCTGGGTCCTCTGCGGGGGATGACCAGTGTGTATGGGCACAAGAGGGAGAGGGCGAATGGGGTAAAGTCATAGATGATGGGGAAGAATGGTGAGGAGGGATAGCAAAACGAGTGCGGGCGGAGTGCAATGGATGGGGGGCTAAGGAAGGGTCGATGGGAGAGTACAGGAGGAGCAAAGGAGGGGAAGGGCGATGACAGCTGTATAAAAACACCAAGAAAGCAAAAAAAAAAAAAAAAAAAAAAAAAAAGAACAAGAACAAGAACAAGGAAACAAAAGAAAAAGGAAAAGAAAAACAAACAAAAAAAAAAGAACAGAAAGAAAGAAGAAAAAGAAGAAAAAGAAGAGGAGAAGGAGGAGGAGGAGGAGGAGGAGGAGGAAGACAGAAGGAAGGAAGGAAGTGGAGCTCCAGAAAGGAGCAAAGGAGAAGGACACAGTGGCGCCAGCACTACCACACTCAAGTCGAACCGTAACCGTAACCGCCAGCAAGGTAAGCACTATTCCTCTGCATATGGACCCATTCATGACACTGCAAATCTTGATCTATCTGCTAACAAAGTCGTTTTCTTTTATGATGGACAGACAAGGCGCGAGCTGTGCCATTGCCGCGTTTATTTGTCTCCAATGGCGTGCGATACATACTAGCTATCTCGCTACCTGCCACATTCATAAACAATACAACCAGCAGCGAACAACACAGGGATGTGTACAGAACATATGTTACATTACTAGACTACAACACGCGTTCTACAAAATAATAAAGAAAAAGTAATGTGTCAAGGTAGGGAGGGGAAGGAATACAATAGTTGCCATATATCACAAAAAGACCAAAAACAAAGACGCTAAAAAAAAAAGTCGATAAAGTAACGCCCCTCTTAAAAAAGTGTTCAGACAAACGATCAAAAAACGGATCGCTTAACGGTAGTACTCCAAAGAACTTTGACCTTTTCACATGTAAGGATAAGGGTTGTTGTACTCGTTCATGCCGATCATGCCGGCATTTCCAAAATGGCCGTTCATCCCCTGGAACCCATAACCTATCATGTTATTGTTCATCGTCCCGTTGCCGTTCATACCGTTCATGTTGTTGACGTTGTTCATGTTCACGCCCATACTTCCGTTCATCGTCCCCGCCATACCGGGCATCGGCATTCCTCCGCTCATAGCGTTTATCCCGCCATTCATAGCCATGTTGTTCATCGTCATGTTGTGTCCGTGCTGTCCATGTCCGTGTCCGTGTCCATGTCCGTGGTTGGGCATACCATTCATCCCGTTCATGCCTGCCATAGCCATCGCTCCGTTCATGCCGTTCATCCCATTCATGACCGCCATATTGCTGTTCATGTTGCCCATACCGCCGTTCATGGCTATGGCTCCACTGATAGCGAGATGGTTCATCGGACTGTTGAGTCCCGACATTTGATCGCGGTGCAGCTTGCTCTGGATGCGCTTGCCGTAGGGCGTATTGCGGATCGCGGGCAATAAAGGACGGATGCATTCTACAAGCTGAGCACGCTGGATCGGGTCCGCGAAATCGAGCGACGTCTGAACAACATAATTGGCGTACGAGTCGCGCAGCAACTTGTCCAGGCGAGACTTGTTGATCATCTCCTCAATCAAGAACTTGCGCGTCTCCGGTTCAGCAACACGAATGCACTAGTGCCGAGAAAATATAGTGTTAACATGACGGTTCCCAGTATTCTCAGCCAATGAACGGTCCTTCAGACCATCTAAAAATCTTTTAAGGCCTTACCTTCTCCATGACATTGGAGCTGAACTTTTGCACTGAAAGAACGCAGACATTGCCGATGAATCGACGGATCAACGCATCCGTAAAGCGATTATCGGCCAGATCCAAGACGTACTGGACAACATAGTTCCCATAAGGATCCTGTACAAGTGTCAGAGCATTGTAGGTAATCTCACGAACCAGCTGAATCTTTTGCGACACTGACGCATGATCAATACATCTCTGAAGGACGCAACATCCGTGGCGATGTGTCGCAACCTCGACACAATGGGCGCTGATGGCATTGTAAATGAACTGGTTATCCTCGGACGCGAATCGGTTCAGGCACTTTTGGATAACATGATTGCCGTTGAGGTCCTTGATCAGGGTCACAACGCTCGTGTTGAGCGCGACCACCACAATCGCTATCTGCTGGGGTGTGGACAAGAACTCGATCATCTTTTGAACGGCGCGGGTGCCATGCATGTTCAGTGAGATGTTGACCAACTCCGGGGCAACGTTCTCCACAATGATGGTGCGCTGTTCATCACCACAATACTCCAGAAGCTTCTGACAGAGATAGTTGCCAAAAGGATCTAGATGGTTTTTTGTTAAAAATATAATTTTTCACAATAAAAAACAGATCAGACACCCATTCGCCTTCTCAACGTCGACATAGATATTACTTGATGTGCAGCAGGCAACAACTAGTTCTTACCAGTCATCAGCTCAACGAAGTGACCAAACACCTCTCCAAAGATAATGGCCAGGTACTTGTCATTTTGTTCCTCTAATTTCTTCTGGAGGTAACGGCAGCCGTGCTGGTCCTTGCACAACGAATAAATCTGTCCTACAAATCCCTCGAGAGCTGCTCCAGCAAATCGATTAGCCTCAACATCGGCGATAGGACGCTTTTGGTTAGCCTTGTTTGCTAACGCTATGCTGTTGGAGCTCTGCGGTTGCTGTTGCTGCTGTTGCTGCTGTTGCTGTTGTTGCTGTTGTTGCTGTTGTTGCTGCTGCATTCTCAGCAAGTTGTTCGAGCCTGCAGGTGGAGTGCTGTAACCACTTGGTGTCACCGTGAAGGGAAAGCTGGTACCCCCTACAAGTGAATGCCCCGTTCCCGCAACACTTGACCCGTTGACGCGCACATAGAACGAAGCCGAACTGGCCATAGTCCCGACAGTCATACCGAGGCCGGGACTAAGCGGCATTCCTGCAGAAGAACGGGTGGTGGTGGGCAGGACATGTGTGTGTGTATAGGGACAGAGGTCACCACGTGAACAGTATCCTTGCTGGAACTGCAAACAAATGTCTCCAGTGCCTAGGTCGGTCTTCAACAGGAGGCTTTGGTGATGCTCACTGTCGTTGAGGTTATCAAAGGCCGACAAGGCCGAGCCCTTGCTGAACCTAGTGGGGATCTCTGATGTCGAATACGAAGACGTCAGTTTCGGTAGCGCCGACTTGAGGGATTCCTCAGGGTTGTTGGTGGTCAAACCATAGCCAACGAGGCTGTTGGTGCGCTGGGGCATATGGGGCACCGTGGGAATGCGTTCAGTCAAGGGTTTAGTGTACTGCGGCCATTCGGATGTCAATCCCGACTCGAGTCCACCAGGATGGCGCAGACCATTTGAGTGCGGAATCTTGGCCAGGTCTAGAGCACTCGAGGAGGTAGATAACTAAGGGCATAGATAGTGAACAAAAATGCAGAGGAGCACACACTGGCCTGTTATGAAGTTGGACGGCGCTTACCATGGTCGGGAAACTGTCATCGTCATTGCTCATTTGAAGATAGCGATGGAGGTAGGAAGTGCTACCGCCGAGTCCAGAGGAACCAACACCGAGCCCTTGCTTGTCCTTCCAAATACCATCATCATGCAGGACCCTGTTCATTTGCAGCGAAGGGAGACGGCTAGTCGAGCTGTCGTTGTCGTCGTCAAAGATTATGCGCTCCGTGAACTTTGAGAGATGAGCATTGTCATCATATGTGGACTCAGAGGGGGACGAGCCTCCATCCCTCCCTGATCCGGACCTGCTGCCGATTGTTGGCAAACTGCTGAACGTGCGCAATTCATACAACAAAAAAAAAAAAAAAATCAGTCGTCCGTCTCTTTGACATTGCACCATGCACTGCATAGCTTGCATAGCCCAAAAAAAAAAAAAAAAAAAAAAAAAAGACTGCATGCGTGTACTTACTCAACAGAGGGCTTCGTCCTGTCGCCCCCAATCGATAGCTTTTCCATTTCGCCCCAAAGGTTAACTGCATCGTTTGAATTGCGCCTAGAGACAGGCTGGGACTTTAGGCTGGTCATGGACTGCGAGGTTGAGGTCGAGTTTGAAGGGCCCGAGATCGATCCAGCCTTGGGCTTGTTCGGTCCTGAGGAAGTACCGTTGCTCTTGGCAGCCAGCATTGCCTTTTCCTCCTCCATTTGTTGGATCTCCAGCTGTTGCATTTGCTTCTCGAACATTTGTCGCTTCTGCATGCGTTCACGTTCGTGCTCCAGACGCTTTTGCTCTAGCTTCTCAGCCTAAGATGAACAGTTGATAAGGACAGCGTTGAGTGATATGAGCAATTGCTGATGATGATGAAAACGAAGGAGTTAATTAGATGGCGGTAAAGGAGGAGAGGAACGGGTACAGAGACATACCACTTCGCGGTCTTCCTTCTCCAGGTCTGTCTCATTGGTCAGAGGTCCGTCGGCTTCGTCGTTGTTGTTGTGCGACGAGCCGATGGCCCTGGACTGTCTCTGTTGCACAATTTCGTCACGATTGAAGCCCTCAACGGCGCGCACTTGAGCTTTCATGACCATATCGTTTGATGTGATATCAATTGCTCCAGAAAGCACAGCAGCGTTTTGTTTAGGCACGGGTCTTGTTCTTGTCAGGGTATGCTAGGGAACTCTGGGTCATTTATCAAGAAAGTCTGAAATGGCTCGAGGTAAAGGGAGGATCCAAAAGTAGGATAGCAGGGTAGGCTTGCACAAAGGCTCTATTGGATCGTCGATAGAGAATGTGGTCAATCAGCAAGAGAGCAATTGGATAAGAAGCGCATGGGTGAGGAAAGGGCAAAGGGCAAAGACTGCAGAGGTATTATGCCGTGTCCTGTAGGTATCCAGGCAAGGTGGTTGCCATGCAAGTGTGACAAGACGCATGATATGTGAGATTAACACATGCAAGGGGTACATGGTCGTGATAGACAGTCGTTTGCAGCGCATTCTCCGGACAAGCCCAGGCAGCAACTCCATTTGCATATCCCAATGCCTAATGGCTTGGGAGGGCAAATGAATATCGCAGGCAAAATGTAAAGGAATGCAGGACAGTCCATGGCGGGCGCTGTGCAGTTCAATGCGGTGCAATACAGAGCCAAAGGTAACTGAGGCTCGTTCAGGGTACGGAGGAGAGAGAGAGGGGGAGGGATGCTGGGAACAGCGACCCAGGATTTCCTTACCAGGGCGAGCGAAAGAAAGGTGTAATGGATATTAGGGTTCTTGTCCACGCACTCGAGAATAAGGTCGGGAGGGGCAGGACAGGTCCTTTCGGTGATCTCTTTTTTCGATCGAGAGAAAAAGCTGACTAGATGATCTGGTCCGTTTAAAAAACAGGAAGGTTGCGGAGCGGACAAGTGAGAAGAGAGGGTGGATGGAAGGGTAGAACACAATAGACAGGCACGAATGCCTTTAAAAAATAATAATAATAACAAACACTATACAAAGAGACACAAATTGATAGTAAAATACAGACAAATCGCAATTGTACACTGGCAACGAAGGGAAAGATGCAACGAACAAAAGAAAAAAAGGAAGAGAAGAAAAAGGTCGGGCAGGCGAAGGAGACAGACAAGGAAAAGAAGTAAAAAGTGACGAGGATGCTGCGTGATATGAACTGTTTACCCTTGTCTGTGCAGGTGCAGGACAAAAATAAAAAGGTAAAATGATAACAGGAAAGGGTAAAAGGTAAACAGTTCGCTCTGCACACACTTGTCGAAAGAGGCAAGTGAATGGGAAAAGAGATGACAGTGATGAGGACCCGGATCCTTGTCCTTGGTATGCGATATGTCTCTCTTTTTGGCTGGGTTCCCAGGCAGTGAAAAGAGATAAAGTGTGAGGGACGGAAAGAAGAGGAGCACTCAAGACGAGAGAACGACTTTGTTCTTGCTCGTCGGTAGGGGGCCATTGGAACTCGAATCAACAACAACAGAATATTTCCGTACACACAGCAAACTGCAAGGCCGTACGTGAATTTACCGTTCATTCTTGAACTTCACACTGTTGCTGACACACAACGCTTGTCGATGCAACTGTAGGTGATTGGAACGTGAGTGTCGGCCACAATGTTTATTATAAACACCCTCTCACAATGTTCCTGGGTCCTTTACCAGTTCAAATGTGTGCTCTTTGTTCCGCACCATTCGCTTTTATCGCCACTAATTCTTTCGGTCCTCCACCATGATGACATGGTATCCGTGTTGGGTTTTGATGGGTGGGTCTGTGTAGATCGGCTTAGCCGTTGAGCTGGGCTGAAGCTGGAATGCTGCGTCCTGGAATGCACCGACCATTGAGCCTAGATGCAAGTAGTCATTATTAGTTCCCAGAACAACCCTGATAATACGATGGCCGCCAATAGATCAACAGATTTAATCTTACCTCGCACCATCCAGCCCAGACTTCCTCCTTCCTTGGCTTTGTCTTCACTGTATGCCTCAGCGACCTATTGAGAGCAATAAGAGAGCGCATTGAACGTGAGTCGTATGAATCAGAAAGGACGTCGGGCTTACTGTCCACAGCATATTTGGTACTGCACCTTGTTGAACGCGAGCCCTGACTTCAGTTTCTCAATGGCTTCCAGTGCTTTACCCTGCTTCTCGCACAGAATATGGCGGACTTTTATGCTGTTGGCAGTCTTGAGGGCCTTGCCACCTTTGGAGTCGTCGTCTATGATAAGAGCGAGCGCGAGACATGGTGAGCTCAGTCGTTCCTTGTTCTGACCTGCCTCTTGTTCATTCATTCGTTCAAGTCCATGTCCATCAAGTTCCTGTTCTCATATCGAAAATGTCTCGGTTACCGTCATTGTTGCCCTTCTTGCCCTTGGCTGCTGGGGCCTTTCCTTTGGCTGCTGACTTGGGCGGCATATTCTTGTTCTTTTGGATGTGAGTTCTCGGCAACGATGCGCCCATATCAAAATGACAGCAAAAGGAAATGTCGACGTCATCCTCACCCACTTTTTCAGGGACGTGAAATGAACAACTATTTCATTCACATTTTTGATACCTTGCTGAACAACATCTTGCCAATGCATTGCCTTCTCGACACGGGCGATTTACAAGTACATTGGGTCGTCTATGCAGCTGGAATGTGGTCTGATGGTCAGTTGTCGTTAGGCCCAGCCAGCCTCTTGTGCCCTGGGATTTTCGGCATCTGATAAAGCTAGACTATCTCGCTTCTACGTCTCATACACTCTTCATAATAGCTACCAATACTAATGTTATCTCTCCCATTTCTTGTCATTTTTTTGCCTGACTGTCTGTATTATAACATTTCCTGAGGCGAATAGACCGTGTGCATTATCTCATACCATGGAGAACCCAGACCACATCGGGTGGGCTTTAAAGGAAGGCAACGCCGAGCACGTCTCTATTAAATCTTTTGCAGACATACAGCTGAGAAGAATTTTCTGAGGCTCATCAACAACCCCAAAATCGTTAAAGCTCGTCACCAACGTCTACTAATGAGTTTCGAGACATTCAAAGCCAACCAGCCTGGTGTAATAGCTTTAGGTGGTCAAGGGGCAGGGGCAGGGCTGGACAGGATGGAACGCGTATATGTATTGGGGTGGCAACTAGCTGGTCTATATATCTATGTCTACGGCCCGGTTCCGGTCGGTGGTCTATAGCCGGGGCCTCCAGTCCTTTCAGAGTCGGGGCTATAGTCGGGGTTATCCTGTTACACCTGGAGTCTTATGGACAAAGCACACCGCCATTACCAAAGCAGGTATTATTGCTATGGAGGCTGCTGTCGACTCAATGGAGGTGGGCCGTCGACAGTCGAAAATCATTCATCAAAAGCGTTTGAAAAGGATGAAGTTGATGCGGATGGGGAGGAAGGCGGTGAGGACAGAGAAGATAGTGTTAAAGTAGGCAAGAACATTAGGGTAGGTCTGCAATGGTTTACAGCATGATCTGTACCCGCACAGACACAATTATTTAAGAGCACTGCTGCCAATTGATAGAACCTCAGTCTTTGTCTAATAAACATATACTCAACCACACCCCCAGACTTGAACCTCTTCATTTTCAGTTTCTCTTGCTCTTCTCTACGCTTCCTGCTGTTCAGTTCTCATTGCTTGTAGTTGGAGACAGAGTTATGGTGAAAGCAAGATTTCAAGAAGGGGTCCGAGATCGTTTTCGAAACCGTTTTCAATACTGATCAGTTCTCGTGGCTCTTGAGGAAGTACAGGTTCCCTGTCGTAGTTGATCTCCATACCTCTGTAGATCCTTGGTACCAGATATATGTGCTTGAAGGGCGCCTTGTGCTGAACGCAACCAGGACACGTACGAGAAAGAAGAAGGGTCCTGTCCATGTTCACAATGATGGAGTACTCTGCATTGGGTCGAGTGAAAGACTCGACTAAGAACTGTGGAGGATAACATTGATCAGAATGAAATTTGTGGGTATTTACGTGTTGGATACTACGACAGAACAATCCACCCGCAGTTAGTTATGAGTCAGGTCAACCACTTACTTTGGATGTCACTATCGATCTTGCCTCTCTCTAGGCCAGATCGCTTGGCTACATTGTTGTAGGTGTGGACGAATACTACACCTCGAAAAAGTTCGAGCTGTGAGGATTTCGTTGGTCAGGTCAATATCTGCCGGCCTTATTGTTCAACGTGCCACAACATCAGCAATGCAGTCCGTAGCCATCTGATTAGCCAGCAGCAGCCTCTGTATCTCCAGCCCAAAAATATAGATGGGAAGCTGCCCATCGATACAAGAGCCAAGTCCTCGCTTAGCGGGCAGCAGTAACAGAGGCCGCCAAAATCGTGTTGGACATAGTGGAGTCAAGCGACAAGCACCGTCTGAGTGGATGGACTCTCCAAGGCGCAAGTGTGTAGAGGGTGTGTGGTTCGTCACTTCGGTGACGTAATTTTCGCACCCATTATCCTAGAATCACGCCATGAGAAAACAGGGCGACCACTCCTCAGCGAACTTTGGTTTCTCTCCTTTGTTCACCCGCCTGCCATCAATAAACCGAATCACTCAAAGTACGTACCATGGTCCTTGCTCGAAATCACTTCCACCTCAAGCTACCCTTTTTTTTTTCTCAATTTGAATCTTGAATGTGTATCGCAATTGCAGCCCTGGGAAAGGAAGGCGCACAAAAACAAGGTCCAAGGGGTCCATTCGACTAAACACGCGTCCCCATCACCACTTGTCCTCCTAGACCCACGCTAAACCCCCGGAAATCAAGCAACTCAACAGCATCTACAAGGTCCTTGAGAATGAGCGGTGGGTACATTGGCTCAAAGATCAGCTTGATCTCACGCTCTGATATCCGCTACGTTGGAATCCTCCATCACCTGAACCCCACGGACTCCACGGTTGCCCTCGAGCAAGGTAAATAATGCCACAGTGTTTAACAAGTCCCATACCATATCACGAATATGAGGGCTTCCAACCAGTTAACGACTATCTTTATTGGACTTTCTCTTGTCTTTGTTATATAACTACTAGTTAAGTCTTATGGAACAGAGGGCCGTCGTGGCAACCCTTCAGAGGAGATCCCCCCGAACGACAACATTTTCGAGTACATCGTCTTTCGTGGTTCGGACGTGAAGGATCTGCATGTATGCGAGCCCCCAGCGCCCCAGCCTCCAGTACGTCCCCAGGTCCCAGATGACCCTGCAATCCTTGGTGTAAGTCTTGTTAATCGACTTGCAACAGCTGCGTTATCATCTATTTAATGATGAGTCCTTGTGTGAAGGAAACATTTTTGACCATACTTTCTATTCTCTATCCCATATTAGACCACAGCACCTCCTCACTACTACAACCAGCATCAACAGGCACCACCTGCCGGTTACTACCAGCCTCAGCCCCAGCAGCATCCAGTTCAGCCTCAGTATCAGCAGCAGCCCCAGGTTGCCCAGCCACCCCAGAAGTTGCCTTCGCCTCCCCACCATGTCATCAGCACTCAGGTAAGCATACTTGCACGTTTATCGTCCAGGTTTCGTTCGCGAACGAGATACAATTGCGTTGGACACTGTGTTTAACATCCATATGACCTCTTCAACTTTTCTGGTATTAGGAGAACGATGATCCCAAGCGTTCGCCAGCTGCTGATGGAAAGGCAATGGCTAAAGAGACGGATCAGCATGACAAGTCCGACTCTGAGACCATCAAACCTGCTCCCCCACCAGCCCGCTCAGGCGCCAAGACCCAGCCTCAGGAACTTCGCAAGTCGGTTGAAATCCTTGCCAAACAAGTGAGCGAGCTGAATGTTACTAAGGATGCGACTGAGCATGTGCAGCATGAAAATGACGGCAAGTTTACCAACAACCGTCTTCCTGGAATGGGTGGTCATTTGTTGCAATCAAATAACAATCGTCGAGGCGGTCGTGGTGGACGTGGTGGAGCCCATGGACACACGAGCAATGCTCGTTCCCCAGCTGTGCCTGCTTCTGATTTTGATTTTGAGACTGCAAACGCCAAGTTCCACAAGGACGAGCTCGCCAAGGAAGTCATCAAGACTGACGACCATCAAGTCGAGGCTGAAGAGGAGGAGGAGGTAATCATTCCTCAGGCGGAAGAGTTTTACGACAGGTCCAAGTCCTTCTTTGACAACATTTCGTGTGAGACCAAGGAGCGTATGAACAAGGCTGAGCAAAGGTTCGTCGACATCCTGATTACAATGGCATGACAACGAATAGGGTTATTCTTATGACCGTGATTGCTAACATTATGGTCTCGATTTATCCTCGTAGCCAAGGGAATCGTCTGAGCGCACCCGAGAGACGGGCCAAGCAGTCAGAGGAGCGTCAATTAAATCTGGAGACATTTGGCCAGACTTCAGTCGACCAGGGCCGTTTCCGTGGTGGATATCGTGGCGGCTATCGCGGTGGTTACCGCGGAGGCCCGCGTGGAGGTGGTGGTTACCGCGGAGGCTATAACGGAGGCTACAACGGAGGCTACAACGGAGGCATGGGATACAACAACAGTGGACGTGGGGGTCATCACTATAACACCAACCGCGGCGGGCACCATAACCAGCAGTATCAGCACCAGCAACAAGACCAAAATCAACAGCAACAGCAAGTATAGGCCTAAAGCGGTTTCAACGTGGAGAAGGTGAAAGGGAGGGGTGAGTGTGCCAGGTCTGCAAAATGTACAGTAATGAACGTTAGTTTATCTTGCGGAATGGAAAGTACAAAATAAAGCAAAGGAGTAGAGGACACATTGATACAAGGATGAGAAGGACGTGTTTGCTTAACCCTATTTGCAAGTCAAGCCAAGGGGTCCACGAGGAACGACATGGGTTTCGTACATTGCTCTCTGGTACAACTATTCGCGAGGTTGGACGAGGCATTACCAAGAAAGAGGGGACGAGGAGAGAAGAGTAAGGACATTCCCAGCCGTGTTTTTAAGTATGAGCAACACCACAACCCAAACAATTTATCTATCCGCTGTGACATAAGAAGGGGTTCATACCCCCATAAAGCCCATTTCACTGGCGCGTTCTTTTTTCCTTCTCTCCTCACTCTACCCACAACATCCTTCTCGCCAATTCTTTCCTGTCTCGATTGTGTCCCTTTCTTTTTCAGCACAAACAGGAACGACACCTCTTCACCTTCCTCGCATAGGATCCCTTGCGAATGTACAACAACGACATCAAAAGGCGTCTTCCAGTGGGCCAGTCTGGCACGGCGAACTTCAGTGACGCCACCACAGATGAGTTCCAGGCATCAGATCCTTATGGGCCTAATCCACTGAAACCCGCATTCCAACAACACCAACACCAACACCAACACCCAAACCAGCATCTGCACCTTCGAGAACACCCATCTCAACGAACGCACATCTATAAAGAATACTCGTCTAACAAGGTACAATAAACGTTTTAAAACGAAAGAGCAATTAATTTAAGGCAGGGCTGTTTTCTTTGGAGGAAACGGCCCAGGATGATATTGCCGTAACATGTGCCTTCGCTGCTCACTCTACGCCCTCGCATCCAAAGCGCCGAGGGCTGGCATTGTCGATGGCGCGTCTGGGGAAAATGAAAAGAAACGGTCTGCTAAACGAGCTCTTTCCGCTGAATTACTTAGTTTATTCGTTTTTATCAAGAAAACGACTCGATTCTGATTCCTCTTATTCTCACACTGCTGTCGTTCTGGACCCGTTTCAGGGACATCAAGGCATCGGATTATGTCGTCTGGGACGAGGTATAGTTTGTGGTATTGTCTTTCTTATCGTGATCAAATGCGATCCGACAGCAGATCGCCAATTTGGGCCCTGGGCTGTAAGAGATCGTGTACTGACGCAATAACCATTCCCCCTGTTTACATTTGTTTGTTTCGTATGTTCTCAGGCGCATTTCGGCAAGGTAATAGACTATACGATGCTTTGATTTAAGAAGGGGAGTACAGTTCGATGGAATCAATTGTGCAGATGTGCTCACCATGATTGCTCTTATCTAGTTTGGATCATACTACATCAAGGGCGAGTTTTACTTTGATGTGCATCCGCCCTTGGGGAAGATGCTTGTAGGCCTTTCGGGAGCCTTGGCCGGCTATAATGGATCGTTCGGATTCGAGTCCGGGGCAACGTACCCGGACATGAACTATGGATTTATGCGCCTCTTCAACGCTTTTTTTGGTGCCATAATGGTCCCATTCGCCTACTACACCGCCCAAGAATTGAGGATGTCGCGCACTGCCTGTGCCTTTGCTGCCTTCCTTGTACTGTGCGATAACGCATATTTGACCATCAGCCGATTCATCCTCCTGGACTCAATGTTACTGGGATCGACCTGTTTTGTCGTGTTCTGCCTTGTAAAGTTCAGGAACGAGCGCCACGAGTAAGTTTGCTTCGCTCTCTCTTGAGCTGTGCCTATGTTTCCCCCTGCATCCCAGCCGCGTAACATTTGACTGATATGCCCTTTACTGCTTTCCCCCCTCCCATAGCCCTTTCTCTCTGGACTGGTGGCTCTGGCTTGCGATGACCGGTGTGGCTATTGGAATTGTGACCAGTATCAAGTGGGTCGGCTTTTTTGTCACAGCCTTGGTTGGTTTGGTTAGTTCTTCATGCTGTCCTGCTGTTCTATCCGACTTTGACGGCGCGAGATTAGTACTGACTGAGGGATTGCATATGGCCATAGTACACCATCGAGGACTTGTGGGATCTCTTCGGTGACTTGAATATGCCTAAGGTATATATCTGACTAGCACTGTTTGCGTCATCTTTGGGTCGAAAACAGGAACCGTACACTAACAATGTTTGTTATTTCACCCTTTAGCCCACCTACATTAAGCATTGGGTTGCTCGTGCAGCGTGCCTGATTGCTCTGCCCTTTTCGGTTTATGTCGCCTCGTTTGCGTTACACTTTGCTATCCTCAGGAACAGCGGTACTGGTGATGCCCAGATGAGCTCGCTCTTCCAGGCGGGTCTCCGAGGAAACCAGTTCACCAGTAATCCCTTAGGTATGTCTGTTAAATGTGCTACTTTTTTATTATTGCTGTTATCGTTGTTATTGTTATTAAATCCCCCATTGACAAGGCAAGCATGACTAACGTTTTCATCATTCACATCACTACTCTCAGAGGTTGCCTATGGATCCAAGGTCACGATCAAGAACACTGGATATGGCGGCGGCTTGCTTCATTCGCACGTCCAAACATATCCTGAAGGATCAGGACAACAGCAGGTCACTTGCTACCATCACAAGGACAGCAACAACAACTGGATCATCAAGAGGGCGCACGGTTTGTCGACGGATTTTGAAGAAGTTCAAACTCTTCGCCATGGCGATCTTGTCCGTCTGGTGCACGAGGGAACTGGGCACAACTTGCACAGCCATCGCATCAAGGCGCCGCTGACCTCTAACCAGTGGGAAGTCAGTGCCTATGGAAGCGACGATGTTGTGGATTCGAACGACGAATGGAAAGTCGAGGTTGTCGAGGAACAGAGCTCACACCCGAAGAATGGAGTCGTCAGATCGTTGTCGACCACTTTCAGATTGAGACACAACATATTGGAATGTCTTTTGACGGCCGAAAACAAGAACTTGCCCCAGTGGGGTTTCCGCCAGATCGAAGTCTTTTGCGATCAGCGCAATCGCACTACTTCACCGCATTCGATCTGGAATGTCGAACAGCACTGGAACGACAAGCGTAAGGGCTACATCTGAAACCGGAGTGACAGCTCACGGCATTCTAGTAGATCGAGTGATTGATTAACATTGACTATTCTTACGATATTGTTAGTGCCTGCTGGTGGCGACTCGACATACAAGTCCAAGTTCTGGAAGGATTTCTGGCATCTGAATGTAGCGATGATGACTTCCAACAATGCATTGATCCCCGATCCGGACAAGGAGGACGTCCTAGCCTCGAACCCCAGCCAATGGCCTCTTCTTGCAGTGGGTCTCCGCATGTGTGGATGGGGCGATGACAAGATTAAGTTCTATCTGCTTGGCAATCCAATTGTGTGGTGGAGCGGTACATTATCAATCCTGGTGTTTATGTCGACATGCGCCCTTTACATTATTCGTCGCCAACGCAAGTTTCAGGATATTTCGCCTGCGGAGTGGGAGCAGTTCCAGTACGCTGGCAAGATTCTGGTTGGAGGCTGGTTCCTGCATTATGCGCCATTCTGTATCATGGGACGAGTAACGTACCTGCACCATTACTTCCCAGCCCTGTATTTTACATTGCTGCTGTTCAGTTACATACTGGATCATTTCCTGTACAGACCCGCAGTCAGTGCCAGGACAAGGGCAATTGTTTGGGTAGTTGCATTTGCGGCAGTTGCAGGAACGTTCCTCTTCTTCTGGGACACGAGCTATGGCATCAAGGGACCGGTGTACCCAAGGATGAAGAACCGCCAGTGGCGTGCAGCATGGAACATCATTGATGACCACAAACCGAATACGTTTATTTAGGAAGACCTTTTCACCCCTACCCCCTTACAGGTCGGCATCGACTACTACAAATGCATACATACATTATCTGCTTCTTCGAAAGGAAAATGAAGGATGTGCCATGCTATGTTTCATTGATGCTCAGGAACATAATGTATCAATTGCAGCCAAAAAAAAAAAAAAAAAAAAAAAAAAAGGATTGCTACCAAAACGGAGTGTTGCGCCATGAGGTTGGGCGTAAAAACCAAAACCATGGCCCTTCCTCGCGGGTGGGTGGGTGCTCTGATCGCTTGTGCACAAAGTGTGTAAAAATAGGGGGGGGGGGCGAAACGATGGTCATTCTTTTTTAATTCTACGCGATCAAGAATTTTTGATTACCTGGGATATGGACTTGGAAAGTAAAATCGTGATTGTAGCACCCGCTTGTCCGCCCTGCTAAACAAACACAGTTATCGATGCTGTTGTTGTTGTTGTTGTTGTTGTTGTTGATGTCGGCGTTCACTTATAGGATGCGGAGCAAACAAGACCTTAGTTTACATCTGTTAGAGTTTTTTTTTTTTTTCAAGACAGAAAAGGTGTGCGCCCAGTTTAAAAACGATCAAGTTGAACGGATGAACAGATAAGGGCACATGTACGCTGCATGTCCATGTATTCAGCGTGTCTGTGTCTACGCGTAGTATTTCATTGATATGCAAAGCTCGACTGACTGAATTCTTCAGTCGATGGTCCGTTTACATGAATACAATCCGAGTATTTTTCGAATGAGTCCCAGTTGAAAAGGTTCAGTCGGTCAGAAGGGCTTCTCAACAGTAATCGGTATGGATACGAGGACTTAGAATCGGGGTTGGGATTATCTAAAATAATAAGTAGCCTGTCTAGATCTAGAATCCAGGGCCATCCCCCTCGGCCACGCGACGTGTGAGCGTGAACGTTTCTGAGACCGTAAGAAGAATAACAAAAAGAATAGATGAAGTGGATAAACGGTTTCAGTAAAGAAAAATGGCACCCTGTGTCCATTTTTCCGATTAGTTTTACATACTGAAAGTACGGGTCCAGTAACGATCCTGTCGATCACCAGTGTTTATTCCTCTTGCTTGATTAGTTTTCTCCGAGGGAGAAGAGAAAGAGCGGTCGAGACTTTTGGCCGAGACTTCATATCCAGGCCCTCGCGGAAATTTTTTTTCATAATTTGCACCCTCCAGATTGAGAAGATCAAAAAGACCAGAGGGACAGAAAATACTATGCAGGGAAGTCTGAATCATGTTGATGCATGACTCTGAAAGGACACAAATGCAAATGCATCTACCTGCAAAGCAGAGAAGGCAAGTCTCAAAAGAGGGGATGAAAAAGGAGCATAGCCATCCAGCTAGCCCAGGTCGTTCTCCTTTTGGACATTGTTCGCAGGGCAAACGGTGGTGGTATGGCAATTGAAAGAAAGGAATAAAAGGAGGGCAGTGCCACGGAACATAACGAGAGCAAAAGAGGAAAAAAAAGAAGAAAAAAACTGCGTCCCCCAAGTGTAGCCAGTAAAGAGTGACAAAGTGGGCAAGAAAAGAACTAAAAATACTCACCCAACCATCGTGGCGATAGAAGAGGAAGCAGTGTGCCTGGGCGCCCGACGAGTGGTTTGATCTCCCTCTCTCCGCGCTCACTTTCATTTTTGTGCCACACAAACGCCTTGTTTGTCTTGCCTTGCCTTTTTTATTCTTTCTGAGAATAGACAAGCATACACATTGTGCTCGACTCTCCACCCTCACCCGCGCCTTTCTCTTCCTCTGTTTTCTAACAACCTACATCTCTTCTTTCCCCTCTCCATCATCTCACATCTCCTCCTCACACCATCACCTCACACACTCCACATTCATACAATCTCATACTTCTCCCCTTACAAGAGTGATTCGATCAGGGTGGTGAGTGTTTGCAACAAACAACAACAGCTACGCAACAAGGAACAACAATTGCCCATCTGCTGCTATCCTGTCCTATCCACGTTGCTGCCTAGAGTCTTCCCCGACCAATTGAACAGCCTACTGAAGACAACTCTCAACTCAGCTTGCTCTTGGACTTCGTCGACTAACCCTTGTTCTCACCTCTCTACCAGCCCTTTCTTGTTCCGAAAGCCAGGACTTAAAATAAGATTCCGAGGTCCCTTGAGCTGATCAAGCACATCCTCCTCGTTGGACAAATCTCACACCGAAATCACATCTCACTTTGGCACGACAATCAGCTATTTCGCCATGGCCATAAAACGCTTCACCTCACTTCATTGCATCATTTTCTTGTCAGCCTTTGCCATATTCTGGCTGGCCTGGTCTAGCTTCAGGTTACGAGGTAAAAAAAAACCCCCCCCCCCATTATTGTCACAGTTGGCTGTGCGACATGGTCTGCTATTTCTTGTTCCTTTTGTTGCTGTGCAGAGTATACTAATGCCATGGAGAATCAATTGTTGGTTCTTTTCGTTGTAATAGATGGTGATTCGTTAATGTCATCGTCGTCAAAGGATTCATACAGAGGCAATAATGGAGGCCCAGGGATGATCAACGAAAACTATGTCAACGTCGGCTCTGAAGGCTCTGAGCACGACTTGGCCTCTGTGACGGATCGCACGAGCTCATCCCTGGAAACGCTCCACAAGCCCTACACGATTATCACCGCGGCGTCCTCGAACCATTTCTGCGCACTCGAGTCCTTCCTCTATTCCCTCTCCGAGATTCTCGACGGATTGGAGCGGACAGAAGTCCGACCGAGGATTGTGGTCTACAACCTCGGAGGCATGACTCCAGAGCAAGTAACACAGATGAAGTGGCTCAAGGACAACCAGTACATGGACGAGTATCATGACTTCGATTACTCAATCTATCCAGACTTCTGGGACATCACCGTCGCAAGAGGAGAGTACGGGTGGAAGGCCGGAATCATCAAGGAGGTCGCGGACAAGTACCGTGGGCTGCTTCTGTGGTTGGATTCAGGCAATATGCTGGCACTGGACTTTTTGAGGTACTTACCTGGATACCTGGAGAAGTACGGGTTCTGGAGCCCTCAGAGCTCGGGCAACCTCCAGCAGTACACCCATCCGGGTCTTCCACAGTACTATGGCGAACCACTCGAGAAGTATGGGGCGGAGACAAACTGTAATGGAGCGGCGGTTGCGTTCGATGCATCGCAGGATCGGATCTATAACGGAATTTTGAAGGAATGGTATGTTTGCTCGTTGACCAAGGATTGTATCGCACCACCAGGGTCTTCGAGAGCAAATCATCGACAGGATCAAGCGGCGTTGACATTCCTAGCAAAGTATATGCAGTTCACAGAGCAGTGCCGGCATTTCCCAGAGCACTATGGAGTGACGGTCCATCAGGATAAGGTCTGCAAGGAGAGGATACGAGCGTACAAAATTATGAAGGGCATGGATGAGGAAGGCGATGCGGACAATGATAACTAGATCGGGAACTTAATCGTTAATTTGGTTGCTTTATCCCTATCTTCACCTTTACACATTCATACACAAAAGCATGTATTAAAAGAAATATGAAAAACGCACTTTTTGCACTTTATGGACGGTAACAACAAAGTAAACTTGATTCGATTGTTACCCATTCGCCATGTAGGATGGCAACAGCCAGTATCGGTGGGTCAGAAATCAGAAAAAAATTTGGTTTTTGACCTGATGGTTCAGCCACACGTATATCACCAAAAATCCTAAGTATCGAAGTGGCTGAAGGTATACACTAACTCGTTAGGGGTGATACATAACCAGCTGCGGGTTCGAGGGTTCTTTTTTTGCAATGATGAATGGCAAGCAAAGGTGTTGACAAAGTGTTCATTCGATGGGAGGGGGAGGGGGCATGCAATGAACCATGTAGCCATGCAGCAATGAAGCAATGTAGCAATGTAGCAATAGCTAACCTCTTTTCAAGTATGGCCGAGTATTATCTAGCAATATAGCAATATAGAGTCCGCGTCAAAAAGTGCCAACACCGTATATTTTTACAATTGCGGCTCTCACGTGAGGAATGGTTTTTCGTATGGCTCAAAGGACTGCTAGCACTGCTACACACAAAGAGGAGGCTATTCCACCGAGTGCAGGGGATGGTCATCATCATCATCTCATCGGGTTAACCTAATCAAACCCAGGAACCTTTATTTCTTCAAGACACGTCCAACAAGCAGAGGCAGAGAAAGCGGCCACGAAAATGAATTTCGTATCAAAAAGCAAGTTATTCTTTCTCATCGACAAATTTTGGGATGGCACTTTTTGACGCACAATGGCCATGCAATCGACTGAATTAGGATTTATTATTGTAAAAGTATATGGTGTTGGCACTTCTTGACGCGGACTCTATATTTTTTTCGGTTGCGCTTTGACTGATTGCTCCAGATTCATTCCCTAAGTGCAATTTTTCTAGTCTCGCATCCAGACCCTCACATTACAGTCGAAACTCGTTTTTAGGCCGGGGTTTGTTAACAAAACGCGGCCAACAAACTTAATTTGAAATTGAATTGACCTCTCTGAAAAGACTATTCTAAAGGCGAAAAAATACAGTCACATATACAACTACCTTTTCAGTCAGGTGCCCTTTTGTACGCACAAAGCCACAATATCCATTGCACTTTCTAATCACGAGCAACCTTTGTGCAATTTAGAGAGTCAGCGCAACATGTGACTGAATAGATAGTTGTATATGTGACTGTATTTTTTCGCCTTTAGAATAGTCTTTTCAGAGAGGTCAATTCAATTTCAAATTAAGTTTGTTGGCCGCGTTTTGTTAACAAACCCCGGCCTAAAAACGAGTTTCGACTGTACGTGGGTCGAAATCGAATTTCTTCTTTCCACTCAAATGAGGGTCTGGGTCAATATCTTGAATTATTGGCACGAACGGTCGTAAAAATAAAAAAGGAAGGTGAACTAGAGCCATACAAATTACTAAAAAAAAAAAATCTCTGTGTAGTCCACGTTCACAATAAGCTACATTTTGTAGCTTATTGTGAATTTTGGTATTCTGTCAATTCAAAAATTCAAAAAATACATCGAAACTTTATTCTCACTAGGCCGAGGTCTATAGCATCGTGGCCATGGTTCGATCTCATAGACCTCGTTGTCGCTTATCACAATTCTCTCTATTTCCCCTTCCAAAGACAGCATGTCAGTTAGCATATCCAGATATTCCCTGGCAGTCACGGCAACCTTCCGTGTAAATGCCGGTGCATCATCTGTGTATTGCGCCGCCCTTCTGAGGCAGAGCACCTTTTGTAACATGGTCGCAGATTGATGCACACCATCCAGCACTGACCATAATGGCTCTTCCGTGGAAGCGATTGACTCTTGAGAAGAAACCTGGTCGGATGGTAGGTTCAATTGATGAGCACCAGAACGAGGTTCCAGGGTGCGTTTGGAAACCACCGGCTCGCGGTCGTCGCAGCTTGATGATGAGTAATTCAGGTCCAACGGGGCATCATCATCCACTTCGTTCTCGTCGACTACAACAACACTTCCAGCGAGGCGGAACTATTTCTTGAATTACTTATTGGACATCACCGCACTGACGCTGTCCATGAGGTACGAGGTGGGACCTTTGCCTGCGCAACACCTGAAGTAAGCGAGCACTCCGAAGTCCTTTTGACATTCGATAGCCTTGGCGCGGTCTGGATACAGTGCTATCAGCTCTTGCTTGAGATCCTCTAGCTCCTGATCTGTCTCATCCCCGTCAGTTGTTCGCAAGGCCTCCTTCATTTCAATAGGCACAGTAGGGACATGGACAAGCAGTTGCGGATAGTGGATGGCTTCACATCGTTCCAGGCAGAAAGCAGGCATGACCACAGGAGCTTGTTTGGGACCATCGCCTTCTCTGTCTTTGCCTCTACTCGACACTGAGATACCACGCGAATCATATGTCGACTGTACTTCACTTTGAAGGACTGGATGATCCCTGCATCCAAAGGCTGAGAAACTGACGTTGTTCTGGGTGGTAGTCGAATGAGCTCAACATTCCTGAGTCCAAGCTCGTCGGTGTTGCCGTGTCCCGGTGCGTTGTCCATCATCAGCGCAATACGTCGTCTATCCATAGCCATGGCGGCGTCAAGCTCTTTGAGACAGCCGTTGAAAAGCTCTTGACTCATGTACCCGGAGCCTTGGAAATCAGTCTTGAGTTGTTCCTCCATATCCTTATGCAAGCCTCTGGGACGATGAGCAGCTAAATATAAATGTCAATGCCGAAAAGCAAGTTCTGTAAAAGGATGATCCAAGTACGATAAGGACAGCTTGCAATATTCTCGACTTACAAAGCACAAATGGCATCCTCTTGTCTGATCCATCAGCATTGCAGCAAAGCAGAATGAAAACCCTGGCAACTCTGGTGACTTCCTTGTCGCGAACAATGGTAATCGCAAATGCCCTATTCGACAGGACCTTCAAATACAGCCCGGTTTCGTCACAGTTATATATGTCTGCGGGCTTGAACTTGGAAAGCTGCTCCGTGATCTCTTTGAATCGTGGACCGTGCTTGACCATGCCGACGTCGCCCTCCTCGCCATTGACCAACATACACGCGGATGCCATAGCTTTTCTTGAGTTTTGTAATCCAACCATCCGAGAATTTGATCGACTTGGGCGCCATTCTTGGGTCCAGAAAAGGCAGCATCTGGAAATATATGTCCACAGCCATGTCCCGTAGGCGGCTATCGTTCACAGGAATGTCTGTATAGATAGGTGAGTGATCCGTCTTCATGTCGGACAAAAGTAGATACCAGGCAGCGATGTTCTTACTAGAGTCGATCTCATGTTTGAACTGAAGGAAAAGTACCTTTTCAACGACCTCCATCGTCTGCGGGTAGAGCTTCGTCCTCTTTGCCGAATTCCTAGGGCCCATATTTGCCACCTTATCCAGGATATCTTTTGAATTTCTCATGCTGCGGGCCGCCGTGGATCGATCGAAGTTGTGCTTTTTGCTTCTACCGATAGAAGAGACTGATGCCTTGAGATCGTTCTCTCGTGCTGCGTTCACCTCTGCTATGAACCCTGCCTTTAAAGCCAACGACGTAGTGTCGCGCGATTGCTTTGGACGGGCAGTTCAGTTGCCAGAGTAACCGGTGCCTCCGTCACGCTCGTCCGGCTCTTCTTCGCGGCAGGTTTCGCAGGTTGCGCAGGCTTGGCAGGTCCGTCCGGGTCGACACAAGTGTATGTTGTAACAGTCGTTGTTGTTGTCGTTTGCTTGACTATCGTTGATCTCTTCACCGCCGACGCGGTCTTTTTGCGCTTATTACTTGACATAGTGGGCTTGAGTTGCAAATGAGGATGTGCGGAGATGCGCGGCCGCGATGGGAATGGTGATGAGCTGATTTTTTTGTGACATATGGCATACGGCCCGGTGAGAATAAAGTTTCGATATATTTTTTGAATTTTTGAATTGACAGAATACCAAAATTCACAATAAGCTACATTTTGTAGCTTATTGTGAACGTGGACTACACAGAGATTTTTTTTTTTTAGTAATTTGTATGGCTCTAGTTCACCTTCCTTTTTTATTTTTACGACTGTTCGTGCCAATAACTCAACCCACGTAATGTGAGGGTCTGGATGCGAGACTACAATTTTTCATTTTAATTGTCAAGGGCCATTCTTTCTGAGAATAGACAAGCATACACATTGTGCTCGAGTCTCTACCCCCGCCCGCGCCTTTCTTTTCCCTCCACATCATCTCACACCTCCTCCTCACACCATCACCTCACACACTCCACATTCATACAATCTCATACTTCTCCCCTTACAAAAGTGATTCGATCAGGGTGGTGAGTGTTTGCAACAAACAACAACAGCTACGCAACAAGGAACAACAATTGCCCATCTGCTGCTATCCTGTCCTATCCACGTTGCTGCCTAGAGTCTTCCCCGACCAATTGAACAGCCTACTGAAGACAACTCTCAACTCAGCTTGCTCTTGGACTTCGTCGACTAACCCTTGTTCTCACCTCTCTACCAGCCCTTTCTTGTTCCGAAAGCCAGGACTTAAAATAAGATTCCGAGGTCCCTTGAGCTGATCAAGCACATCCTCCTCGTTGGACAAATCTCACACCGAAATCACATCTCACTTTGGCACGACAATCAGCTATTTCGCCATGGCCATAAAACGCTTCACCTCACTTCATTCCGTCATTTTCTTGTCAGCCTTTGCCATATTCTGGCTGGCCTGGTCTAGCTTCAGGTTACGAGGTAAAAAAAACCCCCCCCCCCCATTATTGTCACAGTTGGCTGTGCGACATGGTCTGCTATTTCTTGTTCCTTTTGTTGCTGTGCAGAGTATACTAATGCCATGGAGAATCAATTGTTGGTTCTTTTCGTTGTAATAGATGGTGATTCGTTAATGTCATCGTCGTCAAAGGATTCATACAGAGGCAATAATGGAGGCCCAGGGATGATCAACGAAAACTATGTCAACGTCGGCTCTGAAGGCTCTGAGCACGACTTGGCCTCTGTGACGGATCGCACGAGCTCATCCCTGGAAACGCTCCACAAGCCCTACACGATTATCACCGGGGCGTCCTCGAACCATTTCTGCGCACTCGAGTCCTTCCTCTATTCCCTCTCCGAGATTCTCGACGGATTGGAGCGGACAGAAGTCCGACCGAGGATTGTGGTCTACAACCTCGGAGGCATGACTCCAGAGCAAGTAACACAGATGAAGTGGCTCAAGGACAACCAGTACATGGACGAGTATCATGACTTCGATTACTCAATCTATCCAGACTTCTGGGACATCACCGTCGCAAGAGGAGAGTACGGGTGGAAGGCCGGAATCATCAAGGAGGTCGCGGACAAGTACCGTGGGTTGATTCTGTGGATGGATTCAGGCAATATGCTGGAATTGGACTTTTTGAGGTACTTACCTGGATACCTGGAGAAGTACGGGTTCTGGAGCCCTCAGAGCTCGGGCAACCTCCAGCAGTACACCCATCCGGGTCTTCCACAGTACTATGGCGAACCACTCGAGAAGTATGGGATGGAGACAAACTGTAGTGGAGGGGCGGTTGCGTTCGATGCATCGCAGGATCGGATCTATAACGGAATTTTGAAGGAATGGTATGTTTGCTCGTTGACCAAGGATTGTATCGCACCACCAGGGTCTTCGAGAACAAATCATCGACAGGATCAAGCGGCGTTGACATTCCTAGCAAAGTATATGCAGTTCACAGAGCAGTGCCGGCATTTCCCAGAGCACTATGGAGTGACGGTCCATCAGGATAAGGTCTGCAAGGAGAGGATACGAGCGTACAAAATTATGAAGGGCATGGATGAGGAAAGCAATGATAACTAAATCGGGAACTTAATCGTTAATTTGGTTGCTTTATCCCTATCTTCACCTTTACACATTCATACACAAAAGCATGTATTAAAAGAAATATGAAAAACGCACTTTTTGCACTTTATGGACGGTAACAACAAAGTAAACTTGATTCGATTGTTACCCATTCGCCATGTAGGATGACAACAACCAGTAATATCATCGTTGACGAATGAAGGGCAATAGACGTTCGTAGTTTTATCAGAGATATCGGTGGATTGGTTTTTTTGGTAAGACATTGTCAATTATGGCTATTTTGTTAAGCAAAACTCCTGTAGTTGACAACGTCTCACCAAAAAAATCAATCCGCTGATATCTCTGAGTTTTATGGAATTTCAATAGGAGCCAATCAATGGCCTAAGATGTAATAGTTCGGGGACGAGTTTTCCTACGCAATATATTGGAGAGGAGCTTATTGGTCCGTACGGGGACGCGACTATACTAGCTTCTAAGATACATGCACTCTAGATGGATATGACATAGATAAAACGACACTCTGTCCGCAGCGTGGCCCTGCTTAATTGCCCTCCTTCGTAGGGCGGTCCTGAATAAAGCGCGAGTTGTAGGACTCGAGATCGACCAAGGCATCAAATTGCTTCAGTCCCAATCCAACAGAGGTCCTGACAACGTTCCAAGCAACGCCCTCAGTGCAGGGAGGGGTCGTCAAACTGCCCTCGTACTCCCAACGGGGCGTGAACTTGCCCGTGGCCTTGAGCAAAGGAGAGAAATCGACCTTGTCGATCTTGTACTTGACCTGCTCCTCTCCAGGTACAGGCTCACCCGAGACGGGATCCTTGACGAGGAACCCATGTCCATGCTCGAGCTGGTCAACCTTCTTGTCAAGCTTAACGACCCACTCAAAGAACGGGTTGCTGTTCGCCTGAACCTCAAGCAACACACCAACAACAGCCAATGACTTATCCTCAGCCTGATGAACGAGATGAAGTTCTGCGTCCGCAAAATGGTTGTTGACGCGATGCTCGCTGGGTGAATGGAAATGGAATTGGAGGAGGTTGTAGGTCTTGTCCTTGATGACGATCGAGTTCTTGTTAGGCGCGGTCACGGTCGAGTTCCATTCGCATTTGACGGTGTGGCTGTCATATCCACAAAGGACGTTGCGAAGGGGCGAGTAGTTCAGGGCCGAGAAGGGCTTCTTTTGGAGTGCGACGAAGGGCGCACCGATGGCAACGTCAATAGGGGACTGTTCCTTGCCGGTGCCGCAAGTACCGTAGAGGGGATCGAGCGCGCCCCAGTGCTGTGGGCCAGCATTGTCTTGTCCGTACTGCAGGCGAGCGAATATGTTCCGTAAATAAGGTTATTTATTATGTATATCTAGCTAGGTTATAGGACTGAAAAAAGAGATCACAGAAAAGACGTGAAAAAAAAAACTTACAGTCCAATGAGCACCAGGAGCAGCACGCTTGTGTCCAGCATGATGTGTGGAAGTCTGGTCAGCGGCGACGAAGGAGGTCGAGATCAGGGCTGCGACAGCCAAGGCAAGGTTCAAAGCTAGCTTCATGGTGATATTAGTATGTATGGGATCGACTGTAGGTATATGTGTGTTCTTATGCAGATCTCTATAAGGATGTTAAGGAGACCAGTTGAGGTTTTGTTAGAAAAATAAAAGACTTTTGTTGACCAGGAGAGGGTGTGCACACAATGAACGCGGAGGAAGGGAGAGAGGAGTCAGAACAAGTTCGCTGAAGGAGAGTAAGCTAGAGGAAAGAGGATGTCCAGCCTCGGGGTCTCTTCTTTTATACCTCTTTATTCTCGTCGCCCACTAAAGAAAGAGGCAAGCGCGAACTTTTCTTTTTGTCTCAAAGCTATAAAAAAAACCACTCCAAGCCCGTTCTATTCATCCTCCTATCCAACCACTCATCTATCTATCCCTCGCCTACACGTTCATGCTTATTTGCATACTCAATCAAAAAGGCAGGACCCAAGAATAGCGAGCAGCTCTTGTTTAGGGCTGTGTCGCCTGTCAAATAACCTGCCCTGCCTATTAACGGTCGTAGGCAGGGCAGGGAGGAAGAACTGAATTCTAAAACTGCGTTCGTTTCCATCCCACGCGTTGTCAAATGCAACAAGAAGCATCGCCCAAAATATGCGAGCATGTGCCAGGACAGGAAGAGCTTGAGGATAAATTTGGTTTGAGCATTTCATTAAAGGGTCGTGTTAGGCAGTGAATGGGTACTGCCATGAGCTCAAAAAAAAAAAAGAGAGAGGGGAGAGGCAGCGTTATTGTAGGTAGTGCTGCCTGTGGTAATTGTAAATCGTTGCGTGGTAGCAAGCTGGAAAAAAAAAAGGTCGCCCAGGATTCCAAATTGTAATCTTGGAGTTTTTTGTTTGATACACTGTCTGTGTGTGTGCAACATGTACCACTATTACTATTATTGAAGCAACATGAAGGTCGTAGACAATTACCTGGTAAAATGTGTTGAATCAAGGGTATATGTGAAAGTAAGGAAGGACAAAGAGGCGAGAAATAAGAAAAACGGGCGACCTCTCGGTATATTTATACGCAAATCTGCTCATACCCTTTTTTGCTTTTGTTGAACTCACAAGGTAACGCTGTCTATAGTAGAGAGTTTACACCATATGTAATTGAACAATTACTCACTACTTAACAGTCAATAGGTCCAGAACGCCTTTTTTTTCTCATGAAAAACGGCGTCTAATAGGTAGGGTAGGGATTGTTGCACAGTTGCACAACGCGAACCCATATTAAGTCTCCGTTCCAGATCTGTGAAAAACAGAATATCGCTATCCGGAAATCACTAGGTGCATAACTTCTTTGGTCCATGCGGGCGTTAGACCATGCATCATAGGTCATTGCTCCTCAAGTAACATGCCTATGTATCCGCGGGATCCTTCTTAAAAACGCTTGTCGTTACCTTGTTTGGGAGCCATTCTTATGCACCTCCAGCCATGCATAAACCCCAGGATTGGCATTCGGGGAAGGAAAAGTGGGCGTAAGTGAAGAAGAGGAGAAAGTAATTGTCTGAAATCACCCCTACACCATTGGACCTTCAGCATTGGACATTACGTAGTTCAAATTATTTCCTTTAACTCATGGCTCTAGAGTAAAGATGCATTGCTGTCCGCGATTGAAAATCCTAATGGAGATCGTGGATCCGGTCCATTTGTGAAGTCGGCGAACATCGAACTAGCACCCTGATAATTCTTTGAATGTAATATGATAGGTTCATTCAAATATTTAGTTCATTCCTAAGCTTCGATGTTCTCTCGAAAAAGCCATAAAAGTCTTCTCGACCCTCTCAAGAGGCGGGTGCCTTTACCGAAAATTCACCAAAAGCTTGTGGAACCATAAATTAAAAAAGCGAAAGAGATGCTTCAAAAACAGGGATTTCAGGTGTGATCGATATGTGGATGAACAAAATCTCAGCAGATGAGCTCCCTTCCGTGTTAGATTGGTTTGATAGAATAAGAAGAGACTCTTGCGAACAGGGTATACATAAACCATGTTCTCTAGAATTATCACAATCATTTTTAAGGGACTTGTTTGTTGGCGGAGGAAAAAAAAAGAGCTAATTGGTATATGTGGTCTACTATGGAACGGTTTCGCTCAACCTTGTCACCGTTAACCTCCAGGGCGTCCCTGCACTTGGAGGCTAATCCATAATGGGAGACTTGAGCAATTGTTTGGTAAGGTAGCGGGTTCAATGTCCATCTACGTCCTTAAATTCTTAAATTTCATTTTGAACAAAACCCATCACTCGGACAGTAAACCAAAACGGTTACGGAGAGAGCACGTTCAGAAGAGATCCAATATTGGCACAAACACGCGTTCACGACGTTTAGTCATGTTGTCCATGAAAAAAGACCCCAAAAACTCCAGCGCACATGAAGATAGTATCTTAGGACACAGTAAGAAATGAGGGAAAACCTCTCATCGATTCCATTTGTGTATCTAGCCACACAATCAACTGTAAGAACAGTATTAACAGCGCTGCTTTTCATAGACAAGAGTAGAAATTGGCATCCCATGGACCAACCCTCTCACAATGAAATCCGCATATTGGGTGCACTCAAAGAACGCATTTGGATCCGAGGAACGAAACCATCGTGTAAAGGCCTGGATCTAGACACACATTTCAACTAGAAAGCTGTCGATTTCTCTGCATAATCCAGCTCTGCAGCGCCCAAAAGAAAAGAAAAAATCGTTGAGATGCTTATGTATTCCCTTTAGCATTTTTTATTTGCGAACTTGTTCGTGGTTGAATTAGCACAGGGAAAATTTAATTTTTATTATTCATCTTAGGACTACGAATTATGTCCGGATACATAGATACATAGATATATGTGATGCTGATTTTTTCCCCTCCTTCGCTTTCATCCTGAACTTTACACATCAATGCAGCTTCCGACGACCTTCCTGATCGCTGTACGGCCATAGGGGATGTATGAGGCACTGTACCAAAACAGAGCCAAGAATTGGATGACGCACAGAATTAAGCAGAGAAGACCCGATTTGAGCTATATTTCAGAGACAGGCATAGCAAGGTAGAGTTAGCATTCATTATACAATAAATGCGTTTACGATATGTGCTATATCCGCAGAAAATATGATAACTTTTGACGCTTTAGAAATGACACTTACAGTAAATGCGACGATGAGAGTAATGACGATCAGTGACAAGAAAACAATGGATGCCACCATGCGGACTGATGGACACAAACATTAAGTGCAATATACCGCGCGTTAATATTTGTCGTTATTTGTCCAATGTGACGAATACAATGGTTCTTAAGTACGCTTAATAGTATGACTGCAAGCCTTACCGGGGGCGAACATAGTCCTGAGCTGCTTGCCGGGTCCGATTAGGAAGGTCGTGCTATTCCCAAAAAAAAATGGTCGAGCGCTTGTTTTAGTTGCTGTTGTTTCACCGTCATCCATTTAGGATCAAGATGTCTCCAGCTCCAGTGCATCGTACCTAAGCAACGAGATAATGTTTCCGAGTGTAAAAAAGACTGCAAAAAGCGCGAGTTGTCCGGTACCGAGTGCCAGCGTTGACTATTTCATAATTGCCAAAAAGACCATGCGGACAAAAATATTAGCCCCATAGCTCGCTGCGAAACGTTCATTTTGCTCCTAAAAATGACCGCTCCATGCTGCTGCCATACCAGAATCGAGATGAGGAAACCAACAATAAAACTATCCAATGAATTGAAGGTCATCTCTGGTTAATAGTAAGCAATGGGACGTTAAGAAGACTACTGAGTCAATGTGACGAAAAATAAACGGTTCCTGACGATGTTGGGTATGCGTGAATAAATATCCATGGTGCTGAAATCGTCACTCAATAATCCTGAGTGGCGGTCAATGCCGAGATTTGCTATTCCACTATTCTGACAAGCAAGAGAGGCCATAGTCTTGGTGGTGACCCCTTGCATATATGAAGCTCTGTCCATTCAAATCTCTGTTGCATCCATGGGTAGGGTTCAGGGTCGTACAGGTGTCTTAAACTGTCTTCCCAGGGAAAAAAGATATAGAGCATATCTGAGAAGGAACAAAGTTCTTACCAGATCCCGAAGCCGTAAAGACGCTGTGTTCTGTCGAGCTGGAAGCAGCTCAGAGGATTGGAATCGTCCATAACCTATCATTAAAAGAACACAACCGGAAAGCAGGACTGATTAATTGCATGCCCACTGCTTCCGAGTTCGGCAGTAAAAGCAACTGGAGTTTAAGAGAGAAAGCTGACGCTCATCCTCTGCGTCAAATGCCTCCACAGTGTAGTTGCTTGACATACATCCTCGTTGCTTGGAAGCGATGACGTTCCCCAGATGGCCATAGTGCTGAACTTGTTTTTTGCTGATGCGGTTTGCTTGTTGTTAATGTTCTTTTAGTACTGGCGGCCCCCTTGGACTGCGGCGAAATGATGATGAAAGTGGATACCCGGCTTGGGATTAGCAGATGACTGGTGAAGAAAAGAAAAGGTGGGCCGACAACCTTAAAAGAGTAAAGCCCAGACACCGCCTCCTGAGCTGGAGCAAACAATTGACTTGACCGTTCAAACCCTTAAGTAGAAGGATGTGCAAAGCCCAACCGCGCCGGAAGGAAGGCATGTACCATTGACCCTTGATCCGCGAAGGCCCCTCTCCCTTATTGCAAGGGCCTATTGCCGCATAGCGGATAAACGGCTAATCCCCGCTGATGAACTTGCAAGAGCGACCAGCACTAAAAGAAGACTGCAAAGTGACAACATGGTCTAAAAGTGGCCCAATGAGGCCACGCTCCGTGCTCGCTGACAGGGTCCACCCGATTCGACGCTCACTTCGTACTCCACACCCTAGAGATACCAGAGTATGGGGTACATAGACAACCTGAAGACCCCTCCTCCGGAGGACACCACATAGGCGATAAGGAAACATACGGGCATGCGTATCATCATCATCATCATCATCATCATCATCATCATCATCATAATCATTGGTAGAGTGTATTGTCAAGCCCGCCGCCGGCCAAAAGGAAGCAAGAGGTAGTGCGGTGTCATGCAAATAAGGCGCACAGGCACGACAATTGACATGCCGACCGGATAAAACGTTTATTCAACCATCAACCTTGTTGGTCTCGCCTTATTTAAAGTCATCATTCCTTGGAATCTCCACACTGTTGCTCTCTTCTCATTCCTCTCATTCCCACCTTCTGCAATGCCAACATTTAAAAAGTTCAACCTCGACCTGCAGAGTGTTGAGTTGTCAGGGACACGTACCCCTGGTGCCACAGGCGAGTCACTATATGCCTCCCTTGTTCCGGTGGTCTGCCCACCCTCTCTATTGAATCTAACATACTAACCGCTGCTGATTTATGCACTTAGGCCATTACAGACACGCGGCGTTCGAGGATGGACTCATTGATCATATCCGCGAGGCACCCCATGTCAGGACCCTTTATGATCTTTTTCAACATGGTGAGTCTGGCTACAATAGCCGAAGAAATAGACTAAATAAATACGCATACGATCCGGGCTAGTCTAACGCAGCCGACCCCCACCCTTTTTTTTGTCCGTCTCGCCAGCGAACTCAAAATATTCCGAACGCGATTTTCTCGGCCACCGCCCTTACAATGCCGCTACAAAGACATACGGTGGATATACTTGGGAGACCTATGCGCAGATCAACCAGCGTGTCAACGACGTTGGAAGCGGTCTCATGCATTTGAACGAAAGAATTCTCGGTAACAGCCAGCTGAACCGCTGGTCGGTCGGTATCTGGTCGCAGGGGCGGCCAGAGTGGTTCATCACCGAGATGAGCTGCAACTTCCATAATCTTGTCTCAATTGCTCTGTATGATACTCTTGGGCCTGATGCGATTGAGTACATTTGTCAACATTCAGAAATCAAGGTCGTTGTCTGCAGTAGTAAGCATGCTTTTACCCATAACAAGACCGATGACCAGCCTGTTGCCACCGAACCACACTAATATTTTTTTTTTTTTTTTTTTTTCATTGTCCTTAGTCAAGAATATCATTCAGATGATGAAGATTGCCGACAATTTGCCTGAGCTGAAAGCCATCGTTAGCATGGATTCGCTCCGCGATAGCGCTACTGCGCCCGGATCCGGCGACAACAACTCCGCGGACCGCCTTCGCTCTTGGGGCAACGAGAAAGGCATCAAGATCCTCGATTTCGATGAGATTGAGGCCCTTGGTAAAATGTTTCCTCGCAAGCATACGCCCCCTCATGCCGACGAAGTCGCCTCTATCTGCTACACCAGCGGCACCACTGGCCAACCTGTATGTATTCATGCACGCATACTACTTACTACGGGCCTGAATGTAATGATTGGGTTCTACACTTTGCTAACGCTATATCGATTTGTGTCTGACGATAGAAAGGAGCCATGTTGACCCACAAGAATTTTATCGCGTCTATTGGAACTAACCGTGAATCCATGCATATCAATGCAGACGACGTCCTGATCAGGTATGCAAACCACACATTCGCGCAGAATAAAATAGTTTACGACAATCTTGGCGTAGTTTCTTACCGTATCCCGTTTTTTCATCTGCGTAGTTACCTTCCTCTGGCCCATATTATGGGCCGTATGGTGGACACGAATGCTACGTTTGCTGGGTGCAAGGTCGGCTACTTCAGAGGAGATGTCGCGCTGCTCATGGAGGATGTTGCTGAACTCAAGCCTACGTATTTCCCAACCGTGCCTCGTCTATTGAACCGCATCTACGCCAAAATTGTCGCTGCCACCATTGAGGCGCCAGGTGTTGCAGGTGTATTGGCCCGTCGAGCAGTCGCTGATAAGTTGGTCAATTTGGAAGCTGGCAAGGGTGTACACCACCCAGTATGGGATCCTTTGGTGTTTGACAAGGTTAAGATGGCTCTCGGTGGAAGAGTCCAAGTATTGTTGACAGGAAGCGCACCGATTTCCAAGGAGGTCCTCAGCTTTTTGCGCGTCGCTCTCGCTTGTGTTGTTACAGAGGGGTATGGTGCTACAGAAGGAATGGCCGTTGGTACCATCACTATGGCTGAGTAAGTTACCTGTCTATTCACCGCTATGGATGATGTTCCGTGCATTCTGTATCGGTTATCCAACCAAGTTTCCCCTCTATTCTGTTCTTTAGCGAATACATCCCCGGACATGTTGGCTGCCCTCGCCCTGGTATAGAGCTCAAGCTGGTGGATGTGCCCGAGATGAACTATCTTACAACAGATAGGCCCTACCCTCGTGGCGAAATCCGTATCCGCGGTGCTACAGTATTCAAGGGTTACTATAAAGACGAAAAGAATACCCAAGAGACCGTTGACCCGGAAGGATGGCTTGCGACAGGAGACATTGGATTTATGGATGATCGCGGATGTCTTACTATCGTCGACCGTAAGAAGAACATTTTCAAGGTACATACTAGATCTGAAAATGCTGATAACGAATGCCTTGCTCAGCAGTAACTGTGCGATCGACCCTCTTTTTTGCCTCCCTTAACGCGATCCTAACGATTGTCTTTAATAGCTAGCACAAGGCGAATATATTGCACCGGAAAAGATTGAGAACATCCTTACTGCCCGATGCAACTTGGTCATGCAGATTTATGTCCATGGGGATTCCCTCGAGAGCACGCTGGTGGCCGTTTCGGTCCCGGACCCGGAGACCTTTGTGCCTTTTGCCAACACCATTACGGGTGCTGCGATTGCGTTGAATGATCAGGAGGGCATTGCCAGACTCTGCGAGCACCCCCAGGTCAAGAGTGCCTATCTGAAAGAACTCGAGAAGGCCGGCAAGGCCGGGGGTTTCAGGGGGTTCGAGTTTGTAAAACGTCTTCATTTGACCACAGACGCGTTCTCGGTCGATAATGAGTTGTTAACTCCGACGTTCAAGGTCCGTCGTCCTCAAGTCCGTGACAAGTTCAAGGATGTGATCCAGGCTATGTATGAGGAGATGCGCAACGAAGTGCCGGCTGCAAAGCTTTAGGTGCTGCGGACTTAATAAATATGTGAGAACTTTTGCTGGGCTGGAGATCACTTTGGGATGATGAGACGACTTCCTCGGCCATGGAAATGTCACTATTTCAGTGGTCTGTAAGTTGTCTAGGTCATTAAAATGACTTTACTGCTCGATGTCCACTGATCTCGAGCAACATATGAACCTGGCACATTTGATTGCTGGCTGCGTTCCTGTTGTCAATCGAATGAAGCGAGAACTAAGTAGCGAAGACACGGAGCAGGCAATGTACCTAGAAGTGGACGGAAATGTTGGGTCTCATTTTAAATGTCACTACCAATCTCGCTCTGAAGACACATTCTCCTGTATTCAGATCCATCGATCTTTATCACCATTATACCGTTGTCCACCAAAAAGAATTCCGCAAACAGGATTTGAGGCTCATTGGAACCGTCGCATGTCCACATCTTTTGCCCGTAGCTATATTCCTATGCAAGGATTCCAGGTTTTTGGAACACCAACCATACAATATCGTCTCCAGGTCGTACCATGATTAGGTTTCACAGACCTATGGGCTAGTCGACGAATGCAGATGCCTTTGCCAGTGAACTTAAACAGGATCATCCATCAAAGCCAGCAGTCGAACCCCTGGTCACTGAGTATCTGATCGGTGAGCAATTCAAAATGGTTTATCCCTGAGATGTATCGGTCTTACTTTACAGCACTCTTGGCTCAATCCTGATTGAGTCCATCCTAAACCACACAGAGATCTCCAAAGTTGTCCCAAGCGGCATCAAATCTTATTGCTTTTTCTAATATGCTCAGTACGGTGCCTCGGACCTTCTGCGGCTTATAGAGAACATATTTGTGGCCACAGTATGCGTGGATCTTCTTTTTCATCATCGAGTTTAGGTATTACAATCAAGAGGGAGACGAATGGAGGATGATCCAGGCTTTCAGACTGAAATCCAGTTATTTCAACGTACCGTCGCTGTTGAAACAGACTAGTAATGGCGACTCATTGTACGCATATTCCGTGCAACAAACGCAGAAGACAATGCTTAAAGACCCCAGCAACAAGTTGAAAGGCGCTGTTTAGACAGACGAACTTCTGATAAATCTAAATATTTAAAGATCGATGTGAGTATTGACTTGAAATTCATGAGGTACATGGTTGAAGCCAGCGTAGATTTGCAACTGCTATGCTTCCAGCAGATCACCGCACTCATCGCACTAAGGAATGAGCGCCTTCACAACTTTCAGTTCCAAGTTCAAAAATATGCGGCGCGTCGTGCTAGCCGCGAATCCGTCGCTGCATGTAGCATTCAGAAACGCAATCCAGAGACAGCGAGCGACCCAACTAGTCCTTCCGTTATTACGCATGCCACTGGGTTTCACAACGAGTAATGGGACCCCGATATGGCTCGCATAAATCCCTGATGGACTAGCGGTAATATGTGCCCCGTTTGACTGTATGAGCTAAGGCGACAGCGCTGTATTGAATAAGGACGTTTTAAAGAACGTATATTGGGAAGCCTCCCTGCTTTTGTGAAGATGAATGTCAAGATAAAAAACGCAATCGCTCAGCGCTCATCTTCGCTATGTCGACTTTGAGTGCTCTGATAAACCCTTGACTAATTAGTACTTCTACATAGAAGAAACCCGTCGCCGTTAGATAGATGCCGCACGCAGGTCATAGGTTTTCCAGAATAGCCTCGTTCTAGCATGCCATTGAAGAGTAGCTATATAACCGGCACGTCAAATCTCTGCTGCAGACGGAGTAAATCCATGAAATAGCTATTAAAACCTTGCCTTTACAGCGAGATCAGGCACCTTCTCAGTCATTGCTGCCATTGATCTAACAATATCTCCAATTAAATAGTGTGAGAAGGTCCCTTGGATGTCCTCGGCCAGTTCGCCCATAGACTACGTGATGATACATGAAAAGACAGGCGAAAACATTGCGACGAATGACTCTCTGTATAGTGCTGAGCATCGTGGCAGCCAGCTCATACAGGACATTTTTTTTTTATTTCGAGCGCGTCTCTAGGAGTGAGGCAAAGACCAGGCTCCTCCGGAAAAAGTTCTGAGTATGGCACACAGAAGCATTGGATTGATATTTGGTACGTCTTGGATGGGAATGCAGATGCCATGGAACACAAGCTGGGACGCTACGGCTTACGTGTTCATTTTCAACCCAATGCACAGGAGCATGGCATAACGGATGCTATGGATACGGAGGGCTCTAGAAGCACCACGTTGAAGCGCTTCAAGTCTCAGGATGCTAAGGCGATATCCCTCGTTTTTACTTGCAAGAGCTGCTGGGCGCGAAACGTGAGCAACATCAGCATGAATCATTTGATACCGTCGAAACTGGATGCTTATTGAACTTTTGAGAACTGCAAAATACTGATGCGTCGTCAGGATAGGACGCGTACTGTAGCTGTAGGAAACTGTATCTTGTCATTTTTAGACCACACCGTTGACGCGATCGAGGCTGAAGAGACAAGACTCAAACACGTCCATATCAATTGCCTCTGCGGATCAACTTTCCGCTGGAAGCGCGTAGAGAGATGGATATAAATACGTATACCTCTACATGTAAATGAAAATGGAACGGTGAAGGATGAAATGGCGCTTCAAGACGACAAGTAGTCTTCTGGAATATGCCCGAAGGATTCTTTTTCTTTTGTAGCCATTGGAGCTACCAAGAGGCCAGAGGCTGTTTATCTGTTCCAGGGTTGGTCGCTTTCTTTCGATTTTCATTCTCAGATTTTTGTGCGATAAACATTCCCCTTGGGCATCAAATGCACACTTGGATCGTTCGAGACTAGAAGCAACGGTGGCACTGCTTGGTCCACATGACTGTTGCTCCACTCGGACCATCATAACGTGAGCATAGAAGAAAGAAGAAAGAGGCGTAAAAAAAAGGAGCGGTGAGCGCGTCTAAGGGTTTGAAGAGGTCGGGTACGACGACATATGCATGAGGAGATAAGTTCGACTCTCTTCTGGAAGTTATTTTTTTGTTTGTTTGTGTTTGTGTTCAGCAAAAAAGAGTATTAGTGTCACACAAAATTGTGCTTATGCGAATGTGAGTTGAACGGGTGATGTGGCAGATTTGGTTCAGTCCGGCAACGTGCTCTGGTTGGTCCCTCGGTCCAAGCGACTTTTTTATTGTTGTTCACTGGCGACCACAGTTCGCCTGTTTCCCGCCTTGCTCTTGCTCAAAGAACACGGCAGTGGAGGTCAGAGAGAACCAACTTACCGAGGACCCTTGCCTTCTTCTCTCTTCTATACCACTCAATCCAACTCCCGTGGACACCATCTCCACTGCTCTATCCTCCATCCCTGCTTCCCTCTCACTCTCTCATCTCTCTTCCCCTTTCGTTCTCATCGGTCGACGAGGTCTACCATCACACCACCATCTTGACATAAACTCCTCGCCATACAAATTTGCGCCCGGGATGAATCCATCGCCAGATGCATCCTTGCCAGGAATCGGTAAGAGTGCAACTTGATGTGCCCTTCGGCATGTTGGCGGGGTCGATTGTCCAACGCCTCTTTTTTTCATCTCAACCCCTAGATGGTTGGTCTCACATTACTCAATTTTGTCTTCTCCCACATAGCGCACTACACGTTCTTGAGGCCACTGGGGCATGGCCGTTTTTGTTTGGTCCACCTTGCTCGGCATTTTTTCACAGAGAAGCTGGTAAGTAGACGAGAACATGCCTCTATACCGGTCTACATTTTCGACGCTTCTAGCCCTTGCATCGGTTCAGTCCCTCCTATGGCGAATGCGGAGACGAAGGGAGACATGTTGAAAACAACGTTCCTTTATTGTGCCAGGGCAAGGGGGATAAGCAGAGACGATAATATCAGTCGACGCTAGCATCCCTCTATGGACGTCAATTGGATGCAAAATAAGGTGGATCTGGAAATGCCTTATGCACTATAACCATACAAGATTAAACTGGCACGCAACCTTGTTGGTCTCAGATGCGACCATCATACTCCATACTCCGTACTCCATTCGATCAAGTACTCCAGCACATACCAAAATTCTCTCTTTGCCGAGTACCACTAGACCCCATTCCTAATCCCACTACCGTCTTCTATCTGAACCACAATGGACACCCTCAGCAACACCGTTCTTCCCATACTTACTCAATGATCCTGGTCTTCTCTCTCTCGACTTGATCTATCGAACAGTATGCTGTCAAGGTCATTGACAAGCAGGCACACAAATCCGATATCCTACTCCGGCTACGGCGCGAAATCGAACTCTTAGAGTCCCTGGATCATCCCAACATTGTCAAGCTGCACGAGGTCATTGAGACCCAGTTCACAATTTATGTGTGCATGGAATATATTGAAGGTAAAACGGAAGTCAATGTCGATGTCGATGTCAAGATACACCTCCTTCAAGGCATCACGCTTACCCATTTTTCAACACATATGTTTTGTCCGATGGCATAACAGGATGCAGTCTTGAACAGCACCTAAAGAACCATGACCATGGAAGGGTTAGCGAGAGGGAAGCCCGTAGGATAGCACGGGAACTCGCAAGCGCCATCTCTCACTGCCACTCGCGTTTCGTCGTCCATCGAGACATCAAGCCCGCCAACATTCTTCTTATGCCAAGCGGCAAAGCCATGCTGATCGATTTCGGACTGGGCAATACGTTCTCTTATCGCTCCCGGCTCAACACTATCTGTGGTAAGGTCGAAGCTCCCTTTTAATCTACTCCATTTTAGATCGGCCCTTTTTTCGACAATACCTAATGCGACCTACCTTTTAACTTTTATTTTTTGATCGTGCCCTTTAGGATCACTTCCTTACTACTCACCGGAAATTGCACGCGGTTCCAGTTACACAGGCCCTGAAGTTGATATCTGGTGTCTGGGCGTAGTCCTTTATAGAATGACCGTTGGACGGGATCCCTTTATGGGCGCGACAAAACGCGATGTCAAGCTGCAGATCACACAGGACATATTCCGGCCACCACTGAACCTCAGCCCTGGCTTGCAAACTACGCTTCGGACACTCCTCGCACCGGACAGCGCACACCGACGTACTCTCGCAGTTCTCGAAAACGACCCCTGGTTTCACGAGGATACCGCAGAACAAGTGAACCAGCAGCTGCCACCATTCTTATCTGAGGACCGCAGCATGTCTGAAAACAGTCGACTCAGTGGAGCCACGCTTGTGCGGCAGCAATCCCATAAGCGACAGTCGCTCACGGACAGCTATTATTATGGCTATGACAGGAACGGGTCACTTTTTGGGAACCACTCTGCAGTGACAGCTGCCGGTCCCATTGGCCCGGTTTGGCAGATCGATCGGGATCAGCCACGGCTCCGCAAGAATCGCGTGAGGGTTGTGCCTGCTCAGGATGGATCTGCACAGAACGACTTTTTGTTCCGACGAGATCAGGAACTGAGTTTGCTACAGTTTTTGGTGCCAATTTTGCGGGCCTGTCAGGTCTCCTATTACTTGCATTCGTCCTCCAGGATCCTCTGTGGCACTAGCTTTGTGAAGGATCTCCCCGGTGAGGGATGGTCGACTCCGCCATCTGTGGCGCTACAGAAACTGGTTCATCAGGTCGGCGCAGCTATGACAGGCCGGTCGATGGAACAGGTATCCAAGCAACACCTCATGCCTCGCTGCGGTGTCTTTTCGATCGATATTGTAAAGGCCAAGGAGAAGAAGGGGGGACAGGGCGGAGGACATTTGTTGATCATCAAGCGGTTGTTTGGGTCGTCATTGACGGTGCAGTATTTCAAGAAGCAGCTTCTATACAATGCCACGATACCGCCCAAAACTCAGGAGGCATCTTCTACTTAACCAGAATACCTGGCTTTCTCATCACCTACATATAGTTATACCATCGAGAGTCGCCATTTTGCTATTTAATCTATCTGTAAAATATAATTATAATCATAATCGTAATTGTAATCAAAAAAACACAACGTTTGCTGCTTTGTCATTTTTGTCTCTTCTTGCCCTGGAAAGAATAAGCTGGCAGAAGCTACGAAAAGCTATCTCAGCATCAACGGCCAGCGAGGATACAAACCCAGTGCTTCTATAAGACGAAAGAGATCATCACGAACAATTAGACCTTACAACTGTCTCAATGGACACGTCAAGGACACAACCAAGCAGAACCAACCAACCAAAAAAAAAAAAAAAAAATGGAAGCAAAATGCTAACACCTGGAATCGAACCAGGATCGTCTCGGCCACAACGAGATATACTAACCATTATACTATGTTAGCTTAAGAGTTACTGTTATTTACAGTCTTAGATATTTCACATATTACTACCTCTCTTTATTTGCACGCATTCCCTATTTGCACATTCTATAATTGCACGCCCCTTACTTGCATGCCAGGGCTCATGTGGATATATGTTAATGAAAAAAATAAAAACATGTCCGTGTGGTGCGTTACTCGCTGGCCATGCAAACTGGAGCTGCCCTGGCTCCATGCTTGACCCAAACGCAGCGGATCGGATGCTGCTGAACTGCCTGCAATGGAGGAAGCGGTTGACAACCATGGAGGGGATGGGGGAGATACCCTTTTTGTAACAAGGAGTTTTCAGCTTTTAACACACTGATGAGGTGTGGCAATTGTTGCGCAGGCCCCAGGGGCGGGCCCAGGGAATGTGACCTGTCAACTGGCGACTGTGGATCGGTTCCGCTTTGGTGGTGAGGACAATGGCGGTAGATCTTTGCTAGTTAGGTCTGATAGATTCGCAGGGTCAATTGACTCAAGAGACAAATTTTTATAAAACCCCCTCCCCCTACTTGCACGCTTGTCCCAAGCTTCACACAGATGACAGACAAGACCATTTGGACAGCACTCGAGAACAAGATCAAGGGAGCTTCGGCGATACGGCAAGCAAGCAACACACTCGGCCGTGTGGAGGACGAGACAAGGGACGACGACCAAGCGGCCTGGACGGTTCAAGATATGTACCACGGACTGACACCAGCGGCTCTCACCAAAGACTGAGCGAATCTCTTCAAGGCGACCACCTCGATTGCGAGGTACATGGTCGGTCGATTTGTCAAGGCCATCGAGGAATTCGGACGGACAGAAATCTGGAACAAAAGAGGCAAAGTCACCGCCGACAGGGGAAGAGAAAATGGGATCACTACCATGAGCAAACGCGCCCGGGGACGCAACTGTGTTGGAGAGCACAGACGTAATGGTAATGGTTTCGTTGGATCCCCCAGGAGACAGCGACGCGTATCGGATGTGAAAGAGATCGAGGAGCGAGCGGACAAGCGAGTGCTGCAAAGTTGCCTGTAGCAGGTGGAGCTCAACGTGATGGAACGCACCGGCAACTGTAAATTGTTGATGATTGAGGAGCGCGGCTAAAAGGTAACCTTTGCGCACAACAGGCCAAGTAGGGAGCAGGGCTCAGTCATCGACCCCAGGTGGGGTCGAGTTACCATTCATGCTGACGGGGATTGTGAAGGGGATTGGAGCTGCGAGTGACAAGCAGCGGTGCGGCAAAAGCCGCTTATTAGATTATTGAGCACCCTTTTCTATGCCTCTAGCAATAGGGTTTCCTAATCTAGTGTTCCTCACTAATAAATCACACATATCCTCGTGAGTTCTAGTTATCAGAAAAAAAGAAAACAAACTTGTATGTCTGTCCCATCTATCCTATGCAATAAGAGCTGTGGTCAGGAGCGCTTGAGGAAGTGAGTGCAGTTGGAGACAAAGTTTTTTTATTTTTTTTATTGATGCCAGATCCCCCCAGGCGTGCAGGCGTGCCACATGCTGCATTGTCCAAGCTTCGGCTTGGACTGTCAGTCGGCCGATAGTTACCTAAAGATAGCTAACAAAAGGTTCCCACTAAGCTAATGTAAAGTGAGGAACCAAATACCTATGATGCACATTCTGAGTCGCATGGTTTCTAATACTTGAGCCAGGGCCCAAAACCGCTACGCAACCTGTCGCGTCCGATGGGTCCTCTTCTAGTCAAGATCACGGGCCAATATGGGTTCTATCCTCCTCCCTCTCTCCCTCTCGTTCAACACCACCCTTCCCTGGAGATGGTCCACCAGGCGGCTATCTGCTCTCCTTCTCGCCGCCGCCGTAACCTCCTCCTGGGACTGTTGTCTCACAAAGCCCTGGGCCTCACTTCCTACCTGGACTCCGACTTTCTTCATCCCCGCGCATATGTCCTCGGACTTTTCCCATGCCACTGTGACACTACATCGCTCTTTCCATCTCCTCTCGACCGAAAGCCTCAACTCGTTCTACAAAACGTCCAACCAGGTAGGCCGCGATACTCTCCGACGTCTTCAAGAGCAGCACCCAATCCATTGTCGGAGACTTTGGTATGAGTCCGTGATATATGTCTGTCAGTGGTATATAGGTTCGGCTTCCACCTGTGCATATACTGCATGGTTGGCAGCATACCATGGTTTTCCTTGATCCTGTGGGACCGATGGTTGCAAGGTTGGTGAATAAACCCCCTGGCGGATTTTTCTCACGTTTGATAACAAGGCTGGATCGCCACTCCAGTTCTTCTCACTGCTGAATAAATTGTTTCGTTCGTTGTTGACAAGTCCATGCATGATGGTTTCTGGCTGCAGACTGGTACTTGATCAATTGGCGAATGTCGTCCTCCGCTGGCTGACCATAGGAGGTCGTATGTGTCTTCATGCTCGTGAAATACTGTGCGTTCAGTTGCGTAAAGAACAAAAGGGTGGAGGAACAGCCCAGCCTGGCTCAAGATATCACGTGTAGGAGTCTCTTTGTGGAGCTGCTATTTTGATCGAAGTACCGCCTCGTATCAGCGTATCAGCACAGCACCTCCTTTTTGTTACATGAAGCAAGCTCGATCTCTGAGTGCCGTATATACATGGACACTTCTTGTTTGAGCTATAGAGAACAAGCCTGGATTGGAAAGGGTTGTCTGGTTCTTGTTCTGAGCTAGATTAAATATCCTATCGAGTCTTCGACTTATTAAGCTCGGCCGGTTGAACTTCTCAGTTCGATGGCCCGCTTACATGGATGTAGCGCACGGCATTTCAATCTAGGGCTCGTTTTTGCCATCGGAACATATGACTCATTTTATCCAGATGAGCTGTAACCGCGACGGCTCGACGCCAGGAGGAGTAAGTGACATCAGACGACACAATCCAGTTCGGGAACAGGGCTTGGCCGTACATGGGAGCCGCCTCTCGAAGTATATCGCTGATGTCCGTGGCTATTAGGGAATCTAGGTCCACTCCCCGAAGGTTTGGCGCAAACTTAAAGTCCTGGATCATATCAAGCGTTAATGCTTCGCCCCGGAGTTTTAGACCAACTAGGGATTTGAACGAACACAGCCGTCCCCAAATTGGCTGCATTTCCCCGAATGTGGACAACCTGAGCGGATGTCGGGGCCTTCCATACTGCAGAGGTTGATACTCGAGCGGTTGGATACCCATACACAGGTTCTCGAGCACATTGGCGCATGGCCACGGTTTACTCCCCTTGAAGAGCCCGATTGTCCTCGCCATCATGCCCAACAGGTTCAATCTGCGCAAGAGCGTGCAGTTCTCCAAAAACATAGAAGCACTGGCGCTGTTAAACACCATACACCCTTCAATGTCAAAGGTAACCAGACTGTGTGATATTCCTGGCGATACATGGACTGATCGAGACATACGTGTCAATTGTGTGAGAGCTTGGTCTTCATGCGCCATCGCCACCATCACACCCGTCGCTGAAGTGTCGTCCCTGATGCTGCTTCCAACGCAATGGTCGTAGCATGGGACCCTGGTATGGCTCTATGTAGGGTGGCTCAATCCTCGAAGATGTCACTCCAGTCCTGAGCGATGACGTTGATCCTCCATCTGAGTTTAAGGCAGTCGAGGTTGAGGAGGTGCTGAAACGATGAAAGTGAGGATGCTTAGCGTTCGAATCCTCAGAGTCCCATGTAACAGTGTTCAAGGTCAACGACCGAAGCGATGTGTTCACCCAACTTTCGTCATCCACCCTGATCAGCCCAGTGCGCTCCTTCTTCCCCTATGGCTCCTGCTCGTTGCGGACGTCCTTGAGCTCCTCTACTATGGTGACCCTTTCCAGAACCAACGACCTGAGCTGACGGCAATCTCTGAACACCAAAAGAATATCGTCGATGCGGAGGTTGGCATTGGAGTACCAGTAAGAGTCCTCCAGGTTCTTGAGAGTCGCTACAGATGCCATCTGACAGTCCGACGGCTGCGATAAGGATAGCTCCAGGATAACATGTAAGACTCGAAGCTGTGGCACCATCTCCGTGACCTGCTCGATATATGAAGTATACAAGACCCCGAATCGGATCCTGAGCGATTGTAGGTTGGCGGTAAACATGAGAAGGTAGCGGGCGCTGATCCATCTTGTGCGCGAGAGACCGAGGGTCTTGACATGGTCTCCGTATTTGCTGATCTCTGGATAGGCGTTAAATAATCCGCACTGGGGAAAAAATAGACTTTCGTAGAGATAAGGAACCCAAATGCTATTCCAGGTACAGTTGACACGGATGAGGGCCGTGAGATCGCGCCTTGCCAGGTGGTCGGTGATTAAGTGAACAAGCTCCGGGATCGAGAAGACAATGTTTTGGAACATCTTTGGAGCAGTGTCAACGCTGTTGTTGTTCTTGGTCCTCCTAGGACGTAAAATCATCCGGTTAGCTGCTTGAGCACGGTCTGAGACGGTCGGCGCCAACTTAAGCATGTTGGAAGTGGCGAGAAAAGAAAGGGTGGTACACATTTGTGGCAATGTAACAAACCTATCGGACTCATGCGGTGAGCCCAGCAGAGGTCAATCGACCTATCCCTATCTGTTGCCACCACCATCGCCATTTTTCTTGTCCACCTCTCTTCTCCCCTCCGTCAGTCATGCCCAAGGCCAACAAATCCGATAACTGCGTTGTGGACATCGATACACCAAGGATCTCTCAGGATACCTTCTTTTTCATCCCTGAACTTCTACATCTTCTCGCCGGCTATCTCACACAGAGTGATCTTAAGGCCGCCGTCCTCGTCAGTCGTGCCTGGAATACCATTTGGGTTCCCTATCTCTATGAAAAGCTATTCTTCCGCGAGTACCAGCAGACTCGCAGCTACCCCAGCATGCACTCATACGGCCATCATGTCAAGAGTCTCGAGCTCATTTCCATAGAATGGGACAATCTCGCTTTCCTTATCAACTTTACCACCAGCCTACACTCGCTCTTCCTCTGCAGCACAAAATTGAGCACTTTTCAGCTTCAGGAGCTCGGAGAGATAGCACCACAGCTTCGAGTTCTGCATACCATCTTGGGGCAACGCTCGCCAAATCCATTGGAGTGCCAGATGACTCCTGTGTCTGCATTCAAGCACCTGGAGGACTTTTACTGGAGTGCCCTGACAGATGTCCGCATCGACGATATTCTTTTCGTGCTTAAATCATGCTCTCATCTCCAGTCACTGGCCTTGGCAATCAACTCACTAGTCGAAGAACTTGACGAGGCCAAAGTCGAGGAGATTGACGGCATCAAAAACAGCAGCTTGACCGTCGATGTTGCGCCAGAATTGGTCAAAGTGGACGATGACGGCTGGGCAAGCACGTCGCTCCGAGTATTGAGCTGGGGCAATGTGATGTTAGGACCACGACAATCCTGCTTGGACGACTCGAAACAGCCACATCCCTGCATCCGCCGCCTCTTTCAGCACACACCAAATCTCAGGAAGGTCAAGATCAGTGATGAGAACAACATTGGCGCTCAGAACTGGAACTGCATGTTCGGGAATCAAGCCAGCATCCAGGAGATCGAGCTTGCGTTGCGCGTCTCAGTAACCGAAGGTGGTTCTCGAGTCGGCGATTCGGGGCTCTTGAACGCTGTGTCAAAAGCATGCTCGAATCTCAAGAAGTTTACTGCCAAGCGTATGTCGCCTACAACGGACGAGGCATTTGCGGAAATGATGCGGGTCAACCACGGGCTTCAAAAGGTCAACGTCAAATACACGGAATTCGGGGACTTGGCACTCCATCAATTGGCACACCTTCCTCCAACACTCACTTCAGCAGGGACTTCGCATAGCCTTGTTGAACTCGATGTGGAGGAATGTCTTCAGATCACCAGCCGTAGTGCCATCGAGATACTCGAGAACTGTCTTCTCTTGCGCAATTTGAACCTGTTGGGCACGAAAGCCGGTACAATCGAGCTTTTCAAGGGGTGCAAGCCTTGGCCTTGTGCGAAGGTGCTGGAGATGCTGCGGATTGATATCCAACCACTCGACTATCAGCGCTGGCGGCGCAGTGCTGGATCTAGACAAGCAGATATGCCCCCTCTTAAACCATACGCACCTGAGGACCAGGGGTTGATCAGGGAGCGGCTGTGCTTGTTCACTTCTCTTCTCGATCTCGAACTCAAGGGTGAAGCGATGACATATGAAATCTTGGAGGACTTTTCGTTTGCGCTGAATCTTCGAAAAGTTATTCTGTGTATTCCGTTCAAGGCGTTATACTATAGAATGAAACAAAAGAAGAGAATAATGGCCCAAGAGCGCGGCATGACATTGTTGCTGAACTGGATTGTGAGGGGTAGGGTCAGCTATGTTTCCTCACGACCCGTCAGTATTATCTCTGCCATTGTCAGCAGGGATACTTTTGTATTCCATTGTAAGTACGATATATTATAATAAAGCTATTTGTATGGTACAACGCGCACTAAAACCATGGACGATACGATGTTGGTGCGATCCAAGAGTCCGAATCAAGAATCGCTTTCGTTTACGATGGTCAATGTGCACATCGCACAGGCCTTGAATGTCCATCCTTTTTGCGGCCGTTTAAACTTGTATAATGCCTCCGCCCACTGTTACCCCTCTCTTTTTTTTACCCCGTTTTCGGTTTCCAAAGATGTTTGCGGAAACAGAAAGCAACACTATCGACAGCACGCCGCTCAGGATACCTGTTGATATGATCTTTTCGATCTCCTAGCTCGTGCACGTCATCGCCCGTAACCTATCGCAGCACGACCTTGCAACCGCTACTCATGTCAATCGTACCTGGAATGTCGTCTGGAACCTTTATCTTTACGAAAGGATCCTCGCTAGCCAATACAATGGTGATAGCTATCCAGGGCTTCACATATGCAGCCGACATGTCAGAGCCTTCATGCTGGATACAAAACATGGATCATTTCCATCTTAGTGAGTATATCTCCAACTCTGCAATCGCTCTTTCTCCGCCGCGTGAACCTCCGCGCCTGGTATCTCAAGAGGATCGCTCGCATAGGTTTCGCTCGCATTAGGTACCACAACTTTAGGTTCCATTAAATGGCAGGGAAAAATGGCTAAGTATGGCAAGGCTTTGTCTCCAAACTGGTTTGTAGAAGTCGGTGTACTGTTGACTTCGGGGAGCATGTGTAGGATTAGGACGTGCTCTTTAATTCTTTTTGGGCTGGCCATATTATTTGAAAGACAAGCATCGGAACAACCACAATGTGCACAGCAGTAAAAACATGAAATGCTATTAACTCATTGGTATGCGTTACCGACATTAGTTATCTATCCAGAACCTCTCCATCACTGACAGTTTTGTGTCCCAGCACCGACAACGGCATATCAATGGAGCTTGGCTTTTGAACGCCATGCCGAAAGCAAGTCTAAAAAAATCGGATGTCAGAAACATGGTCAAACCCACATAGTATTTGAGAAGAACTTAGTCAAATGAACTTTCCAACCCCCTATCGTCCTCGTCGAATATATATTTTGACGAGCAGGCTGGATCGGTGCTACACAGGCTCGCATAGTTGGATCTCATTGTTGGTCGGAGAGGACGCCTCTCCGCCTTCCCCACCCACTTGTGCAAATTACATTGTCAACGCTTTAGGTTTCCTCTTCTGTTTGACCCATCGCCGGTGCTCGAGACCAATATTCAAGCAAGAATCCGTCTTCCTCTATAGCGAACATTACCTTGTCGATTTTTTATTATTCTTCTCACAATCCAAGGTGACATTTTTCGGAACCATTGACCTATATAATGGGAAATATACATATCCTGGCCGCACTCAAAAAGTCTGCAACGACATCACTTTGAAAAACATCAGCGCTTTACATTAAAGCACCATTCATAATAAGCCCATTGATATTGTGCTTAAAGCACAGCAACAATGGTCTTGTAGGACGAATATACGCATGTCCAGACGGTGCTCTAGCTGTGGGTTCATGTTATTTGTGCGCACTGCGAGGACACGCCTTTGGGTGATGAAGAACGTCACTCGACGCGTCTATTTTCATTTTTATTTTCGTTTGTTTACATTTTGACGCGTTGCCTTCCATTCAAAATTCTCCCACGGGCGGCTGTCCTCTTTTCTCACACTCTTCTCCACCCTTCCAAACCACACATTCACCGATGCACCCGTCCCAAAGTGCACTCCGTTACTCGGTGCTATGGCCAGGCAGCATCGTCCAGGTATGTTACGACGCTCATGAATTTGCTCATTGTGCTTTTGCTCATTGTGTTTGTGCCTGTGGTTGCAGGATGTTCTCTTCTAGCCTGTTGGGGCTGTGCGTGTCTATGTCTGAGCCCACTTTTTATATTTCTCGCATCTTTAGCCTGCTTCGCCCGTCAAGTTCACTGCAGCAATCCTCAACAGCAGCGTAGTAGGACCATAACGACGACCACAACGATGACCGGTCGAGTCCACAAAGATATGTTCTTGGTGTCATTTCCTTGCAAAGTGGCACTGCTCGTCTTTCTTTTCTTTTTTTGTCCGTGCCTGATGCTTGGTGCCTTGTGCCTGGTGGTTCTGCTTCTGTGCCTTGTGCCGTAGATTGTGTCTGTGTCTGTGTCTGTGGCTCGATCCTCATGGCGTAACCTCATTCTGCACTTGTTTTTGTGTGTCAACACCTATTTTCTAGCAAAGAGAGGTTCGCTCCTCCAGCTCACCATATCAGCTGGTCAGTTACAGCAACCTCAGGTGCAGCATGGCCCAGTCCACTGGGACTCGCCATGGTCAAGAAGAGTGAGTCAGATGGCCACAAAGGTATGTTTGACATACACCGTTCGCTGTTGCTGTACTGGGAGTCAACTTTGGCGCCTGTGTTCCTTTTCTCACACACTCACACACTGACTGTCCTCTTGTCTTCTGCTGTCTGAACTGGTTCTCCTCTAGCCACTGGCCTCTGTCTCTGCCAGTCTCGGCTGAGAAGAGGCCCTGGCTCACCCCACCCAACCTATTGGGCAAGCCAGACTCGCCGGGCCATGGCAATCCCATCAAGCCTGTCAAGCCTGTCAAGTGAACCAAGCAAACCAAGCAAATTGAAACATTCAAAGCTAAGTACTCTCCATCCCCTCCCCTCTTCCACCGCCCCACTCAACCCTCCCACCACCTTCCCTGTCGTCAATGATTGCCCTTAACCCATCCAAAAAATACCCTCCCCTTCGAGTGTCTCTGCACACTTGGTCACCACTCGCATGAGTCCTCTCGCGGTCCAGTGACCTCGAGGCTGAGGGACTGTTGATCCCAGCTGGAATTGGGTGCCTGCTGTGCTGGTCGCCCAGTGCTGCACCCTAGCCGGCTCTCTCCTGTCCACCCTCCTTGTTCCTGGGGTCAAACAAGACACTTACTTTTTGCTGTGTCCAGGGATTCTATAGATCGTCGACGTGCCCGTGCTCTCTCTTGCTCGCCTGGTTGGATGCACGGCCTGGTGCTGAGACAGCGTCCCCGCCGTTTTCCCCGATCCTGAACTTGATCCAGGTTCATCGTCCTGGGGGGACTCGACCACGGTCGTGCGAAAGGACACTCGCCGACACATAGGCCAGCTGATTGTGATGCTCGGAGCGAAGACATCATGGTCAAGGGATGTCCAGCGGTCCTGATCCTAGTAAAGGACTCTGGAACAGACCTTCGACAGAGATGGCTTTGTCTTTGAGGCAGCACACCGGCGGACCCATGGTCGGCAAACTACTATGACACATGGAAGACGAAGGTATGTTTGTGCATGTCCTCTTGGATAAAGAGATGTATGTGTGCTGAGTGCGGCACGCAGAAAACAGCGATATACTGACACACTATTTAACTGATCCATTCGTGGTAGCGGCGATGTCCCTGCAAGATCAGGCCTAGTAATGCTCCACAGCTGGGCAGCGAGAGGGAGAGAGCGCGTCGATCGGTCAAGGATCCTAGTCCTAGGGTGGACACATGCAAAGAGGTAAGTGCGCCATGGGTTCAAGGTAGAGGTGGAGCGGGTAGAGAGGAGGCAGGGGCAGTGCTGTCAGTGACCACACAGCAGACCACCCTCTCTCAGCTGAGGTGAGACGGCCCCGAACCCTCGGGGTTTGGTGGTCGCGAGGTTTGGTCCTCTGCGGGGGATGACCAGTGTGTATGGGCACAAGAGGGAGAGGGCGAATGGGGTAAAGTCATAGATGATGGGGAAGAATGGTGAGGAGGGATAGCAAAACGAGTGCGGGCGGAGTGCAATGGATGGGGGGCTAAGGAAGGGTCGATGGGAGAGTACAGGAGGAGCAAAGGAGGGGAAGGGCGATGACAGCTGTATAAAAACACCAAGAAAGCAAAAAAAAAAAAAAAAAAAAAAAAAGAACAAGAACAAGAACAAGGAAACAAAAGAAAAAGGAAAAGAAAAACAAAACAAAAAAAAAAGAACAGAAAGAAAGAAGAAAAAGAAGAGGAGAAGGAGGAGGAGGAGGAGGAGGAGGAGGAGGAGGAGGAGGAGGAGGAGGAGGAGGAGGAGGAGGAGGAGGAGGAGGAGGAGGAGGAGGAGGAGGAAGAGGAGGAAGACAGAAGGAAGAAAGTGGAGCTCCAGAAAGGAGCAAAGGAGAAGGACAGAGTGGCGCCAGCACCACCACACTCAAGTCGAACCGTAACCATAACCGCCAGCAAGGTAAGCACTATTCCTCTACATATGAACTCATTCATGACACTACGAGTCTCGATCTATTTGCCAACAGTACTTTTTCCTTTTGTGCTGGACACTAGACAATGCACCAAAGCCCCAGCAGCCGGGTCGTAGGCCACCGGCCTCCCCATTTGATCGCTTTGGGAAAAGCATCAATGCCCACAGATCATGATGACAGCGACATCGGCAGCGACAGTGGCGCTGAAGCAGGTGCAGGAGCGATAAGCGGAGCACAATGCAGAATGGAGACGAATAGATCTACAGAGCAATAGTCAAGAGGACTTAACGTCCGGAGTAATCGATTCCAAAATGATGCATTCAGGAACGCCATAATCGGCTTCTTCCAGGGCTTCGTACGCGGTCGCAGAGCTGCGGTTGATTTCAGGACGTCGTGAAAACTATACAACACTTATCGCAGGCTCTTGTTCGTTCAGACACTAATCGTTATTGTAGCGGCCATTACGCAATACGGTGCCCTTGAATAAAGCACAGACTCCGAAGTAAAAAACAATAAATAAATGAAAAGAATACAAGTAAACGGCTCTTCAGAAAAGCGTAACCATCTGCTACCCTTTACAAGAAGAGAACATAGGAAGAATTGTCGATGGGCAAAGGAATGCAAAATACGTTTCATAGCTCTTTGGCACAAAGAAGTGACCGAAACACGAAATGTTGTCTCAACTCCAGAGAAAGGACACTTCCCCGGTTCTCTCTTTACCCCAAAGTGATTTGGTTGGGTCAGAAACTGTGGAATAGCTTTTGCAATGAATCAGGGAAATGTTTTATTGTTGAAATCCAACATATAACCTCTGTCCATGTCTCCGTCAACGACGTGAGACAGTCTCGTGTGAGAAGTGACTGGAATTTGAAGCCATGGATCTTGTAGTGGCCACTATAGAGAGCACGTTAGCCAAATGTGGTTCAGGTTACTGGCCTCATGGATCCGTCGCAGCAACAATCCAGAGAGAGGGGAGGGGTGGTACCTGATGCATACATTTGAGCTGTGAAATGTTGAAGAACCGGAGACGTTAACCTAACATGGTCAAAGATAAGCAACTTTCTCCAGCTCCTTACGATGAACTTGGTGATGTGAGCAATAGTCCTGCTTAATGATGACAGATCTTCCAAAAAGAAGTGAAAGGTTGTAAAGACAACCAGGGTATACAAGGGGAGCGAGGACTATCGCCAGGACTTCACGTCGATCTGCGTTGTCCCTATCCTTTGTTGTGATTATTGGTGGAAGTAAGAGGAGTTCCGACATTTCCTGGACCTGTCGTAAGGTAAACCGGAATAGCTTGCGACAATCCCTGGTAGACAGTTCAATATCTAGTCGATTGAGATGCTGCGGTCGTAGTGCATTAAGATGAGGTCTGATAGGGTCGTCGTTTCCTCTATATCGACGTCTTCATTAACTTCCTCCAAATGGAGGAGATAAAGGTCAACGACAGAGGTAGCTAGTCGCGCGATTTCAGCAGTGAATGAGGAAAAGAAAGGAGCTCCGATGAAGCATGTTGCACACAGGGACGGACGATAAGTTTATTTTTTATGGCAAAACTAGTTTTGCGTTTCGCCGTCCCGATCATGTAAATCCGTTTCCGAAAACCCTCTAATATATTGCAGATAGGGTCCTTCGGAAGGGAATTCTACGACATTAAGCCCGAGAACAAGACGATCAGAGTATTTCAAACCAAGAAGACCGAGCAAGGTGGCGGCGGCAAAATGATGATCTGGGGTTGCATCACCTACTACGGCTTAGGGGATGCCTGTTGGCTCCGGAACAGGATCAACGCTGAGACATACGTGGATGTCCTCAGCCTTTATGTTCTCCAATCCAGGGATGGGTATGACATGGATACGACAACATTCGTTTTTCAGCATGAGAATGCCAAGGTTCATACCGCAAAAGCCGCCAAGAGGTTCCTTTCCAAGACCAAGATCAAAGCCCTGCAGTGGCCTGCCTACTCAGCAGATCTTGATCCGATCAAGTATGTGTGGACGCATATTAAACGAAAGCTCGGGCATTACCCATAGGCTCCAGCGAACATGGAAGAGCTATGGAGAGAGTGCAGGACATTTGGACAAATATTCCCATAGACTTTATTCATAACTGTACGACAGCATGCGTCAGCGCATAGCGATGGTCTACAAAAGTAAAGGAGGCCCTATCAAGTATTAGAGGAAGGAAGATCGGAAGTATGAGAAATCCATAGTCATCAGACCCTTCATAGTGATGGACGTAATACCGAGGTATAGTTCTCTGGGGTAATCGAATGTTTTTTTTTTACGCATTGTATTCATTACAACCTCTTGGTCTTCTTTACTGATAGCACTAAGTGATGGAGATCCTTTTTTCTGCGCAGCTCTATATGGCTCCCTTACACTTTCCCCTGGACACAGCTCGTCACTCTGTGTCGCTTTGCTCGACATGAGAATGTGTTGTGTCAATGCTGGTGGCGCCTTTGAGCTCCCCACCCTCTTTGTATTGGAACCAGCATTACTACGCCACACCAGCGCACTCTTTATAGCCGTCATTTTATGAATGGCGCCATGTCCCTGCCATCTGCGGCATTTATAGCATTGTCGAAGACTTGCAGATACCAGCTCAAATAACACAGCATTCCCCAGTCCTGCCGTCTATGGGAGTGTGAATGCTGATTATTTGAACATCAAGTACTTCCGAAAACTTTTTCGTTCGGATCAGCCACTATTATACTTCGCAGTGCGTATGCGAACAGCGAGTGCAGCTGAATTAAAGGAAAAAAGAGAGTTGTTTGAAGACGAGAAGCCAGAAACAAAATGGGCCAAATGGAGTGATTGCAGCAATGGTCATGATAGTGGCCCTGAAGATAATTGGCGGTGGTGATGTCAATCAAGATGGCAGAACTGAGATTTCGATGGATACGTTCCCATATCACGGGAAAAAGATATCCTGTGTGGCATGTTGCGCACAGCTATTTCCATCAATTAGGTTGCAGCCTTCATTGAGAAGTGGAATACTCAAGACTACGATCTAATCTGACGATAGTGTGCGTTCTCGCTCATGCTTGGTCTTTTCCATCTTTGCATGCGCCTTCTTTTTTTTCGACTACGATTCAGTAATCCAAATCTGCTACCTATCTTTTGGCGACTGTGGATCGGTTCTGCCTTGGACTGTAGTAGATCATTGCAAGTTAGGTCTGATAAATTCGCAGAGTCAATCGACTCGAGAGAAAAAAAAAGCAATCCAAATCTATCGATTACCCAGCATAAGTATCAGCCATGCATGCTCACCAAGAAGCTGTTCAGCGGATGCATATCTTTCTTTTTTTTTTTCAACTATGATTTGAAGAAACGGAAATACAGCTTGCTGAGGCACATTGCTCCGGGTCTCCACTAATGCACTTTTTTTTTTTTTCTTTTTTTTTTTTTTTTTGAAAGGATGCTTGCGACCTACTGAAGATAGTAGCAATACGAAATGAAAGACATTCGTTCATTGACAGTTTAAACAACGACCACAGCATCCCAGGTTACATTGCTAAATATTACAGCCATTTGACCATTTTATTCTATTTTTTTTATTTTCGACGCGCGCAGGATAGGCACGCCGAAACCATATGTAGATTGCCTAGTTAAATACTCCTGCGGTCTGAAGACTGTCAGAAGTCCGGCTTGAGTATTACGGGCGAACTATAAAACTAGGATGGGTAGATAGAGAGGATACGAGGGTGAGGTAGCAAAACAGAAAGCGTAAGGTAGCAGCGAAGGATAATCGGCTGGGCGAAGCAATAGCTGAATTAGGAATCTTAACCAAGAGCCATAGACCGGTGGCGAACGAGGAACTAGTGCAAGACTGCGTTTGTTACAGACACATTGATCGTGCTCTTGCAGCTACAATTATGTCGAAGGAGTTCATTGGGCTTAACAGTCGATACGGCAACGAACAGAACAAACGAAAATGACAAGGGGGGATTGTGAAATGAGAACGAACGAAAGAGAAGCGAAGGGAAAGAGGCAAAGCTGTCGGTAGAACAAAGAAGGAAAGAGAGGGATCTTTAATAGCACCGTCCGGTCCCCTTTACATAGGTCGCCGGACGGTCTTTTCTATGTAACGTGATCCTGTGATCCTAGTAAAGTACCTATCCAGGCTGCCATGTAGATGGCCTGGGGGATCAGGCGTCAATGAAAAAAAAAAAAAAAAAAAAAAAAAAAAAAAAAACAGTTGTCATATAGGTGAAGGTGACAAAGAAGGACAACTGATTGAGAGCAAAAGGTAAGGGGAGGGTGGGTGCAGTGCGGGCGAAGTATCTAGAAGCGGCGTGCGACGGTGAAGGTAAACGAAAGTGGAGTTTTTTTTTTCTTTTGTTATTAACGGTAAACGGAAGTGTAGCAAGCGGTAGGGAAGATGCCCCCCTGGGTCCTATTTATCAAAAAAAAAAAATGCAAGCGGTAGGGAAGATGCAAGTAAGGAGTCGTACAGTAGAGGTTTTTTTATTTTTATAACAAATGCAGTAAAGGGTTGTTAAGATAGATTATTATTAACATAAAGGGTTGTGAAGATAAAGAGTTTTTTTTTTTTTTTTTTTTCCAATGGACAATCTTTGCCAGGGTTTATTGGTTATTTTATGGGGGTTACTATTTCTCGCTGGTCAGGATGTTCCTGTTTGTCCCGAACAATGGTAGGAGGCGCCATATAAATCCCGCGTATTTTCCCGCAAGCCTGCCTCGGTCGTCCTGTTCCTGCTAACTTGATATCTTGATCCTTTGGACTGGCTCTCTCCTGTGTGACTTGATTCGGCAAATATTCAACTTATGTTTCGATCCGGCATATATGTACGGCTTCCTTACGATGTTACTGCGGCCCTCGAGTGATTTCTGAAGTAAATTATTTAGTCTCCTCTCTCAATAGTCCCCCCCGTAACCTTAGTGCTGGAGAACGGCTCTGGCAAATCCGAGTGATAGTTCTGAAAAATCTCCTCGTAGCCCACGGTGGCGTACGAACCTGAGCAGAATAGAACATTCTCTCAGGAGGGAGCCAATCCCCTGCTGCCCGCGATCCGAAAGGTAATTTATACACGGCCCCCCGTGCCGAAAAACAACCGCACCAAGCTGGATCCGAAACTAGGATCCACAGCACTGTTCTCTGGAAGCTTCGCGTGATACTACTGTACCACACAGGCTCGCCCGCCTTAGGGTTGTGAAGATAAAGAGTATGCATTTATAAATCGTGCATTTAAAGAAAAATGCACTTGTAGAATGTGCGCTTGTCTGAAATGTTACATTCATATAAGTTTTATTATTGCATCGTTCAGCAAACCCGCCCGCTTAGCTCATTGGTAGAGCGTCTGCCTAGTAAGCAGAAGGTAGCAGGTTCGATCCCTGCAGTGGGCAATTACAGACGTTTCCGCGTTATCTTTTGTTGTTTTGTTGAACCTTTTACCCTCCGTGAGATTATCGTTTTGTCATCTTACAGGGGCGTGAGCCGGTTATTCTCACACCCAGGTAAGAATAATTCGAGCATTTTTTTGTTCGCGGGGATAATCTGCGGGACCTCGTTTAAAAAAATGAAAAAGCACTCGTTTATTGTTCAACAGGATGGAATCCTTTGGATGGTCGCGACATCTCGCTGCTGCTCTTGATACGTTTGGCTCTTGGACGCCCCTTTGGCTTCACTACAAGTGGGTCTTTGGTGACACCAAGACCTGCTTTGTCGTCAGACGCGTCCTGTAGCTCCATGAGCCCCTGTCTCCGTTTCAGCGAGATTGAGAGGTTGTTGCTTCGAATATGGGAGTTACCCTGCTGTCTCTTGCCACGGTAGGTAGTGAGGCTGCTAGCCAATCGGAGGTATTATTCAGAAGCCGGTTATTACAAACGACCTTTCGTGCAGCGCCATACGCGTCGCTCTTGCCCTGTGCATCGAGAAATAATCCAATGGTTACAGCCCAACTGAATGAATCTCCCTAGTTCCTAATTTTGGAGCGTCAAATATGTGAGTTAAGCCCAGATACATTTCTCAGTTCATCATGGAAGAAGGTTGAAAAAGCGAACGGGTGGTGATACCTCCAAATGTTCCTCAATTGCAAAGACGCTTTGAACAATGCACAAGGTGAGCATCAAGAGCTTACTGAGAGCAATTGTTTATGAGTATCTTGTAAAACGGATCTCAGGACATTCTCCGGATACCCGGTCTGAATAGATCATAGACTATAGCCTTGTATTACCTATCGTGATTTAGCAATCTCTAATCATCCTGACTTAAAGTCTAGCATTGCATGCAAACAGCCTTGCACATTTCGAGGACGAGCTCCAAAAGGACGAGCTGCAGATGGGCGTAAAGCAATTGGACGAAGAGAGAGAATGACACAACATGGCCGTTGCTCGAGATTGCCTGGCCATAGGGATATGATCAAGAAGAGAACTTGTAGACTATGAGGCGAGTTATATATTCTATGCAAGGTGGAGGACATGGTGAAATGCACTCTTTCTCGCAACTTTCTTCTCTGTGCACACTCTAACGCTCTACAACCAACATCACTGT